CCGGCTCATGAGCAAGCGAGCGTTACCAACACCTCTTCACCTTTACAAGGCGAGGATTCATTCTTCAATGAAGTAGACGGAGCGAGAGAAAGAGAAGAAGAAGTAGTTGTAGAACAAAGACAAGCTCACTCTCAATCTCAACCTCAATCTCAGTCTGGTATGCAAGGTAGAGTTGATTTGGACCAGTTGGCAGAACAGATCGCCATGCTCTACGTTCAGATTGGAACAACCCTGTCCTCGCACGAAATGCTTCCGCAAGCAGCGCTTCTCAAGGATCAATGGAAGGAATGGTTCCATGGTGTCGATGGACGGCCCTCGATCTGGGCTTTGAATAAGAGCTCTGACCAAAAAAGAGCAAAATGGCGTTCAGGATTCGATGCACAGAAAAGGAAGTTGTATCAATTCAAGAAGGAACTAATTGAGGCTGTGCTAGAAGAGATATCAAAATCAACATGCATGACGTTAGTGGAAAAGGAAGCTGATGCCCTGACGTCAGTTTCCAAGGCTATCATCAACGCTGGCTCCAACAATTCCTACATTAAGATGCGTCGAGCACAAAGAAAAAAAGCTTTTAAGTAATGTGTTTATACATATATTTCTTTAAAATAAAAATAAACCACACCGTTGAAGGCGTTTCGTTAGACACTTCTAAAGTGTCACTCCATTTTACTTGAAAGCTTCCAACTGATGATATTGGAATATTATTTATTACAAAACTGCTGTATGCTATTTTAAGCGGATATCATTGTGTTGTTGTTATTGGTGTTGTTATCGTTGCTGTTGATGACTGATCAAATTTTGATTTTTTGGTTGCTGGGGAGTCAGATTCGATGTTGAAACTACCTCTCGTGCTCATTTCATTCTTCATTAATTCGAAAAGAGTAAGGACATAGCCAAATATAAGCTTGCATCTGTCTCTCACGTCTTCCATTTCTCCTATCACTTCTAAAGATTTAGTCAGTTCCAACCTTCGGTATTTTAGCGTGCCATTTTCCAATGTAGATTCAACAAATGCCCATTGAAATGAGTTGGTTACGATTCCATAAGCCCTAAGGGCTCTAGGGCAATCTCCATCCTCCTCAGTTCGTTTTCGTTTCCTATTGTGCAAGGCTACATCGAGCTGTACCATATTTTGTGCAAGGCCTTGCACATGATCGTCCTTCTTCACTTCCGTAATGCCAAGAAATTGTCCCGAATTGATACAGTCAACAACAGCAAAGTCCAAAGTCCCATAGCCGCGCGTGCCTTTCAAAGACTGTTGTTGCGAAAGGATCATGTCGGGCGCATAGAGCGATACTGCTCCAACCATGAATGCATCGACAATTGTTGATCTTGTAGCCTCATTTGATTGTGCATTAAATGCATAGGCTCTACCTTTGCGAATGCAATCGTCCACAATATGTCCCAATATTGTCTCTTCAGCTTCTGTCAAGTCCTCCTTGGGCTTGAGATCAAATTTTGGTAGATCAATGAACGATTGTAATTTATACGTGTCTTGAACTTTTTTCCAGTCCCATGACGAAAAACTAATGGCTGGGGTAGCCAAAGATATAATGAGCCTTTTCCACTTTTTTTGCTGAAGTTTTTCCAAGATAGAACGAAATTGAATGTCGTCTCTCAACAACGGAAATGTCTTCGTTTCCTCATCGTACACAAATATTTGGACTTCCTCGAACTCCTCAAACTCCAAGCAATAATCTCGAAGGCTTTCTCGCAGGCTTCCTATAGTAGCTGATTTAATATTGGTGGAATATGTGCAAATAACCTTATTCCGATCTCTTTTGTTCACGACGCTCAGTGCTAGAATAACAACAAAGTCAGCTCTCTTTCACTATGGTTCCTTTCGACATCTTTCCATTCCACATTCTCACTTATTGTTGATTATCACTTACTAGTATATGTGTCCGCCTGTAGTTGTTGCTCCAATTCGGCGTTTTTCTTTTGTACCATTTCTAAATCTGCTTCCATATGCAGTTTTTGTTGCCTCAGGTCGGTCATTTCCTTGTGTAAATTTATGATTATCGTTTCTAAATTTGCGATTGTCGTTTCTAAAGTTACGATCATCGTTCCTAAATTTGCGTTCGTATGCAGTCGTTGCTTCAAGTCGGCGATTTCCTTTTGTAGATCTGCGTTCGTCGTCTGTAGACTTGCGATTATAGGTTCATTCCCTTCACTTTTAACTTAGGAGAAAGGAATACAAATAGAAAGTGCGTATGACTTGTTTAATCATAGTTAACTGTGGACAAAAAAAAAAGGCATACCAGTAGAGTGGAATAGTACCTGGTCGTTCAATAATGACATGGATGGTTTTTTTTGGTGGTACAGCGCCAAAAACCTCAGAGACCTCGCTAGTCGGATCTTCGAGCTTCTCTGGGTTTTTCTGCGCCTTCTGCTCGTCTGTAAGATTGCTTAATGTAATTGGTTTCTTGGAGATAGAAGAAATGGCGACATGCCAGAGAGTGAGCTTGCTTGCATTAATATCATGAAACTCTAGCTGCTTTTTCTTGATGGCATCCTTGAGATGGTCTATCGTTTTTGAAGAGGAGATATCCACTGAGAATATGGAGGAATCTCCATCGATAACGCAAAAGAGGGTTACTTCGGTGGCCATGGTAGTGTTATGATTGTTTGTTTCAATAGTTTCAATGGAGCGAGTATTTTAAAGGATGGCGATAGCGCAAAGCCACAATGCGCCTTGCAAATAGGAAGAGAATGTTATCCATTTTTGATTCTTATTTTAAAATATAATAAATGAATAGCTATATTTGTGATTCATATTGACGCAAGGAACTCACCATAAGAGAATGATACGGATAGATAGATGGAAATCAAAAAGGGAGGACTGAAATATCATGTGACGACATATATAGGATCACAGGAAAAATTTTGTGACCCTGTGCACGCTACTGTAAAAAATCCACATCTCGAATTAATTGAATGTGCACTCGCTTTTTACCATTTAATTGATCGCGTACTCATTTAATCATGCACTCTCTTTTGACCATTAAATTAATCGCACAATCTTTATTATTGATCGCACACTTTTACGCACTCTCTTCACCATTAAATTGATTGTGCACTCTCTCTCTTCACCATAAAAATGATTGCACTCTTTACCATTAAATTGATTGCGCACTCTCTTTCTTTATCGTAAAATTGATCGTGCACTCTCATCCTTTAATTGATCGCACACTCTCTTTTTATTCGCTCTCTCTCTCTCTTCTCTATTTTTTTCTATCCGTCCTCTTTACTTCACTATTGCTGCAATCGTTTCCCTTAACACACACTGATTCATCACATCTCTAGTTCACACACATTTCCATCATTCACTCTCTCGTCGCACATACGCAGGTGCTTTCTTTACCGACCTCTAAAGTTTTAGGTAGTATCATAAGTATTATTTTTTTTTTTTTTTTTTTTTTTTTTTCGCCAGCAAGGAATTTATGGTTGGGAACTCACCAAAGCCGACAGCACTAAGTCTGTCCGCTCTGGATTAAAGAGCTTATCATTGTGGAATCGGACAAGAAGGGTTCCCCTGTCTTGTCAGCTAGTACAGAGCCGCTTTTGCTAGGTTCTGTTCTGGTGACTCCCACTCTGTCTGGACCACATGAGTCAATGCAATCCTTTAGCAGAGGACCCGCATTTGACATTGCCGATAGGCATTCCTTGTTTGACCATGGCTGGTGACTCACCAAAGCCGACAGTACCAAGGCTGTCCGCTCTGGATTAAAGAGCTTATCATTGTGGAATCGGACAAGAAGGGTTCCCCTGTCTTGTCAGCTAGTACAGAGCCGCTTTTGCTAGGTTCTGTTCTGGTGACTCCCACTCTGTCTGGACCACATGAGTCAATGCAATCCTTTAGCAGAGGACCCGCATTTGACAGCGAATATTTCCTATTGATGTAACATCTCTTTCATTTCCTAAAACGAGCTGACTCAATCTGTGAGTATCATTTTTAATTATAGTTAATAATGAAGAAATATATCGAAGACGCTCTCAACTCAATTATTGAGGGGCTTACCAACCCACAGTATTTCAAAGGAACCCAACCTACCCATTATGACTTTACTGCGTACTATAATTCATGCAGAAAGAAAGTTGCAGATGATGAATCGGCATCGACAGTTATTGGACTGGAGTTAACAGATGAGGGACTGGAGTCAGGGGACAAGGTACTGGAGTCGTCAGTCGAGGGCCTTGAGCGTGAATGGACATCTATCTTTTTGCCGCGGCTGAGAAAAAGCAATATCAAAATTTTCCAGGAGACTGCCACAAGGCTTGAGAAAACCTGGAGGTCACAAAAAATGGCCAGGCGTTTAGAGCGGTTCAAAAATGATATAGACAGTCAGATGCACAAAGTCTTAGGCAAAGCCATACTTGGACACCGAGCTACCACGTTGCAATACTCTAATAGTACCCTTGCAAGGGACTTTCAGGCGTATGGCAAGTCTCCAGTCGTTTATATTGCTTGAGTTGTAGACATTCAAATATTATTGCTCTTATTATTATCGATCATTTTCTCCCCCTCTGACACTATTTAAGGACTTTTTCCTTCAATTTTTTTAGATGATAAGCGCAAGGACTTCCATGAGGAGGAACCAAGAGGAGGAAAAAAGACCCGAGGACCCGATCCACGACATCCGCTTACTGGTAAGCCTTTTATACTCTATCGCGTGGTTGATAGGCCTGGTGTATTTTATTGATACATGTTCTTAGCTTGACTTTATTGACATTCTACATTTGTTTATTATGTAGAGAACAGACGAACAAGAAGGTCGGCAGCGGTAGCAGCAGCAGTCCCGACCCAAAAAGGTATCCTATTATTATTATTATTATTATTATTATTATTATTATTATTATTATTGTTGTTGTTGTTGTTGTCGTTATTATTATTTGTTATTATTATTACTAGTTAACATATTGATCAATCCTTACTTTTACTCTTAATAGTTGGTGCGCCTCTACTGGATGAAGGCCAACGTGATTCCGATCTCCATTTTCCTGGTGGTCCATTTGGTCCTCCCTCTAGCAGTGACAGCACCAGCGAAAGTTTCATACCTGGGACACAGGAAGATTCCACAGGGAATTCTCTGTTATAATCGAGCGCCCTCAACGGATGGTGAGGCTTGTAGGGCAGGGTCAGGAATCATCATCTTTGAAGCTTGGCCATTGGATATATGAGGATCAGGATATATCTAAGAAACTAATGAGGAGCCGAACATCCGTAGTAAAGGAGCATGAATCTTTGCAACGAGTCAATGAGATCCTGTAAGTCTAGGTTGAAGTTGTGTTCTACCCATCATTAATGCTACATATAACAGCTATTAATTTGCAACGCAGTCAATTGAATTTTATTTTTACAAGGGAGACGATGCTAGAAGTCACCGAAGAAGAGAAACTTGCCCCAAACACCTGCTGCCAATCTATTCAATCCTTTGCCGTAATTCGTGCCATTGCTGATCTTGCCTTCACGTCAGCCAACGAGGGATATCTCACCGCATTAAATACATGGAAGAAGGTTCAAGCGACATGGCAAGAAGATGACACACATGGAGGTCATTGGGAAGTGCTTCGGGCTTCAATAGATCATTTACTCATTACATCCACCCTTTGGAGCCCTATGAGCTACACAAGCAGGAAGAAGGGTAACGAAGACAGTTTTTCACAAAACATTGTCCGTCCTTTTTTGATGGGTGCATTTGGCCGCTTGTCTGGTGTCAGATTCAGAGGAAGTGGTGACCCCTTCACCTGTGGGAATGAGCTGGATAAGGAACTGAAGTTCCCGGACTTCTCTGTCACTATGGACTGCTACAATGCTTCATTAGGAGAGCATTACCTAGTGATCGCTGAGATAAAGCCCCCTAGCGCCTCTCAGGCTGAACTTGACGACGATTATATTAAATTGTCTAATCTAATGAAAAGTGCCCTTGATTGGCAGCTAGGACAGGGATATGATGATGGAGCTGTGGTTGGAATTCTAGTGCAAGGTTGGAGAGTGTCCGTGTTTTATATTGTCTTGGAGCACGAGGCAATATATGAGCTGAGGAACATAGGGCAATTTTCACTGGTTGCTGATCACACCCAATTGGCACAACTTCTTTCGATCTGCCCAGTTCTTTTAAAGGCCAAGGTAAACATTAACTTCACTGTTTTCTAAAATTATAACCATTACAACCCTTCGTTAACATTTATTATTATTACTATTATTATTATTATTATTATTATTATTATTATTATTATTATTATTATTATTATTATTATTATTATTATTATTATTATTTATAGGAGAAGGTTGAGAAGACTAAGGAAATCTTGTACAAGCGACCATTGTCAAAACAATCTTGTAAGGACGAATTCCGTCGACCATCTTACAGCATCACCCCGACTTTGATTTATCCAGATAAGCATGATGAGGTGAACCAAAAGCAACAGGCGCTAGGCAAAAACAAAGATTCTGAGGATAATGACGGCGCGGAGAGTGAGGATAGTGTTGTTGAGGCTCATAAAAAGGGATTGAAAAGGAAATCAAAAGCGCAGCCGAAAGAAAAGCCGAAAAGAGCAAGGGATCAGAAATGAACAATAGCAGTGGAAAGTGTTGTCTGGCCCATACTTCATCATTTGTGCTTTCTTATTTAGCTTCAACTTCATCGCTACCGTTGTACTGTGCATCTTCTTTGACTCTGTGCTATCCACATCCTTGCATCCAATTGAACCCTCATAGTCATATCGGCCATCCTCATAATGTACCTGCCTCCTCCTTTGATCTATGGCCTATAATCAATATCAACAAAATAAATGAAGAATATTCGTTTATTTGTTTTCAAATACCAGTATCTAAGGCACGCCATCCTTTTTGCCTCTTTAAACAACAGGCATCACCACCTTGCTTTGCATTTCATATTTTATTCCCATCATTCAAGGAGTGTGATGGAGAGTAGCTTCTGATACTTTTCTAGGTTGGCCTCCTTTCGACATTGGGACCATGCTTGAGTCACTCAAGAATCTTCAAAGTCGAACTAATTGATACACCAAGCTCTCCTGCCACTTTTCTCTATATGATTTCTCTGCAAGAAGAAGTACCTCGGCGCTATGACAAATATCTTTAGAAAGAAGGTCCATCGATGATGAAGCAGTAGTGTAGAAATATAGCGTCTGCTGATACAAGGTAGAATATAATATTTATGCCGAGAAAGAAAGGAAGTAAAGGTCATCTCTGTTCCCTCAAAAAGAATGGACCTTATTCATTACAGAAAATTCATATGTGAAAATTGAGACCAAACATGATGAATTTTTTCTTACAAGGTAATGGCGCCATGCAATGTGAAACAAGTGCCAATGGAGGAATGGTGAAGGGCATGAGAACAATCGACAATAACCACTGTTGCATTTAATGAGAAGAGGATGGAGCATGGCAAATGAATGTCGAAAAGTGAGCAATTCGTGAACGGTTTTGACGCGTACTGTAGCATCGAATGACATCGATTAGGAGCACTCGTTTAATAAAAGTCGTCTGCAATGGATTTATCTCTTCCAATATTTGAAATTAACATTAGCAGGAACCTCATGAAGCCTTTCCGCTCCACAAGATAACCCCACGTAGCATGATTCAGGAGCCGAAGCTCTATTCGTATTCAACTAAAAATCGGAAAAGGCGGTAATCGTCGCGTTCTAGCACGGATTCTGACTTAGGGGCGGGCAGCCATAATCCAACGGATGATAGCTTCGGGCCATTGCCTGTTCAGGCAGGCCCAAATACCAATTATCCAAATGAACGGTTCCTCTCGTACTAAGTTCAATTACTATTGCAACAACATTTCATCAGTAGGGTAAAACTAACCTGTCTCACGACGGTCTAAACCCAGCTCACGTTCCCTATTAGTGGGTGAACAATCCAACGCTTACTGAATTCTGCTTCAGTATGATAGGAAGAGCCGACATCGAAGGATCAAAAAGCGACGTCGCTATGAACCCAGTTATTTGCTAATTTCTATGGAAACTTTTAAATTTTCTGAAGATTTTTTCTAGATTGAGCACTAAAACAATGCTTTCTTCATAATGTCCTTTGTAGATCTTTCTGAAATTTGAGTAGCTGTGAGAACCCAGTATTGCCTCCAAGAGGTTGAAGTCTCAGGCCCCAGGTCCCAGTATTTGAGTAAATCAATGTGAGACCGAGGTGACGTGATAAAAATCTTTTGTTTCTGATTTTTTTTCTAGTGATGAACGTGTTGATAATATGTGTTCCATCATTCTTTTGCTTATCATTCGTTAATGAGCCGGCGGAATCGCCTCAAATTTTATTAGCTGTGAGGACCCAGTATTACCTCCAAGTGATTAAAGTCTCAGGCCCCAGGCCCCAGTATTGTGGAGATACGGGTCTTTATGTGGTTGTGATTTGGTATGCTACAAAAAAATCTTTTATTTTCATTGGCGAAAAAAAAAAAGATCGATTGTCTTTTTTAGGACAAAAAAAGATTGTATAAAAATATGCTGGTTTCCTTTTTTTTTTCTGATGATCGTTGATGTGTGTTGCTTCTTATATATTTTTTCTTTTTTTGTTGTGATGATTATTGATATGTGTTGCATGGTCGAGTGCTTTTTTTTTTCTTTCTTTTTTATGATGATCATTGATGTGTTGCCTCGCCTCTTTTTTTTATTTATTATTTCTTTTTTCTTCATGTTCATATCGTTTCCTTTTTTTTCTTCTTGATTCACTGCTTTCATTCCCTTCACTGTCTCCGTTTCCTTTACTTCCTTTGCTTCCTTAGACATTTATTATTTACCTTCGCAACTTAATTTTTAGTTTTTAATTACAATGAATGTCACTCGCTTCGATATGCCCCTTCAGGCCGTGAAAGTGTTTTCGCCTGCAAGGGATGAGAAGGATAATTTGTGGGCGTGGACCAGGTACACCTTGCGTGGGCAGCAATGCAGGGCGAAGATCGTTACCCCCAACGGACCGCAGAAAGAGTTGAGAGCCCATCCTGCGTACTTTCATCTCGTGGACCTGCACCGCAGCGGCGAGAACTTTCAGTGGTTCGAGGTTTCCGGCCTCTTCGAAGCTTGTGGGTACCAGAAAACTAGTACCCACAGTTTTGGTGTCAGTGTCAGGTTGGAGGTGGAGGCAATGTCTAGGACTGAAAAGACGTTGATGGTCCCAAATGAGGAGCTGCAGGACATTCCCGTGAGGATCTACGAGAAGAAGGCAGACGCTGGGCCATCTGGTACGGTAGCGAGAGTGGCGACGGTGGTTGGGACCTCTTCCATTCGTGCCTCCTCTCCTGCCCCCTCCCCCTCCTTCTTCTCTCCTGCCTCCTCCTCTCCCTCCTTCTTCTCTTCCTCATCCTCCTTGACTTCTTCCTCTTCCCTCTCCTTCTCCTTCCCCTCAACCTTCCCCATCTTCTCTGTCATGCCTCTCGTGGCTCTCGTGGTTCTCGTTCTTTCTGACTTGGGGATGTTTGGATGTTCTGTAACGACTTTGAATCGGCTTAGTATGGGGATGGAAGCACGACTCTGCGATCAATTAATGAGCGAGACTGAAGACGATGGCGACGACAACAGCGACAGATTGGGAGGGTTCTGTAGTAGTGATGGCTGCTTGGGTGATGCATTGGCGGAGGAGGAGGCGCGAGAAAAGGGAGCACGAAAGGAGGAGGCATGAGAGGAAGAGGCATGAAAGGAAGGGGTTCCAATCATCGCCGCCGCTCTCGCTACCGTGCCAGACCCTGCCCCAGCATCTACCTTGTTCTCGAAGGTCTTCACCGGAATCTCCTGCAGCTCCTCATTACGGACCACCGACGTCTTCTCGCTCATAGACATCGTCCCGACCACCAACCTGACACTGACAGCAAAGCTGTGGGTGCCACTTCTCTGGTACCCGCGAGCTTCGATGACACCGGCAACCTCGAATCGCTGGAAGTTCTCGCCGCTGCGATACAGCTGCATGAGGTGAGCGTATGCAGGATGGGCTCACCCCTCTCTCTCAGCACACTTTCTCTACGCAATTTTTTATTTCATTCTCTGTGCACCTATTTCTCTCGTCTCTCGGTTGTGCATTAACAGTAATCATTCGTATTAACAATTACTCTTTAAATTAGTAGACACTCTATTCTCATTCCCCATGTCCGATTGTGAATCAGAAACCGACTCTCAGGTAATGATGCATTTCTAATGCAATAGTGGAGATGGTTGAACAGCATGTCGGGCTTAATGGGGGTGACATGTTGTGCCTGTCAGAGTCTCGTTGCGCCCGGTGACAATGTGGGCCCATTATCTGGGCCGCGCTTGCGTGTGTAACGGCCTCATCCTTATTTCGCGATCCATGCAACTCTCGCGCATTGATCTTGCATGGTAATGTTTTTTCTGTCAAAACTATTAACCATTACTTTATCTTTTTTTAGGAAGAAATCACCGGAAAACTTTACAAGTTCATTGATGGTCTTGCAGGAGCGGCGTCCTTCATTAATAATGAGCCGAGCACGTACAGTCAAGCAGGATATGTCCAGTTCCGTGGAGGATTTGCAGTTGAACACAGTAATGCATACATGAAGGAGTTCAATCAATTCATAGACATTTTCCAAAAATCTAAGTCAAAAGCTCATCAAGAATTCGCCAGATCAACTAAGAGGATTACTAAAAAAAATGGTTCAACAGTATTCAAGCGGATCTATTGGTACACTCACTCATGTTTATTATCCATCGAGCCAGGACCATATATGTGTTATCTTCTTTTATTGCCTAATTTAGCGAACTTTTCAGAAAACTACCCTTAAATAAAAGAAATAAACTATATAAATCTGCTCTGCTACCAAGTTGGATCTGCATCTTCTTTTGTTTCGCCAGGAACGTATCCGCATTCATTTTAGATCACTACTGCTACTTCCCCTTATGTCTAACACTCAAGATAAAACCATCGCTTCACTTCAACAACAACTGGCTACGTTGGCCAGCCAATTCGCTGATCTTCAGCGCTCCAAGGAGGAACAAGATCCAGCCATGGAGACCCCTACTCTCATTCAAAATTTCAAACCCACACAAGATGATATCGATCGCTTCCCCTTCTTGGAACCAAAAGATCCTTCTTCAGTCTTTCAGCAAGACATTACCGACGAAGAGCTTTGGGAACAATTCAGACAATTTCCAAAAAATGTTCATTGGCCATATGAACCTCCCAAGCTCCCTTCAGCTGTTTCTCTTAAAACCCATCAAAAACACCATGATCAACAACTTCGAGCGCTACAAAAACGGTTACTCAACCTTACTCGTCCACTACATTTGTTCGCTCACCAAATCACTTCCATGGAAATCGATGATAAAATGGGTACTGAAGACGTTGCCGACATTTGCGGCGCATTTGTCACACTTATGCAGGAACAAATTACTGGTACGATCGGCAGGATCAACAACATGCGACTTGAAAATCTTCATGCCGCAATGGGCTCAACCTATAAGCAGACATCATTGGAACTTGTGGATCCAACTAAATTCCAGGAGGAAATTAAGACCAATAAAGCCTTACAAACTTTTTTCAGTCCCCGACAGTTTCAAACTAGCAGTAGTTCAGATAGAAAAAATAAGCCAAACTCTAATTCGACTTACTACAAATTTGGCAATAAAAGCAACGAAGGCCGTTATTTTTACGGGGACAACAATTACAGACGGGGGGACAACAACTACAGACGAGGAGACAGCAACAGCCGAAGAAAGGACAGCAGCTACCGGAGATCAGACAGCCGCCGGAGAGACCGAAGCAGCAGCCGCCGACAACAAGAGAGAAAGTCGGGGGAAGAATCACAATCTTCTTAAACGCATGGCGGAATGTTACAAAAGATCGAACACTCCTAGAGATAGTCAAGGAAGGTTACTCTATCCCGCTCTTGAACGCACCCCCAATTTCAACATCCCATCCTCCACCTTACCCGCTATCGGAGAAGGCGACAAAGAGTGTGGACAACGAAGTGCCCGCTTTGCTAACGAAGGGTGCAATAGAATTCGCGAGTGGACCCGGATTTACAAGTCCGCTCTTCACAATCCCCAAAAAGACTGGAGACGAAAGACCTGTCCTAAACCTGAAAGCATTAAACCAGTACTTACCTACACAACACTTCAAGATGGAGACAATCCATCAAGTATGCAATCTAATAAAGAAAAACGATTATCTTACCAGTATAGATCTGAGCGATGCATTTCTTCATGTGCCGATACACCCAGCGTCACGAAAATACCTTCAATTTCAATGGAGGGAACAACTGTACCAATTCAAGGTCCTGCCATTCGGACTCTCTCTAGCACCATTGATTTTCACCAAGATACTGAAGCCTCTACTTCAATGGGCACGAACGAAAGGGATAAGAATATCAGCCTACCTCGACGACCTGATTATCGCAGCACCGAGCAAGGAATCATCCCAACGTGCGACAGCACTAGTCTTGACAAAACTGAAAAGCCTAGGTTTCTTGACAAAGGAATCCAAGTCGAGCCTTCAACCGAAACAGATACTGGAACATCTGGGATTCGAGATAGATACAACGATGATGACCCTGAGTGTACCGGGCAAGAAAATCCGGGATATTCGTCGAGAAGCGTCCAAGCTAGCCAACAAAGGGATCTGCACGGTCCGTCAGCTATCATCCTTCATAGGCAAAGCGAGCGCAATGACAGCCGCAGTCTTTCCGGCTCGCCTCAAGGTTCAGCACCTCATGGCAGACAAGATTCATGCATTGAAATCGGATCCCTCATGGGAACGCTCAATATCTCTGTCAACCAAAGCAACGGAGGAACTCCTTTGGTGGAGGACACATCTCAAAGCATGGAATGGGAAGACATGGATCGCAACCAACCCAGAGGTCGACATTTACACCGACGCATCGGATGCAGGATGGGGCGTAGTCATCAACAACCAGACAATCAAGGGATCTTGGTCAGACAGTCTTCGAGGACGACACATCAATTACAAGGAAATGCAGACCATTTTCTACGCCCTGAAACAACCAGAAGTGAGGGGACGCACAGTGAATGTGATAACGGACAACATCACGACAATGGCTTACATCAACCACTTCGGCGGGACACGATCTCCAGCACTGATGACGCTAGCGACATCGATATGGGAATGGTGCTTGAAAACAGAGACAAGGATCAAGACAACCTACGTGCCCTCAGCATTCAACCCCGCAGACGCCCCATCCCGACGCCTAACAGGACAGCTAGAATGGAGCATCGACAAAGAATTCTTCAAAAAGCTCCAAAGACGATGGGGCCCTCACCACGTCGATCTATTCGCCTCGCCAATAAACAACAAAGTGACGAAGTTCATGAGCTGGAAACCAACTGCAGGAGCAATAGGGCACAACGCCCTTCAACATCATTGGCGCCAATTCGGCAACGTTTACTTATGCCCGCCGTGGAACCTCATCTCCCTAGTATTGGAGAAAATCCGAGAGGAGAAGATAGAAGCAACCTTAGTGACACCTTACTGGCCTTCGGCGATGTGGTACCCAACAATCAAGATGATGACAGTGGACCATCTAATACCAATACCTCGCCACCAAGTTCTCCCAGCGCCGGGAAACGCACCAGACATTCTGGCCAAAAATCCCCATTGGTCGTTATGCGCTTGGAGGGTAAGAGGAGACGACTCGAAGCGAAAGGCTTCGATCCGGCTACGGCATCGATAGTTGTGGACAGTCCTGAGTTACAACGCAAGCAACGCGCATACGCCAAGATACAAGACAGGTATATCCAATGGGCCACAGCACGCAATGTAGACGCCATGGTGCCACAACCACCTCAATTATGTAACTGGCTTGCCTCCGGAGTCGCAATCCACGGATGGTCAGCTTCAACAGTGGACGCATATAAAGCCGCAGTCATCCATATGTATGACGACAAGAGCGCATTCAACGATCAGGACTTCCTATTATTTTTCCAAACTCTACGTCGTCGTGAGATCAAGCACACAAAAGAACTCAATATAGACATCAAACCCGCTGTCGAGTATTTACAACAACTAGGGCCTAACAGTTCTCTCACTCTCCTTATTCTCACACAAAAACTGTGTTGGCTGCTCGGTACATGTGGGTTTCTCCGACCAAACGATATCCTGTGTATCGATCTATCAAATGACAAATTCCATATCGATGGTATCGTTGTAGTCCTTCCAATTTTGATTCCCAAGGAAACACGTGGTGGTAGCAGGATATGCAAATACACCACAGTTAAGAATCACACCGACAGTTCCCTTTGTCCGGTGATGACCTTCACCGAATATCTCAAAAGAATTGAGACTCACGCTATCAGTGTACCGCACCCTAAGGACCAAACCATTCGATATCGTCCTTTAATAAGAGATATCAGAGACCTCAAAAGACCCGTGGGAGCTGATCGAATAAGCAATCATATCTCAGCCATCAGCAGCAAGCTCATTCTTCCAAATGGCTCCAAGTTACCCAAAGCCAGGGCTATTGGTTCCACCCAAGCCATTAAACAAGGCGCCAGTGTCGACGATGTAGTGGTACAAGGCAATTGGTCTTCATCAATTCTGTTCGACAAGTACTATCGACTGAACGCAGCAACAGCCACTAATTTCACCTCGATGATACTGTCTTAAGGAATCTGCTCTGGATCCACATATATGGTCCTGGCTCGATGGATAATAGCTGGCCAAGTCGAATAACATGACGACTTAAGCTTATTATCCGAGAGCCAGGACCATATATGTCCCACCCTATACCCGCCCTTTTTCTTCAGTTTGACTATTTTTCCTGGCTCACTATCAAGAAGATGCAGATCCAACTTGGTAGCAGAGCAGATTTATATAGTTTATTTCTTTTATTTAAGGGTAGTTTTCTGAAAAGTTCGCTAAATTAGGCAATAAAAGAAGATAACACATATATGGTCCTGGCTCTCGGATAATAAGCTTAAGTCGTCATGTTATTCGACTTGGCCAGCTATTATAATATCTTGTCACACAATCTATTGAAAATAGTCAGATTAATGTTGGTCCCAGCCCACGTGGAGCATTTGATTTGCCAGAGTACACTCGCCTACTGATTTCACAAGAGAAGCAAGACCAGTTGTTACTCGATGATACAGTCTTTGGTCTGGCGCAAGTCCGAACAGACTTTGGACATCCCGCTACGTACACAACCAGCCAGGCTAGGGCAGAGGGACATAACGACTTTGAAATGATATCAGCAGCAGTTTTCACTCTGTATTTGTGGAAGATCCAAGGAGCCAAGGTATTTTATCAGCTGTATGTTCGGTTCCTTGAAAAAAAAAAATAAAAAAATAAAAAAAAAATAAAGCAAAAACCTCACATCATATTCTTTCCCTTGATAGGACTTGGTGACATTTTTTAACGGCGAGGCTTTAGTGTTTTGACTTATGAAATTCGGGGATTATGTTGATGGCACTCAAGTTGTTTGTTCAAGATGTCAAAAAACGGTCCATCGAAAAAAAAAAAAAAAAAAAAAACCAAGAATCATTGCAGAAGATGCGAAGAGATCACAGGAGAACTTCAGAAAAGCATTGTTGATGAAGACAATGATGGGGCTCTTCAGACGGATGCGATAGTAGGATTACAACGACCCCATTCCGATATCGAAGACACTACAGACATCTGGACGAGCCTCTGTGGTTCAGTACCAACCAGTCAACGCTCGTGAACATGAACGCCTCTGTGTATCACATCAATGGGCGTGCAATGATTCTCACCCAGAAGCACCGGAGCTCTTGCGATCCATCCTTCCAGAGCCCCACAAGATCTTGAAAGTCGACGCTGACCAGGGAAAGGTCAAAGTCAAAGCAGCAAAATTAGAAAGTCAGTTTCTGGAAACACACGAGCCAGCCACTCCCGAGCACCTCTCTGTAATAAAGGCTGGTGGGATGAAGAACTAACTTGCAGAGCTTTATTCAAGAGACAACTGGACAGACCCCATGCAGAATCACACGATGCTGTTCCATCAAGTGTCCCAACAGAAGAACTTTCCACTCGATACTCCAACCAGCTAAAAACCGTGAAGATGGATGATATTGGAATAAATAAAAAATTAGTGATTGGGCTCCGAGCATTCAACTACTTTGTTACATCTGGAATCAACAACGGCAGTGCCAGTGTCACTGTATATAATTCTTGAGCCTATAAAAGGCTTGTAATAATAATTTAATAAGAATCTCCTTTTGTCTTCACTACCTATTACAGCCAGAGTCGGCACTGGACGGTGCGCACACAGTTTGGAGATCAATGGCAGGACAAGGCTTTTTATCAAAAAAACGACAGAATGTCCTACTCTCAAACGACATTCTCTCCCTTGGTCAATTACGAAGTCACTTCGGCCAATCTTGCTTACAGCAAAACCCTTTAATAAGCACATTTTAAAAGGAAATAAAAAGTAAAAAAAAAAGAGAGATGATTGTTCTTTCGAACAAATCTATAGAACAATGGGCTTAATCTTAGCTGATCATAGCAACAAGGATACTCTACGACTTGCAGTACACCGTAACTTTAAAGTCGTCTGCGATGGATTTACCTCCAATATTTGAAATTAACATTAGCAGGCACCTCATGAAGCCTTTCCGCTCCACCAGATGACCCTGCGTAGCACGATTCAGGAGCGCCGAAGCTCCGCAGCTGTTGCCCTTTTTCTCCCTCTTTTTCTCTCTTTTTTTATTTTGTTTTTATTTTTTATTTTTTCAAACGACATTTTATTGCCTGCCTTGCCTTCATTTATTCCATCCCACTTTTTCGTATTCTTCTGCTGAGTTCTCTTTCCGTGTCGAGAACCTAGGCTTAGGGCAAGGCAGAATGACCTTTTCCAGACTAGGCAGAAGGGTGTGTGAGGGAATAGGAGATATGTGAACAGGAACAGGGATCAAGGAAAGCTTAGGAGTTTTATTCAAGATATCAGGTAAGGAACTGTTCTAGGTGGGATTGTGTTTCTATATATATATGTATATGTGTTTTATTCTGGGCTATGCTTATCGATGGACGTTCTTATCGATGGGCGTTCTTATCGATGGTGGCGCCGACTACGTGGAGAGCTTCTTCTTTCTTGGCTGGTGTGCGACACCATCTACGTCGACTGAAACCGAACAAAGCTCATAAAAACACGATGTCATGTGGACAGGATCGATAGTATTTTCTGAGAAATCGCGTCGTGGTGAAATAGTGGTTTGTCTTTCGTTGAATAGTAGACCGGGAAGAGGGTTGGCAAATATGGACAGTTTCCCGATGGGAACAGTGTCCAAAAACAGATGACCGAATTTGTCGCTTAATAAAAATTCTTCACAGAGATGAAATCGATGGCCTTGATGAATGAAGCAAGAAACCCACATGAACGAGAACGATGTCCGATCTAATTCAATGTTCCATGATTGTTCAATTGGTTTAAGATAGTCAAAGAAGTCGAGAAGGTCTATGAGGCCCAATAAAGTATCTTCAGAAGTAACATTGATTGGTATTGTAGCAGACTGTTTCCCATTAGAGGTCTCGAAAAGCACACAATCGATGAGAAAAGTGCGAAGGGGATTGCGACGTGGACAATCGATAAGAAAAGTGCAAGCGTAATGACACATTTAAAAAAGGAATTGGTATGAGTGTAAAGATTTATCATTTTTGCATCCAAGTTATAAGAGAATGAAAGCTTCACTGCATAATTATATTGCATCGCAAGAAGCGAGGCAATTCCGTGCATAAAATGGGTTGCAATATTGACACTTTATTTTCATCGCAAAAAGTGGGGCAAACTCGTGCATGAATTCCGTCGCATCTAGCGATGCAGGATAAAACAAAAAACAGTTCGTAATATTGTAATGTTTAAACACATGCTCAATTAAAAATGATAATAACCAATTCAAAAGACCATACTTTAAAATGAGATAAAAAGACAAGCCAAACTTCGCAGCAGAATAAAAAACAAATATTTTAACAGTCACGCTTTTCAGGTTGGACAAATTGGTTTCATCTCTTTCATTTAATCATTAATTCATGAACCAATCTCCCTCAACAGCGACACCCACTTAATAGAATGAACGAAGATTCTGAAGACTCCGGAGCTGAAGGCTGCACGTACAACAAATGTGACAAACATCTACCTCTCAATGACATTAGATCGAAGGATCTTAAAGATGATTTCAATGTTACATACAAGGGCCTCAATAAAGAAATGAAAGATCACTATGGCCGGTATCATAAAGACTCACCAGTCATTTTTGACTATCCCATTGAAGATATCACCCGCAAAATGGAGGTCCGTCGAAATTCAGAAGTGGACTGGAACTATGTTTGTGTTTGTCGTAAATTCTATCGGGACCGAGCATCTGTACAAAGACACTTCAAAGACTGTAAATATCTAAAAAAATTGGCACCTTACATTGCAATTCAAATTCAGTCAGGGCCCATTTCAATTCCACTTCCATTCGACGTCCCTCCACCTATTAAACACAAACGAAAGAAAAGTAAAGTTGAAGATAGTGACATCAACACAGATATTATCCAATCAACCACAATGCAACTTTTACATCTTCAAAAGAAGGTTGCGGAGCAAGAAGAAACGATCCAACGAATGCAGAAGGAATTGGAGCAATATTCTCATCAACATGCCGCTATGCAGCAATTAAAACAACAAATGGAGTACATGGAGAGCAAGATCAATGTTGGATATACCATATTGTCACAGTTAAAAAAATAAATCATAATCCAAATAAATGTCTTGTCATATTTTTTTAAGTTCAATTGAATTGAAATAGGACCCTTTTGTACATTATGCAGCAGAAATATTTAACAGATGAAAACAATCACCATTCCGCGACTTCAAGTTTGCATGAAAATAAAAAATATCCCGCGATGCATAAAAGCCGCAACTCCAATCATGCAAAAAACGATAACGCTTTTTTGCGACGGAAGCAAACAACATTAGATGATTGTGTTTGTTTATTTACGTCTGAAAAAAAGTATATTATTTTGTATATGCATGGAGTTGTTGAACTTTATACGCCGCAAAGAGTGTGTTATTTTCATGCAAACATGAAGTCGGGGTCTGATGATTGGTTTCATCTGTTTTTTTTGCGCGCACCGTCATAAATGTGCAAAGATGACTCATATTTTGAGGTGCGGCGTAAAAAAAAGATGAAACCAATCATCAGACCCCGACTTCATGTTTGCATGAAAATAACACACTTCCTGCGGCGCAATAAAAACAGCAACTCGATGTATACACACAAAAATATACTTTTTTGCAGCGTAAACAAACACAACGAGATTCATGCATCAAGATGACTCATTTTTTGAGATGCAAATAAAAGACAAAACCAATCACAACACAACAATGTCATTTTTTGTGACGAGATTATAAATAGAACCAATCATCACTCTGCAACTTTATGCATATCTAAAAGAGAGTCATTTTCTGCGGCGTCAGCGGATAAATAAAACCAATCACCACACTGCAACGTTGTGCGTGCACAAAAATAAAACGATTTACTGCGGTGCAAACAAAACGTCATGATGTCTATTTAAAAAATAACAGATCTCGAATGTAATCTCATCCACCTCATGCCTCTTGCTAATCTCACCCAAAAGATAAGTATTTTTTCATCGTTTCAGAAGCCACTTGGTAATCGATGTTTCATCGTTGTGCTGGAGGAATGAAAAGCTGCTCCAATTAGGGACCGGTGCTTTTGTCATTTCAATTTGAAGTGATTAGAAGCTGTATGTTGCGATCCATTGAGTGAATGTAACAAAGAACATTCTTCTAAAAAGCACACCATCAGTGAAAAGCTACTCCCAGGAGGGACTGGTGTCCTCTGTGCATCCTTTTTGCTACTGCGAAGGCAATGTTGAAGAGGACTAAGGCGTCTTTGTGACAGCATTGCACCGAAAAACACTGAGAGATGGAAAAATAATTCGAGTTTTAATTTTTTTTTTTATTCATGCATCTAACTTAATTAAATCGTCTATGATGAATCTAACAATTAGGGAGGAGGGTATCCCAATGAATCTCCTTTAGATCAAGCACAATGATCTAGTTAGTCTGAGGCGAATTTAATAAATAAATATGTTTTGAAATGAATATCGCTTTTTCTATTCGTGCAACTGGGTTGCAGTATGATAATGAATTGGTACATTTTCAATTCAATAAAGTATTGTAAATATTTTTTTCATTGGCTGTGAAGCCAACCGTAGTAAATAAAGTTATTAGAGTCCTCGCCAAAAAGTCATAAACTGGATATATTTTTCAGGCTTTTAAATTGAATAGAATACCTCCACTTTTAGACGCAGGAAAAATACGTACAAACTCAAAATTTTAATTTTTACGAGAGCGTTTTCGATTGATAAGAGGCTCGTCCTCAGACTCGCTATCCTCTATCACATTAAACATGCTTCCAGCATCTAGCGTAAGATCCACTATCTCAGGGCCTAGGGTAACAGCTTCAGCTCGCTCTTGATTTAGTACTCTAATGAGTTCTGCATCCCACTCACTATTGTCGACTTTGAAAGTGTCACTAAGGTCCACAATAGGCTCGTTTTCATCAAAAACCTCTTGATAAACCTCTTCGACTATTTCTTCCTGTGCATGACTCCTCTCGTTATAGTATCTCATGCCAATTTTCACAGACTTCTTCCATACAGAGTAAAAGACTTTACACGGAATCTGGGAAAACAAGCTTAGTAGCCTTTTTTTCAGCAAGATGGATGTCATTGTCACCATTGCTCTCGAGGCAATTATGTTTTTCACAACTGCCCAGATCTTCTCAATAGGTTGTAGCTCGCAATGGTAGGGTGGAGTCTTGAGGATTTCATGTCCACCATTCTCCTGGGCTATTTTACTGATAGAGAAATACGACTCATCAGGAAGAGCGTTAACCAATTCCATAAGCTCGTTTTTGTTCAGTGCTTTTCCATTTTCCCTTGTTGGAATAACAATCTCCTTGCCCGTGAGCCACTCTTTGATAGTTTTCACAGTGTCGCTCTTGGTTGGTTTCCTGTTTTTCTTGTGAAAGTGATATGAAGCGCCATCAAGATGGATTTTACAAGGGCCAAGTCCCATCTTATTGAGATTCTCACAAAGTCGCTTAAAGATACTATCGAACAAACTAGCGTTGAAGTTTCCATGATAATCGTGATCTGTTGCCACGACCCCTGCATTCCTGATCTCCTCAGGTACGTCATCCCACAGTTCAGCCTCCTGCTCTTGGCCTTTTTTTGATTGAGGCTTTGGTCCCTTTGATGGCCAAACATACACGCTATCATTAACGAATTTGCCTTCAACCTTTTTAGCAGCTTCATCATAATATACAATGAAGGCTGCAAATATAACCATGATTGGTTTCCTTCCTGCATCGTTAATGACACCACCGCCACTTTGCACCCAACGTCTTGCTGCAGCATGGTCAATGTGGCAGTAAGACTCGTCCAAGAAGACCTCTGGAGTCCTAGGCACCCAACTGCCGTCTACTAGTTTTAAATTCTTAAGACGGCGCTTCAGGTAAGTAGCTCGGAAGGCAATATTCTCCTTGGAGTCGTGCAAAAAGTTCTGTCGGATCCCTTTGCCCCAATACAGTCCCATTTTACGGAGGTCGCGAGTGATTGATCTTGCTGATCTGTCGATTTCAAAGTCTTCTTTCAGTTGGTTTGCAATTAAACCCGCAGAATTAGGAGTCCCGCTCTTGTTTGATTCAACTATGATATTCAGCACCTTCGAGTTTAAATCCCCGTCCGCTTCTTTTTTAGGGCGTCCAGTTCTTCCTCGCCCTGTCATTTCGACGATGCCTGTTTGTGCATATTTAATTGCTGCCACACAAGTGTTTCTCCCTACACCCATCAGAATCGAAAGGTCCATTGCTCTGTTGTCTGTCTTCTTAAACCAGTCTTGGACTGCTGGTGGCGCATTCATTATAGCATTATATGTATGAGCTATTATCGCGTATTCGTCTTTAGTAACGGACGCTTTACTGCGTGTAAATGCCTTTTTTCTCTCTCCAGTTTGTTTGTCTGACAAGAATGGATTTAAATCGAGGGTATTGGGACGCTCACCGAATTGCTCTAATGAGGTAGAACTCCTTGGCTCGTTTCTGGGAGGAGTAATCCATTGATATTCGGTAGGAGACCTAATAGGGGAGAGATCGGCTTCAGTGGGCAGTTGTGGCGATCTTCGAGGCGGAGTGAAGGGTGTGCCTGAAATCATTTGGTCGATATTTCCTTCGCTATACCAACCACCAAGATCGTTGTATGAGAGTAGGTTATTGATATCAAAAGGGAAAGACATTTTACTATCTGAAGATTGCGAATAAAGTAGGTTGACAATGAGGATGAGATCGAGAATGAGATTGAGAATGATGTTGCCCATTTCTCGCAAATTCTAATATTTCTAATTAAAAACGAAGATTGAATTGGTTTGGTGGCCATGCATCTAATTCATTCCTTCTATTCAAAAAATATATGCATTTTTGTCTTCGTACGTAAATTTTTATTTTTCAAATTTTTAATTCAAATTGAGTATTGTAAAATATATCCAGTTTATGACTTTTTGGCGAGGACTCCATAAGCTTTCTTAAATGGTTGAATTGAAATTGAATAATCTACTGCTCCAATACTCTACAAGCGGCATAAAAAAAGCAATATAAATTTAGGGCACTACCAAATGCCATCTTTAAAAAAAAACTTTCCCATTATTTTAAATTTTTAAATTAAAACCATATCTCATCGCATCCATTCCTTTTCATTTTTCAAAGCACCACATCATGGCTCGCCGTTCACAGTTCTTTATGGAATGCTCAGTCGAACACTGGTCAGACTTGGCCATGTTTATCTCGTACTCAGTAAAAAATAATCCTTCTGAGCCACCAGAGAAGCATCTGAAGTTGTATCAGTCTTCTCTTCGTGCAATATTGAAAGATTCAGCTTCGCCTGTGGAGCAAAAGGATATCGCTGAGAAGCTGGTCGTTGAAGTGAAGGTTAGTGAAATGAATGTTGACATTCCTTGCAATCTAAAAAGTAGTACCATTAAGTAATTCAATGATACAGCTAGAGCACATGCGAAGCGCGTGGGAAGCTACTGGAGAAAAGTCTTCGAAACGGAAGGGGGATGGGACAGAGGGGAGGGTCTCGAGATTCGCCGAGCCATGGCTTTCCTTCCTGTATCATTTGAGAGCTAAGGTATTTTTCTCGCCTCGTTAAAACAAGATGTATTGAGATATGGGATGAAAACACATTTTAATCTTTAGTTGTGTTGGTAGGTGAAAGGACAGCCTCAAAGCACCATCGTTAGGTCTACAGACCATCTGAGCAAACTGCATGTTAATATTTATGACTTTGTCTACGCTCGTCTGTCTCAAAAGGAACAGCTGTCAAGAGTGGTCGAGCTTGATGTATGGTATGTTTGCTAAATATTTTTTATTTTATTTTATTTTATTTTATTTTATTTTATTTTTAATATTGCCACAAAGGTCAATTTGCCAAACATGGTTCTATTATGTGAACATACGTAGTGTTGCACTTTCCGGAATTATAAACGCAAGAATGCAGGATCCTCAGATTTACTTTGATATAGGCCTATTGAACGAGATTCGAGAGAAATGCGTACAACTAGATTTCTCCGATCCCAGTAAAATTGATGGACTAGAAGAGGCAATGGAGGAGCTAAAAAAAGCAGCTGAAGTGACTGAAGAAGATGGAGTTATAAATTTAAATCGACTTTCAGATAAGATGAATGAGTTGATGGTAGTGAAGACTGAGATCCATGGTGGGATCCGCAAGGCAATTTTTTCTGCAGTTTATTACCTGTAAGTTGGTTTCAGAGATGACTAAACCATTTATGGATATAGTTCTACTTAGGCGAAAGGCGAAGGACTTAACAATGTTTTTTGAATAACACTAGGGCGTTGAGAAAGCCGAGCTCGTCGATGTCAGAATCCAAGGTTGTTTCCATTTGGGAGTTTGTTCTAAGTTGTTTCACTGGCCATAACCTGAATTTTGAAAGGTAGGGGAGTGACAATTGGCGGATCCCATGAAGATAGTTACTATGGCTTGGAGGAAATATACTGATATTACACTCAAAATATATTTATTAGTGGGGAGCTTGTTAGCAAAGCATCCAGATACCAGAGCGAGATCCTCGGAGAAGAACTGAACACGGAAACCACCACCTCAGTTTACGGGAAGAAGGTCGATCTACAGTTACGAATTGAAGATGATTTAGAACTGAACAATAGTGAGTTCAAGAAGTGCTCCACTTCTCAACAGAAGCTTGATTGCCAGTTCAGAAAAAATTTATTGATCAACCATTCCATGATGCTGCATTTGGAGGACAAGATTGGATGGTCCTGGGAAGATTCGCATTTATTAGCAATGGATGTTCATGGTAAGTAACATGATAGACTTTTATTTACGGAAATATATCCATCATCATCCACCTTCTCATCAATCAATTTGTGATAGGATGGACAGCAACTGTTTTCTGCTTGAAGCGCATGGAGGATGTCTTTGTCTGTGATTTAGTGACAGACCATGCCCTCGTGTTGCCCCACTGCAACACGTCATGGAGCGAGTTCCTTTTGGGCAAAGGCGAGACGATTGCTGCATTATGGAATTACTCGGTAGGTCAATGTTATATTACAGAAGAAAATATCATTCAAGTTCTCATTACGAATACCATCAATGCTTTAATAGAAATACTTGGAAAGCTTTGTGAGAGATGCTCGGAAGATGAAGTTTAGGCATGAAAACAAGAAAGCCACGGCATATCGTCGTTCGATTATATGCCAGCCAAAGTCTTTAGGACAATTTACAATATTTCCCCCAACAAAGTCCCGTTCAATGATGGATGCAAGTTGTAGCCTGACTTCCAGCAATTCAATGAATGAAGTATAATAAACAGCATGGGCAAGATAAATAGAATATATTTTTAAAATACAACCTTTGAATCAAAGTTTAATCAAGAATGAAGGCTGATCCAATGAATAATTTTTTGAATTGAGGTTATTTTATCCAATTTAAAACTTGAACATTGTAACAATGAAATGTGTAGTTTTTTTGCTCCACAAAAAGTGGGGCATTGTAATGCATGATATGCGTCGCATCCTAGCCATAACAAGGGGTTTTTGTTTGCGTCGCAAAAAGAGAAACATTGTGATGCATGATTTGAGTTGCGCCTTGCCATAACAGAGGCTCTCTGTTTGCATCGCAAGCAAAGAGGTATTGTTATGCATAATATTCGGCGCATCATTAGAGACGCTTTGTTTGCGCCGGGAAAAGTGGCATGAAGGGAGTCGCAGTTTAGTAGCGGCAAGAAAGAAAAGTATAAAAAGATAATTTGCAACCCTCAACACCCCCAACAATCAAAACATTAACTCACTCAAATGGCAGCAAAATCCCTACCACACCAAATAAAAACAAAAAACACTCCCATTCAGAATGAACTGGACAAACCGCTTGGTGCGCCTTTATCAAGTGCTTGTCCATCATCAGAGGCAGGCCCATCCTCAGAAGCAGAGACAGATCCATCATCAGAGGCAGGCCTATCCTCAGAAGCAGAGACAGATCCATCGTTAGAGGCAGATCCATCGTTAGAAGCGGGCCCTGCAAAGATTGGAAACAATCAAGGTGCAAAGTCATTAGCGGAGGAAAGCTTTCCATCAAATCCTGACAAAAAAGTCCACTTTCTAGAGCAAGAGCTTCCATCCCTAGTAGATTCAGAAACAGATGAACGCTGGTCGAGTAGATCTCTCCTTACGGTGCGAAAGAAAGAACTCCGATTCTTTTCACAAGCCATCGTGAAACAGTACAAGAGAATGTTGGACCCTGAGGCGGAAGAGGGAGACCGAAAAAGGGCGAGGCAGACGCTCAATGACCTGGAAACACGAGAAGCAGTGACCCAAGCCCAATTTCAGATCGAGCAATTAACTCGATATTCTGAGCAATACCATCAGGCGCTGACAGAACGACGCGCAAAAATGCAATAGAAATGTAGAAACATAGAAATAAGAAAAAAAACGAAAAGCATATGTTATATTAATAAAAACTTTCAGTTGTTGGTTGTTGCTACAGTATATAGTCCTGAGCCTATAAAAGACTTGTAATAGTAGTTTAATAAAAACACCTTTTGTCTTAATCCCTGGAAAATAAGACATGCTGAAATTTATATTATATAGACTAGGAGTGTTAAATTAATATCCTTTTGTACGTGTACATATGTACGTGAGATCTAATATGCATTTAGACGAAATACTAGACGGGCGACCCGTGGCTTCGCTCACGGTCGCTCCAGTCTAGGCTTTGCCTCGTGAGGCTCATTTACCCTCGTTGGGGTTCCAATAAAATTGAACGTTTTTGACACAAAGGTTTCTTTTTTATTTATTAGGTATTAAATATTAAAGTCTTTTTTTTTTATTGACATTTTGTTGTTCTTCAAACAAAAGAGTTTCTGCGTCGGCTCGCTTTTTCAATAGATCATATAAAGCGGCATGGAAACGAAGGTTTTGGGCAGCCCACGGGGCGGTAGCATCGGTGCCTCTCGGCGTGCTTACTGTTTCTTCAAGTGAAAGCGAATGAACAGAGAGTTGATCTTCCCGATCTGATTGATGGACGGGGCGTGTAGGAGAGAGCGGTCGAGAGTGAAGGGGAGAGCGAGAGCGAGAGCGAGGAGGATGTGGGGATTTTTGGCGTGGGGAAGATGGCTTTAGGAAGCTCTGGCAAGGGGAAGATGGCTGTAGAGGACTCTGGTGAGGGGAAGAAGAGTGCGTGGGAGATAGGTTTCTGGGGGGGGTCTGGCGGCGCCGCTTGTTTTGATCGTCGTGTTGTTCCTGGTCGTCGTCGTCCCAATTAAGCGAACGCTTTTGAGATTGGGGAATTGTATCAAGGCTATCATCATCACATGACTGATTGAAAAAAAAAAAAAAAAAAAAAAAAAAATTATTACTTTGTCTAGTCTTCACGTACAACCATATGACTATGATAGAGGCTGCCTTTACCTGGGAAGCAGGAGGGAATTGGTCGATTGAGGAGGATGAGGGCGAAAGTATTGTCTAAAAGAACGATACCAAATTCTCCTTAGTGTTAGTCAATTATAACTCTGATTCTCTGTTGATACCCAAGACTCAAAGTTAAATAGAAACTTACTTCACTGGTATTTGGGGTCAACACAGGTACTTTTACAGAGATCGTCTGACGACCTTGAGAACTTTTGGCAGTCTTGGCAGGCTTGGAAGTCTTGGTAATGGTGGAGGTGGAAGACATAATGTATGAATGTACGTGTGTGAGAGCGAATGAGGAGTGTGTGTGAACTTTTTTTTTGTGTGTGTGTGTGAATTTTTGAAAAGAAAAAAAAAAAAAGAGGAAAAGATGGAAGAATCTAAATTTTCAATTACAAAAACTGGTATCACAGATGACGTTTACTCTACAGAGATGTACAAATACACTTCTACTATTACAAAGATATACTAAAATACAGATACGCTAATTTACACTGATCATACAACATGTACACTAATTTACACTGGTCTTACAGCTATATACAATAAATAACATTTCGGCCGAGTCGTGATGATGGATACAGATAGAGCAAGGGTAGTAAGAGCTGGAGATATAGATATCGTGGGAACAGCAAGGCATAGGCACAGTAGGAACAACAGAGACAGGGATAGTAGGGACCAGAGACAGAGGGGCGGCAGGGACTGAAGATGTCAGCGACTTTTTTTTTTTTTTTTTTTTTCAATCTTGAAGGACTTCTTGGTACACAATATTTCGCGTGTATTTACAAAGATCCCTTGAATCACCTTTGATAAGTACCTTCAAATGCTTGGGGTCTGTACAGCGAGAAAGAGCCACATAGAGCTGGCCATGACTAAAAACAGACCGTGGGAGGTATATGCCAACATTCTGAAGAGTTTGCCCTTGAGCCTTATTGATGGTCATGGCGAAGGCAGGTTTCAAAGGGAATTGGCGCCGCTGGAATATGACTGGAGACGATCCATCATCAGTTGCATTGATATTGATTCGAGGGATGTAATGGATCGCTCCTTTGAATATTCCCGTCATTATTTCAGCTTCGATGACTTTGTTTCCAAGTTTATGCACAATGAGACGCGTACCGTTACAGAGACCTTCCTTTGGGCTCAGGTTCCTTATGAGAATGATGGGCTGACCGATCTTTAATTGCAGTATACTGGGAGGCATTCCGGGAGGATTTAAAGAATTAAGAAATTCCACAGTGTATGTTGCTGCTACTGGGTCGTCAATATCAGGGATGGAATCTTGCCCATGATAGACCTTTGGAACGGTATGACTTGAAAATATCTCTGTTGCCAAATTGTTGAGCTTGTTGACATCCTCATTAAGTGTAGATAGAATAGCGCGCCCTTCCCAGTAACTTAGTGAGGGATTAGGATGAGCCTGCAAGTATGGGTATATCTCCGCAATGAGGTGCTTTTCATCAGAGTTATTAGGGTCAGGCTGCGTAGAGCTAAGAATACACTGTTCAGGCAGCTTGATGTAGTCGTTCTCTGGCCCAATCTGCCTTGTAGACTCTGTTCCATTTCCTACTCGAAGCAAGTAATCAATGAAGCCTTGAGCCTCTGGATTTGAGGAGCATTGTAAAATTCTCATGTTTATGGTGAGTCTTAGCGTTTTCACATCTCTCCAGAATGTTGATTTCTTCAAGCAAGCGTGCACAATATCTCCTCTTGACCCATTTCTTACAACAGGAAGCACTTGACGGAAATCCCCTCCAAAGACCACAATTTTTCCGCCAAATGGCGCATCAACCTTTGTGAGATCTCTTATAGTCTTATCAACAGCCTCACAAACATGGCGATGCTGCATAGCAGCTTCGTCCCAAAAAATCACATCTGTTTCTATGATCCTTTTTGCGATAACTTGCCCGTGCTTGATGTTGCAGGTCGAGTTCGGGTAGATAGGGATAGGGACCTTGAAAGCAGAGTGGGCAGTGCTTCCCGAATTTAAGATTAATGCAGCTATTGCTGAGGAAGCTACCACAATGACTTGCTTTCTTAAGATGCCACGGATATAATCAATTGCTGTATTAAAGAGAAAGGTCTTTCCTGTTCCTCCGGGTCCATCGATGAAAAACAATCGCTTTGTATCCTTGCCTTTTCCGACAGCTCTTTTAATCTCAAGAAAAGCAGCCAGCTGATCCTGATTAAACTTAATAATATTGGTCTGGGCTCGGGTTGCAAGTTGGTCAAAAGTCTCTTCTAGATCATTGCTGTTTTGTAGGTGCAAATCCTCAATCTCTTGTGGCATCTCTGGAAAGTCAGCTAGACTGGAATCCATCCCTTTTAATATATTGTCGATCTCATAGAGGGCTTGTTTCTCAGCTCTCTGGCGGAGGAAGTCGTCGTACCTGTGGATATCACCATCATTATTATCATCATCATCCCTAATAGACTGACGTAGAGTATGAAGCTTGTCCTCAGAAAGGGCCGAAGCAAATTCATCCCATAGACCACGAGGTTGAGAAATGTTGCAATGGTAAAGGAGCATTGAGAAAAGATGACGCAGTCTTTTAGGGAATTGAAACTGGCATGCTTCTCGAAGGCAGTCTCGCCATTCGCTGTCGTCTTGCATATAACCAAGCGCTACAGCAGCTTCCCTAAAGGTGCCAAAGAGCCTATCATCCACTTTGCGGAGACACTCAAAGCTTTTTGCTCCCTTTTTGTGCAAAAGCAAGATTCTGAGAGAGAAAAGCTCACGGTCTTTAGGATGAACAACATACATTCGGGTTACCGTCTTGTCCTGCCTGTCATGTATTCTTGGTATCCATATTGGTGCCTGACCTTTTTTAGCTTCCCATCTGTAATGCAAGGGTATCTGAGGGTATGTATACTCATTTGCATCAGGATCTCTCCTATTCAGAGCAAACCATCCCATGAGCTGACTATTGGTATTTCGCTCGTCAAGCAGTGCGGCGAGGTTGTCGTCTTCACTAAAAATAACATTTTGATGGCCCTCGAGGTGGACTTGAAGACGTATGACTGTGTGTGACAGATCAAACATCTTGAACGCAAAGATCCTCCATATTGATTCACAAGCAGAGATATAGCGTGCATCCCAGTATTCCTTGATCTCATCGTGAGACTGTAACTGCTGCTGCTGCTGCTGCTGCTGCTGCTCTTGATCATTTCCTCCAACTACAGTCACCCTTGCACGATCTTGTCCCTTGTGCACATACTTGTACAAATACTTTACTGATGTGATTGAAGAACAAATCTCGACATTTATATGAGCGTTGTACTTCGTTAATAAATAAGGATTGTATGGCACAACCCAATGATTATCGACAGCGAAGTCGATATTATTGCGGCGGACCATATGTGCCCCGGTATCACGTCGCCTATAGAACGGATAGCCATCTTCTCTTAGAACTGACTCCGCTAAGAGTTGCCGTGGGTATTTCTTGGTGCAGACATTGGACTCCATACAGGGAGATTTGATTCCAGGACCGCAAGGGCCATGGATCATTGTCGTCATCATAGTTTTGTACAAATTAGGGTGTCTAAGCGGGTCAGGGATCTCAGCGCAAACGATGTTGTCAATATCCTGAGCTGTACGTGGCTTATCTTCTTCGTCTAGGGTCAGTAGGATATGAGCGTGTGGTAGTCCTCGCTTTTGGAATTCGGTTGCAAGACAGTATCCGATAACTTTTCCAAGGACATATTTTTCAGTAAGGTCATGCATAAGAGCCTCGAGCTTGACCTTGAATATCCTATCCAACAGATCGGGACGATCATTTGGGGTCTGTCCAGCATACCCCTGTCTTGCAATTTCATGTTGAATCTCTGGCCATTGTGGATTGCAAGTGAAGGTAATAAATAGATCCGGCCTAGCTACATGTTGAGTCATAGCCATTGAGTCTTGGAATCGCTGTTGCATATCACGAGGTCCTCCAGTAATGGAAGAAGGTAGGATGATACTTTTGCCAATGTTAGACGCTGATGATACATTATTATCGTGGACTGCATCAACGATGCCCTTATAAAGATCTGCACGAAGCTTTACTTGATGCATTTCTATATATCGAAGTCGATCGCTCATAATTTTGCACTCTTGGTCGACGCAATATTGATGGCTGAGACGACCAAACATCCAAAAGTAGCAACGGTTATCTGTGTCGCTCATTGGTTGTGCTTGCAATCGATAAGAATAGAACTCACGTGCAGATATCCTCTTGTCAGCGTCAGCGTCTTGCCCATGTCGGTGGTAACAATTATAGGTCCAGCCAAGATCGCCCTGGGGATGAAGAAGAACGTATGCCAAGGGATCGTAGGCATCTTGTGTTTCAAAGATTCTTTTCAACCCTGTGCCCTTACTCTCGACAATAATATCTCTGGGATCGGTCGCGTTTTCTTCGCCAGGGAGCAAAGCAGCAATCTCAAAAGAGGAGGGTAGATCATATTGTCGGCGACTTCGGTCACTTTTTAAAACAAAGCTCTTCTCAAGGACTGCATGGCCGCCCTCACGCTCGCGGATGGTTTTTGTAGTGCTGAGCGAACGGATTTCTGCAATCTTCCAACCACTGCTGAATTCTTCTTAAGAGGTCTATCCTTAGATCGTTATCAAATATTTCTCTCCGACGGATAGCCTGTTCATTAGGGTCGAGGAAGTAGATCTGTGCAAATTTTGCTGGCTGATTGTCTGGAGGTAACAAAGACCCGATCTTGTGAACCACCGTTCCGTTGATCCGGAATGTATATACACCACTTTTAGCATCCGCAAGTTCATGGTCGTAGTTGGCGCCCATCGAAACATACGAAAGTGAAGAGTTGTACTTTCTGATGTGGGACTGGAAGTGGCGGCTTTCCTCAGAGTTGCCACTAATGAGGTTAAGTAGCTGAGGAATTGGACGAAGTTTAGGGAGCCTGATTTTGTTATTCTTACAGCAGAGCGAGAACTCTGGTTCATGGATGGTGGAGGCTTTAAGACGCTCTTCAAGCCATAAGAACGCCTTACAGTGCCTGCATTGGGTCATTTCATTAATCGTAAGCCTGTGTGAGACAGGATCGATGCTGTTGCCAGTCACCATCTCTTCACGAAATTCATCTATTGTGACATAAGCGATGCCTCTTGAATTGATTCTGGCTCTGTGTCTATAGGGAGGGGTGCTGAAATATACATTTATGAATGAAATAAAATAAAGCTGATAATTTTTTTTTTTTTTTTTTTTTTTTTTTTTTTGTACCTTATTGAAAATTGCCCTTAGAAAATAATAAGTACTTACCGGAAATCAGTCTCAGTTTCTGCCTCTTGACGGGAAGCTCGATCCCGGCGTTGCATATCTTCGCGGACATTTAGGGCTTCTGAAGATTGATCTGCCGGTACAGCAGCCCTATATCCATGATTTTACCAAAAGACGTAGTTAGTATCCAATAGTCATAGTCTTTTAATATATATTAATATATATATACTCATATTATTCATATATATTAAGATTTATTCAGCCATCTCATCTAACTACCTATTTTCAGGCAGAGTGGCTCGGATTTGAATGTTCTTTGGATTGAGAGGACATGAACTATGTGTACTCCTTGAGTGCAAAATGCTCCCGCATTTGCATGGTTTATTTGCTAATCTGGGGTCGGTGTATGGTATTATTATTATGTACATAATGATATATATAGTACAATATGATAATAATATATAGAAGAAAATAGTAGTGATAATAAGCTTGTAAGTGCGTAAACGTTTATACCACATACAATATTTAGTATCATATTGTATGGCTTAGCAATAAAATGGAGTTTGTTTGGACATACCGATAGTTCGGGCATGCTGTATTCGAAGATCTTTTGTGATCGGTGCGCCCGCAACTACGACAGGGTGTGACATTTGTAGTGGGTAAAGAGGATGACATGATATTTTGGTTTTAATAGAGGAGTTTTCTAAGGAAATGTTGGGTATAAAGGATGAAGTGATATTTTGACTTTGATGGAGAAGTTGTCGAAGGAAAATAAACATGATGATTTTGGATCAACACTGCTTTTTTTTTTTTTTTTTTTTTTTTTTTTTTTTTGATCCCTTATAATATTTACCGCTTTTTTCCCATTACTCCACCCAATACTTTTATGCCAACTATCTCTCGAACCGTTTATTGCATAAATTTGTGCAATAACCTTATTTTTTCTTAGTTTTTCAAATATTCATTAAGTTGCCCCCTTCAACACCCAGCCATTCTTATTCTCGCTCAATATTGTTATTCTAAAACGCTGATTGAATTGATTTGTGGCTGATTTCTACATCCTCCCTTTGTTACAAGCAAATTAATTGGCTGCAACGCTTTCGAAAAATGTAAGATTGTGGTGTTACGGTTTAAAGGATAGATCAAATATAAGGTTAGTGAAGGACCTTTTAATTATTATTATCATTAAAAGTCTTTTATATAGACTTAAGGTCATCAACACTGTAACAACGATTATCAAAAGACTGGAGATCGTTTATTTCTCTAATGATGCGAATGCCCTCTCAACCTCGTATGGATCCAAGTCGCCAAGTCTTTCCCACTCTTGTTCCCATTCTTGTTCATACGGATCTTCTTGCCGAGCCTTTTGGTCTTCCTTAGGGGCAAAAGGAGAGGTTTCGTTTTTCTCTGTCTTGATTTTTTTTATAGTGGTGGGTGAGGAACTCGCTTCATCTCCTTGCTTTCTTTTGCCTCTTGCTAGGATGGCTGGAGATGAAGATGAGGCTTGAGTCCTCTTCAAAGCTTGACTTCTTGTCGAATGAGTCGAATAAACTTTTGTTACAGAGTGGTTCTCCATGTTAAAATGTAAAAAGTTTGAGATATATGAATGATTTGAGTGAAAGTGTAAATTATTTATGAGAGATGGTCTGAGTAAAAATGTAGCAGAGCGAGCTAGAGTTATGGTATTGTAGGTGGATGTTCAGTTCATTCATCTTTATTTTATAGTTGAGAAAAAAAAAAAAAAAAAAAAAAAAGAAAACTAAAGAAAACGAAGGCGTATGGAATATCAAGCATTTTGCTGGGCGCATGCCATGTCTCTCTATTGAAGAACGAACAGCTATGGAATGTCAAGCATTTTGCTGGACACATGCCATGTCTTTCTATTAAAAAATGAAAATGTATATGAATGAAATGTTAAGCATTTCGTGGGGCGTAGGTCATGTATAAATGTGTTTCTCTACATTATTATTTTAGAAAACTAACACGATATGCAGTGGTCCTCTTGACTTAATTATAGTCATGTTTCTTAGCACTCATGGCACAAGTTAGATTTGTCTGTAAGGGAAAAGGAGCTAAAGTGGAGAAGGAAGGTTTCTTATAGAAAAAAAGCGCGTTCCATATGAAATATCAAACATTTCACAGGAGCATTGTCATTGTCATTGCACAGACCATGTTTCTCTATGAAAATTAATTTGTTAAAAAATAAATCTCTTTGTTTTCTAACAGTCATGTTTCTGTCATATATTTTTATCATGCCACATGAATGTATCGACACTTGAAGGAATTCATGTTTGAGGTTAAAGCATATGATATGATCAAGGCTTATAGGTAGTGTTTGAAGGAGCTCAATTGTTGTTTTATTATTATTACTATATTATTATTATTATTATTATATAAAATAAAATTCTTATTATTATTTTTATGCATCAATGGTTCAATGGCTGATGGTAGAAGCAGGCCATGATTGAAGGCTGATTATTTTTTTTTTTTCAATGCATCATGATTGAGATGATTGAGATGATTGAGATCTGGTTGGTTATTATTTGTAATGTAAAGCCCAAAGTTGCGCTCTCATGATGATCGCTCATAATCATGATTGAGGTCACATGATGATTGGGTCACATGATTGAGGTCCGATGATTGAAGTATGTATGCTCATTTCCTGAAGGGCACATGAAAATGGAATGACATGAAATGAAAATGGAATGACATGAAATGAAAATGGAATGACATGAAATGAAAATGGAATGACATGAAATGAAATGAAATGAAATGGAATGGAATGGAATGGAATTTATTTTAGATTTATGGACGGACGTATCATAGAGCAAGAATTATGAAACTATGAAATGAAATATATCATATAATAGAGCAAGATCTATGAAATATATCATATAATAGAGCAAAGATCTATGAAACGAGTTATTACGATAAGGGAGAAACCATTTCGACTTTAGTATATAGATGAGCTTTTATTCATTATAAAAATGGTAAAAGTAATCATTTAGACTGAACATGATTCAATTGGCTCTTATAGAGCTATGGCGTCATTCAATGACACCAATGGCGGGATGCTAAAATGCAAGAGAACCTTCACCAGCAATGGCTTTTCAATGTAACGAGATGAGCATGGTAAATGAATGTCAAAAAGCGTGCAATCAGGGCTCCTATTCGAGACCCGAATGAAATTCGAATGCATAAATGAAAGGGTGAAAAAAATATTTTACAGTGCATTCGAATCCTATTCGAGTCTCGAATAGGAGCCCTGCGTGCGATTGGTAGTCATTTTTGCGGTCTACTGTAATTTGCTTCTGATTAAAAATTCATTTCCGATTTAATTTGAGTTGGTATGATTTAATTTACGTCCGATTCAATTTACTTCCATTTTAAATTTGTTTCGGATTTAAATTAGTTTCGGATTTAATTTAATTCCATTTTAAATTAGTTTCGGATTTATTTTAATTCCATTTTAATTTATCTCCACTTTAATTTATCTCCATTTTAATTTATCTCCATTTTAATTTATTCCCACTTTAATTATTTTCCAGTTTAATTCAATCCCAAGTTAATTAAAATCCCATTATTTTAATTCCAGTTTAATTTTATTCCAATTTTAATTTTTCCCAAACTTGCTGTACATCTTAGCTTAAGGGCTAAAATATACACAAAAGAAGATAGGACAGAATGAAGAGTATCAAGAGAGAAAGGTTATAAACTGAGTTAAAAGATAAATGGCAAGATGAACTTACATACACTATTATGCAAAACTGATTCATTAATTCATTCCCATGTGCATTTCTTTTTTTCTTTCCTAGAAACCGTATATGCATACACCACTCATACTTTGGTTTAATGCGTTGTGACATTAGCTTGTCTCATTTGGAAAGCTAATGACTTTTTTGTTCATTCAGGTCATTGAATCAGTTTCACATGTGCTCATTCGGTGGCCAAAGATCTTTATACTTTTGTGAGCCATAACCTTACATCAATAGATAGTATTCCAACCATGGGCATCACTGACAGCTTGGAGTCTCTTATGGATACCTATGATGAGTTTGCGGCAGAAGTCCACTGGGATCCTGTACCATTCAACCGATATTCGCTCCCATAGTTCATCACAGCTCTTAGCTCGCTCCGGATACCTAGAGAGCCGCCTATCCAATTCTGCCCACATGTGTTCAATAGGGTTGAGGTCAGGGGATTGTGCTGGCCACTCTAGAAGTGTACCTTCCTCTTCTGTCAGATGTACTGACTCCAAATACTTCCTAACAATCTTCGCCGTGTGCTTCGAGTCATTGTCGTGCTGAAAGACGATATCGCTTTTAGTTAGGCCCCAGTCATCAAGCGACATCTGTAGATCCTCCTGCAGTAGTTTGATGTAAAGTTGTGCGTCCATATTATTGTCAATCTTTGCAATGTATCCAGGTCCGTACCATGAGAATCATGACCACACTTTAACATTACCACCCCCAAACTTGACAGTGCCTTGCACCGACCTGCGAGTGAGGCGTCCCGGGTTGTCGTCCCAGATCCACTGCACGCCATCAGAGCAGATTCGGTTTATTTTCGATTCATCTGACCAAATAACCTTTTTCCAATCTTCCAGAGTCCATTCCTTATACTTTTTGATAAAATGCAAACGAGCTTTAATATGCCGTCGAAGTAAAGCTGGCTTATGTACACGCCTCTTTGCTGTCAATCCTAACTCCTTGAGCCGTCGTCTAACGGTGGTCTCAGAAACAGCCGCTGGTATGAGCTGGTTGGCTCTGACGGTGGCCTCAACTGCAGACTTGAGTGTACCTCGTTTCATGTTCACCTTAAGATACTGCATGATACCTCTAGGTACTTTCCTTGGTCGACCGCCTTTATTGACTGGCATGTGCTCCTTATTATGTGCATAGATCCTGGTGGCCGTCGCTATTGATATACCAACACTAGCAGCAGTTTCTCTAGTAGACATGCCTCCCATCATTAACCTCCTGGCTTCGTTGACTTTCCTTTGTGGAGTGGGTCTCATATTTTGTGAAGGTATAGTTAAGAGAGAGTGAAGCAAGTGTTCATAAAGGAAAGAGAGAAAAGTCCTTTTTTTACTGGCATTAAATGACGTCCAAAAGTTGTCATGGGCAACATATTAGACCACATGTGAAACTGATTCAATGACCTGCATGAACAAAAAAGTCATTAGCTATTCAAATGAGACAAGCTAATGTCACAACGCATCACTATGACGTAGAAGAAGACGGGAGCTTTATTAAACCAAAGTATGAGTGGTGTATGCATATACGGTTTCTAGGAATGAAAAAAAGAAATGCACATGGGAATGAATTATTGAATCAGTTTTGCATGATAGTGTAGCGCAGAGACCAAATATCTAAAGCATCGATATCCATCGTGCGGATAAACTGAGTCATGTAGCATTAAATCCACGAAATCCAGCTGGCGTTTCGTTGGGGCCATGAAATCTCCAATGCACAACTTTTTAAAATCATCAAGCTGGGTAGAAGAGCTTGTTGTCTCTGTCATTGGCATTGATGATATAGGAAAGAACCAACTATTGCTATAGAAAAATTTGCTTACAATAGTTAAGCAAAGTGTAATGGGCGTACATGACTTTTGTAGGTTCAAAGGCATGAAATCAAGGAGGTAACTCACAGCAGTTGCTTTTGATTAATAAGGTCATCCTTGCTCCAAGTGCCAAGAAGATGTTTCGTATGAGTATAAAGCTCGCTGAGAAGTGAAGATAAACCTGGCGTTGGAAGGAGGATCATCTTCGACGCATCATGGCCGTACTAAGCAGGACATATAAACAAGGAAGCACAATGCGCGATCGCAGGTTAAGCACTATTCATAAACATGAGCAATTGACAAGCCACCATTTACTGTCACTTTACTTACGTGATGATAGGGATCCTTAATTAAATCGCAGAAGGCTTGTTTCATTAAGTGCAGCAGTCTCCTCATCCACCTCATCCACCTCTCCGAGATTGTCGCTGTCCGCCTGTGCATCGGTCTCTGGATCGGGTCCTTCATCAGTCAATTTCGGGTTGCTTGTGCTTCGATCACTGGCTTCGGTTTTAGTGAGCAATTCACCAGAAGCTGTGGTGCCGTATCATTTTGAATATGCATAAATTAGCGATAAGTTGGTGTTAGCCCAAAAAAAAAAAAAGCACATACTTTATGGAGCATTGGACAAATTCATACTTCGTGAAGCTGTGTCCTTTATGTTAACTTGAGTGTCTTTCAAATCTTCCTCTTCATCTCACAAATCATCCTGCACCTGCTTGGCTTGTGTTTGTTGCTTTAGCAGCAAGAGTTCGATCTCGTCATCGCTTTCCTCATCTATAAATAGCACATACAGAAGCATCTTAGAAGGTGCGGGGGAATATTGAGTATTTTTCAAAAGAAGCTCAGTCAATGAGTTACCATTGGAGCTCCTTGTTCAATGAGGCATTCTCGCTTTCATAATCTCTGCGTCGCCGTTTGGTCATCACTTCGTCAATAATATCATGTAGCTTCCGATAGTTTTTCTTAAATCTCTTTTGGGACAGTTGCTCAAGAAAGAAGTCCTTTTCATACAGTGCATCCTGGCCTGTTTGCCAAACAACATTAAGTCTAGTAGAAGCTTTTCAAATACCGTGATGACGACTACCACCAAGATACTTTCTCGCGATACTCCACTCTTGGCGAGCCTTGATTTTGCTCATGTTTTGATTTTTAGACCAATTTTAAAAACCCGGATAGTTGAAGTCCTGTGGGCCATTGCATGATTGGAAGTAGGCTTTTGTGGATAATTTTTCGAACTCGTTGCGCCAGTGTTCCTTATACTTCGCAATCTACATATTTCCATGTAGAGCTTATTAGTTACTCAGACATTGTCAAAAGTGACTATAGTAAGATAGAACTACCTTAGTATGAAAACAGAAATAGGAAAGTCAGCATCTGACAAAGCCCTGCTAGGCGAGGTCAGATTACCAAGTACCTCTGACGCGCATGCTAAGTAGAAATTCTAACAATGGCGCGAAACTCTACACAGTGTTGGAATCATAAAGAGAAAAAAAACTGATGCAGAGTAATCTCTTTAGGAGCTTCACTTGGAATGCACTCTAACGCTGCCGTCAAAGGACACATAGCTTTTGTCTTAAATGTATGAACTCAGCTGAGCCAAAATTCCAGACAGAGTAACCCTATGCACTATCCAACAGTCACTGCTAATGAGTGTCGAAATGTCTGGCACCTCCAACGGCATGCTGTGCAGAGCTACTAGCAATAACGAAAACTCCGCACAGAGTTAGGACCCATAAAAAATACTGTATAACGGAGTAATTTTAGGGACTTCAGAAAGCACTCCAACGCTGGCGTTGATCGGACACGCAATGTCGTCAGTGATGTACGATACTTTATATGACATGGAGTGCTTCAATGACCAAATGAGAAGGGTAATAATCACGAAAAAAAAAAAAAAAAAAAAAAAAAGATGAAAGATGAAAGATGCTTTAATTACAATCAATCAATTAATTAGAAAAGAAACGTAATCGCCTGGGAGACAGCATTGTTATCTGAAAAAGGAGGAGCAAGTTCAATTAATCGTTTGAAATGTGGATGATGGAAGTAATGATTAAATTTTAGCTGGGTGAGTGACTTAAGTTTCTGTAGCCATTCGTGTACGTCCCTTATTTGCCACTCTTTTCTTTTCTATCTTTCTTTTTAGATCCGAGTGTGTATTTTAAGTTAATAATGCTCCTGTATGTTAAGTATTTTTTTTTTTTTTTTTTTTTTTTTTTCATTCCTAATATATTAAAAGAATATACGTAGCGTAATAGACACTCTGCCTAGAATGGGGTTCTATTTCAATGCGTGGGCCAAGAATCTTGGAAGGTGAGAGATGATCATCTCTTTTTTTTATTGTCTGCCCATACTTTTTATAATCTTTATAGAATGTAACTTGCTATAAATTTCTATAGGACACTACTTTTCTATATTTCTAAAGCACGACACTTTGTAACATCAGTCTAATACACGTATTTTCTAACCATTAGTAATGACTTCACTTTAGTTGTATCCTCAATAATGATTAAGGCTGAAGAAGAGATTGGACTAAGGCGAACATATCCTTTGCAAGAAGAATGACTCCTTCTTTTCAACTCTCGCCTTCTCATACTGAACCACTATCCGTCGGTTGCAGGCTGTAGGCAAACATTCTCAAGTACAAGCTGGGCTCTGTTACAGGGTTGTCCGCATATGTTTGTTGATGTCTTCGCCGAGCTATTTCATACACTCTTTATCAATCTTGAAAAGCTCCCCTATACGGAGCTTAATTTGACATCTTTGATCCAGGAAGAATTTGGACAGACTCGTTCCAAGCTCATTCAACTTGGATATCCAAATTCCATTTCTTCAAGGTAACTCCGAATGGTAATAGATGAAGCTCAAATCCTAGGAGATCAAGGGGATGGCTAGTTTGCATCGCTGTTCTCAGACCCAAGCCCTCATCCACTACTTTCGCCTGTACTCCATGCTGCAAGAAGAGTTAGAGAGTGAAGTTAATTTACAATTGTATATGTGGGACAGGACTCAGTATACGAACTCTTCACTAGGCCATAGCGAGGTATCTCACATATTTGCTAGTCCCACTCTATCATAACCACAATATTAGTTTTTTTTTTTTTTTTTTTTTTTTTTTTTTTACAGCGGAGACGGCATCAAGGAGTATGGATCCGAAATGTTCCCTCATGTAAGCAGCACTTTCTCTATACAAATGTTACAATCCAACATCAAAGCCGCTTCTTCCTATATCTCACACACCATCCTTTCTTGTCATTGATGAACTTTCATGTCAACGTTGTAGCTTATTCCAAATCCACTTATCTTTTATACATGGCCGAGGCTACAAACCGTTTCTGGTGGTCCAGGTTCAATAATGGCGGTCTAATAAGAGACGATGGCGGTCATATGAAAAATAATGACCATGTAAAACATAGCGGCTGGACAAAAAATATGGCGACCGTATAAAGCACAGTTGTTACTAGACAGAAAGCAATGGTGATCTAATCAAAACGACGGCGACCGTGTTAAACGGGGAAGTGACTAGACAAAAAGTGCTATATCGTACTGCGGCTTTTTTTTTAAGACTTTCCCATCAGTCCTCTCAAATTTCAGGGCATTTCTTTGCCGCTTCCATTTAAAAATACAACCTACAACTAGAATATGTTCGTGACCAAATGACGAGGACAATACTTTTACATATTTAAATGCTTGCTTGCATTTTAAATAGACTTATGTTGGCACTCCAAATCTCTATTATATAAGTACCAACGACGGCAGTAAAAGCTTATGGAACATTGTTACTGTGCCTTTCGCCGTTTGTGCAGTAATAGCTACTTACCAATAATGCCTGGGGTAGAAGGAAAATCTTTCTCCCATGATTCTGAGTATCCTTGTAACCACAACAACAACAATGATAATGATGATAATAATATACACCTGGAGATCAAGTTGGCATGAATAATAACAGGCAATAGCAGCTTTGAGTAGTGACACTAAAGGTTGTCAAATACAAAAAGAAAAAAAAATTGAGGGCTACCATTATTATTATTATTATTATTATTATTATTATTATTATTTCAAACGGTACTGACATTAAAGAGGACAACGAGTCGAACGTTGGCCGGCGGGGGAGTGCGGAATGGATGGCGCTGTCCGTAATGAAAAAACTCTTTAGTGGAGTAAAAAGAGCATAGATCCATTGCCATAAAAAATCTTATAGCGCAAGCTCCAACCCAGCAAAGGTCTATCTTACGTAGCGACTGGTGCCTCTAACATAGGGGTTAGTAAGGCCTTATATCAGTCACTAGACGACACCAAAGATCAGCTGAAAATAATAGGCCACATTCCTGAGTAGTGTTTAAGAGTAATCCTTCTTGCTTTTTAGGGTGACGCATGATGCTTCCTTCCATTCAGCGCTCCGGAGTATCTTGAAGCAGGGGTGTGAATGGTGGATATGCCTCTTTGTTCAAATGCCTTAGTAATTTTATGTTCTTTTACATTATATTGTGTATTGTTCTACAATTTGTACATGTACACTTGAGTGCGTTCTAACGATGTTGCGTTTATTCTCGATTCCCATTTACGTTTTTACTCCCTTTGTATTGGTTTGTGGAGGAAAGCACAATACTTCAAGGAAGAGTGACATTTCAAGACTTGGATGTTGCGCAGCACGCAAGATCACAGATTTACGCCGCATTTATGAGGGGTGTGGTTGATAAAGCCGCCCTGGCCATCCTAGCAGATGATCCGGTCTCCCTTGTAAGCTTTACTAGGTACGAGTGGCGCGAGGGATCAACATGGTTATCAGTCTTAAACGCCAATCGATAAAATCAATCACAAAAAAAAAAAAAAAAAAAAAAAAAAAACACGGCGTGTTCATTACAATGGCAAATAAAACATTTTAGGGAACAGCTCCAGGGATACGTATAAATACTCGAGGATATCCATTCCCTCTTACTTCCCAAATCTTCCACGCGTATTCTTCCTGCTTAACAGCTTAACCTCTACTAGCCATGCTGCTATTAAAAACATTTTCACTCTCCTTGTTAGCGCTTTCAGCTGTGTATGCTGAAGCTCAAGCAATCTCAGGCTACCCTCCTATTGATCAGGTCCCAGACATCAACTCACCCGAGGTTCAGGCGTGGTTAAAGGTAAGAATTACATATAAATTTTTTTGGAGTGTTCTATTTCAATTCAGTCGAGCTTGAAAAAATATGACAAAACTTTTATTTCAGTACCTGGTTGGTTCCTCAGCCAACAAAAAAAAAAAAAAAAAAAAAAAAAAATACTTTATTTGAAATAGGGAATTGCTCAATTCAATTAGTAATCTGTTCTATTTCCCTTTTCAGTACATTTTGCCCAAATCTGTCATGAAAGTATTGTTCCTCTAAAATTAATTCGCAATGTCTAAATTATAGGAGATCGATCTTTCTCGAGCCCCAAAGATCCCTCTGGGAGAAGGAGATCCCCCTCTCTGTCCACCCACTTTCCCTGGCGCGTAAGTCCTAAAAACATCGCTACAATACCTGTCTATGCTAATTTTTTGTATTCCTTCGCACTTATACTCGATATTATTCCATATACTACCAAAAAGATGTAACTGGATTTGTGACCAATGTCCTGCAAATGACCTCATTTCCTGCCGTTCTCGTAACACATGGGCTATAACCTTTGACGATGGCCCACACGAGATTACTCCTACGTTGCTTGACTATCTGAAGAAGGAGAAAATTTCTGCTTCATTTTTCCTGGTTGGTAGCCATGTGATACAGCGTCCGGACACTGTCAAGCGCCAAATCGCAGAGGGCCATCATATCGCATCTCACACTTGGTCCCATAAAGGCTTGACCACACTGACCAACGAGCAGATCGTGGCCGAAATAAAATGGACCGAAAAATTGATCCTGGAGCTCACAGGTCGGAGACTCAAGTACGTACGTCCACCCTACGGTGATATCAACAACCGTGTCCGCTTCGTGCTCAGGAAGCTAGGCTATATCGTCGTTGACTGGAGCGGAGATGATTTCGGCACTGACGACTGGAAGCTGCCAGACGGTATTACCGAGACCGAGATCGTTGAAAAGTTCGCCAGGAGCCTTGATAAATACGTCGCAGGCAATAGGGCCAGAGGCATCATCTCTCTCGAGCATGACTACGACATCCATATGTATAACCTTGCCCGCAAATTAGTTCCTTTAGGCCGAGCACGCAACATCACTATTACCTCTGTTGCTGGCTGCCAGAGAGATCGCTATCCATACCAGAGAGTGTTCCGTTAATGACAGCCTCTAAAGCGCCCAGGTTCGTACTACCGCCGTAACTAATGGTTGCTATTGGTTTCCTGCATAAACATCTTAAAGATCGATCGATAACCAATGTCTTGTGTTACAACTTGACGCCGTAGGAGTAGGAGAGACGCAAGTAACATGTGTTCGAACAGCATGATATATTTATTTATACCAAATATCATTGCAATAAAAAATGAAAGTAAAAAATAGATTGCCTTTGACTTTGTGTTCAGAAACTGGTTACTGATAACAAACATCAAGAAGAAAGAGATAATTTTGAATGGTTCACGATATCCGACTCAATTACATTATTTCATGGACACCTAAAACTATTAAGGGAACGGCCCATGCTGCTTCTCTCTTTTTTTTTTTTTTTTTTTTTTTTTTAGCAAAGCATTGCTGTTTGAACTGTAATACTGTGGAGTTTGGCAACTGTGCTAGGGGTTCCCTCTGCTTCATAGGGTCCAACAGGCCTGACTTTCAACTTGATGGAATATGCTCAGGCATATCATGAATGAAATAGGAAAAAAAAAAAGGATAGTTCATTTAGAAAATATATAAGAGTGCATATTACAACTTAAAGGACCAGTCAACCAGACTAGATGGAATTTAGGATGCAGGGTTCTGCTTCTCCACTTTTTTCTTCTTCCCTCCAGCTGAGTGGTGGTTCTTGGCTCGTGGCGCATTAAAGTACTTGCCTTTTTTTTTTTTTTTTTTTTTACTCGACAGAAAGAGAGCAGGTCATGTGCATCAACCCCCCAAACATAATAGGTTAAAAAAAGAAACAAAAAGCTCCTCCTCTCACTGTAGTATATCATGAAGACAACCTAAAATGATCCTGTCAAAAGGGTGCAGTATATAAAGCACAGACAAGCGTATAAGGAGTTGCAGAGTAAAGATGATGCATAATGGTTGCTGGAGGGTTTTTGGTAAACTCAGATTAGGATGGTGCACAAATTCCTGTTGGTGGTATCTTCATCGATCTAGGGAGTAGCTACTGCGATGCCGGTGGCAATGTCGGCCTCCTTAGTACTGGTAGATGCAAGGCAAGTTACCGGTTTGAGGCGGAATAGAGCTTGGAGCGGGCTCAGGAGAATGATGGCCTCATTTGTCGCTACTTCCGGGTGAAGCACGAAGAGCGAGCGAGGAACCGTCTGAGATTGGAGTACAGAATGTAGGAGGCAGAACCTAGAACATAGGATGCTGGACTTTGGGTGCGGTCGCTGTGCTTGAATGGAGAAACAAGAACGTGTTATTGGAGCCGTGCGTATTTTATAAGGGTCACCAGGCTAGCGCCATGGCGTCGATGCGTCATTCTATGCCCAGGATCGGCCATCTTTATTCGAACCGTAATACCAAAGTCTCTCTCTTTTTTTTTTTTTTTTTTTTTTTTCCACTTACTAAACGAGATAGTTGCACATGTACATCGTGTAATAGAGATTTAAAGGAACGGATACGACAGGCTTTTGGATCTTGAGGCCAATTATGGGAGTAGATAAAATGTTCTTTGACTTTAGTTAAGAATATGGAGATAAACTTCCACTAAAGCTGCGCAAGCTAATAGACAAAATATGTGAATTGTATTTATCTATGGAAAAACGAAAAAGAATCGGCACAACCCCACAAGACAAGGCAGAGGTAGTTCAACGAGATGGACAAGCGGAATTAGCAGGCGGTTTTTATACTCATACAGCCATGGTCCGAAGCATGTTCCAGTTACAGTTAAATATTCTGAATTGCTTGGTGGAGGCAGATCAGGGTTTACGGCACGTGATCGCTGCTGAGCTCCCCTTAACTGCATTTGTTTCTGTTCCTTTAACTCCGTCCCTTTTTTATGCCAGAGACAGAACAATCTCCATCAATAATTTTTTGCATTACAACCATCACATTCCACTGCATCACTGCAAAAAACTAAACGAATAACAAAGAGCACCCCTCAATTCCGTCCTCTTCCTATCCTATCAGACTATCAATTATACCTGCAGCATACAACATAAACCTAACCGACTAACGATTATAGCCATGGCTACAAAGGGTGCTTACAAACGACTCACCAAGGAGTACATTAACATCCAAAAGAGCCCACCAGCCTACATCTACGCAAGACCACTTGAATCGAACATTCTGGAATGGTAATTATAATTATAACAATATCTTTTTTGTATTCACATGATCGCTACAGCGAGAGTGCTTTTGCTCGTTTCCTCCACTCCACAGCTCTATTTTTTTTTTTTTTTTTTTTTTTTGAAAGGTTTCACTAGTTGATCATTCCTCGGAATAAAGTCTAATGTCTTTTATATATATATATTTTTATTCTCCTAGGCACTATGTACTCAAAGGACCACCAGATACGCCTTACTATGGAGGCGAATACCACGGTATGCAAACTTCGCCCATTGGAAACTACATGCATCACTTGAGCTTAAGATGACACCAATGAAGTAATCCACCTTTTTCGTCTTCCTCAGTCGCACAGCCTTCTCACTGCGGTATTTTCATCGCTTATACACAAACCCAAAGAGATGATAACCTATGCAATACCTTGAATATCACTGAAAACACTCATGCCTCACACCCCTACTTTTCGTTTTATCTCAGCGTACGGGCACCAATGATTCGATATTTTAATTTTCTTTTTCTTTTTTTTTACTAATTTTGCCCAAACAGGAAAGTTGATATTTCCATCGGATTATCCATTCAAGCCTCCATCAATTAGGATGACTACACCAAATGGGCGATTTCAAGTTGATACCCGCCTTTGTCTTAGCATGTCAGATTTCCATCCTGCAACCTGGAACCCAAGTTGGAGTGTGGCTACTATATTAAATGGGCTGTTAAGTTTTATGGTATGCGCTCATGAAAGAATGTTTCATTTATTTTACTTTGCGTCATTCGAAATAATAGATATTAAATTAACTCATTTTTACCACTCTTGTTTGTCCCCATTCCAATTTGTGCATTCCTCATGGAAATGATAAATATCAACAGTCGCAAGACGAGGCTACTACAGGAAGTATTGTTACCTCAAATTATGAAAAGACAGAGTTAGCACGCCGTTCTCATGCATTTAATATCTCCAATCCAAAGTTTAAAGGTAAGGATGGGCGGATTTAATATAATGTGAAGCAAGGACTGTCAATGTTCAACACGAAAATATAACCAACATAGATGTTGTTCTATGTCATTTATAGAGATCTTCCCCGAGCTTGTAGCAATACAGCAGGTACCATTACATATAGCTTTTCCTAATGCACCTGTCACAGAGGCGCCGCCAGTTCGAGTAACCACGACTCCGCACCAAGGGATTATTCAAAGAAAATCAGCCACAGGTGCTCAGCGTGCAGTCATGGTTGGAACAGCGACACAGCAGGGCCAAGGAGTGGATGCAGTAGTAGCAACGGGAGCAACAGGAGCAGGAGGTAACTTGGCAGCAGATCGGGCTGCGCGGAGAGCGTCATTATTCTCAATGAGTCATTGGCACAAGTGGTTGGCATTCTTCCTTGTTTTTGCATATCTTATTATAGCCAAGACCATTACTCGTGCTACTGCATCGGCTTCGACTTCATCATCATCACTTTGAAAGAGTAATTCATCGATTTATGCTGACGATAAATTGTCTTTGATGGAAAAGAAGCCTCGGGTGTAGCAGGTAGTTCATACCCAGTCTTTTATTGAAGAGAAAAGGAAAACCCGTGTTTTCTTTTTTTTTTTTTTTTTTTTTTCTTGAGGAGAACCTTTTTTTATTTTATTTTGTTTTTTTCAGGCAACATAATAAAGGAAAAAATAATAATGAATATTATTCATTTTTGGACTTTCTTGAAAAAAGTTATTTCCATTAACTCTAATCACTGTCAGCATCATCCGAATTGTCGTCAGCCCAAATTGGCCTTCCTTCTATTGCCTCAATTTTTTCTCTCTGTTGCTTTCCACGTGCAATATTAGCCATCTTGACTTGTGGAGATACGCCAACATTCTCATAATTATACGGACAATGACGACAGGCATTTCCGCAGCAATAGCCTCTCCGTCGATGAAGGAGTTCTGTCATGACAGTGTACCCAGTTTTCGGATCGATGTATTTTTTACGGTTGGCCTATCGAGTGTTACGAGAGTAAGGATATGCCATTTGTATTTTCATAAGATTAATCAGATCGACAGATCAAGAAAGAAAAAGTACCTCACAGGCCTGTCTATGGATCTCTTGCCACTTCTCTTTTTCGAGCTCTGCTTGCGTCTTTACTGGATGCGTCTGTGGTATCTGTGGTATCTGTGGTATCTGTGATGTCTGTGATAATGATCTCGAGTCCTGCTTCCGACTTGGCTTAGGAACAACGGAAGTATGGATCTTGACCTGACCATTTCCATCTGTTTGATCCATAAGGGTATCTGTGCTGTTGTTACTACTGCTGTTATTATCTGTAACAAAAAAATCCTGCGTAGGAGAAATAGGAGAAGATGGATCCTCCTCGTTGAAGTAATGAGATGTCATGCTGTTGAGTGATCTGAATGGAGTGAACAGTGACGGAATGATGTGTTTAGAAGAAACAGACGAAATGTGGATAGAATAAGAAAGAAAAGGGCATGTTATCATGTTATCAGTAAGAAGAGAGAATTTGATCGTTGTAGGGCGAGGAAGTGAGGCGGGAAGAAAAGGACAAAGGATCCTGTCGTGGAAGTTTGTACAGGACAAGCTTCCGAGAGCAGTTGGGTGTGATCAATTTTAAATTGAATTCGCTTTGGATCCAAAGTCTCTTAGTTTTGCTTTGCGCTGGCCCCCTGATTTCTTCCTCTACTTTGTAGATTATAAAAACTTGTCAACACCATCATGTTTTTTCCCCCTGAAATCCAACATACTTGTGACAACAGACAGGTTATGGAAGTTCAAAGATGGTGCTAACCTCTTCGGCCTTAATGAATGCCTTAAAATATGTATATCGTATTCAACATGTAATGAAGTTAAAAAAGTCTTTTGTGACGTAAATCACGACGATTTAAAACTTTTTTTTTTTTACAACTTATTCTTCTTTACTTTTCTTTGTTTCCACCATGATGTTACTCACCCCTACTTACACTTCTTCTACGATCTCTTTTGTATCATTCAATCCTCTTACTATCGCTCTATCGCTCTTATTTTTCGCGTTCATTTCCATTGTGCACTGTGATAACAATGCAGTAGGAGCTCGTCCACTTTTACATCACCCTCCTGTTCTCACATATTCAAATGCAGCTTTGCCTACACAGAAGCTATATCATCCCACAAGCTGTGTTCTCCACAAGTCAGGCGTCTACTTGGTCGTAACATCCATTGGACAGGGCTTTCCTCGAGTTCAATTCACCTGTACAGAAACACATCATCCTCATCCTACTCCAGATGTACAGCAAACATATCCACCTTCACAGACATTCGAGGCTGCCCTTACGACTTGTTCATATTCTTCTTGTCCTTATGAACACCATTTGCAGCATCTGGAGCATACTACAAAGAAGCAGTCGCAAGGTCTAACAAAACCACAGAATTGTGTCCAGGATCCTGCGGATCCTACGCCGGCACAAAGTCCAATGGCACTTCACAGAGTTTATGAAGGACAGCCTGGAGAGGATGGCAAATATTCGACATGTTACACAGATCACATTACTTCGACAGACACAGCTTTGCATTCGTTCGGCAGCATCAAACCATCTTGGGTTGAAGGACTTGGAAAATATGGATATGATGTTTTCCAGGATGAATTCATCTTTAGCCCACGTGAGCGGGCATCTGAGAACACGGAAACACACTCCATGACACAGACCTACAGTGATCATGAGACCAATACCTTTGGTAATATTCAAGATAAATCCTCGATCCGCACAGTAAGCAGCGTGAACAACAATGGCAATAACAACAATAGCGTAAACAACAAAAAAACAGAGAGCAGTAACAACTTGATGCATGGCCAACAAAAGTATGAGCATGTGGATCAAAAAAAGAAATATGCAGGGTTTGTTTCATCTGTTTCAGACAACTCTCACTCAGTGACAAGACCAGAAACTATCCCAACCTTGGCTGCACCAACATCAACACCTAACACGCACGGAGTGACTGAAGAAAACTCAGGCGCATGGTTTGAAAAACTTAAAGCCTCGTTAACGTGGAAGACGGAAAAGCAAAAAATAGGTCCGGCCTCGCCGACACCAGAACCCCTTCCTTTGCCCGGCAGCGCACAGACCTCAAGATCTGCACCGCCGTTAAAGGACCTCCATAAAAAAGATTGTTTGAATCCTGCTTTGTGCCAGCATAGTCAGGATCATTACGATCATGGCCACAAGAACAAAGGGATGAAGCACCGCGCCACAACGTTAATCATTGAAACTGAGACTATCATTGTGCACTCACATCCTACACAAGCACCAACTTTTAAGAAGAGTCACGAAACGAATGAGCAAGTGGGTTTTTATCCAGGTAGTCATGTCATGTTTGATGCGGGAATGGAGGGTGATGTGGTAATGTCGATGGTTGCTCAAGAGCATTATCATCCATCTCCCTCACCTCGACATCATAAGAAAAAGAAGTAAACATTATGTACAATAAAGAAGTAACTCTTAATGATTGGCGGTCAATGTGGAAAAAAAAAAAAAAAAGCTTGTCAATGTGACGTTAGATGGTGACCAAACTTTTCTTTTCCTTAAAGTATATATTTATGTATACCATTATTCGTTTTCCTTCTTTTCTTTTTTAATTTACTGTTTTACCTTTTTTCTGTCTTCCATCGATCTCCTTATTCACGTCGCCCCGTTTTCGATTATCATTGCCAGCACGATAGGTCAACAGACAATCAGTATGAATATAAATCGATACATTCCTGCAAAATATCGCCCGAACTTGAGTAAATACAAGTACTCGGGCGTGGACGAGTCTTTACTCTCGAAATACGTCCTTGGTCCATACTGGACCAAACTCGTGACATTCTTCCCCGTTACCATGGCGTATGTTTTATTCTTGTTCAAATGGAGTAAATCATCACAAATGAGATTCGAACAAAATCAACAACTCTTTTATTTATTAATACAATTAACGTGTACTTTGGAAAATTTTTAGTCCCAATACGATTACTGGTCTCGGATTTCTTTGTGTGGTTTTCAACGTTCTGACTATGTACTACTATGCGCCAGATATGACAGAAATTTGTCCATCATGGGCCTACTTCAGGTAAAAAAGTATACACAATCAAGGTATGAATATTGAGCAAAAGTTTTTCTGTGTTAATCACAACTTTTTTTTTTTTGGTCCTCGTTGAATCATAGCTTTGGTATTGGACTCTTTGTATACCAGTCGATGGATGCAATTGATGGAAAGCAGGCTAGAAGAACAGGAACTTCAGGACCCTTAGGAGAGCTTTTTGATCACGGTAAAAAAAAAATGCATGTGTCAAGCCTGCCAATTTTTTATTTTATTTTATTTTATTTTTTTATTTATTTTAATCATGATCACATCAAACAACAATTGATGCAATGTTTTTCTCTTGTTTAATCTTTCTATACAGGCTGCGATGCACTGAATACTTCGGTAAGAAATGCTGAAGTAACCCGTGAGAGCAAAAGAAAGAAAAAAGAGTTTATAAACTGACAGTACTCTTTTTTATATGACGACATGTTTTTTATCTTTCTTGACCAGCTTGAGGTTATTTTGTTAGCCAATGCCATGCATCTAAGTCAGAGCTGGTGGACTGTTCTTTCTCACTTCTTGGGTTGGTACACCTGAATCAGATGAAACAATAAGGGATCTATCACTTTTTTCAATGAATTCTAAATGTCTCTATTTTGGATGGTGATAGCGCTTGGAAACTTTTACTTGAGCACGTGGGAAGAGTATCACACTGGAACTCTTTATTTGAGCGCGTTTTCAGGACCTGTGGAAGGAATCATTATGATTGTGATCCTTTACCTCATTACTGGCTTCACTGGTCCAACTTTCTGGGTCCAGACTTACCGTCAGATGTTTGGCATATCCTCCAAGTTTTTGCCCTTCATACCTGATATGCAGGTTAATCACATCTTGGTCGCTTTTGGAATTGTCACATTGACAGGAAACATTGTAACAGCGTAAGTTTTTTTTTTTTTTTTTTTTTTTTTTTAAAAAAAAAAAAAAAAAAAAAAATTAAAGTGATGTTGGCACTGATAGACCGATTTTTTCCTCCCTTCTCTAGTATGCAGCATGTGATCAAGGCACGCAGAGGCAAGAATTTGTCCGTCGCTCCTGCATTGGCTGGTGTGGCTCCGTTCCTGGGCATATCGGTTGTTGCTTATTTTTGGCTTAATGCTTCACCTCAGATCCTCAACCAGCATATTCTTCCCTGGATTTTATACACTGGTCTTTCCTTTGGATACACTGTCGGCCTCATGATTACAGCCCATGTAACTCACCAACCTTTTCCCATGTTCAATATCAGTTTTCTTCCCTTGATCGTCGGATCATTGAACGCTAATCTGCCTGCATTTGGGATGTAAGTTATATCTCTTTTTTTTTTTTTTTTTTTTTATTATATTACCGCCTCGGTACAGGCACATGATTAATCCTCTTTTTTTTTTTTTTTTTTTTTTTTTTTTTGAACTAGGGAAAGAGTTTTTGGAGCTCATGTTGAAAACATTTATTTGTGGAGTTGCCTCGCTTTCTCCGCCGCTGCCTATGCTCACTTTGCAATCAATGTTGTCAACGACATCTGTGATTACTTTGATATTTGGTGCTTTACTATTAAGCACCCCAAGAAGGCAGAATAAAAATATAAATAATAAACAGAAAGATATTCAGCATCTATTCTCATCCCTGATCATTTTCCTTTGGTATTTTTTCCTTCTTTCTTTTATTTATTTATTCAAAATCAAACCATCTCCAGCATCATCTACTGTTGAGAATACAGCAACCGAATAAAGGGAAATAGAAATTTGATTCGTTTATCTAATTTCAATGACCATTCAACAGCTTTTTTTTTTTTTTTTTTTTTTTTTTTTTTTAATCATCGTGTTCGGTTCCAAAGTACCGATCTCCAAAATTTCCGAGACCAGGCTCCAAATAGAGGGTATCAGCGTTCAGGACCGGGTCAACATACGATGTAACAATCTTGACTTTAGGAAACGCGCTTGAAATTGTATGTAGACCCTGGAGACCTGCCAGGAAACTCAAAAAAATAATCCTGTCCTCAGGAACATCATGATCCAACAATACACGAATAGCCATCAAACCCGCAGCGCCTGTTCCTACTACGGCATCCATCAAGAAGATAAACATGTCGTGTTTGGTACTGTCCTCTTTCAACGAAGGTGGTAGTTTACAGTAATGCAATTGAGGTTCGCCATTTGAGGGGTCAGTTTGGATCAAAATTTTGCCAATAACTGCATCACGGATGACACGGCGGAGACCCGCCTCCATGGTCCCACCAGCACGCAAGATCGAGACACCTCCGATATGAGCATCTAATGCAAGGCCATCTACCGTCTTGCCCGTAGGCGTAGTCACGGTCTGGGTCTTGTAAGGCAGCTCATTCAAAGCTCTTTCAATTACTAAGGTTGCAAGTCGATCAGCATAAAAGATAAAATCGTGGCGCGACGTGTTGATATCACGGATGATGGTATGCAAACCCATAATCTGCTTTGTCTTCTCTAGAACAATGACGTTGGAAGGCAATTCATTCGGTGGGTTGATCCTAGCCATATCCCATCTAGATTGGATTTTGCGCTCCCGCAACTGACGTTGGATATGCTTTGTCAACAAATCAATTGCTACTAAATTCTCTAACCCCCGTGGGATGACCACATCTGCATTCTTCTTCGTCGGGTACACATAGTTATCATATGAAGGTTTAACGAATCGTTGGTAGAGCTTCAGTACTCCTGCGACGTCAAATCCGCGCTCTGCGACATCACGTTTAACTAAATTGAAAGGGGAAACGAAAACAAGGATAGACTAAGATAAATTATTACATTCTTGCCCCACTCTTTCAGAAAATATATATATTTTACAAGCATTGTTCACGCATGAGACGTACTTCTTCTGGCGAGACAAACATCCGTGTCAGTGTCCACAAAGATTTTAAGATCCTAGTTCATTCATTGACAAAACCAAAAATAGCTTAAGTTAAAAATGCTAGAGAATAACATCATACTTGTACAAAAGCCTTCCATATGATCACTCACCATCATTGCCAGAACTTTGGGATCATACAATCCAAAGATCCCCTCGAAAATTATTACATTGGCGCCATAGATCGTGTTGACTTTGTTCGGTACTCTATGATATAAGTCATGACTTCACACTAAGTGCTGAACCTCCGATAATTGTGATAAACTGATGATATTTCCTGTAAATTACCTCTTATGAGTTTCAAAATCGTAGATCGGGACATCGACCTTTTTGCCTTCTTTAAGTTTGGTGATTGTTTCCAATAAAAGATCATAATCATACGAGTTGGGTGAATCAAAATCCCAATCACTATTCAGTTTTTTGAAAAGATGTGGTTAGGAGATAAACTGCTTTATTCTCGAATAACATACCTTTTTTTTTTTTTTTTTTTTTTTTCTTACTTTCTATGAGCAATCTCCAATTCTTCATCATTCAGATCTCTGTAAAAGGAGTCCATAGACAACAAGACTACCCATGGGACATTCAAGTTTTTAATAATCCTTTGTGCAACACTGGTCTTCCCACTGGCACTGCCACCTAAAAAGAACAACCAAGGTCAGATGAATATGAAGTATATCCGACCCAACTGGCTCCATTGTTAACGTTAAAGAAAACTCTGTACCTGCGATTCCAACAACATAGCAGTCGCAGTTCTGGCCATCGCTCCTATACCATGGGCTTTTAGAAGAGGAGAGAACGAAAACAAAAGCGTCAACCTCTCATAGCGTTTTAGAAAGAAAAAAGAAAAAAAAAAGTCCGGTGGTATAGAGCCTTTTTTATTCTTTAGTTACGCCCTTGTATCCCTAAAATGCCTTTGACATACGGGCGACCTTCTCCTGCAATGACATGGTTGGCGAACTTGGACTTCATGTTGGAATGGGGAGGAAAAAAAAAGGAGTTATTGGGAAGGGCCATTTTGCCATTTTTTTTTTTTTTAAAAAAATTATACATACGATTACAGAGTTCAGACATGTCAAATTGTGGATGGAAATATAGTTTATTGAACAAAACGATGCAATGTTTTTTGAACTGCCCAAGTTCTCCTTTCTTGTTTACATGCATGCAGAGGGGTGCTGTGCTATTTTTTTTTTTTCTTTCATTCAACACATTATAAACGGAGCAAAAAAAAAAAAAAAATGAAGGGGTAGAGGAGATATAAAATAGTGAAGAAAAAAATACTTATGCCTCAAAGACGAAGGAGAGACCAAGCTTGTGAGCAGGCTGGTTCAACTTAGTAGTGTCAAAGAGACCAGCAATGGAGACCTTGACGCCCTTGCGGAGAGCTTGAGTATATCCAAGGCCGAGGACACCAGAATTGTTGACCTTTGCCTTAACAAAGGCATCACGGTCGAGGTAGTACTTGGCACCAACCTCAAGGGCAACGGGTGCCTTGGACTTGTCACCAGCGGGAGCAGCCTTGGTGTCCCAGGCAGCCTTTCCACCAGCCTCAAGATCAGCATTGATGCGATGATAGTATGAAGCAGAGAAGAGCTTGAAGGAGTTGTGGGCGTGAAGAGCAACAGAGTACTCAGGAGCGGTGTAAGCAGCAGCCGCAGCAAAGCGAGTGATGTAGGCACCACCGACATCGTAGGCAACATCGCCTCCAACAGTGAAACCATCACGGCCAACGACGACATCACCAGTGAAAGTGGGACCCTTGAAGAGATCAACGTAAGCACGCGAGTTGAAGCCCAACTGCTTATATTGAACACCGACTTTGGCGTTCTTCTTGCCCTCTGAGGGAAGGAAACCTCCAGTGATGTCCAACTTCAAGCCCTTGGCGACCTTGTTCTCGACTTCAATTTGGGTGGTGATAACGTTGCTGGTTGTCCAGGCCTCAGTGACGGTCAAGCCATTCTTGTAGTCGACATACTTTGTCTTGAGCTCACCATTGATGTGGCCAGACTTGTTGTCCTGGTTACCGAGGACGTTGAAAGTCTATTTTCATATTTCACAGCGTCAGAATGCGTTAGCGTGAAGAGATAACAACGAGAAAGCATATTTTATAATTGATATTCCAACTACAGGAGGAGAGGAAAAAAAATTGATGTGATCTAGAAAAGGAAACTGCGCGTCTTTTTTTTTTTTTTTTTTTTTGGCAGTACAAGGATGAAAACAAAAATAATGAAGAGAGAGAAGGAAGGAAGTGTCACTTACAACGCCATTGGGGGCAACAGTCTTGAGCTCGAACTTGGTCTGACCAACAGGGAAGTCCTTGCCGAGCAAGTCATTGGTGCTCTTGCCGAGATCAGCAAAGGGAACAGGAATAATGGTGGCCATTGTTGATTCTAGAGAGTAAGAGTGAGGTAAAGAGTAATTAGGAAAAGAGAAAGAGAGAAAGAAAGAAAGAAAGAAGAGATGAGATTGAAAGAAATGATGACGCGCTTTCCGATCGACCCGTAATGAATGTGCGCTCTCATTCCTCTCAGCTCGCAACTCTCTCACACTCCCGGAATTGTGGCAGATTAAAAATCCAGTCCAGTCCAGGTGACATCGATGTGATACCAATGACATTTTTTTTTATGTGCCGCCTGGTCTGGTCTATGATTTCGAGCTCTTTACCAATAATTGGCTCCATGACGCCCTCTTAAGCTCCCCGCTTGTAAAAAGTTCCACTGGTGCTGTATTTTCCTGTCTTGCTGTGTTCATCGCCAAGCAAGCGTAATTGAACCAATCTCATAACCAGTTCTGCTACATACATCCCTTTGTCTTATTTCGTAAGCAGAAATGTTTCTCTGATTTTGTATGAACATCAATGAGCATCTGTTCCATCAGTATGCCAATTGTTCTTCTTCTTCTCTTTCTTTTCAATTAAAACTATTTAATTTTTAAATAGCAAGAACAACTTTGATTCCGAAATATCTTCGAATTGTACTGAAGGACGTTGTGTACGCAAATGTAGCCATCGAATAACTTGACAGAAAAACAAGGAAAAATCTGTATCTATAATCGATAATTGACTCATACTTGACAAGAGAAAAATGGTGGAAAAGGAAAATGAAATGTGTATATGATGCTGCTTACCTAAAAAGAAAACTTGAGGTGATAAAGAATAAAAAGGAAAAAGAGAAAAAGAAAAAAAAAATGGCGGGGAGAAAATATGGATTATGTTTTCTGCAAAATGACACAATCCCAAGTTCGCTTTAGAGTTCGGTGGGGTAAAGTGAAGTTTATCACATAAACAATTGGTCAGAAATTCAGGTACATCGATCACGTGGAATTTATTGAAACGATCATAGATGAGTGCATGTGCAGCACTCAGTCTACATATTTTGATGCACATGCTCATCGTTCGTAAACGTGTCCTGCTCAACGTCGTACCCGATAATAGCAGGGTCAATTCCTAGACTTCTTAGCAGCTTTAGCATTGGAGTCATCTTCACAAGTGCTGCTTCCCCTCCATAACCCATATGCTTGTCAGGCACGGATCTTAATCGAATAGCTTCTTCAACTGTGGGTAGATCTTGCTGTACATCCTGGATTTCCATACATTCCTCCATAGCATCAAGTTGTTCAAGGTCCATCTCTGTGAGTCCTTGCTGTCGCTTCTGTTTTTGCTGCCGATCTTGAGACGAACTGGTGTTCGTTAATGACCGTCCCCAACTGCTTGCTACTGGTGTGGAGTCTTGGTCCCATAGACTTTGGCTTTCACCGCTACCGCCACCAAAAAATTGTTCCTGTGCAAGATACTTCTCCAATAAAACCTGTGCGCCTTCTATACTCACTTTACGCCACCTATCAATCAGCTCCTGCAGAGGAGCATCGTTAGCTTCCTGCAGATGTAAAACTTGTCGCGCTTTGCGGATCGATGACTCTAGCTCCTTCATCTTGGTCTGAAGAGCTTGAATTTGTGTCACCTGGCTGTTGACAGTGTTCTTTGCTCGTTTAAGGTTACTAGCCTGATTTTGACGAGAAATAACAGGAGATCGAAAAGCTTTTTGCATACCAACCCCGACCCTTTGCCTTAAAATCGGCTTTGTTGTACGTACAATAGAGGGCTCCTCTGTAGGTGTTGTTGCAAGTAGCTCTGGTGTATTAGTCTTAATAGAATTAATGAAGGTTTCATCATGCAGATCACATACTTTTGTGGTGGATACAGTGTCTGCATGAAGGTTGTGTCGTGATGATACAATACGACAAGTTGAAGTAAGATCATTGGCCATCAATCGGACTGGGGACCGAAAGGGTTTGTGGAGTGAAGAGGAACTGCTCTTTTCTGTAGATTCTCGCTTTCTCTTTTGATTTGAGAAAACTCTTGCGGAGGAAGGATTAGGTAGAGCCCCTGCAGTTGTTGGTTTTTGATGTAGCGCATCATCTTTCGAGTCCATTTTTTTTCCTTTTGAAGAGTCAGTCTCATGGCATGATGGATGGTGGTCAGCAGTTGGGATCAGACCATCCATTACTGGTCGGCTTAATGTTGATGTTGAAAGTGACTCTAGGAATGGCGATTATTAAAATCAATTGGCGGCATCAGAATAGGCCGTTCTGATGGAAATCAAAAAAATAATAAGAACATGATAAATGCATATGTTTATTGTTTCATTGCAACTTCTCTAATTTGCAATACCTTGTATTGTGTTGCTGGCCAAAGTCATCGTAATGCATTTGCATCAGACAACAGCATTATTATTATTATTATTATTATAACAAAAATTGGTATTTTCAGAAACATGCCGATTGGTCAGTTCTCAGGGAGAGAACGAGGGGGCTGCCAAAAAGGTGTGAGCAACTCAATCACAGAGATCCCTCTTTTGCCTTTTTTGTATCCATTTGAGGAAAATCCCGTGCATTGCGCTTTGACAAAACGCTTTGACACAGAAGCGTGATTCTCTCTTAAGCACTAATTTGGATGTCATTCAATACAATACTCAGATACAACATGAGGTAAAGCATTGCTTAGTAAATGGTTTCCAAGCCGTACACTTGTCGCGACTCCTTGCATTTTAAGGAAAGGGAGTATTGTCCTACTTTTATTGTTATATACTGAGCAAGTGAATCTATTATTATTAGGTTACGACGTTGACAGTTACCAGAGAACGACACTTCGTCATTTTACATTTTACTGATTGTTCATGTAACCGCATAGCCGTAATAGATTTACTAGTGACTTCAGGCGAGATTTTCAATCGTCCTGACAATCTTTTCAATGGTGATAATAAATCAATTTAAACCTCGCTATGCCAGAAATGCGGAAATGCCATAATGGATCAAATGATGTAAACTGCTATCCAGAAACAAAAAATAGGGAAGCTTTTGTACACCATGAATCTCTTCTACACAGGCACGTATCAATGCAAATTTGGTCAACTAGTGATTGACCCATTTCGCCTTCTATGGGAGTGACTGAAAATCGCCTTTATAAAAACAGGAGCATTAGCACTTCTGAATCAAATCGAGGGGCAACAAAAGCATGAGATAAAGGCATTTGCTTTGAACAAAAAAAACGGCCATCTTGATATGTTATTGGTACGCTCTATTTTTTTTAGAGCTGCTTCATAAAATCTATGCACTTTTCCTCAACATATTCCTATTGTTACGATTTGCATGAGTATTTTTATTGAGCCGATGCTTACCATCATCGGTGTCGTGTGGGCCGTCCTGGCGATGATGGTGCATGCGTGTTATCTTGTTTTTAGCTGTATTCGCTTACAATGTTAGGTCACGCATTTCCTGATGAGGCCACCAACAAGCCGGTATGTACGTTGGGTCTTGGATTCGCCCATGCGCGTGCCCGCTATCTTACACCCTTACTTTATTTTTTGCTCCATCTCATGTCTTTGTGCTCTAATTTTTTTAAATATTGGCTAATCTGCTTTGGGACGGCATGTACTCCTTACTCTTTTTTTTTTTTTTTTTTTTTTTTTTGCAGATTTCATGGCCTAAAAACTCTCCTTTTAGTTCCCTTCATTTTATTACTATTCATCCCTTCTGAAAATGTTTCTGCGACAAAGTGTGTGTAGGAGTGTTGCAGACTCATTTGATCCTCTTTACTTTTACGCTGCGTCGCGCATAATCCGATCAGATCTCCGTCCATGCATGTTTGTATCATCCATTCAGACCAGTGTAAAGTGAGTATGTAAGGTATATATTATAAAGATCTTTTAAAAAAAGGATGTACTCAAAGCGCATTAACACCATGCATTAGTGAGAGACATTGGTCCCCACCTTTACTGGGTGCTGTGGGTCAATCATGCATATTACAGACAGTAACGTCTTAAAAAAAAAAAAAAAAAAAAAAAAAAAGCAGTAAAGTCTTACAGCCTAATATCGTCGTTGCGGTCAATGTCAAGTATGGGATGTTGATTTTTTGTTCATCTTTTTCTTTGTAACCTTGGACCGTGCTCCACAAATGGCATTCTCCTTTTATGCAACTATTACATGGATCAGTTGAAACATTCCTTTTATCCTCATCGTCCCTTCTGTCGGGTCAGGAGCAACCCCCCAAATGGACAATATGGAGTGAATCTGCATGAGCTTTTGCTGTTATGTCTCCCCTTTACTTATTAATACCCATGGAGTAAAAATTCCCTTATTGCCGTTCCCCTCGAAAAATCCTTTCAATAGAGGAGTGACCCTTTGTGGTTCCCTCTCCTTGCTATTGGAGTTAGTCATAAGGGATCAGTCGGAATAGAGCTTGTTGGTATCGATGATGATATTAATGTTAGTGAATGATTGTTTATGCTTATGGGGTTATGGTTTTTCTTTTCTTAATACGTGCTATTGCTCTTCGTCACTTGTTTTTATTCATGTAGTATTGAAATCAATTCATTCTTTCTAATTTTAACAAGCGTATTGTTATTCCTTACTCCACATCCGCTATCGCTTAGATTCACATAAACAATACACTTGCTCTGTATGTACTTTAAAGACAAGAGGAGGCTTTACCTACTACACCGTCCATCGCGTCTTTGAACCATATATAAGGGTAAGGGTAGATGGTCCTTCCAAAAAAAAAAAAAAAAAAAAAAAAAAAAATTAACAGCCAACGAATACAGCAATAAAAAGATTCTTCTCCTCTAACAACATCTACTTTCCTCTTTTACCTTCTTTACAAATATATTCTTTTATTCTCCTCTTATATTGCCTTTTACTTTAGCTTCGTAAAAGACGCGTCTATCTTGAATCGCCCTGCGGTCACTCCAAACTATAGAACACAACGACCAAAAACACAAACTTTCTACCATGGCACACCTCACCCCAGCATCGATCTTGGCTTCCATGAACAACGGAGCCGCCTGCACACCGTCTGAGCTCATGAACTACCATAACTGTAGCGGTATGAGTCCTATTGAGGATTCGGACTCGGACTCCTCCTACTCAGGCTCTAGTTCTTCCTCACTCTCAATGAACGTAAATAGTGCTCCTACTGGGCTGGCTGCACAGAATGGTCAACCTATTACCTATCACTATTTTTGCAACTTCCCTACGTGCGATTATCATAGTGCGAGATCTGATCCTGTCAAGCGCCACAGAGATACACACTACCCAGATTACAAGCCTTACATCTGCAACTATTGCCAGGCAAGCTCGGCTCGTCGAGACTCCACTCGTGAACACTGCTTGAAGCAACATAAGGATGATTCCGAAAACGCCTTCCGATATGATACCACGATCCCAAAGCCTGAGGGCTGGATCGCTTATGAGCCTAAGCGATCTCCATGGCCACCAATAATGATCTAAGAGTGTTTTCTCGCGAAAACGAATACAAAACACATAGAATATCCCCAACAACACAGACTTATTTGATGGTTGAGAAGCAATAATCCAAGTCATTGTTTAAGAAGGTGTTGTTCTTTTTTTTTTTTTTTTTTTTTTTTTTTCAGATCACATATGACTATTATTCCTTGTAGATCAGCCAGCATTATTACCATAGAAAATTGTAACATCACGCATTTCCGTATCAACCTATCCACCAACATCAATTTTGGCCCTTCCGCGCTATATCTCACCTTCTCCCTTCTTCCTACTGCTCTTTATGATGGATTGTTGTCGTCTGAAGCGCGGAAGTACGAAGATCAAAATTCCTTTTGACTTTTTTTACCTTTCTTTCTCTGATCGTAGTTGTTGCATGTCTCCTTGTCTTAATTATTTTACTTAAGAGACTGTACTTCCTCTGAAATAAAAGTAATGTTCAAAATGCAGTGCAAATGGTTCTTTAATGAAAGTAATATCCGTGCACTCATTGTTTCTATTGTTCCGTCACACAAAAAATACAACGTCCAAAACTTGTGTCCCCTTTTTGTTTGTGTTTCAGAGAGGGACAATGGCATCTCTCTTGTTTGGATAGAAAGAGGCATGGTGAGAGGCGAGGCCGATCTGCAAGGGTTCATCCCACATAATTTATTTGTTATCCTCATTATATCTTGACAAAAACACATCTTGTCCCTAAATGAAGCAAGTTCTGAATTTATTATTTTTCATTTTCTCCAATGCTGGGCCCACCCGTGGATCGTCTCAGCAATTTGAGGTATGAGTGCGCCCACACTTTCGTTGATTAGATTCTGGAAGAATTTGATTGCTTCATCATCCGTCAGATTCAATTGGAAACGCTCTTCAACCTATCGTCACAATTGGCATTGGATATTAGATTTCACATTCACCCCACCATACATTATTAATACGACGCGGACATATAGAGGTGACTAAATACCTTCCAAACAGCTTTATCTGGTTCGGCTTTGATATCAGGAATGTTTGCATCCACCATCAGCCCAAACAGATTTAGAATAAGGTTGGCGGATTTCCTTAGGATGTTATAGGCTGTGAAGCAATATGACTTGAAGCTCTGGTAGTGAACAGAATTAAAGCCACCCATGGCATCTACCATTTCCTTCGTGATCTTCATAGGCGCAGGAAATGGCTTCGGGTCTCGTCCAAGGATAAACCCAAAGTCTACGTGGAATATATTTCCTTTTCAAGCAAACAAAAACAAAACAAAACAAAACAAAAAGTTAAAACGTAATACGTCTCTCAAACAACAGAGTAATAGCCAATTGATGGTTTACCGTTGGGCGATAGAAGCAAGTTATCTAAATGGCGATCGCCAACACCGAGCAGATACATTATCACACAGTAGCCAGCTATAAAGAATAAAATAAAAAAAAAAGTATGATACAATATGATTACCGAGTTAAGCTGTACTTATATATGCACGAGCAAGTCGTATATATAGGGGGAAAAAAAACTAAGCTTGACCTACCGCAGCTCTTGACATAAGCATCCATCACCTCAGGCCGAACTCCAAACGTGTCCACGCTCCGTTCGTCTAGATGATACTTTCTCCAGAACATCAGCAGACTGCCGTTGTTCTCGTTCAAGACATTGGCCAGCGACTGTGATGGCACAAACTGGACCATTCCGTGGTCGGCACCTGTAGCAAGCACCTTGTATGGCATCAACTTAAGGTCTAAGTTTTCTTTCCTCAACAGATCATCCATAAGTGTGATGAGCTGGATCACCAATTGGTCTTGCCTCAAATCATCACCGGATTTGAAAATTGCTTGGTATTGGCTTCCATCAGTGCATGAGAATGTGAGATGCAAAGGCAGCAAGTTACTTTTAAAGATACTGGTTTTTTCTATTATTCCATTTTTTTTTAAAAAAAAAAGAATAATAAAGTTAATCACATTGACCCAGATCGGCGTTGAAGACATGAGGGGCCCAATGCAACTATACCTGGTATGATACCAGTGACCTCTACCCTTGGGTCCAGGGGCAATGCCAATGGCAGGAACGATATCAACCCATTTTTGGGATCTGAAATAAACTCGCGTAATTTTTCAATTTTTTTTGGACGAGACTCCCTCATTTGCTTGATACTTTTCGCTAAATTCGCCAAGGTCTGAATCAGCTCTCCTTGACGTCGCAAACTCTCTCGACGCTGGATCCCTGAGGCAGCCATCATAGACATGTACTGATATACCACTTTTCCATACATCTTACTAACCGCCACATCTTCACATTCAATCATCAAGTACCTAGAGGAAATATCAAAGCTGTAAGAGTCCTACGACATTTTGACGTGATACTTGGCAAAAGGCAAACGTTATCCAGAATAATCGACATACCAATGAAAGTAGTTACCAAGGATAGGATTCTTGACAGCTCGCTCAATTAAAAATGCTGCCAAGTTTGATTCACCAAAGTTGTCGTCAATTTGCTCGAATTTTAAGCCCTGTACCAGTTGCAGTAGAAACAGCAGTAGATCCTATAGGAAGGCGCAATAGTGTAATATATTGGTCAAAAGGCTCAAAGATTCAGGGTGCTTTAGCCAAATACTCAGAACATGATGCGTGCATGATTCCTCACATCGTCGTTTGCGCTCCGAAGTTGCGTTACAGCATATGATCTCACTTCACGGTTCTCAAATGATGATCCCAGCAACTCCAACGCGTCGTCTACGTCTACACCGACCCATGTGGGAAGCAGGTCTACTGCCTGCTTGGCTTCCGCAGGATCACTCCAGACGACTGATTTCAAGAATTTTGTTAAAGCCTATTCAAATGGCATGATGGAAAGATTGAGGGGTATAGTGCCAGATATAATGATGAGCCGAGTCGGTAAGCAAGGGTACTTTAAAAAGAACAGATGATTTTTCCCTTACCCGCTTGTCCCGAGTAAGATAGAACCTGAATTCCCAAAGTTGATCTTTTTCTGCGGCTGTAAGCGAGTGTGATGGGGGGTATCGTAAAATTTGCTGAAGAAATCCAATCAGACAACAGATATTTATGTTATCTTATGTTAGTTTGAAATCACTTCATCCATGTGTATTGAATAATACATCAGCCGACCACTTACCGCTAGTTCGTCGCGAATCTTGGGATTAGGCTTTAATTCTCTATCTAAAGGAGTATTACGGTGACTTCGAACCATTCTCCTGTGCTTAGCTTCTACTGGATTTTCCCTGGTCATTTCAGGATCCTCAACTGTGAAGATGGGATTTCCTGAGCTGCTGTTCCCATGAACCAAAGGCGTTGAGCCTGCGGCTGCAGGTCCACCAAAGCTGTTGGATATAGGGTGGGGCTTAAATTCATACTCATGCTCATCAAAGATGACAGGGAAGTCGAACCGTGGTAAATCAACGTTGAGAAGCATCTTATCGGACTGTGCTGCAAGTTTCTGAATTTGCCAGCAAAATGTATAGTTTACATTGTCAATTAAAAAAAAAAAAAAAGGAATAGTGCAATTATCGTCTTTTAAATCTCTCACTTCGCGTAACTCACCTTATGGATCTGTTCTATCTGTCGATACGCGAGGTTGTCAAGCCAATCTGTCCTTGGGATATCACCACGGTCTTGCTTTTTTAGCAGCTGTTGCCAGAAAGTCAAGTAAAAAACAGAAATACGAAAAATAATGAAAGTGAGGTTGTTATTAGATTATGTTTGAGGAAATAAAAGGTGTATTGCAGATCCTTTCTATATGAGTTAACCTTTTCATATCGATCCATTTCCGTTCTCTCTCCAGTATCTGATGGTGTCTTGGTATGCTCACTTCCATCTGCTTCACAGTCCGGCCACATATACAGTTTTTGAGGTCCTGTCCGAATGATACTATAAAGTTTGTAGTACACAACTCCTAATTAGTGCCTTCTCAAATGGTAATGAGTCTTTGAATAAACCGGATATTTAGATGAGTGGTAATCGCTTACTTGAAAGGACCGAATAGCCGCAAAGTCGAGCCACCCACAGCCACCACTTTCCGAGGAGAGGCTGCATCCCATACCGTAAAGGCCAATTGAGCATTCAGGGGTAAGTCTTTATACTTGATTGGGAGAACGATCCATTCATTCCAACTAATAGAGTTATCCCATGTTTCCGATTCAAAATCAGTTTAAGCCGCATCTTCAGAACTCTCAAGGATTAAATCAAAACTTTGTTACGCACGTGAATTTGCTTGACATAGGCTTGTAAGAAGTCTTCAGGACAATTGTTAATGGTTGGTCACCCGCAAACACCTGGCATGTCACGTAGAGATCCGGATAGGGACTAAATTGATAGAAAGTGAGGTTGAAGCCTGAAGTCAAATATAACCGAGCATAGAGCGACTGAAGTCAGTCGAATTGTGATATTATAATGTACCTCCTCTTCTCTGCCGAGTATGGAACTGTGCTAGCATCCAGATGCGGCCTTTTTGGCTTCCATTCTAGTAAACTTCTATTTTTTTTTTTTTTTTTTTTTCAAAGGGGTTACAATTCTGTTCATTTCAGAAATGGGTTTTTCGAGTCATGCATGCTGTCTACTTGCATTCGCACTCTGAGGTTGAGATCTAGCTTGCCACTCAAACAATAAGAATAGTCTTTATAATTCTTAAACTTTTCACCTCCGATATCTCGTTGAATGTTCATTGTTTCTGGAATTGAGGTTTACTGTCCTTCTGGCTCTGAATGTATGAATGGTTGTAAGAAATAAGAAGGCATGCAGGGCTCGCAGTCACAGCATTCAATTTGTATTTCACAAATCTGGGCTGTCCCTCTTTTTCACCCTTTCATCATTGACCGATTACTTTCAATAATCAGGGAAAACTGTCGGCATGGAGCAGCTTAACCGTTCAGTAAGTGTACTGATTTACACTTGAGTAAACATATTACATGAGCCATGTATATGTCGGCAATCGCTCATTTAATCTTCCCCTGGGATTCTGACCATCTATTGACGCGTTGTGTATTATAGATTTCCAGGCTCAAGCCACCTATGAAGATTACTTCATCCTCAACCTCGTCTTCAACTATTGCCACAGCTTTGGCAGTGGCAGCTGCTCTTGATGGAAATGAGAACTCTGTTGCGACAGCAAATCATGGCAATTACAACAGTGCAATAGAGACAATAAATACAACAGCTAATGTTCCTGGCAAAATGGTAGCAGGGGTTAAAAGAAAGGCTGAGGATACCACTCTTGAAAAGAGGACAAGGCCCCACCCATCAAACCAACCAAACCGCAGTTCAACTTCATCAGTAGTATCTAATACACCAGCTAATACCACAGCTAAACCATCAGTATTGACAAGTGCCAAAGCGGGAGTCGTAAACGCAAGGGCACCCTTAAAGCGTACTACACAACATGACTCTACAGCGTCCAAACCCACAGTGTTACGACGCTCTGCTACGACGGCCTCAAGAACATCGTTCACGGCCAGTACAATATCTCACACAACAACCTCAAAGACTGGAAATGGAGTCTCTCTGAGCACAGCAAGAAATCACCCTCAGTCACGCCTAAAAACTGCAAGTCAGCAATCATCTGCCAACCCATCCGATGTACAATCGTTGAATGGGGAATCCGGAACCTCTTCCGAACATACAAATGGTGCTGGTATTTTGAATGCGTTAGCACTATCCAAGAAGAAAAAGCGCCCTGCGTGGGATACAAAAGGGCGCTTAGAAGATATGGAGGAATTGACCAGCACGCTGCACCAACTGTTACAAACGTCTACCAACAACATGAATGACTTAAACAGCAAGCTTTTATCGAGCGAGAACAAGAGTGAGTTTGATCTTACAATGACAACTTTGACAATCGAATCAAGGACCGATCTTATCTTGATAGATTCTCCCCCAAATTTCAGGGTGGGAAATTGACGTACCTTATTGTTCATTTGACTATAATAGTCTCCGAACTCGAGGCGTTTCGCCAAAACCTCGAGAGTAAAGTTGCAGTCAAGGAAAATGAGAATAAGGATATTCTGCAAAAGATGAGGCACGTTGAACAGGACTTACAGGCAAGTTAAAAGATTTTAATCAACGTGGGGGATAAACTATTGTATGCTTTTGTCATTTATAATTAGTCTTTTTTTTTTTTTTTTTTTTTTTTTTTTAATTAATGTGTTTCATATTCTTTTAGATGACCGCTAAACAGCATGAAAGTGAGATACAGACTTTGAAAGCGCAGCATTCAATTGAAATGGAGCAACTTAGAGCGATGCAAGTTAGACTCAAGTCAGAAAGCGATAGACTTGAAACGAATTTACGTACCACTAATATGCAATTGGATCAGCAAATTCAAGAGAACTCAAGTTTACGTGCTACTATTTCAACTCAATCCTCCAACTGCTTGGCGCTTGAGAGTGATAACCGTGCTCTCAAGATGAAAATCGAGGTAATATTGATAAGTGTAATTTAAACTCGGAATATAATCATACAATTACAATATATTAATTGAGCTTTTTCTTTGTACTTACAGCGGACAGAAACTACTCTTGCTCAACGGGAATCTACCATCGAAAAGCTTGAGCGAGAATTATCGGAGTCGCAAACGATTGTTCGGGAGTTGGAACAGCGTATCCGACAGGAAGAGACGATCCGACGTCGCCTTCACAACACTATCCTTGAACTTAAAGGAAATATTCGCGTTTTTTGCAGGGTGCGTCCAGTATCGCCATCGGATAATGCACGTAAAGCTGACACTTCTACTGCACAAATCAAATATCCTGACCAGGAAGGTCGAGAGATTGAGTTTGCACATTCAACCGGGTCAGCGACTGGGTCGCAAATTGAGAAAGCCTATCCCTTCACGTTCGACAGGGTCTTTAAACCATCTTCAACACAAGATGATGTGTTTGAAGAAATATCACAACTCGTGCAGTCTGCATTAGATGGTTACCATGTTTGCATCTTCGCCTATGGTCAAACAGGAAGCGGGAAGACCCACACGATGGAAGGACCACTGAATGCTGATGCAAAGTCGATGGGTATGATTCCTCGATCGGTGTTACAAATTTATGAGCATGCCAAAGCACTTGAGTCCAAAGGATGGGTATATACAATGGAGGGCCAATATATCGAGATTTACAACGAGACCATTAATGACCTATTGGCAAATGAAGGAACAGACTCTGGCAAGAAGCACGAAATCCGTCATGGACCTAATGGAATAACTACTATTACAGATGTCACAACCGTTATGCTGACTTCACCAGCAAAGGTTGCTGCACTGCTCAAGAAAGCTGCTCACAACCGGTCTGTAGGATCGACACAGATGAACGAACGTTCCTCCCGTAGCCACTGGTATGAACACAAACATCAGATGATTTTGGTAGGCGATTAGCCATAACTTTAATGATACTCATATCCTGCAATATTATCTGTTTTATGATTTGATCAAAACAGTGTGTTTACGCTTAGACTATCAGGAAAAAATACAATCACGGAAGAAGCGAGTATGGGGGTTCTCAATTTGATCGATCTAGCAGGATCAGAGCGCCTATCACAATCAGGGGCTACTGGAGAACGTCTTAAAGAAACCCAGGCAATTAATAAGAGCTTAAGTTGTCTAGGGGATGTCATCTACGCCATCTCCAACAAAGATCCACATATACCATATCGCAACTCAAAGGTAAATGTAAATATATTTTATCTAAAAAAAAAAAAAGTCATCGACTAATGCAGAGCTTTGTCCTATTTCTTTTTTATTTTATTGTTGATCATTTATTTTATTACATTTTATTTGGTTTCCTGAAACAGCTTACATATCTACTACAAAACTCGCTTGGAGGAAATAGTAAGACACTAATGTTTGTTAATGTGTCGCCATTAATGAGTAATTTCAATGAGACCTTGTGCTCATTACGATTTGCCACCAAAGTCAACTCATGCACAATTGGCACAGCCACGAAACGTCAGGTGAAAGCATGAGATTAATTTATATCTGTCAAGATAGGATGGGACTATGGGTGTTTGTATCATATAACTATTATTAAAACTTGATCGAGGTGTATGTAATAAGTAAACACATCCACAACGTCTAGTGTTGCCCCTACTTTTTTCCCGTCCATCGTTACCATACCCGCTGACGGGAAGATTTTTTGCTGGGAAAGAGGCGAGAATCATTTTTCAAATAAAGAATCGGCGTCCATAAAATCACAAGGGTTTTGTAATACAGCTATTCAGTCTAGACTTATCTGAAGAATTGACTGACGGCTGCATGAATCTAATACACCTGTCGTCTTCTTTCTTCTTTGTCTTTGTTTCTTTTGCCGTTGCGCATGTGCCCTCATCCTCACGCACACATTCACAGAAACACTCATCTACCCTTCTTCATTACTCTTTTTGTCATCTTTAAACACTATAAACGCCGGCCTGAAATTCTTTGACTGCTCCCTTCCAAAATTAATAGATTAATCCTGCCTTAAGTTTAATTATCATATTTGGTGTTTGTACAGCTGTTACCAACCAATGGCTCTGCAGACAGACAGCAGCCAAAGTAACGGCTTTGACAATCCATCTTCCACCGTCACGACTGTGACTCGCGATCATGATCCTCCTTCTTCGGATGACACACTCTCCTCTCCACCACCAGTTAAACTCAGAGCACAAAACACCTCCACTTCTCATGAAACAAAAGCACAACCATCAGGCTTCAGCCGTTCTGAGGGTGGTATCCTGACCAGGACTGGCAACCGCAAGTCAAAAACAGGAGTAATATCGGTGACAGCAGCTAAAAGGAGTCCTAATCACGCGTCTCTAGGGTCCCGTACCTTATTACAGGTCATGAGAATGTCAAATCGTAAACTAAAGAGCCATTATGTCTCGTCACGGTCGCTTTCAATTCATCGTCAAGTGCTCGTGAAGAATTTCCTATCTCTTTTGTACAACTTGAGTTCACAGGAATGGTCCGACGATAGTGACGAAGAGGATGATTCTTGGGAAGAGAGCTCGGGTGATCAAGACCAATCTCATTGTTTATCCAGTATGATGCTTGAAGAAGACCACCAGGATAGACGGAAAGAGCAAACTGTTCAGATGGCTCCTGAAGTAAGCAGTAATGAAGAGATTGAAGATATAAATGATACCGGGAAAAGTGTCAAGCTCAAGGAAACCGGGTTGAGACCATGGAGCAGTGAGGATAAACAAGCCGAGGACAGCGCAAACTCAGCGGTATGGAAGGTTGCCTTTACATTAGGATTGACTCAACAGGTAAAAGAAAAAAAAAGAAGTCTTTTAACATATTCAATTCAATATGGGTGCTTTAAAGAAGTAGTAAAGAGTACTACATCTCATCGGGAGCTATTTATGGTCTATTAAAACCTTAGGGTGTAGAAAAATCAACGGATACGCCTTTGCCCGAGTCAACAGATCATATACAGCTATCATCCGGCCCCACCGCAACACCAGTATCGTCTCACTCTTTGAGTGTATCTCGAGCGAAATCCTCGACTACCGTTATACCCCTAACAAAGCCATCGTCACTATCCACAACTCCACCGCCCATTAGAGGACATCCCCGACCGACTCATAAAGGCAGAGATCAGCAGCCGCGTCCAAGGTCGGCTGAAATACCTCAGTCGCTGCAGACATACCTCTCAAATGTTTTTGACGTAGATTGGACGGTGGCTCTTTCTGTCTCCGAAGATTCCCTTTTTACACATGCAGGATCTTTGACAGCTAGACCTCGTTCTCTAGTTCTTTCTTCAACTTCACCAGGAGGAAGCTCAGCCCTTGGTGTCCCTACAATGCCTCCTTCTCCGACCAAAAGAGGATCATCCTTGGCATCTGTTTCATTTAATTCTCCTTCATCCACTTCACTGTCAAAGGCTGATGGATCAAATCGTAACGTACGTGCGCCAATTAGAGTAGAAATCCAACTTGCGAGTCAGCACCAGAAGCGCATCAAAACAGCTGTACGGATGGCATCAACTTTACCTGAAAAGGATACTGTAAAAGAGCCCACCAATTCGGCAGTAACTTCGAAAGCATCTCTCTCAAAAGAGCCAAACAAAGTCAATCTTAGCCGCAGTGGAAATAATAGCAGTGGAAACGGAGGGACGAATATGCCTGCAAAAAATACTCATAGCACGGCAAGAGAGACGCCTTTGAAGCAATCTCCGATCCAAAGTAATAACCGAAAATCAACGCTTGCCCCTGGTCGACAATCATCCCTGCAGCATACTGGCAGCCAGCTGCTAAAGACTAGGATTCTTGGAAAATCCAATATTCGAGAACTTCAAAATGTCGACCCCAATAATAAGCGCCAAGAGAATAGGATACCTCAAGAGCCCGACAAGACGCAAGGATGCCAGATCAAGACACCAAACAGGACTATTACTGCAGCAAGAAAGAAAGCTGATCCCAATGCGCGTAATGATCGGTCAGCTAATCCTATTCATACCCCGAAGGTTCTGTCTTCATTAGCATCTACACCATTTTTCTCGCGACGAACTAGTTCCCTATTTATTGCCAATGGAGCTGCTAATGACCAGCCGATTGTTCATCGGAGCAGTAAAGGCCCTACGACGCATGAAATGCTGTCAACGCCACCAATAGTAATGAATAACCCATCGCATGGACCTCAAAGTCCATCGAGTACCCATTCTATGACCACTATCAGCAATGCAAATAGTCAGCGGGCACAAGATGGATCACGTTCATCGTTTCTCAACGGTAGAACCATCAATGGCTCTCCATCATCACCATCGTTATTGCAGTCAAATAAACCCTCCGGAAAGAAGACAGAGCCGTCCACTAAATCGTCGTCTGGGTCCCCACTTCTTCCGCCATTTTTGTCAAACATTCTATCAAGCCAACAGAACCCTACATCTACACCGCTTCAAAAGCCTCAGTTACAGCCACAGCGGCAACAGGCACATGCACGCTCTGCTTCGTCCGCGCTCAGGGCTAGGTCACCATCAATTCACCAGTCTCGTATTGAAAGTAGCGGAATGGTGAGTGCTAGCCGGAGTAGTGGGATGTTAAAGTTCAGTACCAATGATCTAACTCAGCGAAGTTTGCAATCGCTGACCACTCCTCAGCTGCAGCACCGGTCGTCCAGGACAGAATCTCATCCTTATTATAACCATCCACAGAAGCAAAAGCATGAACAAAAACAGCAACAGGAACAGGAGCAACGCTCCCCCATACTGGCAAAACACACTGGCTATTTTGGGAAACCAGACCATACTTTGGCAATGCAGCTACGCGCGATCCCCGAAAATCATAATGGTTATAGTGGTACCAATGGGACTCATGGGAGCATCAATGATTCACACCCTTCAAAACCGACACCAAAAACAAATATGCATGCTTTAGACAGTTATCCTTCAGTACTTTGCGATGGCAATATAAGGAATGGAAGGAACAGCCCTAATCACAACCGGCATGAGGCTAGTGGTCATAGTACGAATAATAGTAACCGCTGGTCAAGTGTCAAGTCCATGTTAGGGCTTCGAGCTCGTTCGAATGTAGGAAAATGATACCAGTTGAGAGGAGAGAGAGAGAAAAAAAACTATAATTTATAATCAGCTCATCATCTACATTAAGAAACAGTTTACTTATTTTTATGTAATGTTGAAGGTAAATAGGAATGGTGTATAAAGGTTCTTTTCGTATCTATCATTCCTTTCATATTTTAATAAATAAAGACTACATAGTTTTGTGGAGAGATATTGCACAGTATTAGCAAGTGATGTAGGGCTTGTATCGTATGCTTAGTCGTTTGTCCTCATAGTAGCGGTGCCGAAAAGTGTCCAAATCGACGTTGCAGATCAAGTCACTATTTGTAATGTCAAGAAGGGCGCCCATTTGAACGTCCTCGGCCTTATTGTAGTAACTGAGGACGCCGCTGTTGTCTTTCAGTTTGGAGCGCAAATAATCTGTTTTAACCATAAACAAAGGCCCGTTGCTCCAATAGAAGCCTGCTTGAGTTTTGCGCATGTTTCCAGCATACTTGCAGTCTGCTGCAGCAAATTCGCTAACTAGATTGTCCAAGATGGTCTTTGAGATGATGGTATCATCGTCTAACTTGACAACGACGTCGCTGCGGTCCAAGAGAGTGTTAAAGTCTGATGAGAGTAGCCAATCCTTTGCTTTATGTCCCAAAAAGTCATAATTGTAGTTTTTGTTCATTTTGATATTGCAGGAACTGTCGAGATTATCAGCATCACACACTTTGACAGCTTGGTTGAAATGCCAGAGAACGGCTGCGAAGGGACTGACGGTGCAACCAATGTACATGAAGATGTCATATTTGACAGAGTTGGAAGGATCCTTTCCTTTTAGGACTCGAATATTTTCGACCTCAAACTCCATTCTATTCCTCCAAGAAAAATAGTCAGCTTGAAGACGCAAAGTCGATCCCAATAAAAGGCCGACAGTTACTAGCCATATGAGGAACCGTCCTACAAATGCTTTTGGAGGACACGTGAGCCCCAATCGATGCTTCGGTCCCATTGGGTCCACTGATGTAAAGGAAATAAAAAAAGCGAGGGGCAGATCCACTGAGCTAATAAGAATGCGACCTGACCAACTGTTTTATTTCATGATCCAGTTAGTGGTTTTGCCCTTAAAAATGAAACACAACCAACAAGAATAAAAATAAAATAAATAGAGGTTGTACAAAGCAATAAACCTTTTTTTATTGACTTACTCTTGATTGTTTGAGATGAATTATTTGACGAAAGATGGAAAGAAAAGAGAGTGAGAGAGAGTGAGAGTGAGAGAGAGTAAGATGAACTTTTTTACATTGTGGAGATGAGAAGCAGATGTGAGATGAGAGGATGCAGTGGAAGTGAAATACTTTGTACTGTACAAACAGTCCTAAACGTGGCTAACGGTTTTTTAGTGTTTGCTTGGTCATTTTCGCCCTCCCCTTCAAATTTGATTTAACATGGTATAGTAACTACCAGGTCAAATCGATGAAAAGTAAACATCCGATAGCCAATCCCATGAGCATCGTTTAATAAAATGACGAATGTAGTATAAAAGGCCTCTGCGCAAAGGCCATTACCGCTGAGACAGATCTTGCTACATATCCTCTTAATGCAATTTGGATACCAAAGACAGGTGGAAAAAAAAAAAAATTAAACAAAAAAAGTAAATTCAGATAGACATAGACTATTATTCAAAGGGTTATTGAATGATGTTGGTTGATCGTATATCAAGAGAAGATTCTCACCATGGACTAGCAAGACTGAATAAAAGCGACATCTAAATTGGACGATGTAGCCGTTGTAAAGCGAGGAAAGTCTGCATTCCTAGGTCCATTATTGAACCTGAATTTGTTCTTGGCATCTAAAACATGGTAAAAGTTGAAGGCTTTTGAGCAGCCGCACAGCTGTTGACAATAGCAGTGATAGACGTTTATAGGTATGAAGATAAACTCTTGACGGCTTGAAGGGGGAAGTGCTTGTAGCCGGTAGCATCGACAATAATGACATTGATGGAGGAGCAGTCGATAAAAAAAACATGCTGGCTCCAACAAAGAGTTATAAGACCGAGGAGCAGTCGGTAGTTAAAGATAAGTTACATAGCACATCTACATGTGATTTATTGTATAGTACCATTTACTTTATTTCAACACCCATGCAACATTAAGAAGCACTTTAGAGCTCAAGAATTAAGGCAAGTATAGGCGTCATATGAGGTCAGTGATGAAAAGGATATGGACATACTTGTAAAACTCAAGGCAGTCATGTCTTTCTTAAAGACCAAACTCGACTTCAATTGTCTTGCGACCAGAAATGACAAGATTGGTTAAGACGCCCGCCAGAACTAATGAGGGAATAGGCTTTTGCTGGCGAAGGGTTCGTCTCATGTTCAAAAACATGTATGTTAGACACCATGCTAGTCAATCCAAGGGAGATGACGTACAATTAGAAGAGGGATTTTAACGACGATGTTGGCAGAGAGGCAAATCAACTTAAGCTTGTACCTGTGGTTGTTCCAGATCCATTTTCAGGGTCTTTCATATACTTCATATACCTGTATATAAAAAAAAAAGAAAAAGAAAAAGCAAAAAGAAAAAGCAAAAAGAAAAAGGTAAAAAGATTAATTCAAGCCGATCTATGGTATGAGAACTACACATGCAGAAAAAAAAACTTACCCGGATCCGGCCCATATCGCTGAGAAGCCCATCATAACACCAAAATGAGGTAGACCTGAGCCTGCTCGTGCTGCTACTGGAGCAGCAGCTGCGCCTAGGAAGATTCAGATTTGTAATATGGAAAAAAAGGATTGTTTAGATATTGAATCAAGTCCAAGTTATTAGGAAGCTGTGCAGTAGGCAAGTGAAAAGTGTAGTCCCTTACAAATAGCAGACAGAGTCCACTCTGGGTATGGTTGGGCTGCAATACGATACAGGGCCGATTGGCGGTATGCCACGACCGAAGCAGAAGGCCCCTCCGATGCCTGCGCGGATGCCATGGTGAAATGAAGACCAATTCATTACAGCTCATTCGGGTAATCTCTATTGAGGTGGCTTTTTCTTTTTTTTTTTTTTTTTGCGCCACCAAATAATGCGATGTGGTGACACAAAGGAGAACTTGGTGCTGGTCTTGCCACTAAACCCTCAAAAAACCCCTTCGGTTCCACAGGATCGTTAGACACCCAAGTATGTATTTTAAGCCTACCCTGTGCCTGTCGGGCCAGCCATCTTTAACCCAGTCTTTTTTTATTTTCTTTTTCTTTTTGATTAGTTATTGATTGTTAGGATCGCCTTCGAAGCTTCAAACAATATGTTACCTCTTTTATTGTGCTCCTCAAGGAACAGCAGTGTAGATTCTAGGCATACTTCCACGTACCTCTCCATGTAGGACGGTATCCTTCAGCATCTATGTTTTTATCCTAACCGCTATCATGATAACGTAAATAAAAACCTACTAAAAACGCCTCGAGTATCAGGCAGATTCCATTGAGATTTTTTGAAGCAATTGGATCCCCTTCATCGCTTTAGCTGCTGTATGTACTCGAGAATGAGTTGAATATGAGTATAGTGGAGCAAGGTCTGCAGCCAGCTCCTGAAATGACAGGTGTAGGTAAATTAACTGCCTCTATTCTATGATCCTATTAGCTTACCCAAAATCAAATCGAACCACTGGTACATTGGACCATATCTTACGGTTGGCTTTGTGTAAAAATCAACTCAAATAGTACTTATTTCCATAGGTCCAAAACATGATAGGGCGGCTAGAAGGATAGCTTCCTGTATGCTACTATATACGATGTGTGAGGAGCGCCAATAGGTTTGGGCTCAGATGTAAGGATGTGCTGTATAGGGCTATTACAACTAATCAAATTATCAGCATCGATTACTCTCAAGGAGAAAGGAATAAACCCCAGTTGGTCTATCCTGGGATGGCCTGGTCAAGGCATCTCTTCAGAAGCTAGACAATAATGACAATGGTGCTGAGAGTACAGCTTGTTAAATATCTCGTTCATTGTTTTGTCGTCTGAGGCGGAAAACACTAGCCAAATCTATTTAATACAATTTTCCGTATTCCGGAATATCAGCAGTGATTCCAACTCTAATTGTACTTGATGAAGTATCCGGCAACCAGTATTGCGAGCCCAATAATGCTACAGAAGAAGTAGAAAGCCCTACTCTTATTGGTAGCAACTTTACTCTCTGGTTGTACCGCATCGATTTGGTTCAGATGAATACCATTAACTACTAGGTTTTTTAAACCATTCTCATGATGCAGCTGCCACCCCTGTTTATACTTCAAGCCACTGCTGTCATTGGAATCGGATGGATTAATATCGGCAACTAAAGTATAATTATTGTCTGCAGTTGTGTCCATTGCACCAGTGGTCCTTGTGCTCTCATCGAAGCCTATCATGCCATCCTCAGTATCTGGTCCCATATCCACCTCTGGCTTTTCAAGAGTCACTGGTGTTTCGGCCAATACATGTTTTAATGGCATCTCCACCTCTTCACCATCGTCCATATTCTCGAGGCGCTCGCCCCATAACTTGATTCTCCAGTCAATTAGCTTTCCTTTAAAGTCTGAATTGTTTTGGTCACGAACTACCAGGCTCCAGTTTCCGACAGGGTCCTCTCCCCTTTGTAAATGAAATTAATAAATGAATGAAAATAGGCTTTAGAGGTTGACCATTATAAGCATTTAACATTAAACATCCGTTCGAATTTTATACCAATGCTTCACTGTCATGAATGTCCAGTTGGCAAATCCCGTAGTTGCGTTATCAAACTGCCGCCTTGTGCCTAGCCTTGATTCGATTTGATGAGGGCTTGTCAAGGTCACCTCTACGTCGCCCCGTCGCCCATGCTCGATATTCACGGTGACTGTGACATGCTCCAACATCCCCAACTGAGCCCCTTTAGCTTTCAACTCTGCTTTTGAGACCTTGATCATGGAGGAAATCCCTTTACCGTCTTGTGGTATCGGTTTTTGGACAATAACAGTAGGAGGATAAAAGAATGTCTGCGGCCGAAGGCTTTGAAAGGCTTTGGCGGCCTCCACGAGCTTATACGCGTCTAGAGAACCGTAACCAAATTTGTGGTTGAAGAGTCGTCCTGCATGAGTCTTTTCCCAATCGGGATCGGAAACAGAGACTGGTGTTGCTGTGTCCATGAGCAGGTACTGAACATCGCGCCAGCTGAGGTCTGGGCGCATAGACAGCACAAGAGCGATCATGCCTGCAGCAATGGGTGCGGCTGCACTGGTACCGCCATGATGCTCAAAGCAACGCCGTTTACCTACATCGCAAGTATACTACAAAGTAGAAAGAAGGGAAAAGAAGCTACTCAAAACACATCCACATCCATGCTGAATTTTACAAAGACACATACACAAACAAAAAAAAAAAAAAAAGAAAAAAAAGGATCATACAATGGCTTTTCCAGCTCCATTGCTGTAGGTCACTGCCAACTGTGCCGAACAGGGCTCTGAATAATAAGGGTATCCTTGTGTATGATCAATGGCTCCAATGCTTACTGTATACAGGCTGTTGGCATACCCGTCAAAGTTACAATTGTCATCCTGGCTGGCTCCATTACCCGTCGCAAAGACATAAATACTACCAAGCCCTCCACGGCCATTTTTGATTCCGTTAACAATTGCGTCATACACGACACCTCTAGGTGCATCCATACTTCGTCCATCATCGGGCGGCCCCCAGCTACAAGAGTACACATGATTTTGCTGGAACTGGTAGTTGAGCGCTGCTGCTTCTTCTGCATCGGTAATTTGGCCAGAGAGGATACGGATTCCTGCAACTTTGGCTCCAAATGCGACACCAACGCCGCATAGGTCGTTCTTTGCAGCTGCGATTTCACCAGCGCAACGCGTGCCATGATTATCATCAACTAGGCGAGGCTTTGGCAGGGCGGTATGATCATTAAAATCCCAAGATCCTTCCTTGAACTTTTATTTTGGAGCCCGAAAGAGAAATACAAGAAGTTAGTCGTGAAACTTTGTCAGGAACATGCTTTTTCCCGTCATAATACATAGTACTTTCATTCTTTTTGTCTTACAAAGTTTGGTGCAAGATCTTCACTATCCATATCAAGGCCATCATCAATAATCGCTACGTTCACTCCAGTGCCATTGATCCCTACCCTTAGTGCCGTAGTTAGTTGGTTATGTTCAACGCCAGAAACTTGTTAATACCATAATATCTACAGGCTGAACAGCTCCTACCTTGCTCCCATACTCCAGTAACATTGATATCGTGTCTACTCTCAGCATTATACTGTTATTTAAAATCAAAACCCTCATGAATAATCAGCAACGTGTCAAAATGGCATTTTACTATATGTTGTCTTCTAAAAACTCACCAGGTGCCATTGGTAGCGGAATCCTGGATCCCTCAATTCAAATGCTTGCTTTAATTCATCCTCAGATAGCCCTTGAGCCCCTTTCCCACCCTCATCAAGGCTCTCAGATCTTCCGTTCCCATCTTCTCCTAGCTTCTCGCCCCCTCCACTATAATGATTCCGCTCCTGTTCCTGTTTCCAATATCTCTCGCTTTCTTCTCCTTTCCTTTCTCTCTGTTCACCGTGTTCTTCGGCATTTCTATTCTTTTCTTGCACTAGCGGTAGAGGCGCGCGCTTTTTGGCACGATACCGCAGCTCCTGTTTATAGATTTCCTTCATTATACGGACGACACTAGCATGATCCCTTTCTTGATAGCGACGTCGCTGATATCTTCCACCCTGGCTCAAACTTTGGTTTTGCAAGGATAATTGAACAGAGAATTGTTGCTTTAAGCGATGAAACCGCTCTATTACAGGGTCTTGTATCAACCTTGATATCGAAACATTTTTATCTGATTCCTCGCCTGTCTCTACTTTACCCTCGGCCGAGTTATCTAAGGCCGAAGCAAATGACCTTTTGGAATGGTAGTTCTGGTGACTATCTTGTCTCTTCTTCATGTTATTAGCTTGAGGGACCGAGGAAGCAGTAGTTCCAAAGGTAGGGGAGCTATCCTTAATATGGTTGTGATGAGCTATGCCTGGATCAACTACATCCGTTTTGGACGAGCTATAAAGGAAGTAATCTGGGAGCATCCCGACTCTTGATTCAAATCGCAGGCCTAACAGCAGGCCTATAACGTCTTGCTGCTCCTCTTCATGTGGTAGCGTCCATGTACCACCATCTCCTCTTCCTTCACTTTGTCTTGTCCACATAACATCGCGATGATCGTCATCACCATCTTCAGAAGTGTATGGTGATTGAACCTTGATGAGATAGTAGTTCCTGTGTTTGTGATCATATCGTAAATTACTATGTTCATATCCATATGGGCCATATTCATATTCAGTTCTATGTCTTGACCTCGGCTCTTGTCCTGGTGCATCCGTTTTTCCATCATAAGCTTTATATTTTGACACATGTGTCTCAGCAACAGTATGAAAATATTTTGTAGAGAGGATGAAAATGACCGTGAACAAAATGGATACATAAAGGGCTGAATAGCGGCGCGCTTGCGACTCAGTATTCATTTTATGAGATACAAGGAGATTAATAAAAAGCAAGAGAGGGAAAGAAGCAGAAAGGGAAGGAGGAAATGAAAGAGAGAAAGAAAAGACGGAGATTCTTTTGCTTCTTGCTGTTAGTATTGATTGTGGTTGGGAATGTGTTTGCCCCTGATTGATGAGATCCTCTCTGTTAGTGATGGCGGTATCTCCCTTTGGCAATAATAAGGCGAAAGCAGGCAAGTCCTTCTGGGTTGCTCATCATAATAAGAATAAATTTAACATTGGTTGGTAGACATTGGTAGACATAAATATCCTCGGAAAAAGATGCCTTTCTCTATTATATAGTCTTCATTCCAGCTTGCACCTATACTTATTGATTCAAAAAAAAGGGGGGGGGACATGGTATTGTTACACTGGTCAATTTTAGAAGCTGTGTGCCCCTGTCTCACCTTCGATATCCTTTTTGCACCCCAAAACCATTTCGCCTTCGAAGAGACTCCAACGCATTGATCTCAACCTTCGCCAGATCCATCTTTGATAAAGAGTTGGTTCCCACAAAGGCTCCTTGTCTCCTTGGCTCCTCATGCTTTACTATGAACGGTGAACGCTGTTTAACCCTTCAACGAGAACATATAGCATGGATAAAAGATCGGCTTAATAAAAAGACCCTAGCCGTAGAATCGCTAGGCTTCATCATTTCTTTAATGACCATTTTTCACTTTGAAACTTCTATATCCATCCGTTTCTAGAGCTGCTCGTCAACAAGCATATTACACAACAACACCCATCAATAAAAAAAAATAAATAAAAATAACAACGGTATCGGTGCCAAATTACTAGCATACCTCAATGTTGTTTTTCTTTTAACAATTTCTCTGGTCGAAGAATAGATACAAGTTAAATGCATATATTATTCAGTAAGTGTGTAATTGGATTTATTTACATCCGATATTTATTACCAAGGTACTGTCATCAAGGCTTCTCAGCTACATGTCCTTGGGCTTTTTGGTGGAGGCTGAGTGCCCAATCTCTGAGAATTTCCTTGGTTCTCTTCCATGACAGGCTAACAAAGGTGATGTACAATATACAGTTTCAATCACTGTAATGCGGGAAGAAAGGGTTGGGCTACTGCATAGGACATCGTTTACTTTAATCAACAAACAGAATTTGAGATGGTCAGGGCTTTTGTATAATAGTTATCCTTACTTATGTGATATTGACCACGAGAGGTTATTTTAACTTGGTATAAGTTGAGACTGAAAATCTACACTACGTACTAGAAGACTTCAAGGCCATAAATGTTCACAGAGATCACTCATACATACTCTTTGGCAACCTCGAAGGACCCTGTTGAGATATAGTAGCATACAAGCAATACATCTGTAGTATTCACCAACACTTGCACTCATCTTTCACTTTCTTGGGGCTTGATGGCAGACCGATATTCTCGACAACACTACCACTCAGGCTATCCTTCTAGGATTGACACCATAACATTCATTCCTCCACAACACCTAAAACGTGTAAAGTGACGAGCTTGCCTGTAAAGCGTCTTAAAAAAACATTCTATTGAATCAACGCCTCTTTCGTGCATTATCTCAGCAGCGTGAAAGATCGGCGTGACCATTCGAGCTCTGGAAAAGAGCAATGGTACCAAAACTTGCTGAAGTAAGCTGGAACGGCATAATGTATCCTTGATGAGACAGTTGTTATGCCTCAATCCTATTGGCTTTGGGGATGAAAGGTATCTAGACTGAACATCTATTTGGGCGTCATGCCCTTTTTGCTGCTTGGTGTCTATCTATACAAGAAATTCGGTCATATTATTTTTAAGAACGACTAGCGCTGTGTTTGCTCCATCATCGGTGTTGTCTGTGTTGGAGCCCCATTGATGCTCCCAACAAACCAAGATGGAGCGGAAGGATGCTTAAAAGTCGATCTTACCAATATTATTTTGTATATAACGCATACGCTCTATCCATTCCTATAACATTCATAGACATGACCACAGAAAGCCTCATGATATCTATTAAACAGCAAGGGTAGAGAAGTGAAGAAGATGTCCGCAGGTGTCATAGTTCATTGCAGCGATATAATAACTTGAATCTAAGCTTCCCATTTGTAAAAAGCATAGCTGATATCGGTACTGTATTAAAAGCATTATGGAGACGGAGCAGAGTGCGGCTTTTTTTTTTTCTTATCCTTTATACTCTATGATGTATTAATGGAATGTCTGCTTGCTATCTTTAATCTTCACCAGAGTATTAAACTCGTCCCAACTATCACCCTTAACCTTGGATGCTGGTCCACCAGGATGATTTTCTGCATCCTCATCATCTTCATCCTCATCCTCATCCTCATCCTCATCCTCATATCCCCCTTCTACCCCTGCCACCTCAAAACTGCTCTCCCGTTCAATCTCTTCCCCACTGGATAAGGGGCTGGATGTGCCTATACCCCGAGGAGTTTGGCTGGTCTTTTGCTCCTTCATCTTTGCTGCATTTTCAGCCGCCTCAATATGGCTTCTGTCAAACACAATTCGACGGGAATCTGGGTTCATATGGTCATCGTCATCATCATCATCACTATCACCTAAGTCATGTGTCGGTAACTCATCAAACTCATAGTCACCACGACGACCCAATAATCCTCCACGCTGACCAGCCTCTTCATCATTGAAGCCACCACCAAAAACATTCCTAGGGTTGGTCCGATGTCGATACATCAAGAAAAGTGCGGCTCCAATAGCAACAAACATGCCCCCAAACATTATGTAGATGAATGGGCTAATCTTAACGCCTTCATCGCCACCGTTGCCCTCTGACTTGTCGGGGTTCTTACCCGGATTCGGTGGCAGTTCAGTCTTTTCTGGAACAGCAGCAGAAGTTGTGGGTTGAGCTGGTGGTGGAGCTGGGGCAGGTGGTAGTGTTACGTTGGCATGTCCATTTTCAATTTCGCCATGAAGTCCCAACTTCCAATTGATAAAGGTTCCTGTCTTCTCAGGATTTGAGCGATCGTACACCGTCAAAGTCCATGGACCAATGGGGGATTCCTCCCTGCATGACAGTTTTCAATATCAAATTTAGAAGGAAGAAAAAAAGTTTAAGGAGTGCAATAAATCAAACAATAACCATGACATGACCCCTTTAAACTGTCAAAATCTACTTACCAGTGCTTTACTGTCATGAAAGTCCAATTCACAAAGCCATTTGTAGAATTGTCCTGTGGTCTGGCCACAGCCAACTTCGATATGATGCTATCAGGACTTCTAAGCTCGATTTCGACCTCACCACGATATGTGTGCTCAATGTTCACTGTGATAGTGACATGCTCCAATGTGCCAAATTTGACCTCCTTTAGTGCAGCCTCTGTAACTTCAAAAACTGAAGGTAAACCCATCTGTCCAGTTCTGCCTACGTTGTCGTCATCTCCAGAAGGAATATCGCCATCCACAGTGATGACAGGCGATTCGTATGTGACTTGGGGTCCAACAGATACCCATGTCTTCGCATACTCCACCATTGCATAGGCATCCAGTTTTCCATATCCATACTTGTGATTGAATAAACGGCCCACAGACGTCTCAGCCCAATCAGGATCTTCTTCGTCTATGGGGATGGCAGTATGGACAGTGATATACTGCACATCGCGCCAATTCAAGTCCGGTCTAATGTCGAGCCATATCGTTGATGATACAGAGGATGGGGCATAAATGACTTATATGGTTATAAAGGGGACTTGAGACATAGAATGGATTGGTTTGACTGTGAAGAGTCGCATTGAAAGAAAAGACAAGCTAAGTCTCATATAATTTCATACCTGACTTCTAACAAAAGAGCATAGATGGCTGCAGCAATGGGTGCGGCTGCGGATGTGCCGCTATGGTTTGCAAAGCAGTTTCTCTTCCCGATATCGCATGTGTACTAGTTACAAGAAATAAAGAGAAACAAACACCGCAAGCAATTAGAATCTCTCATTTGTGCTATTCAAAACCTACATAGGCACAGAAACGGATTGATATAAAATAAAATAAAACGCTTACAATCCAACTGTTGTCTCCAGAGCTATAGGTTACTCCAAGCTGTGCAGAGCACGCTTCTGAGTAGAGGGGATGTTCGTTCGTTCTAGTGATAGCGCCGATCGAGATTGTGTATCGACTGTTGGTATAGCCATCAAAGTTGCAGTTATCACCCGCTCTGCCTCCGTTTCCGGTCGCAAAGACGAAGATACTGCCCTTGCCCTGACGGCCATTATCGACTCCATTGATGAATGCATCCAACAACATCCCAGTCGGTCCATCCATTGACATGCCATCATCAGGTGGACCCCAACTGCATGAATAGATTTGAGTCTCATTGAAGTTATAATTGAGTGCTTCTGCTTCCTGAGCATCTGTAATCGGTCCGGAAAGGATGCGGAGACCTGCTACCTTGGCATCCCATGCAACACCTACTCCACAGAGATCGTTTCTGGACGCTGCAATCTCTCCTGCACATCTGGTTCCGTGATTGTCGTCATCAAGCTGAGGTAGAGGGATGTTCACGTTGTCATTAAAGTCATACGAGCCTTTGGCGTACTATATCGTTAATTTTTTTTTTTTTTTTTTTTTTTGTTGAAAAACGAACCATTAGTTTCTTTTCCGTTGACGAAGCAATACTATTGAACTCTCCATTGTCTTTTAGGACAAAAAAAAAAGGGGGAGGCAGGGTTAAATTAACTCACAAAGTTAACTGCCAAGTCCTGACTGTTTGCATCCAAACCATCGTCAATAATAGCCACAATGGTGCCCTTTCCTGTAATGTTTTGTTCCCATACACCTGTCACATTAATATCGTTTCCTGGCTGTTTAGTATTATGCTGTTTTATCATAAAAGCAAAAAACAAAGATTGAAAAAAGTAAGTCATGTCTGTTATATCAAACAGTTGCTTTTTCCCTTGATTCATCCTTGACTCTCTTTTTTCCTTACCAAGTGCCATTGATATATAAACCCAGGGTCCTGGATCTGGAAGTGAGCTGCAATTCCATCAGCAGGTTGTGGTTCGCCACGAACATACTCGTCCCTGGGTTCGATGACCATAGCTCGCTTTATTCGTTGCCTCAGCTCCTGCTTCTGAATTGGTCCCAGTGGTGATGATGATAGCCCTATATTACTTTGTCCTTTCTCTACCTCTGACACTGCGTATTCATCGCTGCTTCCATCTCGTCTCAGAAGATGATGACCTGCTGCACTACTGCCAACAATGCTACGCTTTTTTCTCATCATCAATTCATGATGAAATGCTCTAGATTGCCGAAGATCATTATAACGCCTGACCACGATGTCTTCCTGATTTTGATCTTCATTTGTAGTTGTAATGTCATTTTCGTCCGCTCGTTTTTTGACAGGTAAAGAGGATTTAGGGTAGCTGAAGAGATGATAGTTAGCCAGTTCTCCAACCTGGCCTACATACTGAACTCCGAGGTGATGAGCAATCTCTTCTGGGCTGGCCAAGGTTGGATCATGTATTTTGACAGCATAATAGTGAAAGTTATCTGTTTCATGCACCAGCGGCGGTCTTCCAGCAATGGAAACAGGGAGATAAGATGAAGAGCTGATAAGAGCAGCGACGCTCAGTAGCAGCAAGAGAGGCTTCATCGGTTATTGATTAGGCTGCTCAGAAGAGCAGAGGAGAGCGCCTTTTTCTTTCCTTTCCTTAAATGAATGAAGGAGAAACAGAGAAGGAGAGAATAAAAAAGAGAGAGATGGAGTGGGTTAAAGAGTGGAGGTCGAGGTGAAGAGGAAGTGGAGTGCAAGAAGGAAAGAAAGAGAGAGATGTTTCAAGATAAAAGAGCTTTACGTTTGAGAAATGCTTTGGCCAGACAATAAATTTTTAAAATGCACAAATCACTCAGGGACAGGGATTCGGAATATTTTTTGGGTTGTTTCCCATCCATCGATCGCAGATCATGGCGGGTGGTCAATGTTTCTCCATAATGTCTTTGTCAGCCCACGTGCTATTTATAACCTTGTAGCAGCAATGGAGACCGTAAAATGAAGTGGATGTCAAATAGCTCTTTTTTATTATTGTTATGATTATGACAACTTGTTGATACTGGTACTGATACTGGTACTGATAATGATAATGATAATGATAGTGATAATGGATAATGGATAATAGATAATGGATAATGATAATGATAATGATAATGGTAATGATAATGGTAATGATAGTGATGGGACTGTATGCATTTATAATACTTTAAGGATTAACAGGTATACAAAAGAAGAGGGGGGAAAAAAAAAGAAAAAAAGAGTTATTCTTCTACCACTTGTTACTCTTGACCTTGGCCACAAGAGCCGCCCACGCTAATAGACGATAAATCAATACAACGGCCACAAACAAGCCCATGTACAGATTCCAGTCCTGGTCTTTGAACCTGAGCAATTCCAATACGGCATCACCTGTTGGGTAAGGACATGCACCTGAATTGATCTGTTCAGTTGAACAATCAAAGACACGACCATCAAATTCATTCCGCGTCATGATAAAGGATCCGTATTTGAACAACGATACGTAGTTAATGTATTCCAGCCATTTAGGAATATTAAGAGACATGAAACCCGTCATAAACGAGAAAACACTGATCTATTTTTTTTTTTTTTTTTTTTTTTTTTTTTTTTAGTTGTTCATTGTAGTTGAAATAAAGATAATAGTATAATATTAGCAAACAAACCAAAAAAAAATAAAAATATAAAATATAAAATAAAAAAGCACACAAGTGACATGATCATTCTTACCACTGCACTCATAACCGTGATGTTGAAACCAGCATGTGAAGCGAACGTAGAGAAAGCAAGACCAATGCTCTCGCCCGTGTTGATGTATCCAAACATAATGACCCAAAATGAAAAGAACGTCAAGACTGTAGTCTTCATATTTGTAATCACAAGCATGAACAACGTCACTCCTAATGATCCGAAAATCTCCAACGGGAGCTCGTTGATCAAATAAGAGGCAAAGAATGATGTCGCACTGTAGCCGCCATCCGAGATTTCTCGATAGGCTATGTCACGCTGTTCATTAAAATAAAATAAAAAAATAATATTTAAGTAAAAAAAAAAAAAAAAAAAAAAAAAATTCATTTTCAGAAGCGTCAAAACTACCTCTTGTCCTTGTTCATGCCAATATTCATGCCTACATACCTCAAAAGGATAAATGGCAACGTTGTTCAGCATTCCTGAGAATACAATAGGTGATGTCTGCTGCAACAGTCCAAAACGACTGGTCACATCCACAGGCTCATTACCAAGAGGCGCAAAGAAAATGGTCATGATAATGGATACAATCACTGGCTGGAAAGCTCGGTTGAAGTATAAGCCTTTCTGGCGGAAAGTGTTCACAAATGAACGACGTGCTAGAATTGGGAATGCTTTGCCAAATGATGCAAACTGAGGGTTGATTTTGGGCAGTTCTCCACAAGGCACCTTTGGGAGCTGAGATGCCAGCATGTCATACTTGTTCGCATTGAACCGCTCCACAAGCGCATTGACAATCTTGCGAGTCTTTTCTTCCAACTCAGCTGAACGCAAGTTGATGGATGCAGTGTCCAAGATAAAATCTAGAATATGATAATATAATCATATGCAGCCAACGTAAAACCAAAAATGAAAAAGTTAAATTAAAAAATAAAAAATAAAAAATAAAACACATCGTTAACATTAATTTCATAGGACATTGTTTACCTGGAACGTTGGTGAATATTGGGGCAACATGTCCTGCATCCTCAAAGTACTCAACAACCTTGTCAGCACGTCCAGAGTAAGCTGCGTGTCCACCCGTGACCAAAAGAACAACGTTGTCAAAAACATGCCAGATATCTGCACGAGGTTGGTGGATTGTGCAAACAACAGTCCTTCCACTGGCTGCAATCTGCTTCAACGTCAGCACGACTGCTTTCGCTATTTAGTCGTAGAATTAGAAGGTGTTAACAAAAGTATCACAGTATAGGATGTTAAGGAGTTTCTCTCTTTTTTTTTTTTACCTGTCAATGCATCTAATCCACTAGTAGGTTCATCAAGGAACAGACATGCAGGCTCCGTGACAAGCTGGATGCCGATCGAGACCCGGCGACGCTGGCCTCCCGAGCATCCCTTTACAGCGGCATTGCCAATAATGACATCTGCACATTCTCTCAGTCCTAAAAGGTCAATGATATCCTCAACTTTTGCATGTTTGTCTGCCTTGGAAACAGAGCTATCCATTCGAAGTTCGGCAGCATACTGGAGTGTTTCACGGACAGTCAAATGAGACAACAAGAAGTTGTCGTCTTGGCGGACATAGGAGCTGACACCGTTGATTAGACGCAAGGACGGGTTCTTGGTATCATTATAGTAAACCGCCCCTTTCTTTTTTAGTTCCGGCGACGTACGGTGCAGCAAGGTATTGAGTAGACTCGTCTATAATATATATCATTGTAAGAAAAAAAAAATTCTTTTTTGTTAGTTTTAACGAATAAAAACATATAGATAAATATATATAAAGAACCAATACGTCTTTAATTACCTTTCCGGCTCCGCTGCCTCCAAGGATCGCAGTCAATTCGCCTGCTGGGAAGACAACATCTACATTTTTCAACAGCTGTTTCTCAGTCCTCTCACGGCGGAGACCCCTCATGATGCCCTTAAAACTCCACTCAAACTTCGATAGCGATACAGATAAACTGAGGTTTTCCACACGGATTGTCACAGGATCCTTGCGCTCCAACCCCTTGGAGAACACATCCAGACGAGTCTCACCCAACCGAGCTTCCTTCTCCAGATCCAGACTAATTTCTGAGGACACAGCTGTTGAATTTCCTTGCTCGCCACTCACAGAGGATTTAGTCTTGTTTTCTCTCTTCCTGAACAACTTCATGAATTGATTGACGAATATATCGGCCAGTGTAGGGCCTGAACCCATACTTGTAGGATTAACAATTATGAAAGTCAATGCGATCCAGGCTACAAAGAGGAATCCAACGAAGTAATAGGCCATACGTGCGATAGGGACTGGGTAGTAATTGGGCTCCACATCCAACTGACCCTTCAAAATCAGGTTTCCATCCCAAGGAGAACATCTGACAGGATCCCAGGCTCCATCCGCGCCGACATACGGACATGAAAACCGATTATCTGTAAACTCATTACTGGCCAATATCAAATAGCATGTGTTGGGATAAGCCAGGTATTTGATCCACCTCAACCAAACAGGGATAGAGCTGGTGACAATGAAGAAGCCGGTTGACAGCCCAAAAAACGCAAAGATGGCGTTGGCGAGCATTGAGGCGGATGAAAAGCCTCGGACAATAGAAGAACAAAGCACCGCAAATGCAAAAGTGACAAACTGCATGGTTACATTGACGAGTAGCCACCATGCAAAATGTTCCACAGAGTCTGTTCGGAGACCTGTCATGTAATAGACAATAGCTGAAAAGACAATGGGATAGAGGATGTTGGGTGGAGCTGTATACACGACCGTACTGATCAGATGAGGTAGTGGGCCATACCATCGATCCATTCGCTCTCGATCATAAACAACGATGCCTTGGGATAGTTGGTAAATGAAGATCATCAGCATCAGATATGCCTGGATGGCGCCCACTGCGTAGACTAAACTAGTGCGGGAGCGAATACCGCCAAGGGAATGATCCAGATCAAAAAAGATGGCTCCCACAGCAAGACCAATGACTATACACTCGCCAATGCAACCCCAAATCACAATGCTATCCCGAATCTGATTCTTCCAACCACGTGCAGTCAGGACGCGGATCTGACTCCAAAGAGAAGGTCCTGAGCCCTTAGGAATAATATCGACTGCCAAGGATGCAAATGAGGAAGAAACTGCATTAGGATGCCGTGCTGCGGATGACGACTCACCCCCGCTACTGGTCAATAAAGAAGGATCAGTCAATGCAAAGATTGCATTCTTCTCTCTTCTAGTCCATGCTTGGACAAGTAAGTCACGGCGAATGGCAGTGGTCTTTTCAAGAGCCTCGCTAGCGAAATCGATCATGCTCAGGTCGAGTAAGTAGTCAAAAGGATTGACACCACTGGGACAGGGACTGATACCAGTGGATTCGATCCATGGCAAAACAGACCGAACAGGGCCGCTATAGATAATATCACCTCTAGAGAGAAGGACCATTTGACCATCTGATTCCGATAGTAACTTGAAGATTTCAGAGCGGGGCTGATGGATAGAGATGACTATAGTCTTTTGGGTCGACTTTGCTAGTTTTGTGAGTGACTTCATGACCTCATATGACGAGAACGCGTCCAATCCTAAATAAAAAGCCCACAAAGGAGAGAAGGGGGATTAGTGCATTTAGCGATATATGAACGCTTAAAAACAAAAACAAAACCAAAAACCAAAAAAATTATATACCTGACGTTACTTCATCGCAAAGAAGCATTTTAGGATTGGTCAGTAATTGAACGCCAGCAGAAACACGGCGGCGTTCACCACCACTGATACCTCGGATACCGCCACCACCGCTCTCACCACCTCCGGGATCACCAACTCTGGTATCAGCACAGTCCTTCAGACCAAGCTCAAGCAAAACTAATTCAACAAGCTCATGCTTCTTTTGACTTGACATAGTCCTTGGGAGACGAAGGTGTGCAGCATAGTTGAGTGTTTCACGGACACTATAAAATATAAAGTCAAAAAAAAAAAAAAAAAAAAAAAAAGAATATTAATAGTTAAAAGCGGAGCATTGTGAAAAAAAGGAGGAGGCCGTTGAACTTTGGCATGTCTTCTGAAACAAATAAAAATAAAGGGATAAGTTTGACAGTCATAAGGAATACATACGTGAGGAAGGGCATCAAAAAGTCATTCTGTTGGAGATAGCCGACACTGCCGTCGTTCCAGAATTTCTTGGCCTTAATACCATTGCATTGGATGCTGCCAGATATGACTACCTCGGGTCCATTCATGCGACCAGCAATTGTATTGAGCAATGTGGTCTTGCCTGATCCTGAACCTCCCAGAATAATACACACTATCCCATCAACAAATTTTTGTCAGTGAATTTTGTTATGGCAGCGATGTGGTCAACAAAAAAAAAAAAAAAAAAAAAAAAAGAGAGGATCCGAAGAGGGTCCAAGTGCTCCATGTGATAAAAAAAAGTTTTACGCCCAGTGACATCTGTGCGTCTTTTTTTTTAAAAAAAAAAAAAAAAAAAAAAAAAAAAAAATGAAAAGAGTGAATAAATGAATGTACCTTGCCCAGGTTTTACTGTAAGATCAACATTGCGAAAGATGTTTACACCAACGTTTCGTAGATCTCGGTCTATTCTAGGTGAAGAAGGTCCATCAAGATCGGTCATCTCTGCGTTCAAATCTCCCGTCTTCTCGGCGGCAACATTTGCGCTACTAGCAACAGTCATTTCAGACACAGTCTTGTCCGGATTAGGAACAATCCGGAGCTTACGAGCGACGCGAGTGAGGAGAGAGGGAGGTGGGATGACTGAGAGAGAAAGGTTTCGTAGTGTGAGTTCAATGCCCGTGGTGGTCCCGGTGAGGCCAGAAGCACCGGGTGTTGGGCCCTTCTTGAAGGCGTCTGTTGCCTGTGAAAGGCGATCCATGATGAATTTACTCTTTCTAGTCTATCTATCAAGCTTTACTGGTCGCCTATATTTCTTTCGTCTGTTTGTTTTATCTTTCTTTTTTGTGGCCTAAAGTTACTATGGTTTCTTGTTATTGTTACAGCGGTAGTGAATCAAGAGGGAGGTAAGACAATGGGTGGTGTTGAGAGCAGTGAAGGAGTGAAGAACGAAAAACAGCGTCAAAATTAAGGGAGATATGAAATCCGGGCTATTGGCATGCAATTAGTGTGCATGTCATCACACGTTTCATACTACTTTGCAATACCTGAATTAGAAAGAAGTGGGGAAAAAAAATAAAAAAAACGATGATGTAAAACTATGAATGAACGATGAGGAAGTCATCACAATTGTGCAAAAACCGGATTTAGAGAACACAAAGGCACATTCACGCTCTCTTTTGTTTTAGTTTATTCATGAAGTATTGCGCCCAAGTCAGGGCAAACAAGTACATGTAATCCCGCCGCTACAGACAGGAGTGTGACAAATAAAATTAGCTGCTCGCTAAAGCATCCAACCCAAAATTTCTTATTCTTCTTTATTCTCTATACTATTGTGAGGACGTTTAGACCACCATTGGTCACCACTATCCTTTTCATCCCTGATGGTCCCACATATGACAGAATTATGCGGCCAAGCTCACAATCATGTTTATCTGATAACAATAGGGTAAACAGATCAATGGTTTGTTAGTTTCTGTACACAAAGGACTGCGAATCATTTCAAAACCGGTTTGGGAAAAATTACTTGCAATTCCACATTTGCGACTTTCCAAACCATAAAAATTAACATGCACTATTAGGATAAAAATTATTTGAGAGCAAAAGGTGTGTGGGAATATGAGGCGGTGTCTTTTTAATTGCCTGCAACGATCGATCGTGATGCACTAAGTACGTGGCCTGTTCGATTTGATCAACCTATCACATCGCACAAAATACTATAGGAAGCGCGCTTTCAACCAACCCACAATCTTTTTTTTTTTTATTTTTTTTTTTATTTTTATATCTCCATAGACCATCTAAGAGACGCGTTTGTCCAAAGTGTATGCTTTTTGGTTTTTTCGTTCTATACACCCATTTCATAGTTCAATATTTTTTAGAAACTCCTTTGAAATTGGCCAGACCAATTTGCCCCCTAAGCTAATAGAGTACTTCTCAAAAGCCTGCAAAAGGCCCCAGCCATCCAGAGTTTCCAAATCTTTTGGATTGGCCTTGGCGGAGCCATTCATAATCCTAGGTGCCTTGAGCTGAGGTGTCATCAACAATACTGTCTTGCACCGTGCTCTCGATAATGCTACGATCCATCGATGAACCGAATAGAGGTAGCTCAGTTCGTTTACCAATGTGAAATCATCAAACAATACAAAACACACAACTACTAAATCAGCCTCTTGTCCTTGCATCTTTTCTATCGTATCGATTTTGATCATTGCATGGGGATATTTAGCCTCCAATGCTGGAAGCTTGACTCGGTGGAGAATGGCCAACCTCTGAATATGATGTGGGACTGCGACAAAAAGGCTGGTAGCAGTATCTGGACCAACCATCTCAAGGTAACATTCTATAATGCCTGTAACGAATGTCGCCTCTACAACTGCGGTAGCTCGACTGTCGTTGGCCACCTTGATAATTTCTGGACACTGATGGTCATTCTCTAGCTGAAGCTCGATACATACAGCAGAATGATTAGGATCAAGAATACAACGGATCTCGGTAGGATATGATAAACCACGGAAACTACTGCTGTAAGGAAGTGTTCTTTTGGGGTTCTGGACATGATAATTGGGGCCATAGATGCTCTTCATAAAGGAGCCTAATTGATTATTCTGGATAATAGTGAAAAAAAAAAAAAAAAAAAAAAAAAATTAGTAAGAAATAATAAAAAGGGGGTTTTTTTTCTTGTATGTGTGTACTATATTTGGGTAATGTTACCATGCGGAAGTTTTCCTGAAGTTGCGAGGTGCAGGGTCCGATATCCATGACCATAGCATCCTCGACCCACTGGAGTGATACGGGTGTATTATTCGTCTTACGCATTAGGTTCTTCATGATTGAGCCCGTGGGATCGGGTACACGCTCAGACTCTGGATAGTCCCCGACGATCACAGGCCCTAACTGTAAATGATCGCCTGCAACAATCAATCGACCATATTTCGGATCAAGGCATTCAATCACATGGATTGAGTCTGCTGCTAACAGTTGACTGCCCTCATCAATAATCACCATTTGAACATTTCTCATATAGTCGCCGCCAGTCTTGGGGTGGGCGGCTCGACGCACCTGCCACACTGTACCACAGACCACACGGATGATGTCCTTATTGCTATTATCTTCTGACCGCGCTTGGAGCTTTACAAGATCCTGTGGTTCAACCACACGAGCGCCCTCGATATCCAAAGTTGAGGGATCCCCGAGACGATAGAGGCTTAAAGGGCGAACGATATCTTCAAATCCCACATGGGGCGCGATTTGATTATGCAATTTGGCTACACGCTCTACTATGTTGTCGATGGCACTGTGTGTAAATGCTGTCAAGACAATAGTCTGCGGTCCTTGTCCTTTCCCCTTGCTGGCTAGGCTGCGCAAGATGTCAATGAATCTCAGGACAGTAAGCGCTAAAAAATGCGTTTTTCCTGATCCCTATAGACATGGAAGACTTGCAGAGTCAGTTAATGTCTCTTTTTTTTTTTTTTTTTTTTTTTTTTATCATAACAATTTAGCTTTGAGCTTACAGGAGGTCCCCAGATGATCTGCAGGCGATTATTAATGACTTTAGAGAATGCCTGCTCCTGTGATAGCGTCATATCGTATTGTCGAGCACCATTCGTAATGGATTCTATAAATACGTCTCCCCTTCGGTCTGGGCGTTGCAAGCCCCACTTATTCGGATCATCCATAAGTTCCTACATATATAGGATTTTGCAATATTAATGGACAAAGCACCTTAGTTAGAACTTGCCTCCTTCCTCCAAAAAATAAAAACAAAAAAAAGTACTATCAGAAACTATTGCTTTACTGCTTATACTGCTTACCATAAACAACCGACAGTTTCCATCCATCTCCACCAGTTTGTCCATTGAGACCGCTAATGTCGGACTAAACTCACGACGCTCCAGCAAGTAGTGCTCACCTTCAGTTAATGCGAGGATTTCAGTCATGTTTTTGAAAGTTCCACCAATATATATAGTGCCAGAATTTGTATCGTAATGATTAATTGATACAATAGAAGGCGAACCCATGCCATATGCGCGTAGGTACGCACAAAGGTCGTCAAATCGTAATCGATTTTTGAGGCCCTGCAAAAGTAGAGCAAAAAAAAAAAAAGGGGGGGTCTAAATAACCTAAAAAAACGCCATAGCAGAGAACGAAGTAGCATGAACCGGCAAGTTGACATTAAAAGCGAAAGCAATCTTTGTAACATAGCATACAGAGTCACAATCAGGGCTCAGGATCCAGTTCTTGAAGGTCGAAGCGATTAACGCGCCAGGATCAATCCGACTAGTAATCTCAAACTTCCCAATGTATTCCGAAAACGGACTGTCAGAGGGTGTTCTGGTGACACGTGTACCCTTTCCTTGTTCTGCGCCAGGAAATGGACCGACATGTCGTCCAAGGAACCTGCAACGGAATAAAAACTGGCGTTGCATAGCCTCAAATCTTGACAAGCTTGCCCGTGTTGCACGTCTCTTTCCACAAACCATGATTGCTTCCCATTGCTGAAAGAACGCAAACTGCGCCAGGATATGATGCTGAAAGTTAAAATGACTCCGCATCTTGAATGGTGCCTGTGGAGCCATCATTTGTGATTGAAAATCACTCAGTTCGTGTCTGAGCAAACCATATAGTCCAATAAGAATAAGATTTTGCTGCTCAGTCCACTTTCCAAGTATTTTTTTTACTAAAAAAAAAAAGGATAGAAGACAGATTTTTTTTTTTTTTTATCAGGCCAAGTACCCATTTGTGGCAAATAGGAATGCACAAAGTCTTCCTTACTATCATCCTCATTTGCGCCGCTAGTCCAACGTTCAAAAATGGAATTTAGGTTGTAACCGTCATCATCCCGATCCCGTTCATTGATGAGAGCCGGAATTCTGACATCAACCAACTTTGTCATGATATCTTTAAATGAATAGGGTCCAAGCACTGGAAGCACAACTAATTTCTGTACAGCCTTTTCAATCATAAATAGCCGTTTGTCATATTTCAGATTCTGATTCTTAAACCCTTGAGTCAATTGAAGCAGGTCTGGCAACTTGATATTGGCATTCCCAGTGAACTCTGACAGTGTCAAGAAACTAGAATCCTCGTACAGATTGCAAAGAAGATCCATGGAACGATTCTTTGTCACAGATGACCACTCATGATCTTGCCTTTGATGTTGTTGCGATGTCGAGGCAGTTAAAACTTTAAGCAACAACTTTTGAAGATCTGATTGCATAGCCTGGTTATAAAAAAATATAGAAAGAACAGGCGGTCTTGGTTGGATCTCTGATATTTGTACGAGCCACTCATAAAGGGTATCGATCAATTCTTGAGCTAGTCTAATATGACTTGATAATCGAGTCGAGCTATCCAGGGAGGAATAAGTGACTGCATTCGCATAGGATCGAGAAGGACGGATGCTCTGCTCCTTGAACATTTCTAGAGAATAAGCGAATGGCATTTGAGTTAAATGATCTGTCAGGATGGTGATAAGAAGCCGATTCTGGTAGTTTTGGGGTAGGTCCATCGTGCTCGTATTAAATACCTATTCACAAGAATAAAAAAAAAGAGAGAGAAACGTAGGAACATTAGATTATCCTACACATTTGAATAGGTACGCTCTACAGAAGAAGCAGTGCACTTACTCGCAATTTGCCCTGTCGATGCACGGTCAGTAACACACTCTCGCCCTTGTCATCTTCATGTAGTATTTTAGAGAGCGAGGATCGGTCAGCTTCTGAAAGAGAGGCTCTGTTCCGGAACAGGTCTTCAATATCATCAATGTCCGTTTTATGAGCTGCATTCGTCTTGAAAAGCGATTTTATCCATATAGCAGACTTCTTAGATAACAATGGGATGACGGACAGTGTTTGCTGTTCTACTGCATCCAACTCGCAGCCAGGAAGGAACTCACATTGCAGACAAGGGCTATCGATATGCCATACTGCTGACCGGAGCGGTTTCATAAGGATCTCTGGCAGCTCCTTGTAGATAAAATTCTCAACAATGGGGCGCATAAATGTCAATGAAAATGTCCTGGGTTCATCATGAGAAGGAATCCAAACACCACCCCGAGGATCAATCTCGACTATGTCCTCTTGCTTATGGAGTTTGATGAGGTGGTCAAGGAAAATCGAATAAAGTGTCACTTGAAACTGGTGACTAATCTTGACATGTGAAGATGACTTTGCATCAATGATGAAGAGTCTTCTCTTTCGTTCACTTTTACCATCATTACTACTGGAGACCGGTGTTCCTGGCAGGATCCGGATAAAATCGGGGATGAAGCGACCAAAAACAATTCCAGCCTGCTTCATCTTCTTAGTATAATATCCCTCATCAAGGGAAAATATTGGTTGACAGAGCGTTGTCCCAATTGGGGTTGTGGCTAAGCGAAAGAACGAATCCTTATCGTTTTCGGCGCCACAGTCGATTTTATCTTTGATGTTCCCCTGAAGACGGCTTTCAAAAAAAATACCTCGCTCCATGTTAGCCTCTGACACCGCACTAGGACCCTCCGGAACATTATTGTCGTCAGTGGTTACTTCCTTTGATCGAGTGTTTTGAGCCTCTTTCAGCAATTGAGACCCTTTCAGATGAAGCATCTTTTCGCAGGCTGTATTGGCATGATGTGCGAGCACTGAAGGCGAGAATTTGTATTTAGCTTGTCTTTTAGCACCATCGTGTGCTGTCTGCATAGGAAGCTTTGACGTTGTCGCTTCTCTTTGCCTCAACACTGTCGCGTCTTGTACAGGTATAGTCTCGGATGCCTCATTGGCACGTGAACCAGGAACGGAAACAGATTGTGTGATGGTAGTGGATGACATCTTTTGGGTAAGAGCTTCTACCTCCTCTGTTGTACCATATTCTGAACGCTGCTGTCTTTGATATCTGGGTTCTGTGGGTGATAGCAACAGGTCGGATGTCTCTCTATCAATTGCCTCCCATTCCACTGCCGATATTTGCAACGATGAAAATGAAAAATCAAGACTAGAACGCACACTATTAGACTCTGAATCTTGGTCAGCAGCGATATCACTGGTAGCTGCCTTCCTATGGCTCTTCTGAGATAAATCCGGGATGTTGCTCGTGGACATGCCATCGCCAAGACTTGGGCATTCGATGAATTGGTTGGTCTCGTTGCTAAAGGACATGGTTATTTAGCTTTTCAGCAATTTGACTTTTAAAGAGTTCTTTCGTACAAAGTGGATGGAGACAAAGAGTTTCAAGTGAATGCTTGCATAATGAGAGGAGCATTCACTCGCCCATCTCGGACACGTCCATGCATGAATCGCATACGTGACAAACAATTTTATTTTGAAACGATTCCTTTTATGGATGAACAAGGAGATTTTGTGCATAGACTTGTGCATCATTGACAAACTCATATAACGCTTCTCTATATAAACTTCCATCCCCGAGGTTCATCAAATCCTTCCACAATGCTTCTTTAACCTCATCCGGAAAGGGTCTTGAGGCTCCGCCTGTCTGCGTCTGTGGTGAATGTGGTGAATGTGGAGTGGGTGAAACTGATAACGATGGTACAGACAAAGGAGATGCAGAGCCCGACATAAATGTCGATGTTGCTACTGGCATCACCTTCACTTGAGAAGGCTTCAAGGCTGCCACAAAGCGCTTCAAGTCAACATGCCATATAGTCATAAATTTGTCCTCTGGATCTCGGTCGCCTTTTTTCACCAATTTGTGAATCAAGCCCGCAATATCCTCCAATAGCAGATCGTGTTCATGGCTCAGCGCCAAACGAAGCAAAATTTGTAAAAATTCGAAACGATAGGCTGTTTGAAACTCAACTCGGTCAAAGAGATGACACAGGCTGTGATCTTGGAGTGCGCAAAGGATCTCAATCGACTGGCGAACAATATCAGGCTCTTGACGGTGGAGACCACGTGCGAGGTATTCCATACAACCCTGAAGCGTTTGAGATGCCTGAAGGTTATTGGTACCATTGCTAGCGAAAAAGAACCGAGTGTGATGTGTAAGAAGGGTCTGGATTGTGGAAAAGAACACAGTAATCAGGTCATAGACACCATTATCGATGCTCGACTCCTGATTGACACGATTTGATCCCAGCCCTGTCGGATGTTGAGGCCCTTGCTGTTGTGCCTCGAAGAGTTTGGGTCCCAATTGCACAAATAAGAATTGAATGAAGCTTGGCAGTGACTGTGAAATTTCCTTTCCTGGTAATTCTAAAATGATCCTGAGTATCGAAACGGAGAGCTGAATCCTCTGGATAATCTTCCGTTGATGCAATACAAAGGATTGCTGATGGAGTGCCTGTTGTTGTGGATTTCCACTAGGGCTAATATGTTGCTGCGACGGAGTTGAAGATAGGGCATTCTCAAGCAGTGAAGGATTAGTAGATCGCTCCATGAGTACACGAGCAATCTCCATACATTGACTCATCCCAATCTGCCTGTAGAGGCTCCTGATTAACTCTCTAAAAAATTTTAGGATATTCATTGAAATATCTATAAAATTATCATGAAGTCAAAGCGTGAACTTGGTATTATATATCATTTGACTTGAAATAAGATGTATAATAACAACAAATGCGCAGAGAAAAAAAAATATACATGTATATATAAAGAAGTAAAATCTTACCATGGTCGTCAATGTAAGCTTCAAAAAATTCTTGAATAAGAGGAAGAGCTGATTTCAACCCTTCATAGACTAGTGTCCGTGAAGCAACAGAGGCCTCGTTGACAGACTTGATCAGTGTACGCAAAATGGTCAGGCAGCGGTGGACACGGAACTTGACTACGATGTCATCCATGAAGAAGTATAGTTAAAGCTAATTAGCTAATATATCTAATTATGTACTTGTGATACGAATATATTTAAGGTGCCTATCATACCTTCGGGGTTGGACAGATGGTTTCCTTGAGAAGATCTCGCCTCTTGCAATATGCTCTGTAGCGGATACACAATAGGCGCAACCAAAGTCCCGAAAGCCTAATTTTTGCAATACGTGGTAATATATAGGTAAGGAAATAGAGAGAGAACAAAGAGATCCATCAACAACATACTCACAGGGACTCTGAAAATACTAGATAATCATTAAGGAACTAAAGGTTCAACTAGTGATCATTTACTTGTAGTGCTGCAGACTGCAACTCTGGCCCTGTCTTTGGATCCAATGTGATAAAATTGCTCAAGGTAAGATACGCCAGCATAAATAATTCATCATCTGGCGTAATGTCTTTCCGATCTTGCTCTTCTTCCTCATCGGCCCTGTCGCTTCCTCCTCCCTTAAGCATGTCCTTTGAAGACGTGTTAAACTCTAAGCCCATAAAGCTACTGCAGTGCATCACATTCTGGCTCAAGCAAGATCCCATCCCACGCACAGATTCCAAGTCCCAAGGGAGGAGTTCACCGGTCGATAATAGATTGGAAGGTATTCTGACTTGGAGAGTAAGCATTTCTAGCGTCTTTACAGACGTCAAAAGCAGCTTACGATCCATGGTGGAACATGAAATTGTGGCAGGGCCCAAGAAAGCATTAACGGGGCCACTGCTAGATAAGGGGGCTGCCGATTGGGAAAGAGATCCAAGGGATGAAGTAGGAAGGAGGCGCTGGAAGAGTGAAGCGCAGAGATGAGCATATTCCTGGTATATCTCTCTCGCAATTGGGGTTCTTGTCTGGGTTTTATCGTTTGAGTCTGGAGCCATTTCTACCTTCCAGAGCTGATTTAGCCATGATGTAAGAGGAGAGAGGCAGTTAAATAACGCCAGCGTTCTATAAAAACCCCATACATGTTCCAAAAGATAGAAGAAGCATTAAATCTCGGATCCAGAGGAGATAGAAAAGATGCCATCAGGCCGGGAATGTCCCTGAAATCATCAAAATTCAATCTTACATTGTTCCTGTTAATTCCTCTTTGCCTTTTGCCGGTCCTGTCGTGTCTCCTGTTGTTGCTAAATAATAATCGATTGACATATTTGTCATCCTCACGAGGTGAATAACCAAATTGGATATGTAATCGCGACGATCTTCAAAGTTTCGATCAAAATTGTATGTCACCCTTGAAAGGATTCCGAGAGTTACAGGTAACTATATTGTATTATGGTACAGTCAATATCAAATATCGATGATCATGTAAGTATGAACCTAGTGTTGATGGCCCCAGCACACATATATCAGCATCATCGGAGTACATACAGTCTTGCATTTGTCTATTTCTCGCCTTGAGTAAAGCTCGAGCTGTTGAGTGAGTAATGGGATCTAAAATAACATTATTAGAGATAATGATGAAGATCATATCAAAGATATCAGTCAGGAAGGTCATGATTAAAATAATCATTAAATAAAATTCAAAGTTCTTTAGGGGAACTCCAATTCGGCGGAGCAAATCGTTTTTTTTTTTTTTTTTTTTTTTTGAAGGACATTTACCAGCATCTCAATGACTTCTTCAGTAAAAATTTCGGCAACAAGCCCTACAAAGCTTTCTACCAGATCTGTCAAATCATCCAGATCTTCTTCATCCTCAACTTCAAAGGTTGAAAAAGCATCCTCCGATTCCGTGGCACCCTTCATTTGATAAAACCGTTCTACAAGAGCAGACATAAAATAAAATAATGGTCCCTGTAATCGACGGAGTCCATCTTGAGGAGGGATCGGGCGAGGTATATCCGACGCAGCATGGATCATGGAGTCCAGAAGTCCCTTCCATACATCCATGCATACTTTTAAATAATCTACTGAAACCTACATGGCGCAAATCATTAGGTCAAAAAAAAAAAAAAAAAGAACGGTTAACAAACCATTTTGGGCTATGTCCGAAGTGGAAGAGAGGGACATGTCATCCAAATCATAAAATATTTTCCTCCTTGTTTGATTACCTTCTCCAGAGTAAATCTTGCAAATGACATCAAAAAGTCTGCTTTCGACAGTCCCAACGCCTTTTCTGCCCGATCCAGATTTACCAAAGTACAAAATAATGATAGGAAATGCATAAACATTTGTAGGTAACTGTCATGAATAAAAAAAAAATAAAAAAAAAAAAAAAAAAAAGACCAATAAAAGAGAAAGAATGAAATGCGCAACCAGTATGTTAATTTCGATTATACATGATGATGAAGGATTGCAAAGAACCATAAAGGCCTCAAAATGATACACTACCTTTCATCAACATCATCAATGCCATCCCCGACTTCATTGAAATATCGAATTAGATCTGCCATGACTCGCACAGCTCCTGTCATCGCCTCTTGGTTAGTGGCGAGGAATCCTGGTCGCGCCACCAAGCCGTTCAAGCAGCTAAGCGCAAGGATTCCCAGATCTACAGTCTTATTCTGATGAAGCGTAGTGAATTTCAATATTGCGGTAATAGATGCTGAAAAGGAGACCTGACGAGGATCCAATCCTGGACAGGTCAAAAGAGTTGTGAGGGCCTGTAATGCCAGCATACAACTCTTTCGTGAATAGGAATCCATCTTACTCCCACTAATGAATGTTGTGCTGTCAACAGATCCACGTCTACCCGCAGCATTAATAGAACTCCTCCTCATGGCGATCTGGCCTAAATCACTGATAGACCCCACCCTTTGCCGTGTTTGAAGTATTGAAAATCCAGGGCCAGTAGAGGATTGCGTAAGGCTCAAATGCACTCCATTCTCATTAATGGGCCCTCCTAGAGCCTGACCGAGAGATTTACGAAGCATGGTAGTTGGAGATTTCCCGTACGACTGAACTGGACTAACGTCTCCTCCTTGTAAACTCATCCCCATAGCTGAGCTGCTGGTGGATCCTGGAACAGTCCGTGACGATGTGAAGGAATTTTGAAATGAGCTGTTCATTTGCGTCAATGGCGAAGTCAGATAGGGACCTGCTGCGCTAGGTCTTCTAGAAGATGACATGCCCCAAAGAGAATGCTCTACAGGTGAAGGTGCTGGTGCCTCAGTTGAAAGTGGCATGATTAACATCTTGCTGTAACAAGTATCGAGATGCTGTACAATAAGATTTAGGAGATCAGGTGCATGTGCTTTAAACTGTTCCCACAGGTACCGCCTCTGCTGTGAAAGGGTCGAATGATGCCGATGTGATTTACCCGACCCCAATGCAGGATATGTCCCAACAAACTCCTGGACTACAGCCTCTAACAATGTCCAGCCCAATAGTGAATGATTTTTGTTTTTACTTTGTAATAATCTATGGATATGAGGAAAGAGACCCTGGAATCGATCAGGCCAGTCTAGTAATGCGATGTCCGTGATGAGCTGAACTACCTTATTGAGTACAAATGGTGAAAAGCGTGGCGCACTGTTTATTGTTCCGGGGGCGGCCTCAGCACCGCCACCAGTCCCATCAGCTGATATGACATCTAGTCTCCATTCTGCTCCAATCTCTGTTCCCAACGCTGATCCTGATCCTGATCCTGATCCTGGCCCTGTACCGGATCCAAAGTGTTGTTGCAGAAAGTCAAATAGGAACGACTGAATGACACTTTTAAGCTCTTGGTCAAGTGAAGTCCATTCTTCTTGAATTCTTTTTTGATATTGTGAGGTGGCAAACCAAGCTAGATAATCGGATTGGGCGTTTGAAAGCATAAACTGACATTCGCCTAATGTCAACTGCCGCGCCTCCAATTGTGCCTCTATTTAGGCCGTGGATTAAACACGGCATGACCCAGACGAGCAACGCCAGGACAAAAACAATAATAAAAAGTGTCTCAATGGGTCAGTGCTTTTATTTGGCAGTTGCAAATAAATTTTTTTTACTTCCATCCAGGAACATGAATGTCATTGCTGATCACGAAGAATGAAAGAGAAAAAAAAAAAAAAAAAAAAAAAAAAAAGGTACCAATAGTTCGCTTTCGCTCAGCAGAGGTGCCTGGGGCAAAGAACTCGGTGAGCAAATGGTTAAGAGCGTCCATGAGAGGTCCCTTTTGGATTTAATATTGTTTTAGTGCAAAGATCTTCCTTGGAGAAAGAGAATGAGGTGGAAAGGAATGAGAGAAATGGGTACACTGAGAAAGAGAGAAAGAGAGAAAGAAGAAAAGTTTGTCGCTCGAAATTGTGGAGACAACAATAGAAATAAAGGGTAGCAGTGGTAGTACGAAAGGAAAAAAAAAAAAGTGAGCAATTGTCGATGATCAAGTATGGTAAAAATAAGATAGAGGTGAAAGAGAGGACATCTCCTTGCTCATGAGGCATTGGGTGGAGTCAAGATTTTCTTTTTCCTTTTTTCTTTTATATTTTTACATTTCTAAAAGAGAGCAAAAAGAGATCAAAGAATCATCCATCATCATACATCTGCTGGATAGTCAAGAATAAATGTAATAATCTCAAATGCAGGCGGGCAATCCTATATTTGTATTACAGCGCCATGTTCATGTTAAAAAAAATTTTTTTTTTTATTAAACGATCCTATAATCTGAAATGTTTGGCATGTTTGAACAACATTCATGTATGCTGGAATGACCCGCTGGAACTTTTTTTTTTTTTTTTTTTTTTAATTCTTGTGCTATCGAGCTTACAAACAGAACTTAATCATCAACATCTCAAGCAAGATATCCTTTTGAAACCAACCATTGACGCACATCCTCCAAATCGCGTGCAACCCACTTGGCATTTGAGCGGATCACCTCTAAACTCTGTGCAATTGGACGAGAGATATCATCCACCTTCTTGCCCTCAAAAAATCCTTCACAATCCTTCGCCATTTCCTCGCTCGTGAATCGTCCTACACCACTCTTCACAATGTTACCAAGCAATGCCATTGAACCATCATAACGGGTGCTCAACATCTCCCAGTTGATCTTGATATAATCCCATAATGCATGTCGTGATGTTGGATTGCGAGACAAACTATTACATAAGCATCGGTAATTAAAATAAATCAGAATCAGTCAGTCCAATTAACCTAGGCAAGTACACTTTGTTGCCACTATTGCCATCCAAATATTAAAATAATAGAACAAAAAAAAACAGTCATTACCCTCCAAAGAAGTAACCGATGTCTTGAGCCTTCACCTCCTCAGAAACTGAAAGTTCAAGCAATTGTTGAATCAAGGTTGGATGACGGACCGCAGTCAGAGCGCCTATGGCTGCCAACTTCTGGTCTGTGGCTGTTGCTTCGCGCCAGCACTTGAGAACTTTCTCAAAGTCACTTTCATCACCATGCTGCACTACAATCTCAAATGCTGCACTCTGAACATTCTGATTCAAGGCCTTGGTATCGCCTCCAACATAAACACCAAAACGCCTTCGAGCCTCCTCTACCACGGCTTCATCCCCAGCACATCCTGCATTTGTCAGCAACAACTTGCGGAGCAGAGTGGATCGGTAGTCATCTGAAGCCTGAGTCTCCCAGCCAAGTTTCGCTGCTGCCTTGGAGAACAGCTTGCGCTGAAATTTCTCAAGCGCCTTTTGGAAGTCCTCAGGCTCCCTGTAGAACACAGATGACAGAACATTGACGCGTTCAGCGATCGCCACCCAGACTACATATTGATCCTCATCTTCAAATGACTCCAACAGTTCCAAGAGAGAGCTGGTCTTAACGTGGCCGCTTTTGCATAATGCGCCCAAATCTGCCAACAGACCAACACGATCACCAGGAGTGAAGAGAGCGTCCTTAGATTTGATAGATTGACTAATGCGAGACAGAGCTGAGGCTGGGTAGGCAGTGCGGAAGAAACCGGTGTAATTAGAGTTGACCTTGTAATGACTACCTTTCTCAAGCTTGATGGTGGTCGAGTCACCTGATAAAAGCTGACTCTTGGCATCTACGGGAGCAGGCTCGATTCCAAGGGGAATGGTCCAGCGGGCAGTGTCTTCTGCTGTGCTGAGGTCCCCAGAAGAAAGATAACGAGATTGTTTGAACGTCAGAGTACTGGCATCGGCATCCTCCTCGACATCAACAACAGGGTACTAAAACGTTAAATGGAGCAATAAGAATAACAATAATAACAGATTGTATCAGCTATCGAAAGAATATAAAGAAGTTACTAAACCTCAATCCCCATAATAACATAAATAACATACACCAACTTGCTTGATCCAGACATTCATAAACTCGCCAACATTAACACCAGATGCCTCACTGAGGGCTGCCCACAAATCCTCAGTACTGGTGTTCCTGTAGGCATGCTTCTTGATATATATCCGGATACCCTTCAAAAAGACGTCCAGTCCTAGCCAAGAACTCAACATGCGGATGCAAGAGGCACCCTTGTAATAACTGATGGCATCAAAAATCTGATGAATCTCATGAGGGTGTTTGCAAGGCACCTCAATAGGATGGCTACTTCGAAGCCCGTCAAGAGCAAGACCCATCTGGAAGCCATCTGCAATGAAGTAAGACCAGTTGTCCCATTCAGGGAAGAAGTGTGATACAGCCAAGTTACCGACCCAGGTGGCAAATCCTTCATTCAGCCAAAGATAATCCCACCAGTCCATCGTGACAAGGTTGCCAAACCATTGGTGAGCAATCTCGTGGCAAATGGTGTACTAATAAAATATATACATTTATAATAAAAAGACGCATGTTAATGCGACTAAAAACCTCTTTGATATATTAGTAGCAATCCAATACCATCCGTGCAGAGTCAACCAATCAATGGTTCCAATTATTACAGCAATATGACGCTTGTAGCTGAGATCGCTTGTCTTTTCGTTGAATAACAGACGGATGGAGCGGTAAGTGACCAAGCCCCAATTTTCCATTGCACCAGACTCAAAGTCGGGGATTGTAATCAAGTCCATCTTGGGCAGAGGATAAGCAACGCCAAACAGCTCTGTAAAGTACTCCAAAGCAAGGGGGGTTACTGACAGTGCAAACTTGGCTTCTTCGGTCTTTCCTGGAAGGACATAGACGCGACAGGTAATGGGCGTTGGAAGGTTCTTTGTGACTGTCTCAATATATTCAAACTTCCCAACAATAAATGCGACAAGCTAATAAAAGAAAAAGAAAAAAGGCCCATGGTTACATCAGTTACATTGTTTGTATCGGAAAATTATTTTTTATCGATTTTAGTGCCATCGATTACTGTTTTTTGTTTGTTAGTATGCACAGGCAATCATTTTTTATTTTTTTTTTTCCTTCATTGTACTTACGTATGTGCTCATGATTGGGGTGGTTGCAAACTTGACTTCCTTGAGAGGTAATCCACTGACAACATCACCCTTTTGAGTGGAAGGGACATCGCCTTTCTGAGTTGAGGGAACATCCCCTTTCTGAGTTGAGGGGACATCACCTTTCTGAGTAGATGGAACATCGCCCTTTTGTGTTGAAGGTGTGACATCAGGACCTTTTGTGGAATCACCCTTCACTTTTCCAGTATGGCCAATTTCTTTTTCAGAGATCACATTCATATTGGACAATGCTACCAGATCGGATGGAACACGCAATGTGATATCGAACGTAGCCTTAATAGCTGGCTATTAACAGTAGTAGCAGTAACACCATAGCAAAAAACGAACAAGAAAATAAAAAAAGAAAAAGAAGGCAAGTAAAATGAGCGCTAATACACCTTCCGATGCATGATAACACATCACGATTGAAGCGAACTTCCTCTTTGGCTAAGATTTTTTTTTTTTTTTTTTTTTATTTTTTTTACAAACAAAAAACATACCTCATCCCAGCATGGAAAAGCCTTGCGAGCATCTGTAGCCTCGAATTGAGTGGTTGCAATATAATGGGTCTTACCGTCATCGTCCTTGAAAGAGCTGCGGTAAAACCCATTCATGCTATCGTTGAGGATACCCTTGAATGTAACATGAAGAACAGCAGTGGATCCAGGTTGAAGTTCTTCTGCAAACGTGAACGTAGCAGTCTCGTTGGCCTTTTCAATCGTAATATCTGTAGCATCTTGACTAAATGAATATAAAAGAATAAAATAAAATAAAATAAAATAAAAAAATAAAAAAAAAATAAAAAGTGGATCAGCAAAAAACCTAGTGACAATTGTGCGTGAACCATATCTCTTTAAAAGCATTACAATAACAGACATTATATAATTCTCTTTACCTGGACTCAGTCTTGAGTGCCAAGTTGGTGAGTTTGGCTGAAGTGATGTCAAGTTGATTGCTATTGAGGGTGATGGCAGTTGTGGGTTGATTGACATCAAGGTTGATGAGAACATGGCCATGAAATGTGAAATTGACCAAGTCAGGAGTGAGTGTGAGGTCGTAGTGTGTTGGGCGGACGTTGGTAGGGAGAACAATGCGTCCCGTTCCTGCGTGTGGATCCATTTCTATCGTATCGTGAATTGTAGTTTAAACTTCTGGAAGTTTAACCGTGGGATAAAATGAGGATGAAGCAAGAAAAAAAAAAAAAAAAAAAAGTAAAGAGCAAAAGAAGAATTCACACAAGAACTGTTGTCGTCCTTAAGTGTGTAGAGCCAAGAGGACGTGACTTGTCTAGACTAAGGATGCACACATCGTGGGAACTGAACACTCTGCCTACAATTGTGAATGTGGTCTATTGAATTGAGCGTGACCATTCATTTCCTTACAATTGATCTGCTTTTTATTCACACTGTGCTCTCTTTCAATCCTTCACCCTTCTTTACGATTCGTGGCTTTATGAATTGAGTTGGAAACAAAAAAAAAAAAAAAAAAAAAAAAAGATTAAAGAAAAAAGTATGAAAAAAGTCATTTACAGGAATATTTGCAATGTGGGATGTGGGATGTGGAATGATAAAATATGCTATGGACAAGGGAAAAATGAAAAATGGGAAATGGGAAAATATCTGACGATGTGGGGTAAAAATTTACACATAGAGCTCTGCTGTCCCTGTCACTGTCCGACCAAGGAGAAAGGCCGAGGCATGGACACGGAGAGGCGACTCGAGGATAAAAATTCGAAGCTCAACCTTAATAGGAGCCTTGACCAGGTCCACTTGGTCAATAGCGACATCAGGCATGGGAATCGTAACTTTGGCAATCTTCTGTACACCCTCCGATGTAATATATCGCGGGTCTCGACTCCGAGCCGTTGGTGGGAAAGATGCGGCTGTCTTCAAAGACGTTTCAGACGACGATGTCAAACGGAGGCCTCCTTTCAGTCTTGATGACAGCTGTTGATCTGACTCATTGCCCCCTTCGTGATGGTCCATGCGCTTTCGTTCGCGCTCATGTTCACGTCTCTGTTGTTCAATAGCATGGGCATTAGGATCTACGGCCAATGATGAGAACGCATTAAAAGCGCCTGTGGTACCATACAGGATTGTCTCGATGGGATAAGGCCAAGCTTCGCTCCAAAAGGTCTTTGTGACGACCTGGTCAGGACCAATCTGATCCCCAGGTCTGAAAAAGACTGCAAAACGATCTTGACATCGCCAAGAGCCATTAGAAGACGCAAATCGCTTCTGGATCGGATCAATGCCCTCTCGCCATCGCATACTCGATTCTATACCATAATAACACGTCGCCACAAGGCCCACAGGCCTCGGTGGGAGGTCTTCTATGCTATGGTGATGGGTCGCTGTTGTGCTTGCCACCTTACGATCGTCCTCATTATCCGTTGCTTGCCTTGGTGTATTTATCTTTCCTTTGCTGCCTTGCTTTTCAGCCCTATTATCGACTAGATCTTCTCTATCTCTCTCTCTTCCTCTATCTAAGTAGGTTCCTACCGAGGAAACAGAGGATACAGATAAAAGTCGACCGCGATTACCTTCCTTCGGGACACGAATTGCGTGTCCACTGGATGAGATCGGATTAGACATTTTACGGGGAGGAAGGGGCTTATTACTTTTGACCGTGCCTTGGACAGGCCCAACGCTAGATGAACGGATACTGTTGTTGTTGGACGGAAGTAAGGTTGGGGAGGAATTACCGTATCTATACTGTGAAAAGGAAGCGAAGTAAGGTGGAGTGGTTGGAGATATGGGGCTGGTGGGGGTACTGGAAGTATGAAGGTTGTCATTAGAGTGGAGAAGAACTGGTACAGGAGGAAGGCTCTCTGAAGGTGGTTTGCTAAGCGCCAGATGAGATACAGAACGTGGTCTTGGTGGTGGTCGCAAAGAATTAGACATTACCGCGACAGAAGTCGTTGGTTTTTCAGAAGGAGGTGGAGGCAGAGGCACGGACTTTGGAGGTGGGGGTGGTGTGCGCGAAGGCATGTGCGCAAGAGGTGAATTTGGTATCTTTGGGATCGGCAGGGGTGTAGTCGGGGCAGGAAAGGCATCGAAGTCGATTGCGATTGGCTGAGAGCGAATTAAAAGACTTTGGTTCCTGTAATCGGCTTTAGGGGATGGAGCCTTGATGTCCATCAGATTGCTAGAAGTATCGCCAGACGTTGCTGTCACCATGATAGACACAAAAATACAAAAAAGGAGGCTTTGAGGCGCCAAAAAAAAAAAAAAAAAAAAAAAAAAAAGAGGATGGAAAAGGGAGGTCAAAGTGAATGTAAAGAAGTAAAATAAAATTAAAAGATGCAATAAGATAGAGAAGATAGAGAAAGGTGGGGAGAAGAGGAGGGAAGAGAAAAATGAAAGAAGAGGGTGCAGATGAAGGAGAAAAAAAAGGATGGGGGACGGATTAGATGAAGGACAGATAAAAAAAAAAAAAAAAAAAAAAAAAAAGAAAAGAAAAGAAAAAAGAGGGTAACGTTACGAACAAACAAGGCTGACCAATGCTGTGTTTGTGTGGCGGTAGAGGACACACGATGGATCTCTGTCCCAATTGCTCTTTTTTACTTTTTCATATTCAAACTCTTTTTTCTTTTTACTTTTGCTTTTGATTGTCGGAAAGAGCATTTATCCACCCCTCCAATTGTCGATCATAGTTCTCAATTACCGCTGACAAAAAATAAAAAAGAGAAAGAGAAAAGAATAGTAAACCAAATATCTGCATGGATGGACGATAAAATGTTTACGACACAACAACGGAAACAATAACAGCAATCATTACTATGCGATAACAATACCGTTTACTAAATATACAAATATTCTTAGTAAACCCAGATATTTTTTCATGGCGCGTCCATCCTTGTTTGTTCACTTGGACTAGGTTTTTTTTTCTTTTTTATCCATCCCAGACCCATCTTAGCTCGTTATTCAACAAGTAACGGTAAAATATTTGTTGTTGCCTATCAATTGGTCAATTATTCTCTATTTTGTTTCGTCGCCTTGTTGTATGGCCGTTAATATCTTTGATTTGTTTTTTTTTTTTTTTTTTAAGAATAATAAGAGAAGAAAGAAAGGAGAGATGGAAACGAGAGGTGTACAGGGGTCGAACCATCTGAAAAAAATAAACATGAAGAGGCAAAACTCGTTGGACAGAGGACAGAGGTTGGTTCGTGGTATGACAAACATCAACACAAAACAATAACAACAAAGAAATCAGGTACAAAACACAATGTCTCTCAATATTAATAACTCTGGGGAACTTTTTTTTTTTTTTTTTTTTTTTTGTTCGTACAAGCGCACAGCATCACCAAACTTGGAAATATTTCAAGAAGCCCTTACCAAGAGTCAGTGGACACAGGAAAAAAAAAAATAAAAATCACATTGATGAACTTGACAATAGATTAGAGAGGAAGAGGCAAAGCGCGTTTCTTACTTCTCTATTAAAGAATAAAATCCTCCTTACTCTTTCCCAAAGTTGATATGCATGCCTGCAAGCTCAAATAACTATGGATAAAATGGCGTTGCCAACAGGTCAATGGTCAGTATAGTCCATGTATACACTATGCATTGTACTGCGTATAATGACAGCGGCGCGCCAACGATGCATACATCTTTGTGTGTGGTTAAAGAGCAAAGGATGTCGCCTTATTATTAGTTACTGCCTTTTTTTTTTTTTCTTTTCTAAACTGCTTCTTTGTTTGTTTACAAGAAAAAAAAAAAAAAAAAAGCCCTTGACAATGAAAGCGTGCATGCAAGTAGCCAATGTATCTTTGACATATACACATATTCATATTGCAAGGCCTATGAGCTACCAACTAGTCTAGATGACCCTTGCTCATAATATTATAATAATATTATAAATACATAATACAAGGGTTTGGCTTATTACCACATGGGTTACTAAATGATATGCACACTTTATTACCAATACTATGAAAATCAATATTAGAGTCATTATCATGATCAGTGTTCTTCATATCGTATGACACGGATAAAGATGCATGGTATATACCTTTAAGCTTTTTTTATTTATTTATTTTTTTTGGGGAGGGAGAGAAGGGGGAAGGAATGAAGCGTGTCTTCAACATTAGCACATTAACACAATAACACAATAACAATAACATTATTAACATAATAAATCTTCGCTCAATACCATTTAGCCCAGGGACTCAGGATGAGGTTACTTAACGCCTTCTTTCATAATCAATCCATGCACCATTTATGTATAATTTACTATAGAAACTGTCAACGTATGTAGTTAAAAGAAAGAAGAAAAAGAAAAGCCTCATCCATTATTGGAAATTGCCATAGAGATGGCATATGTACGTAACGCGTATTTATAAGTTTATTTCTGGAATGTTGTCCGTGTTGCGCCTAAAAAAAAAAAAAAAAAAAAAAAAAAAACGCGTATTGCCACCGCCCCCTCTCTTTCATAAATTTCATTTTCATTCATTTGCACTGCGCATGAATACGGGTCCATTTCTATTCGTTCTCTTTATCTCTGGGGACCTGGATATTGCCGAGGAAAAAAAAAAAAAAAAAAAAAAGAGACAGAAAGAGAGAAATATGTGCAGCATGTGGGTACATTTTATTTCCTTCTTTGCCAATTGAACCAACATGATCATGTTGAAAGAAAAAGACAGAGAGGGCGAAAGTGCAAGAGAAGAGCCGAGACCGAATTATGTTACTGTTGACAGAGTGCCTGGCAAAGGGAACTCCCACGCAATAATGGTAGGACAAGGGCGCACGGTAAACATGGACAGTATACATGAAATATTTGTTCACACAATTTTTTCTTCTCAAGTGTAACAAATCCCAAACCTTCATTAAGCAAACGCTATCCTTTTTTTTTTTTTTTTTTTTTTTTTTCAAATGCAATCTTTCCCGAGAAGAACAAGAAAGGTGTGTTTAGAGTGCTCTTAAAAAAAGTCGCCCTGAATTAAAAAGATGGAGATTATCAGCATTGATGGTTACATGTGGATATCCATATCGTAGATTCATACATAGCCTATGCGTGCGAAGATTGTTATCGAAAATAATAACTCGGGATATTGAACATTGGGCATGGACCCAGCGTAAGATGTCCTGGAATCTGACATCAGCGTACAAATTTTTTAAGCCCACCGTTGAGGCCTGCAGCTTGATCATCATTGCACGTGGAGGCAGCAATGGACATCAATAATGTTTTCAAATCCGATGATACCTCGACCGTAGCATGCCAAGAAGCTACGGCTATAATTGGACCGCATTTTTACCTATACAAGAAGCCATGTTGAGGATATTTTCTTAGAGTGACCAGTAGCACACTTGTGTAAGGTTACATACCTCTTTAAAATGCATTATTCTTGCTTAATAGCCTAGTTCACGTATTAAATGGACCAAAACCCGATAGAGATCTAATGCCACCGTACTTCTTTGATTCACCTCTACTAGCCGTGCGTAATAAGGCCTTGATACCGATGCCAGCCACCACCCGTTGTGCCCTACGAATATTCTAGGCCTTGCAGATAAAGCAAGGACTGTCGTAGAAGGTGTGAAATCAAGGCGTTGATCGACCTCCTCTAGATCCATAAGTAGAACTACTAGCTATCAACTTAGGCAACTTTCAAAGAGGTATCATATTGAAGAGGGATCCATACGAATGGGAAGCGTTTGCGGGATGGTTGGAACCAAGATATAGAAAAGAGTTTATCCTAGAGTAGAAGCTTACAGAGAACATAGCTAGAGTGCATTGCCATTTGTGAGTACTTTTATTGTCTTGATTCAAATAAGATATCTGGAACAGCGCTTTCTCATTTGTTTGTATACTTCTTGCCAAGTGTCTGAATGCATTTTCATTTTGGTTAGAACAGAGAAATTCAGTCGTGTCCTCTAGGGTATGACATTGATACTCGTTTATTTATTTCCAACGTGGTCTGACTGGATCGCACGATGAACAGGGTCAAAATATTCACCAAGAAAAATTGCTAAATGTCGCCCAACAGCACAGGCCTTTGTAGGACTATAGTTCTCGACCAGCTGAGATAGGGTCCAAGGCCAAAAGTATTGAAAAAGCAAGTGTAGATAAATATTATACAAAAGGTCGGTGGGATGTGATACGGATCCAACTAAAGGTTTTTTATCTTTTTTTTTTTTTTTTTTTTTTTTTTTTTTCAATTACCTAACATTCCTCTGATGCAGCATATCTCGCATGCATTGAAGATTGTATGTAGCAATGGGTATTAATTTGAAATACAGTAGTCTTCTTCCCTTACCTCCCAGTGCCCTGATACTTTCCGTAAGGCGATGCAATAGAACATCCTTCGCTTTTATGGTCAAATATGAGACCCATTCATCATACAAGCAGTTCCTCTTTATTTTCGGACACGTTTCCGCGCATTATATTCAGGAGATGCCGATCGCGACCTTGACTTAGATTGTGACCTTAACCTTGGCCTAATCCTTGACCTTGATCTTGACCTCGGCCTTAATGAGCTTGATCTTGACCTCGGCCTTAATGAGCTTAATCTTGATCTTGACCTTGACCTTGACCTTGACCTTGACCTTGACCTTGACCTTGACCTTGACCTTGACCTTGACCTTGACCTTGACCTTGACCTTGACCATGATCTTGATCTTGACCTTGGCCTTGACCTTGACCTTAACTTCGGTCGGGATCTAGGTCTTGTCAATGAATAAAGCTGTGGTCGTGATTTTTTACGTGACTCGATTCGTTGTCTTGTAGAGCCGACATTTCTATCATCAGTGCCACTATTACTGAAACTACTATCACGACTACTACTACGACTATTGTTACTGCGACCGCCACTGCGACTACCTCTACGACTATGACTACGACTACGACTACGACTACGACCATGACTACGACTACGACTATGATTAATGCGCTGCTTTAGGTCTAATCCAGGCTCAGCTCTATGTCGCGTCTCATCTGGCTGTTCTGCTGCTATCACTTCTTTCCTTTGTTTCTGTTTAAGTAACTCCTTGACTCGTTGCAAACGATCAAGTTTGCGTATCTCTGAAGATTTGAGCGCCTCTTCTGTAGCAATGGTTGCTACGTCTGATGCTATTATTGGCTGATTCTCCTGGTCTTCTTTTTGGGATTGTATTTGTTGCTGCTGTTGCTGTTGCTGTTGCTGTTGATATATTTTCTGGGTTTGGCGCCTTTTTTCAACAAAATAATTGTGCCAAGGATGATGTTCTTGCATGAATTCAAATCTAAGATCTTGCAAAGACATAAGCTTCTGTTCAAACACAGCTGCATCGTCATGTATGCTCAAAAACTCAGCCGTTTTTTCAATCAGTTTCTCAATATCAAAATGTAGCCGCCTAAAATAAAATAAAAATTAGTCATTGGTCCATTGATTGATTAATAGATGTAATAACATTCAAAAAAAAAAAAAAAAAAAAAAACTGAATGTATTGCTTACGCTTCAAGCGCTTTGGCTTCCTCTGCAGTACGACGCTCCTTTTCTTCTTGTTCTGCCCTGGCTTCTTCTGCCTCTCTCTGACGAACATCTTCGGCAGTTTCGTATAATCCAGTCTGCATTAGCCATCGTACATGTTTATAAAATTGATATAAGTGATGTCTGCGACTTAAGAATCCAAAATTAGGGTTGGTGGCCTGCTTTGCCTGTAAAATAATCTCCATAGTCGGTTCTGAACTATTATTGACAAACTTTGCTGTCCTTTCTATTAAAGCCAATGTCTTTTCGTTATCAGGCTAGGGCGGGAAAAAAAAAAAAAAAAAAAAAAAAAAAAAAAAAAAAAAAAAAAAAAAAAAAGAACAAGATATTAGGATATGGAATATAAATTAAAATAAAATGGTCTAAATAATGTTTTTTTCGGAGGAGCACCTACCACTGACATTCTTTCAGGAACTTCAAAATGAAGCTGAAAGGCTGATTCTGTCGAATTCCGATCATGATTATTCTCATCCTTGTCATAAGCATAATGTACTCCTCTATAGTTGGAAGAAGATTCTTGTTCTGCGCGTTTTTGAGCCAAATGCTCCTCCCGGTCATCTTCATCCATATCAAACAATAGCTCCTCATCTGAATCAAGATCCTGATAACGCTCCTCATCCAGTTCTTTTGACCAACCCTCCTCACGTTCAAAGAAATGATGATTCCCTGAAATGTCCCTAAATCCTGTAAAGAACCGTTCATCATCCAATAAGTTTCTGGCATCATATCTATCGGTAAGAATACATATATATATATAGAGAGAAAGGGAGTATAAATATAATATGCTTTTTATTCCCTGTTCTTGTTCACGTAACTTTTTTTTTTTTTTTTTTTTTTTTTGGTTAGTCTTTCCTTTTCAGTCAGAAATAATGGCCGCATTATCCTTGGTTGATGCAAAAAAAAAAAAAATAAAAAATAAAAAATAAAAAAAAAAAATACTGGAGAACCGAAAGTCTTGCGTGTATGTCGTTTTTGGATGTATCCACAGGGAGCCATTGGACACATGTGTATACTAGCATCTATGCTTTGTCTCCTCTTCACCCTTCCTCTTTCTTTCGCTCTTTTCCTCTTACTCTTCATTACCTGTCAAGCCAAAGAGAGTTTTCATCGTTAGGATCTTGACCCTGCCATGTAATGAGCAAATGGCCTTCTTCTATAGCTTGAGCTGCATTGTCATTTTGAAAGAGAAAAGCTTCATAACCAAATGCAATCAATGGTTCATCCTCTTTGCCTCCTGGATCCTTGCGATCCCTTCTCCGTCTATCCCGTAGATCTGAGGTAGACTGACTGGGGTGGCTATTATCGAGATTAGGATCATTCCACATCGCATTGCTATTTGTTCCAGATCTTATTTCAAAAAAGTGAAGGCATTTTCTACCTATTTATTCTGCATAAAATACACGTGACTATTCAAGATTAATGATAGTTTATCCCTTCGTTGGATTCCGGAACACCGGTGTTCCAGATTTTGTGACCAACGAAGGGATAGTTCACTCAAACGGACTATATTATGCCTTGATGCTTTTTCTAATAAAATAATAAAAAAATGTTTATGTGTGTACAGTCAGTTCTATTGGGAGGAAGTGATTTAAATCGCTGGATGAAGTAGAACATCCAAATGTCTGTCTACTGTAGTCGTCGCTTCTAACGTTTCGTGCGCCCACTGTCTCGCCTCCAGTAGGAACCACATCTTGATCCACCATCCACCTCCGCCTGGCAAGTCTCGTACTCCTTCAACCACTCCACGGCCACCATCTTGCCGTCCAAGTTCACGTAGAATAGGAAGTGCAGTCTTGAACAGATCAATATTAGGGTTCAGTTGACGTCCAATACCCTCAAGAATTAAAATTGAAATCACAACGTTTGCAAAATCCCCTTCCATAGGAACATGGTGCTTACGAACCATTGCCATCACCTCTGTCAGTAGTTCTCCAATCTTGATCTTGCCCAGCGACATTGCGCTGCCCTTGACGCTCAGAATCAATTTTTGCATTTTTAGGGCGAATGACTCACCGTCGATTACAGCCTCAGGATTTCGACATCGCTCAATCATCAATTGACCTGCACGATACCCATCAAACTCTGCTAGTGCGTGAAACAGATCCAAGAAGTTGCGTCGATTTTTATCAGACAGAACTGAGACGAGTCCTGCATCAATAAAGACCACTTGTGGGCGCCATCCTTCGTTGTAAAGGTTCTCCAGCTCCTGCATCCATGCTTGCGTATCATTTTTTGGAATGGCCCTCAATCGCATTGTAGCCTCATCTACATGGGCCATATCTTGAGCGCTCTTGCCCCTGAACCTGGAGATGATCTGCTTTATAAGGTTATTAGCTGAAGGGTTGTAAAACCGAACAAAAATATTTCCTGGATGTAGATCCGCATGGACGAAATTATCGAAGATGAGCATTCTCTATAGAATTTAAAGACAAGTAGGACCATGTTTATATTAGCAGTCAAGTCCTTATTTTGTTAAAACGAGTGCTTCAAACATGATATATGTAAAAAAACAATTGAAATAGTCTTACCAAGAATCCATCAAGACCGATGTCAGCAATCTTCACATCAAAAGAACCTGCTCCACGCTGGAGGAACGTCTTTAAAGGAAAAGCATCCACAAACTCCTCAATCAACATCTCACGTGTCGCAAACTGTATGAGTGGTGTTGGGAAGGTGACAGTATAGCGACCCCGAAACTTACGCTGGAACTTTTCCAGATTCTTGGCTTCTATCCTCAGATCAAGCTGCTCCTGCATCATTTCCCCAAACATAGCGACCTGATCTGGTAATGAGATCCATCGCATTCCTGGGATCAGATTGATTAATTTGGCAAAGAAACTCATGATCGCCAGGTCCCGCTCCACAGTGCGTGCGACTCTTGGGTGGAGAACCTTAATTGCAACCTCTGTCTTTAGTTTCTTTTCAGTACGCTCGCCTGGATCCTTTTTGGGAACAACAACCTTTGTGACGTTACTCAACTTGCCAATCATAGTTTTGCCACCATCGTCTCCTGCACCTTTTCCTACAGTCTGCTGCTCATCAGGTTCAAAATGCAATGCGATACCAGGTTTTAATCGGCCTCGGTAGACCTGAGCAATTGCACCGATGCCGAGCGGGGTCTCAATAAACTCATCAAAGATGTCTTCGAGCTTACGTCCACCAAATGCGGCCTCGATCGTTCGTCGAGTATGCTCTATAGAATGTGGATCAACCTGGTTGTGTAGCTTTGATAACATTATACATAATTGATTTGGAAATATATCTGTCCTTGAGGCAGCCCATTGCGAGAGCTATATTAAAAAAAAAAAAAAAAAAAAAAAAAACTCAGAAAGAAGGTTCATGCCAATTACCAAATAAAAAAAAAAAAAAAAAAAAAAAAAAAGTCTGACGCCATTATTTCACAATTATTTTTTCTACCTTAATAAACGTGGGACCTGCCAACTCCATATGCCGCACAAGTAGATTGTACCACCAAATGGTACCACTGCGTTCATCATCCAGTTCCTTCTGGCGTTCACCCATAAATACTACAGGTAAGGTGATGAAGAGTGGTAAAAAGATGACTGCCAGAACACCAAACCGCCATATAGTTAAAATAGGATGGAAAACATAATCATCCAACATATCGTCCAAATATTGCTTGAGTCGCCTCCAAAACGATGGCTTTTGAGCATCTTTGACAATCTGTGTCTTGACTAAAGGTATAGCCTGTGCTAGTCTACTATGTTGATGGTGTTGATGATGGCCACTGTTGGAAAGATCTTTTGCCTCCAAGTGAATTCCGGGTGACAAAAAGCTAAGGCCTCCTTGAGTGACCAGTGCAGGTATGATATAATGCCATGTCGAGACATTCGTGGTGTTGGTGCTTGTACGAGCCGTGTTGGATATTGCTTTAGTATTTGTTATTGCTGTAGTAGAATACAACCGGTTGTGTTGTTTCAGGGAGCGGCAAGATGAAGAAGAGTGCTTCGATATGCCCTCGACAGCTCTCGTAGATTGATACCGTTGTTGCTGTGCTGTCCGTGGTCGAGAAGAGCGAAGAATAACACCCAGTCCTGGAACAGTGGTGCTCCGACGCAAGGACCCCATTGAGAGACGAGACATTGTTGTAACAGTGGTATGGGACATTGTCATGAAACGGTGACTAACATGCAATCAGAGGAATTGTAATGTAGTCGATCAGCTTCTAGACAAGATAAAACGAAAAAAAAAAAAAAAAAATCACAACGCGCCGGAAAGCTCTAGGGAAGAAGGGAAGAAGGGAAGGGGTTTACGTGAGAGAGAAAGAAGGAAATAGGGAATAAGAAAAGAGGCGAAATACACTCACATATTCCAGTGCCTCCCTGTCTCATAAACTTCTGAATGCAAGGAATGCTGGTATCCCAGCAGTCACCAAACGGACTCGACTGTGCAGCGCAGGCATGGACACATAGAAAAGGTCACCTGGATCAACCTTAAATGTATACAAATATTTTCATCATTGGCTAAAGTTATTTATTCTGCAAGATGATAGCCCCTTATCAATTCGCATCGTCTAAAATGTATACCAAACAGAGATTTGTATACATTTGGCAAATGCAGTGCAAGCAAGAAATAAAAAAGATGTCTCTTGCACTCCTACCATGCCCACCATGCCCACCATATCCTAGGACTTTGGCTACACAGATCAGGAGAGCACGACAATGGTGACTAAAAAATAAAAAAAAAGAAAGCACAATAAAACTATGAGACAAGCTGGCGCCATGTGCAAAGCAGATCTTGACCGCTAGATCGCACACCAAATGGATACAAAAGGTTGATTTATGCCCATTCAACGAGCATAAAAAAGTCGTTCCTGAAAGAGAAAAAAGAAAAAAGAAAAAAAGAAAAAGAAAAAGAGGAAAAGCGGGACGTCCAATTTAGACTAGATGGTGTTGGCTCGAGAAATGGTACCCTCCTTGTTCCTTTCTTTTTTTTTTTTCTTATTCTTTTCTTTCTTTGTAGGTCCTTGATAGATTTAGGGGCCAGTTCGCGTCAGCTGCATGTTACCCTTGCACTGTCGAGGTTTGTGAATTATCTTGTCCACCTCCACGGCCTCGTCGACTACGTCCCTGTCGTCCAGACCCTCCAGACCCTCCAGTGCTTTGTCCTCCTTGTCCTTTATTTCCAGAGGCTGGAGGAACATTAGTAGTATTCCCACTGTTGTTGTTGGCGACAGTGGCATTGCTGGTGGCGGCCTTGGCCTCTTGTTTAGCACGGTCTCCTCGAGTTCTACGGGATCGGCTAGATCGGCCAGATCCACCTTCAGAATTGGCTGTCTGTAAACTATCTTTTTTAGCATTTGTTGAGACATTGTTGCTTCCTTGCTGCTGCTGTCCACGACGACCGCTTGGGTTTCCAGGCTCTTGGTTCCCGTGTGATCCGCTATTGATGTTTTGTTGCTTTGGTTCTGACTGACTAGGAGGATTCTGGGCTGATGGGGCGGGCGTATTATTATTGGTCGTGGATTTAGGCTTCAAAAGCGTAATTTGTGGTGTTGCAGCCTCTCCAGTAGTAGAACTAGAGGCATCTGCATTTGCCTTCTTGCTGGCACGATTGCGTCTTCTTTCACGTTTGGGTTTTGACCCAGAGGTATTCTCAGTGTCGGCGTTTTGGACATTTTGTGCACTTTGAGCTGATTTGCGCCCTTGTGGAGTCTGCGGCTGGTTCTGTTGAGGTTGTTGGTTCTTGTTGGCTGCAGCAGAAGCATTTGAGGATTGGCCACGATTATTGCTAGTCTCCTTGGCGTTCCTATTAATGAGAATGGTAATTTGTCCCTTTGTAGCGTTTGAAAGCCCAGCTTTCCCTGCCTGCCTCGCTTGGCGAGCAGCAATTTTGGCGGCCTGAGCTTTGGCTTGCGCCGCAGCTTTCTGGGCTCTCAAGGCCTCCAGCAGCGGAGTTGCTTTTGGGTTTACAACACTCTCCTTCAGCACTAGATGCCAAAAAAAATAAAAAAAAATAAAAAGAAAATGGATGGATGTATGACGCAGATGTCCTTAATAAAGCTAATCGGTATTACCACACTGAAATCTTATCCTGACTGGACTGTATGTTGCTTACATAATTCTGTTCCTGACAACTTCATCTCCTTTTCAGCCTCGGTTGGTTCAGCATTCAGCGATTCGAGAAATGCGATGTAATCCGGATCTGTTTATATAATGTGAAACAGTATTAATGAATGCATGTCGATGGTCAAAAAGATTGCCATTTATATATATGTAGATTTTATCATTAAAATCTTGCATATTAGCATTTCACCTTGTTCAATTGTTCCTTGCTTTGAATCAACCTTGCGTGGTTCGCGTGGAACCTTTTGGAAAGGTGCAAATTCTACAAACGCCCTGCTTTCATTCTTTTGCTTGTCAATAAACATGTGTCCGTGATATACATTTTGGAACTCCAAAGCCAGCTTTTCGTTTTTGAAGTAGATATAAGCACGAGCAAATGTGTTTCCTTTGACGGGACTGAGAAAAAAACGTATAGAAAAACAAAATAAAAATTGAGAGCGCTGAGTCAGTAAAAGGAGTGTAGAGATGTATAAATGAAGGATAACAGGACAAAGAATATGTCCCATACTTTTTGCTGACTTTCCCTGCAACCCAGGTAGTCGGTCTCTCCAGTGAGGTCTCTTGCACAAATGGTTTAATAGACTCCATAAAAACATGTTCGGGTAAGTTGGCCGGAAGGCGACGAACGACTATCTTTGTCTTTTGTTGGCCTCTGTTAGGTCCTTTTGGTCGTGATGCACGCTTAAAATTGGTTGCTTTTCCTCCAGCTGTACTCATTTTTTTTTTTTTTTTTTTTTTTCTTTTTTTGCGAGGGAATAAAGTAATGGGATCCTGCAAGATGAAGAAAGCATGAACCAAACATGCAAGAAAGAAATGGTGGACGTGGCTTATCACATATGACACTTCATGCTGTGCATGCGTGTACATGTGCAAGGCGCAGGCACACCGAATTTATCCGCAGTCACACGCACCATTTTTTTTTAGTTGTTTATCATCAAGGAGGTAAGTTTTTTTTTTTCTCCAGCTTTGTCTCATTCCATCAAACTTGTACATCAATTCAATATGATTATCCCTGTGCGCTGCTTCTCCTGCGGAAAAGTCATTGGAAACAAATGGGACCATTATCTCTCACTCCTGCAGGCAGACTTTAGCGAAGGGTGAGTATTTGATGGGATTCATTACATTTTGATCCACTTTAGTCATTGGATGGAGATTAGCATATTAAAGCTCTGAAACGATAACAACAACAACAGCTAATAGATACAACTATAAAAACAGCAGCAATAAGTACAACAAATAAATACAGGAACAGTGATTGCAGCAACGGAAACAACTACAACATCGGACCAGTTGGCATAAAGGGATCCTTACTCTCAATTCCCTCTATCTTACTGTTCGTTTTCAATTATCAACGGAAAATAACCTAATAATATATCTTTTCTGATCACATAGTGATGCTCTTGACTCACTCGGATTGAAGAGATACTGCTGCCGTCGCATGGTCCTTACACATGTCGACTTGATTGAGAAGCTGTTGCATTATAATCGTAAGTTAAAAGGAGGGGGAAAAAATCAATTCAATATTTCTATATTAATTCGTATAAAGTCCAAAAGTGGAGTGAATAGAATGATATCAGTCGATATTGGAAGTATTTTGACAATTTTTTTTTTTTTTTAAAAAAACTTATTCTTTGATAGCTTTGGAGCGCAGCGTTGATTTGAAGCGATAAGGAAAAAAAAAAAAAAAAAAAAAGAGTAAAGGAATAGTCAAGAAGAAGCATCTGTACAAACTGCATTGGGATTAATAAACACCTCACATAGTGTATTTTTCATTGAATTAAAAGCTGAAATGTTCTTTAGTGAATGGCATGCAATATCAGACCATAGGATGGAAGGTTTGACATGCGCAGCACATATCAAAGGTCTTGTTTTTGTTTGTGTTATTAAACTAGAGTTATCGTACTACCGAAGTATAGGTATCTTGCATATCTTTTCTTCTAGTAAAGAACCTTAGTCCAAAGATTAAGAAGGAAAAATAAAACGGATCAGAGCCTTATTCTAAGAGACTCCAGATCCATTAAACCGTACAAGGAAAAGTTTAATTGTGCTTTTTTTTCTTTTTTTTTTTTTTTTTTTTTTTTTTTTAGTTCAACTGGAAACAATTGTTAGAAAAAGCGCGGTAATAAAAAAGAAACATTGATCAATCTATACGTGATATTTGCTCAGGTGCCTTTCGAATTTCAATTAGCGATTGATGAGCCACGTGTCGTGTGGATCAGTTTGGGAATACCGGAAGTGATTATCACACTTGCCCGAAGAAAAAGGCTTTTTTTTTTTTTTTGGGCGAGGAAGAATAAGAAAAAAAAAAGACAGATTATTACAAAAACCAGTTGGTTGGTCTAGAGCAATTCGAACACACAAACACACAAGGTCATGAGAACCATTCATGTCTTGTTACCCATCATTGCACAAAAAATCATGGAAATAAATAAAAATAAAAAAACACACCATACAGGCTTGATATATCAAAAAGTTCTATTTTCTTTTTTTTCTTTTTTCTTTTTTTTTTTTTTTGCTTTATTCACCCATTGGAATCCATTGATCTCGTAAACCTTCTTCATAATCTGGTTCTACTAGCGAGCCTTCATTATTATGATCTCCGTCAGAATTCATTGAAGCGCCACTATTCATCTGCTCATCATCATCGCCTATCAATTGATGACCCTTGCCAGATACTGAGGACATTGGATGAAGTATCTCTGCGATTTCAAACCGCGAGTGTTGCCTTACAAGGTTGACATAGTATCGTTGCATCACACTGCCTTCGACTGCTACGCGCCATTCGATCAATCCTAAAAACTCGACCTCAAGGGTATTGAGTTCCTGTGTACTTAATCCTCCCACCTTGGCGTAATGCGAGTTGGTGCAATAAGAATCACATACTGCCTTGGCAGCCAGTGTGACAGATGCAATGATGAACCGATGGACTGTGAGAGACGAGATGGTGAATGTCCTGACTTTTTCGCAAACGCGGTCGATATAGATCAAAATGACTAGTAAACAGGCCCGTTCCAGTGAGGTATATTTTACTATTCTCCGTAGATAATCGTATACAGAAATCTGGGGCGGTGCTCTTGAATGGAAACGAGTGAGATTGGCAGTTGTGAGCGGTATTTGGTCGTTGTGAGCGGTCAGTCGGCAGAGCATATCCGCTAGTTTGGGACAAGTGGTGTGAATTTTTTTTTTTTTTTTTTTTTTTGGTTAATCTTATTGAACACGATCGCATCGTTCGAGCGTGTCGTTAGAGCTACATGTGGTTGGCATGGTACTATTCATTCCACCTTTTTTGCTTCCTATTCTTCCTTTTCTTTACCGTCCCTTCCCTCTTTTTCATTTTCTTTTTCTTTTTTCTTTTCTTTTTTTTGTTCCTTTGTCTGTTAACCATGTTGCATTGTTGTCTGGTGCTGTCTCTTACCAATCATAATGGTGAGGTGAGTCATGTCTACTTGATGAAAATATTCAGGCACGAGGATCACACCTTGAAGTTCTTCCCGCTGTGTAGGCCCTGTTGGCTCTGGCGATGGTGAGATTTGGGTTGTACCAGGATGGGGATGCATGGCTCTGTTTCCTATGATAGTGAAATCCTTGTTCTCAATGTCCTGAAATCACTTTTGTCGAAAATTATTAAAACTTGATCTCGTAAATTTTTTTTGGACAAGTTGCTCGGTTTTGCCTGCTTTGCTTTAATGTGTTGACTGACTCAGATTGGTTGAGTTTAAATAAATCGTTGTCTTTTTTTTTTTTGTTGTTGTTGTTGACGTGGGAAGCAAGTCTTGGTCTGGTATTATTACTATTATTAATATAAATTTGTTTTATTATTATTATTGACTTGTTGTAATAGTTGAAGGGGTTGTAATGGGGTTAATGACAAAAAGAAAGATTAAGTAATGGGGTGTTTAGAATTAGAATTACAAAAAAAAAAAAAAAAGTGTGAAAAGAGAACAGGTCGATCGATTAAGTCGAACAAGAAAAAAAGAAAAAAAGAAGAAAAGAAAAAGAAAAAAAAAAAAAAAAAAAAAAAGAGGAGAGAGAAAGTTCAAAAAGAAAAAAAAAAATCACTTTCTTGACATCACAAGCCTTTTCTCCTCCCCAACTTGGTTACAAAGGAACATCCATTTTATTTTAGGGTTTTTTATGTATTACACATCGTTAATAATGTTATTCCTTGTAACAATAAGCCAACGGAAAGGTGTTGCTCCTCAATTCTGTGTCTGCTTTGTGCTTGGAATGACTGTAAAATAATAAATGTGTTATACTCGCGTGTATCGATGTTGTGCCTGATCATCTTACTCCCATTCCCTCACATTACTGTAAACATTACTTGAGCAACCCTGGCAAATAACAATAACCCAGCCAGGCTATCTTTGCAAATCAGCAGTAAGAATGAGGCTATTCGGCAAGTCGAAGGTCGAATAACGAATATATGCTTTTTGATCTTCCCATAATGACAATGTGAATGATTTTTCCATGCTTTCTTTGCGGGAGTTCTTTTGATCACTTTCTGAACAAACAGAGCTGGGAATGGGACAGAAAAAAAAAAAAAAAAAAAAAAAAAATGCATTGCAACGCACGGCACGCGACCAGAGAAACCATTCATTCGCTGCTCACAAATCCAAATCAGAAATGTTTTATCTGCGATTGAATATTGTTGATTTGTGATGATTGATGCATGCATTGTAAAGGGTTAAACATGTTATACACTTTTGAGTACCAGTCAATTGAATCGCGATCATCAATGACTGGGAAAGGTATAAAAAAATAAAAAAAGATCTTCTTCTCCCCATCCATCGCAGGACATAAAAAAAAAACCTGCAGCATCTGAACCTAATAGCATTGACCATTACCAGTTTTCCCACACGAAAAAAATAAAAATAAAAAAAAAAAAAAAGATCCTTTCTATCATATACGCACAACACACGACCACTTTTCTTTGTTTCTGGCAAATAAACACATTTATACACCACACACTGAGTGTGAAACAGCCAATGGTAACATTATAAATATCCCTATTGGTCATTACCCGATTTACTCTCTGTCCATACAAGACTCACATGTATTATTAAAGATCAACCATGTCAATTACAAGACCAAATATGTTCAGACAAAACATGACTAAGTGCTTGTTATCAGAGGGTTTGAAAAGACCAAGCTCCCTGATTAAAATTAATTTCTGCAACTAGAATCCTTCATGGTTTGCTATTTGGACCTTATTCCTCCAGCTCTCCAATCGTTCTCAATGTAATGATGGTACGGAGCTCAATTACATCATCTCATCCTCCTTCCCACCCTTTGTGCCCTCTATCTAATATTCTTTACTGACTTCGTTGGGCCATCATTAGCCAACTTTGCGACAGTCATGTATGCATCCTTGGGCAGTTATAACCCGGACCAACGAGGAGTCTGAGCAGTAATGATATATCCGGTCCCATCGAGATATTCGAATTCATCCTGCATCCAAAAATACTGCAGCCATATTGTGCCTGAGGAGCAAACGACATGTGGCCTCTTTATTTTTCCCAAAATAACTTTCAGTCTGGATGATGGATTTTCCTCCCAATGACCATCCAAAAATCCTATATCTCCAATGGTGTGGTGTAAAGATAATTAGCTCTTACAGTACATCGGTATTAGGTAGCTTGCCTTCAACTGAAAGTTGGCCATAAAGGTATTGAATGCTAGAAGACCTGGGTCAGGCAACTACTATATCTTGCGCTATGATGGGGCCTTTTCCGCTATCGATGAGCCTATCCTGCTCGACTCCCTTAAACAGGAGAGGAGAGATGTGCCAAAAGATCGATGAAGAGAGGAAATAGGGGAGGAATCAAAGTCGCGTACAAAGCTGGATTGTTATGAATGTCTTAGCAGGGGTCCTCAAAAGAGGAGTATATATGACTTGAATTAGAACGGCAACAGACTGGAGTGGTCCCAGATGCTGAGAACCGTTTTATCATTTGACTTTTAATCATTAGGATTTGATGATATGGGTCGTCATAAAGTATTTATTCCAGACCGACTCTTATGGTCTATGGCCATCAAGATCCTATCAGTAGTATACAAGGCTCCATTGATCTCATTATCTTCGGCCCAGAGAGTAGTTACGCCGGTGACGGTGGCGATGCCAACTCCTCAAGTACTGATAGCTACAAGGTGCGTTGATCTTTAAATATGGAGTCGCGTTTGGTGCTCGATAAGGTTAATGGCCTCACTTGCTCTACACAACTGAGTGAAGCGCGAAAAGCGAGTGAGGTTGCACTGGCAGCCGAATCCAGAATGCAGCACGTAAGGCCTGAGGCATACAGTATTGGGATCAAGCGCACTGCACTAAGTGGTGGAGTAAGTACGCGCTATTTGAGGCCTGTATGCTTTACAAAGGTTACCAAATCGAGGTTGTAGTATTGACGCGTCATTCTATACCCCATTATGACCTAACTCTGCTCAGCCTGAGGATGCGCTCGTGGTAGACTTCTAGAAGCAGTTGTATCAAAGTCTTTCTTTGAATCCGTCCTTTGAGCTAGTCCTTCGATTTGGTTCTGATCCTTCGGATGACTCTTCGGCTACTCGAGATGGTTTCCCCTCTTTTGAAGCAGTTATTCCAAGTAATTCTTCAGTTCTTTGGGAACTTTCATTTGGATGGATTGGGTGAGATTTTTTTTTTTTTTTTTTTTTTTTTTTTGGGAAAGGCAAAAGTCGTTGCATTCTAGCACGTCGAATTGCCCCTGCTTGTCGCAAGAGGCTGAAACGCGTGGAACGGGATCAGTGACCTTCAGTAGGAGTAAATGAGAATAAAATGTATTAAACATATCAGAGTCTCTGGTTATAGAGGGACGTAAGGCGAAAGGGCTATTTGCGCGTTTGAAAAGTACACGTAGTTAGACAAATCTGTGTTCGACACGCAAGGCGAAAAGGGTATCAAGCCTCGTCCTCTCCTTTATGACAAAGATCAGAAATGGTGATACTCCCCTCAAAAGAGGTGCATATATAGGACTACTGACAACCTTCCCATCGAGGGTTGAAAAATCAAAACTATCAAGCGTTTTAAAACTGCCTAGACTCTCCACGAAGCTATGCTTGAAGGCTGGAACAATTTGATTTTTACTTTTAAACCAAACCTTCGCTTTCTATCAGCCCTGACCTGCCTATATAAAAGCTCTTACTGCATAGATACTCCAATACATGTATTGTAGAACAAGCTTTCTCCTTGAGGTAGATATGCAAAGTAGGAATCACCAAAAACCATATGGGGAAATGTTGCCTATGCATTTTATTCTTCATTTGACATACCAACCAACAATGCCCTGCTTGCGGAAGATAGCTCAGGCCTCGAGCTACCGGATACAATGATGTTAAGCAATAACCCCGAATAACGAAGCGGCGACTATAAAATACCTGTAGCTTGCCATGGTGCCATAGTCAATTTGATAAGAGCGGTATCTCTTCACTTGATATTGGCATTTGATGGAAATTTGGTGGTCTGAAATTTAAGTATATGGCCCAGCACAAAATCCTCTACAATAACTGGTACTTTGATCATAAAATTGGACCGCTGATGTTGATACTCAATATCAAAACCAAATATGTCATATGACTCTTAGTGATTCTTACTTTGCATATCTACCTCAAGGAGAAAGCTTGTTCTACACTACATGTATTGGAGCATCTATGCAGTAAGAGCTTTTATATAGGTGGGTCATGGCTGATAGAGAGCAAAAGTTTGGTTTGTCTAATCTGTACTTCCAGGACTAAGCAAATAACTAGGTATACTTCCCCTATCAGTATCACTTGACGGTGCTAGACAGTATCCCCCTAAGCTAGCAGTCCTTCTACCAAGACTAAAGGATACCATACCGCCAACGTCCATTGCGACGAGGCAAGTCCTCGTTGAGATATTAAAGTAAAAGAAAAAAAGTTAAAGCATTCACTCAATTTTGCGTGTGCGTATTAGTCTCATTTGTGTGATATGTTCGGTGGATCTGTTTTTGATCTGCTACTGTATCTGTTAGTTGAATCTTTTTTTTTTTTTTTTTTTTTTTTTTCTTTTAGATTGGCCTCTCATGTAGCTGTCTGGTTGTTAAAGTAAAAAGATTAAGCTCAGAGATATCAGAGCAATGGCTTTGGAATGGTAACATCTGGCCAAATGGATCTTAAAATGTCTGTGCGCATTCCTTTGCTTTGTCCATTTCATTCTTTTTATCGTAACCCCTCTTTTGCTACTATATTAAAAGCCAGATTAGGCTATGGCGTCGCTACTGTCGCTACCATTGTTCTTTTTGGGAAAAGAGCTCATTTGTGTGATTCAAATGCCTCGTTTATTAAATAGCCTGGGATAGTACAATACACTCGTCTTTGATACCCTTATATCTACCCCTCCCTCTTATGGTCTTCCCGCTTGTAATGGTCAATGTCCTGCAACGTGGATTTTATTATATTTTACTTTTGTTTTCTATTCTTTGTGCTGTTATCGCCGCCATGCAGCATTCATGAGTATATCTATGTGAATGAAATAAGCTTTTTTTGTTCTTATATGCGCTTGTCAACAGAAAGAGAAAAATATTTTTCTCTATTCGAAACTACATAGCACATCTCAAAACGGCTGGCGAAAGGAACAAATTAAGCTCCACTCGAGTCCTATGCAGTGAGCTAGATGTCCATTATATATCTAGGCCCTTCAAACCAAGTAGGTTTTTCTGATTTTTTTTATATTTTGAACCTCTGACAAACAGATGAAAGTTAACATTTCTGTTACAGTGCTTCTTAAGGAAAAACGGCAAGAAAAGGAATGAAGATAGTGCTTCTCTTCATAACCATTTAAAAATTTTATGTTTTTGACCAAACATTCTTTCAGGTGGGTACGCCATTGGTCATGGCCCCTGATGTCGTAACCAGAGGGAACAGTACTCTGGCTATGTTCAAGAGGCTCATGCCAACCATCGAAAGCTTGATAATCGACGCAACCACAGGACCGAATCAAGCTGACTCGGCTAATTACGATAGACTTTGGACATTACGACTAAACAGCAAAGAGATGAGACAGGTTGATGAGCTTATAGGTGTATTGGAGCTCATTAATGGTATGACTATGGTTTTTAGTTCCTCAACAAGCGGTTATGTCGCGGCTTTTGCTCCCTGGGTCATAGGTGTTTTAAAATATTACGATATGGCGACAATGGTGAGGCAGAATTCGATCTAGCTGTCGAGCTCATCATAATCACAGACGGTTATTTGGTTGCCACAACGTTCCACCCATCATTTAACACTCTCTGGTTCCTTGAGGATCAAGCTGGAGCCAAAAAATCAAAGAAAAAGTTAAGGAAGAGTACGATCAGGTCAGCAACTGGCCTCCAAAGCGGGGTAAGGAGTATTCATACATTCGCTGGCACCGGACGCTGATGCAGGTGACGGTGCATCCACAGCTGAAAACAAATGATGGCCCCTTAACTAATCGCATATATTAAAAAATAGATTCATGTAATGTTCTTTGGGCAACATTCCAATAATCCAGCAAGTTTAAAAAAAGGGGGCTGATCTGTCTTGTTTCTTCATTCCTTCTTTTCCATTTCCTCATTAGAATGGCACATTGCGGTGATGCAAAAGTTGCCAGGAGTCTCCTGACGTGGACGCGACTGTCATGTAAGACAAAGATGCCTTTTAGCAGTACAGAAACTATATCGAAGGGATACGTATGCACATCAGTGTTTTCCCTTTTGTATCAGAGCATGTAAATCAGTGATGAATTGAAATCTAGATTTGCAAGTCGCCAGAACCTCGGATGCCATCTTCAAAACTCCAATTCTATCGAAACCTGTTTGTCATATATTTACACCAGGATCGAAGCGGTTTGCTTCCAGCGGCCCGCAATCTACCTATGGACACCATAAATCAGAGGGGCCATCAAAGGATAAACTTCGCATTGTTCCTTTTCAAATGAATGTCACACAGGCTGAAGAGGTCAGAACCGATAGATATATGTGTACTGCTCAGCTAAGCATCAGAAAGATTTAATTTATTCTGTTAGGTTGTGTTAGATTTTTCAAAAGTATCACGGATACAGCTTCTTCTCCGCCAAAGTCCGTCAAGTTGACAAAGTTGAGGCACTCTACATTCCCTTTTGGGCTGCAAGTGGATCTGTTCGGTCAAAGATCATAAATGCTCAGGGTATACATTAATACAACTTGTAGTCCCCAATAGTAAAGAATTACAGAGGTAGAATTTGGTTCCAAAAAAAAGAAAAGAAAAAGCAAGATCCAGTCACAAATGTACTCTTGACTTTATTTATTGGATAGTTGGCTGGGATCGCCTTGTTACCCGATACAACAAGGTTACAAAACAAAATGAGACATCATGGGAAACCACATGGAGGTCCGTGCAGACGCAGCATGAGTTTTCAAATTCATATCCGAGTACGATACCAGAATTACAGATCTATGCTTCATACAAGTATCGTAGAGGATTTGTCAACCAGATCAGGAGTAGCTCCAGTATTCTGGCAGCGAAGACCTTAGAGCCAAAAGATATGGAATCTACTAATGAGCATGATATTCAACGAGGATTACGGGATCGTGGGTTGGATCCCTTCACCGTGAAACCATCCATTGCTCTCAAATTCGTCAAGACTGCCATTGAGGAAAACGAAACTACGAGAGCAGAGCGCTGGCTCATTGAAAACTATAGATGTGATCAAGCAAGGATTTTATCTATGAACTTTCAGTATGACAAGTTAGTCGTGGCCCCAATTTATATTCCGGTGTACGTGTTTTCAATCCAGCATTTGAACCGGACTTTTAGAACGTTTGTTCAGGCACATGATGAGAAAGGGCTTGTAGGCGGTTTGAGATTCTACTCATGGGAACGAGTGAGTGCTGTCACGGCGATTTGTGCTATGGCCGGTCTCGCTATCATGGGCACCTCGCGTTTTGGAATGACTATGACAAGTGGATTCTGGCTGGGGGTCGTAGCGCCATCATTAATAGTAGCCTGGTCTGTTCTTTATTATCCTGTCCTGGACTATCGCATCAGAGATTGGTGGCGGCAAAGGTAATATCCAATTTTCCCTGGATTGCCTTTTACTTGTCTAATATTTCGAATCAATGGCGGAAGCCATGCTAAAAAAAAAAAAATTGCTCAATAGAGAGATGGCTGGTCATGAGGAAGAAGCTTACTCATCAACATGGGATGCAGACTGGACAAGGGCTTATGATAGGTTTGAAGAGGAGCAGCGACGCCAGGACTGGAATGAGAACCAGCAATATCAGCAATACCACCATCAGTCTTCGAAGGAATCAGGGTCGTCTTCATCATACACCTCTGGCCGTTCAGGCCCTCCAGGCGATCCACAAGGCTATTATGCTGTGCTAGGTATCCGCACCAATGCTTCTGTTCAAGAAATCCAGTCCGCATTCAGGGGTCTTGCTATGAAATGGCGTAAGTAGTAAAGACAACATATATAATATTCCGAATGAATAGTCGGAGCACGACATTAACTGACTAGATGAGCAACTTTCCTTTAACTGCTTTTTAATGAACTAAATAGATCCTGATAGATTTAATACTCCTGAAGAAAAGGCTGTCGGTAAGAAGAAGTTTCAAGAGATCACTGCGGCTTATAGCGTGCTTCGTGATCCAAAGAAAAGACGATCATACGATATGTATGGACGCGTTTAGTATGAATACAATAATAAACAATGAAGAGCAAATATATACACGCTAATAATTGCTAAGAACTCGTACGGATCTTAAATGCTACACAATTAAAGTAAGCCACTGTTGCAAAATTTAGGGGCAGATGTGGTAGGAGATTTAGGTCGTTTTGGTGGATTATGAAGCCGGTCACTTCCAGCTGCAGATAGATAAATAATTCTAACACAATAAAAGAACACACACTACTCAAAGACTGGACGAGAACAGTCAGTACTCAAATGGCTCTTGTGTAAAAATAAGGAACAAGGAGCCAGATTTTCCTGAGCTGTTGCTCGTTAAATAGTTGGTGGCGAACCCTCTACACGTGACTAAAACTAAAACCAACACCACTGCACGTGGTCCAACCTCTGGTTGAATGCCCCTTTGCTTTTGCTTATTGAAGTAACCTGCAACTTGTCATTTTCGCATCGGTCAACGCCATGGCAAGGTTGAGAAAGTTGTTGTTTTTCCCCTCATGCTGATGGCCTCGACAAAGGGAAAAAAATTATAATTGACTTATATTCTCACTTCATTTTATTCTTTTCTCTTATTTTATTTTATTATATATATATTTTTCTCTTTTTTTGTTGTGGTTCGTCTTACACATTCTAGTTACTACGACCAAGAGGGCTCGTCCGACGACGCCGCAAGCATCATGGGACTGACTTCTCCCTCACCAAGCATTGACCATGATTCACTCCTACAGCAACAACAACAAGAACACCAACAGGAGAGCAATATCGATCAACAGAGGATACCAGCCAAACACACTCCACATACTCTAATATCGTCCCCGTCTTCCCCCATATCTGACTCGCTAGTTTCATCTTCTTCCTCATCCTCTACTTCATCTATAGCTAAATCACCGAGGGAAAAGGACGTTAGCAACAATGCTCTTGAAGCAACACGCACAGATTCATTAAAATCAAATTCTTGCACTTCAGAGAGCCCAAACGCCTCACAACGATACCAAACAGAGTCTCCGACATACAAAGGGTCAGTTAAGGATGAGCAGGGGCCAATAGAGGATGCAAAGAGTATAGCAATTGCTATCGACAGTCAGGATATGATGACTCGTTCGGATCTCGAAGAATCCTTACTGAGGAACCTGTTCGCCCCTGTCACATCCTTAAAGTCAGAGGTGAGAGAGAGTAAAAAAGAGTGCCTGGAAAAAATAACAAAGCATTATGAAGTCTTATTATAGACATTTATGAGTATATCTATACACATGTGTCTATGCTAGAGTATTAGTATACTTCATGCCTCAACAGACAAACACCTTCCTTGGACTGAGTTAGGTCATCCAAACTTATTGAAAACGATGCGATTCGCGCCTCAGACTCGTGTCTTCTGCATCAATAAGAAGTACCGTTCTGTCTTTTTGGTTGATGTCAGCTCATCTGTCCTTACTGTTGATTCTGAAGGTTCAAAAGTTGTTATGAGCCAGGTCATGGAAACGTTAGTAGTTATTATTAATGATGCTGTCGCATTTTCCCCACCGCCTTTCCCATCTTTTTGCATGACCATTGAAAATGTTTTATCTAACGTTTTTTTATCCTTTCCCCCACTTAGGCTCTCAAAGTGCCTCTCGGGGCTTGCAGAACGTTTTTCGTGTCCAGGGCTGGAGCAGGACTTTGTTCAGGTACAAATACTCAACCTTGGATTACTGTTTTGAATTTGACCTCTGCATGTCTTGTACACTGTATAGAGTGCTCAACTCATATTTTACATTTTGTTTTTACTTTTGTGAACTTTCTTTAGTCCGAGATTCATATCACAGTCATAGCAGAGTGTTCACAATTCGCAAGTAATTTACATACTGGAGAAATGTTAGCCAACTTCCCAACAATGAAAGTTCTATTACAGGATGTCATCTTGACTGAGAATAATCGCAAGAGTGTCCTAAAAGCGTTGCGAATACAACTTGAAAAATTTCAATCAAAGTTGGCCAAATTCAGAGGTGAATTGCGGCGGACACGCGAAATAGTTGGATATTCGTTGGCAGTAGAAGATAATGTTGGTGATATCAATACAGAACTTGATCTGGAGGATGATATCAGCCAAAGAAAATCATGGGGTGTAGGGCTATCGGGAGCCAACTTGTCCTATACGTTAACAGCTGGCCTGTTTGCGCTGGGGATGATGCCGAGCGCTGCTTCTCCATCGTTGGTTGTCATAACGGACGGCGTCGTCAAATCAAACTTGCTACACGGGAGTACAATCCTGAGACGTCTCATGGAGCTAGATGTTTCTTGTTCTATAATTCAGCTTGGTAAGAACAATGAATCAATGGCAACTTGCAACTGGGGCTTCATACAGGACACAGAAGCTCTTCGATTTGTTGCTGAAGCCACACTGGGGAAATTTATGTATTCTCAAGACTGCATTTCCGTTGGTTGTTTGAATAACTCCAATGGTTTGAGCGAAGGTCGGGTTGCTCCCAATATGTATCATCGGTCATTCCTGATCCGAGAACTTTGTCTTATGAAACCACGGCCAGGACTCGATGAGGATGACAAAGAGGATTCCCCGGGATACTCCTTAACCAACTTTCCATGGGACCCCAGAAGTCTACCAGAACCAGCCAAGATGATGCAGACATCTTGTAAGGATTACCATCTTAATATACCCGTAGAAATGCTTGTCACCACCCGAATTAGACAGGGATTTCGGATTAAGGGTGTCTTTATAGCACTAGACAAAGATCGATCGTCTACAGAGCGATACATGATTACTATGACGTTAGCATGGCTCCCAAACGTCACCATTCAGTACCGACTCAAAGGTTCAATCTCGAGCGAAATTGCCAGTACCAACTTCTTCGACCGATTCGAAGCACCCAAAGTTGAAATTGATGTTATTGCCTATCAGGCTTTTGCTATTCATTTCCTTAATTCACAGCATGCACCTGTCAATGCTAATCACTCAGTATATGCCAAAGTTTATCGTTTTTATCGATATATTGTGGGACTGAGCGACTCGGATGTAACGCTGCGAGGATTAAATAACTCTCATGCAAAATCACTGGAGAGGCCAGGGAAGCCTATTTCTGGAATAGCTAATGACGAGCGTCAGGAGTTGCTTGCGTACATCTCACGGCTCTCAGACCAATGGTCAGGGTTTGCTAAAGACGCTGACTATCAGTATAGTCGAGGCTGGTACAATGAATTTGAATTCGACCTCCTCATGGTTGTTCCGCCACCCTCTTTCCTACCAACAGTCATGGATACCAAAAATACGCTCGTAAAATACAGTGAAGGATTGGAGGCGACAATTCAGACTATCAAGGACAATCTCAAGAATACCTGGGCATCATTTGTAGTGGGGGATGTGTACATTAAAACTTGGCAGGCTCCAGAGACGAGCTCATCCACGACTACTAACTCATCCACGACTACCGGCTCATCCACGACTACCAGCTCACAGTTCTGTGAATTGCGTTTATTCAGTGAACCCAGTGTTGCAGTACTCCACGTTCAACTTCGATTCTTTGGCATGCCACTAGCACAGAGGAGATCGATAGCTAAAGCACTCCAGGAAACGATCTATCGCTTCCAGCCAGGACAGTCAGAGCGGAACAGTAGTTTAATAACGGGAGACGAAATTTCTCAGGCGAGTATACTCCGTTGTCAACGGCCCATCTATCGTCTTTTGATGCGACATTTAATCTGTGAGGTTCCTTTAGCACCTGAACATGAGACAGCGTTGATGAAATTTCGGACTCATGTTTCGGAACCCATCGGAGAGGAATCGGTTTTGCGATCATATATGGTCCACAAACATTGGGTATGGAAAGATCAAGTGCGTGACCCAGCTTATCTTGCAGAGAATAACTACATGGCCAGTCAAGACCTGGCATTCCAATACTTATGTGCTCAGCGCATAGGGGAAGGCTACCTACTAGCTTCTGCTCTCCCCAACCGTGTTTTATTCTACAAAGAAGTTGACCTTCCTGAACAGCAGCATTCGCTTCTCCGAGGTTCAACCTCGATTCAATACCTTATTTCAAGAAGTCCTGCTTCAGGAGAGCTTGTCACTGAACTCTGGATGGAGCCACCCTTGGATATGTGCCGACAAAACATATTTTCTAAAATTAAGGCTCAAATTATTGCTGTGGATCGCTTCGTACAATCTCGTCTGGCAACTTATGAGGCAATTCATACCATCGGTCGCCTCCGCCTTCGGCCAGAGGTGAACGCGCAGTCGGAACGAGAGTTCGTATACCCATATCTGTTTGATCCAGCAACCCTTTTGCGACAGCAGCGACTCGTTACAGTCGCATTTGAAGCCCCTCGGCAGGGTTTACCAAGGGACGACCATTTTGGTTCAGAAACAGAGCCACAGAGAAAATGCATTCATACACTAGGGCTTGGAGCTAGTAATGGAGAAGGCCTTTCTGGCACACTAGCAGCGACTCCAAGCAGTAGCAGGGAGTTCTTTATGGTTAGGAATGCGAATGCCAGCACCACTAGCCTAACTCAATCTCTTCTGGAAGCGGAAGCTGGAGCCTCAAATGAAAACGAACTTGTAGCCGAATATAAGGATCAAATAAGGGAACTTTGCTGTAGAGATCGCGATCTTGCAATGCTACATCTGTTTATGGAAAAGTCGCTTTCACATCTGGCAGATGGCGAGATTATACCGGGAGGTGAAGATGATGGATGTACACAACTCTTTATGGACATCAAGCTGTCAATCAAGCAGAGCGCAGAAGTCCGTCAGGCATTGATGGATTTTCACTGCGCCAACTCTTTTCAGGATATTCGCTGTTTCGTTAAGAGCATCAACTCAAAGTTTTTCCGACTCATCATCATACCGAAGCTTGGAGCAGTTATATCTCATTTGACAAAGTTGCGTTCACTACCACCAAGAGAACAGGATGGGCGTAGTGAACAAATGCGACGGGATTTCTTGAGCTGTCTCATGTTTGAGTGCCTTCGCAGCAAGCCACTAGTGGATCTGTCCGAGTATAATGCAAATGCACTTGAGCAGAGCATGGCTTTATTTGAGCTTCATCCTGTCACGCTTGGTCCCTTGACGACACAGCAGCCGTTGCTTCCTCAACCAGTGGTTTATGAAGACCAAGGAAAAGCTCGAGTACAAGGATCAACGATTCAATTGATTCATTCAATTAGTCAGGCTTATTCACATAGTTTTATTAAGGCTATCTATGCATCGCTTGTTGAAGGACATTCAATTGATAGCTCCGACTTGGCGAACGCCATCCAGTTTTGTTCTAGAACGACAGTTGATATTAACATTACTGGGTTCCTAAACACGCTTGAGGAAGGAAGACGGACAGGGACTTTGAGGTAAATTTTATTGGCAATGTTTTTCTGTATATAAGTAATACATCCAAGACACCTAATCAACTTCTGGTCATCATACTTATAGGGAGGACGTCAATGAGTTGTCTGCACGGTTCATGAATGTCCTGAAGCGTTCTTTCGATCTTGCACCCGTGCAAGGCTCAGGTCAGATTTACTTTTATCGACCTGCTCTGAAGAAACTTAGCACCGTCAAGCAGGTAAAGCCCAAGAACAGAAAGCGATCTCCAAGTGTCTCACGATCCGGATCAATTGATGCAGATTTGGAGGATGCACTCGCAGAAGTGATAGAGAGTGCAGAGCGGCCACTGTTTCTTCACTTAGAATGCTCGTTCCAGAAACCTTTGACCCCGGTACCCGATCTAGAAAAGGCGAACCTAAAGTCATCAGTCACTTTCCCAGTGACAGAAGTTCCTGTATCTTACATGTATAAAGATAATGGATCTCAAGAATACAATTATGCACCTACAAGCATCGGATTGGAATCACGTCCTGTTGATTCTGGAGATGGAACTATCGCTATTCTACATCTAGTGATCTCCACACTTCCCATGCCTGAGGACTATGCAGGCCCCACGTTGAAGACAATTGACTCGGAGTCAAAAATTAATGTTGACAACAGTCAACTAACTGGCCTTCGAAGCCTGCAGCATCTCTTCCCAACACTAGAATCAACGCAGATCGAAGTGATTGCAGAAACTGAGGCAAGGTTAGAGTGGCTGGTCAAGGAGGAGGTCATGCATGGTTTAATGAACATGACGCCCATTACCACCGATATCTTGAGCCTAGTAGAGACACAGCTCAAGACCAAGAGTAATTTTGTCGACTTCCCCACGGCGATGACACTGCCTCTGACATTCGTAAAACGCAGGCGTGGTCACGACATATTCATGCAGGAACTCAGCAGGACTAATATGTATCCATACGAATTGCATCAGCTCGGACAGTACTTTTATTTGACAGAAAGTAGTGATGCACAGGTCAGAGAAGATGTGTCGGAAGACGGTATGAATGACTCGGGACTTCAGGTTGATAATGAGACGTCACAGGACGATGACCTGCCATCCTTGTCCAACGGCCTTCAGGACGATTTGTCTCTGCAACCATCCAACGACCTCTGCCATGGGTTGGGTATTGTGATTTTACCGGACCCAAGGCCAACAAAGAAACCCTCTACCAGTCAACAAAATAGCAGTGACCATACACTTCTCAGGAAAAGGCATACTTTTTGGCTGATTCTAGTCCCAAAAGACAGTTTTGTACAAATGTACTTTTTCTCAAGGTCTCTGTCGGAGGAATTTTGCAATGCCATCCAGGATCATGTCCGGAAGGCCATTAATGATCTTTGCATTAAAGTCAATCAACTGACCTTACTACAGTCGCTGAATAAGACTCGGAACTGCAGTAAATACCTGGTACCCTGCGATGAAACAGACCCTAACGCTGACACAGAATCTGATCCAGATTCAGATGAGATTTCAGAAGAGGACAAGGCTTTGGTAACTGGTGGGCCAAAACAAACGGATGATAATGAAACTCACAGGAAGTTCCAGCCCGGCGAGTTTGCATGTCCATTGGTGTACCGTGTAGCATGGCCGTTACATTGGCGTGTTAAAGCAGGTCAGGCGGTCAATAGTGTATTCCACCTAGGACTATTCCCGTTCGCTGTCCAAAACCGCAAAAACTACTTCGTCGTCGAGAGTCAAGATGATCATGATGAAAGCAAAAAGATTGTAGTACTATTGAAACTCAGCGAAGTAGACGTTCAACCTGATCAAGACTCCTCAATTGCGCCACAGGCATCAGAAGAGCAACGAGGAGTAGCATCACATTTCACAGCTAACAAGGCAGGAGACGACTCTTCTGCGGGTCAAAATGCTCCAATTCCAATCCAAAGCTTAGATGAGTCTGTATCACATATAAACAGTCCACGCCCATCCCTCACTGCATCACCTGGATCCAGAACAATTGTCCCGCCGCTGATTAGGACAGAGACAAGAGAGCTAGTGATTGAGGTTTTCGGCGTGGAGCCTCCTGGCAAGCAAATAACTGTTGATCTGTTCAATCTACTGGAGAACAGATTTTATAACTCTGTTGTCCTCAATGTAGTATCAACGTTTCTGTCTCGTAATTCAACTTTGAAGTTCACACAAGCAGTAAGTTTTTTTTTTTTTTTTTTTTTTTTTTTTTTAGTACTGATATCTACTGAATTGCCTATTCACTACCTGTAAAAAAAGTTTGGAGCTGTTAACAATCTTCGATTCGACCAATGGCGTAATTCATTGACATTAGGATGTGGATTTTATTCTACCCATAGACAGGCTAGAGTCCACACGCCGGGTACTAGAGATTCCTAATTTTATCAAGGTCCCATATGCGTTCTTGATGTACCTTAAGCAGAATCTATGTCTGTATCTCAGTCCACTGACAGGTCCTGACAAGATTAACGTTCTGGCACGATATTACCATGCGCAATATGGACGGTTCCCTACTACAGAACGATCCCATGATAGGCAGGTTTTTTTATGTTTATTTTTATTTCCCTGGGGTATATTCCAACTATCTCCCTTACCTCGGATTACTGACTTCTTTGATTTTCTGTTTATTATAGGACTAGTCAATCACATCAGTTGCAAATTGGAGACTTTTCGTTTTTTTATAATGCCGTTCAAAGTCGAACCCCTACTCCTATTGAGGCATGCGTAGGAGTTGGTTTAGCTGGAGTATGTCTTACGGTATTGGGTCAAGATATGAGACCGGTTTTCGAGGTTGGGTACCAAGAGGGCGATCATGACAGAGAGGATATTGAAAAATACTTTACCCTATCCCCAAATACGAGTGGTCTAAAACCATCCAAGTACAGTTTGCTAATTGAAGTATGGCCCCAAGGGTCTGTCAATCCAAATGCGCTTCTCGACTCCATCTTCCAAAGCTTCCGCCAAAGTCTTTGTGATGATATCATTGAGACATCCATTGATCAAGGACTTTGTCCTAGTGCGCGTGATAGGAGGAATGATATCGATCAACTCGATGGCGAACCGTTGATTGGCGAACGTATCCAAAGGAACTTTATTGACCCATCATTTATGATCCTTCAACATGCTTATCAATGGAAGAATCCAGCGGTCCAGTCACTTATGCTGCAATACTCAATGCCGCCATGGATTATGGATTCGTTCCTTTTGGAACTAGATGAAATCATGACGGATGTTAGCGTCCATTTTTCGCCGTTACTCATCCGCTCTATGGCTGATTCGAATCGCTACAAGGAATACAGAGCTTCTAGCGGGACTCGGAAATCATTCGGCGACATGACCAACGTTCGCTTTATTCTCATAGGAGGAATCCAAGATTTAAGCGATGGTTACAGCTCAAACTACTATGGCCGCCGAACGAGCATGGGAAGTGAGCGTTCGCATTCCCGTCGTAGCTCGCTTGCCGAGGGAGCTAGTCTTCACCATTCTCACAAGACATCCACTCATTCTTCACAGCAGCATCCCAAGCGTCAACTCGAGGATATCAAGATGTACCCGAATGCTGTCACCACTAGTGCTCAAGATGAGACCATGCTGACTCGCAATTGCTTTGTGATGATTACGGCGAATGGCTTTGGTCTGCAGGCGTACACTTACAACTGGAGCAAAACATACCATGAATTTATGTTCTCTGGTATTGAGAAGATTGTTAGGTGGCACAAGGATCGTATGAGATTGCTAGATAACATTCTGTTACAGAAAATGGGACTCTTCCACCATGTACCATCCATGCTCTCTCCACCACCAGCACCCATTGCGTTACCACCAATCACACAAATGACTCCTGCAGTCGTACCGAGCATGATTCACAATCTTCCTCGAACAGCCGTTGCTAGCTCGCCTCACCTTGGATCCAATTTGCGTACCGGGCTTACAGAGCCAGTCATCGGCACACCCAACGTCTCCAAGACAATAACGGCGACAACGACAACATCCCCGAAACCTCAGTCAACTTCAGCTGTGATCTCGGATGTAGCCAGTCTAGCTAGTCTAGTGGAGGACCAGTTCCCTAATCGATCGCGCATACCTCATGTGGGTACTAGTATTTATGGAAACGATGACAGTCGCGCCGAGCAATTTAAAGTGTCCTCAAGTGCATTACCGCTTATATCGAGATCTAACGCACCGGCTGGTACTACATCTACTCAGTCTCGGAACCAAAGCCAGTCTACACTATCAACCGAACAAAGTCACTCTGTAAATGCGGTTTTCAATGCAGGGTTGGATGTAGATCAAATATTACGGGACTATTGCCTTGAGCCACTGGAGGCACCCCGTGATGAGGATCAGATTCAGGATGAGGTCCAACGACATGGCAAACTCTTCTTGGACACGTTCACATATCATATTAAGAATGCTGAGGATCAGCAGAACGCATACAATGTTTACCAGAAATGGTCAAAGCGTTATAGAGACCGTAAGGGTTCGCCCAATGCGCTACATGAGAACATGACCATATCAGATCTTGCCATCATGTTGCGCTCATCTAGACTGCTCCACTTCTGTAGAACCCCACTGCTATTCACGGAGTTTTCCTCTTCGCTTTTCCAGCTCGCTAAAGATTCCTCCGGAGTGGCTGCAGTATCCGGCCAATGTTTAGGTGGAGTGAATTGCAAAGCGGTCGGGGGAGAAAATGCCTCTGTATCAGATCCTGTTGTTCAATGGTATAGTGCATTGGCTGAGACATTCATGCGCGAGTATAGTCAATACCTCGCGACAGTTGGTATGCAACTCTTGATGTACGGTGAATCGAAATTTGACAAGGCAGTAGAGCCTTTGCATTCTGGAGGGCCATCATTCATGTCACAGTTTACAGTGTCCCAAACACTCTCGGTGCAGAGTCCTGCAGCCTTTTTGTTCAAATCATTGCAAGGAGGATCGATTATGTGCGAGGTTCGACTCCAGGGTATGTTTGTTTGTGTAACTCTGTATACACTGAATCGACGCTACGGAAGACTCAAGCTGGCTGCACCAGGATTCGCGACTGCTGAAGCCAATAAGCAAAGCCTCAGGGCATTCACAGAGCAATGCGCGCGATTTAAGGATCGCATTCATGTCAACAGTTTTGTATATGACTTCCATTTACGATATATTCATAGAATTTTGATGGAGTCGTCTAAGTTGAGTATACCCAGCTCATCAATTACAGGAATGGGATTTGCATCAGCTCCCTCGATGTCACTGCCGTTCTCTTTTGACTTGCTGGATGTTCTACATCAGTTCATGCAGTACCATTCGCGTCCAGCAGCCTATTCCAGGAACAGAATTTATCGTGGAGTATATAGAATGAACGTGGCGCCAGGTGAGACAGAATTACCAGGCCATTTGTTTGAATATGTGATCAAAAACCCTCAGCGCTATGGATTTCAGGCTATTCATCATCAGAATCGACCCAGAGCATGCTTTGTTTCAGGACGTGACCTACTAACTGGTTATTCGGGTGGCAGTCGCCGTAATGTCGATGATAATCTCGGATCTGGTCAGCAGGGTTTTGGTAGCGAGAATGTTGGCCAAAATCAAGGGCTTAAGGGCTTTGGTGTTGGAGCCAATAGAGGGGGGTTGTCTTCGAATCCGGAGAAAAAGACCTTTGGTCCCCACACACGACACACCAGTCATGACAGCAACTTGAACACGAAGCGGATATCGCGTAGGATGACCGCAAGCCGATCCAGCCATACCATCAAGGAATCTCCAATCCTGGAAGAAGCTGGTGTGGAGTATGTATTGGTCATCTCAGATGGGGAGAGAGATAGTCTGGGGCTTACAGTTCATTACTACCTATTGATTCTGAGAGAAGAAGAGGTAGTCAAAAAGCTGGAAGAGCGCCATGGGCCACTGGTTAATGCCAAGGATCGCCTCCTTGCTGCTAACCATAGTCTCTTAGTTTTACGAGAGAGCAGTGGAAGTCCAGGATCTATTAATCAAGGAGGGATTGGCAGTCTAGCAGTAGGTCGATCTAATGTTATTGGAAACCAACTTCAACCAGCGCAACCTATAGGAGATGAAGATGGTTTGGTATCAGAGCCCAAGCTATTGAGTGTGAATCAGAATGCAAATCTGCCTTTGCAAGAGAAAAACAGTAGTGAAGAGCGCCTTATGGATGCAACAGAGTTACAAGAACGGATTACGGAACGAGCAGTCCTTGGAGATGTTGTTCGTGCAGCAGAGGTACGATTGGAACTAATGCTGAAGCAAGCAGCTCAGTTCTTTGACCGCGACTCACTCTGGGAGATGTTGCTGCAAGGCAAGATTGGCAATTCAGGCACGACCACAACCATACAGGGAATTAATCCCTTTTTGGTTGGACCTCATCCTGTTAATACACCTGGCACGATGCTTTCCACAGATGCTGTGGATTATCTTTCCCATAACACTAGTAACAACCAAAACCACCATGGTGTAGGGCAGGACAATGCACTTAATAGCAATGCAGAGCTAGGCTTTGCAGACTTTCTGGCTCTCGGACAGAGATTCCATAGCACCCCATTGGAAGAGATGGAGCCTGATTTTCGTGAGATCATCGAAGCGCCGGGTATTGACTGGGGCGAAGTCTTGTCCTTTTTGGCCCGGTTCTATTCTCGATGGGCTAGAGAATTTATGGAGCATGATGAAACACATATATCAGGGGTAGCCCATCCGACCCCTGAAGGCACTGGAGGTACAACAAGGTTGTTCGGGCGACGAGGATCAGCTGAGCAAAGCATCAGGCCGTCTAGAGGGCGCCGACACCTTGTGATTTTCAACCCGCATAATCGAGATTTACTGGTGCACTTTGTAGTCAATATCAACACTTCGACTGCAGAAGAAAGAACGTGGGCCAAAACGGGAATCAAAATGATGGGCTCATTTGGTAGATCCCTAACATCCAAGCAGCAATTTGCTCGCTATGGGAGCAAGGTGCAAAGTCCAGCGGGCCTAAATTCGAGATCTTCACGCCGAAGAAACTCTGGCGCCTCGTCATCATCAAAATTAAAGCCTCTTTTGCAGCCACATTCACAGCTCCAGGCACTACTGCTACCGCCTTCACACCCATCAGCGGCGCCAGCCCCCAAACAAAACCAGGCATTTTTAACCCGACCATCACTATCAGATACATCAGCCCGTGTGTCATCCATGAGCTCGATTGCCCGCGTAGCTAGCTTGGCTATGTCTAAGGTCGCCAGTCGATTACAGAAATCGTCCTCTGGAAGCCGTGAAACCAACTCTTCATCTGACCCTAATGCAGACGCTACTACCAGTAGAGCAAGCTCGCGTGCGGGAAGCATTATTCTTGAAGACGATACACAATCGGTGACGACGGCAACGGATAATAATGTAATGGATACGACGCATTTACGATTATCTCCTCACAGAACCGGACTATCTAAAGAAGAAAGGCCATCATCAGGCTTGCTCAATCCGGAACGTCCTGTAATCCGTCGAACACGAAAGATCAGTGGTACTAGTCAGAGTAGTCAGGGCAGTCAGCACATAGGACTAGGTATAGAAAAGTCAACGCGACAGAGGCAGTCCACCACAGGATCGGAACGATTTAGTGAGCACATTACAGGAGGCGAAAAAGCAGGTCTAATTGTCGATTCTGAGCGTGGACCAGAAGATCCGGATCATAGCAACAGCAATGCTGGAGAAAGCGAGAGCCTTCATCATGATAAGCATGTGGATGTCAGTGTAAACGAAGGAAAGGAAGAAGAGGATTTTGATGTTGATGATACCGAAGAAGAATATGAGGATGAGGACGATGAGGGTACATATGAAGACGAATTTGATGAAGCAGGTGCTAACGTCCAAGTATTCTCTGTCAGTCGTGAGCCCAAGAGTGGATACAATTCAATTGAATCTGAGCATGTGGGCGACATCATTCGTACACTGTCGTTTTGGATCTGGAAAATGCAAAAATGAGAGAAAAAAGGCTTTCCTAACAGCAATTTATTTTATCTATACATATAACTTTAATACATGCTTTCTATCTTTTACGTTATACACTATCCATTCTCTCACACACAAACAAACAAAAAATGCTACATTTAATTATTAGAATTAAGATAATAGATGATGTAAATGTTTTTAACATCAAATCATAATAATTTGCTGTTATTTATACTATGACTCCGCGCATGAATTCAACCAGACGCTCTGCATAACGGCCTGGTTCTTCAACAGAGACCTCAGCATGTTGAGCGATTGGGTAAGAAACATGAAGCCTCTGCTGTTGCTGTTGGTGCTGCTGCTGATGATTATTATGATGAGGACCACCTTCGGAAGGTGGAGATGCCGATAATGATTGAGATGAAGAAATAGTATCAGATTCTCGAATTTCAAATGACAATCTCGAATCTCTACTTCGTCCACTGAGATGGCTATGATGACTCGGTTGGCTTGAATGACTGTTTTGACTATATTGACTTAGTCGAGCACTGATCGATTTCGAAAACGGAACAGAAGTGCTTAGGCTACTCAGACGTGACCGAGCAGTAGGAGCACTTGTAGCTGTAGTTGTGGCCTGTGAATACGTGTTGGATGAAGAGGATGATGGGGTATGAGATGAAGAAGGCGTAGTAGCAGCAGTAGTAGTAGAAGTAGTAGTAGTAGCGGTGATAGCATGTCCTCCTTCTGAAGGTGGAGAGAGGGTACTCTCTTCTTGGCTGATTCTTGAAGAGGAGAATCCAGATGATGACGATAGTGAGGGTGATGACTCTAGATGTGATGTTCTATTGATGCTATTCGCTGTTGCTGTTGCTGTTGAAGGAAGATGACCTGGAGAAGTAGAGGAAGAAGACAAGGAAAGTCGTTCTGGGTCTTCTAACAAAACTGAGAGAGTTGAATGATTTGCAGAAGCAGGCAGATGCGAGTGTGAGTGCGAATGTGTATGTGAGTGCTCTAGAGCTGAGGGCAATGAAGGTTCGGATGCTGTTGCCTGTGGTAAAAGCTGATACAAGGATGAAAAATTTGAAGAAGACGAAGGTGTCCGATCATGTGTCAACGAATTCGGCAACGGTAATGATGAACCCGGAACTGGCAATGAACCTGGAGTTGGGATGGGCAATGGGCCTGGCAAAGAGGGTGCTGTGGCAGTAGTAGGGGTTGGGACAGGAGTTGCACCTAGTAATCGCACATTAGCGCCCTTGATATTGCGTTCAAGCCATTTGACTAGGTTGTATTTTTGAAGGATGTCGATCAGTCCAAAGTAGTAGACGGCTTCAAATCCGTCCGGCGCCTCTGCACTTGGTACGCCCTGTGACCAAATGGGCATTTGATAGGCTTGCTGGTACTGTTGCTGTTGCTGTTGTTGTTGTTGTTGTTGTTGTTGATTCAGATTCCATGAGATATTGTAAATGGACTGGCCATTTTGTGATGGACCTGAAGCCGCCGCTATGGGAACATCAGCCTGCTTTTGTGATGACTCTTGTTGTTGTTGACTCAACAAGGCCTTGGCCTTAGTCTTGGTCGCATTCGTGGAAGTATTCGCCATTTCTAAAAGCTCAGGTCCCTGCAAGCTACTGCCATGATGGGCTTCCCCGGCCTTGACAGCTGCAGCCATACGAGGCTTGTAACGAACAGTCTGAAAGGAGTCAGGGTCAAAATGGTCTGCCTCTTCTTCTCCACCTTGCACCTTCTCACGTTTATTGATGTTCTTGTGCTTCTTTTTCTTCTTTTTCTCACTCTTTGTCTCTTGTCGACTTGAGCCTACAGATCGCAATTCAACCTCCGACGACTGCTGTTGTTGTTGCTGTTGTTGCTGTAACTGTAGCTGTTGTCGTCTGGCATGTCCTGAGCTTACTCGACGATGATGTCCATTGTTGTCCTCATTAGCGGCATTGCCCATCCTCACCATGCTCTCGCCAAAGAAATAAATCTCACATAATGCCTCCTGTGCTTTATCACCTAAATCTTTCAAAAACATTCGTTGCTCTACAGTCATGCTCTGCGATAGATTTATGAATCGCCAAAGTCGATCCATTGTCAAAGAAGAGTTGTCTCGTTGATGGCCTGAGCCTACTGGTTCGGACTCTGTTGTTATTGTTGTCGTCGGGGCCATGCCATCGATATCATCACCATCACTCTCACTGTCACTACCGAGGTCACTGTCATCTGCGTCAGATCCACCTGAAGATACAGATGCCCGTCTACTATAGTCAGCGGATGATTCGTAGGGATGCTTTTCCTCCTTATCATTATTTTCTGAGATTGGAATTTTTGGAATAATGCGAATGCCAACGAGTATACTGCACAAAAACCAATTAGAAAAGATAGAGATAATTGGATTAGTGATCTGATTATAAAAAATAAAAAAACGTGCATATAGAAGTTTTTGTATGACATATATTTACCTGTAATCCATAAAGCCATGCTTACGAAGCAATGCAGTGTCATCTTCCAGTTGTGTAAGCATCTCAACTCGCCTCTGTGGCCCCAAATGGATGAGACGCGTCTCGCCAGTGTATACTCTGTTCTGAAAATCCATCTCCTTCAAGGTAAGATGACTGATATCATCTACTACAACCTGCGACGATGTAACAGGCGCTGATGTGGAGAGTGGTGGCGCTGACTCCTCCATGCTTGGTCTCATAAAGGGTAGTTCATATTGCATAGATGATACAGATGCGCGATTTTCTACTGAACTAAGTTCGCTCCTTCGAGAACGTCTTCTGATCAGATCCACAATCGGCCCTCCGCTACTAAAGGAATCCACCTCTGTCGAACTTCTTCCAATCTCTGGTCGCATGGTGTCCTGCATATTAACACTTAATGTTGATCCATTTGCAGATGTTAGTGCTGCTAGTGCTGATGTTGTTGTTGTTACTGGTGGCCGGTTTATAGGTAAGGTTCTCCGTCCTACATTCGATCCCTTGAAATCATAGCGCTCATGCACGACCTCAGGCGTGTCAAACACATTCGCTATTACAACCACAACCACTTTCGAGGGAAGTCCGTCGTCTTTCCCAGCAGAGAGCAGTGTCCCATTAAGATGTAAACGCTGTGCTGCTGAAGCATCGTTCTTAGTGGACCATGGTCTTGCTCCACCTGATGATCCATGATGATCTCTATCACCACCGGCGCCACTACTCATGCCTCCGGTAATACCTTCAATCCCTGTAGTTGACCCATTGCTTCCTCCCCCTGCTGGCGCCAGAATCTTGCCTCCTGCTAATCTTTCAAACGTATACATGCCCAAATATCTTGGCAAGAGTGTATTAGGGAATTTTTGAATATGGGCCAAATAGTCACTCAGAAACCCTTTTAAATTCTCAGGCTCTGCACCTCGGAGAGTCTTGAGTAGGAACCTGCCATGGTTATGAGAGGCAAAGAAGACGGCGTCGGATTTCCCGGGTGTCTTCATCACTGTCATGGGCTGTGATAAAGCCTCATCCATATCCGCAAGGGTATAGTTGAATTGTTCGCGGATGGTTTGAAAGACCATGGGGGCATGGTCTGTGAACTTGACACGACCATAGCTAGGGATATTCCATTCATGGACTTGTTCAGCTGTGAAAAAGTACCGGTCCAATGGAACACCGCCGCTCCCCAGCGGTGGAGGTATAGCACTAGCACCACCAAAGGCTGTCAAGGGCCGAGGAATAGAAGCACTGAGAGGTTGGAAGAACATTGGCGAAGGCATACTTGTTACTCCAGGAAGGAGTAGAGGCGTAATCTTGAGCGGCGCAACTTTTTTCTTTGGTTCGCGAGCAAGACCAGAAGTAGGGATATGAGCAAGGGCTGGAGGGGAATCTATTGTTGCAGCAGTCGATGTACGCTCCTCAGGAGCACTATTAATAGCTACCGACCCTGTAGTTGAGGTTGTTGTTGTTGCTGCTGCTGCTGCTGCTGCTGCTGCTGCTGCTGTGATGGCTGCCAGGTGTTGAGACGCGCTGCCGAGGTCTGCTCCAGCAACAGTTGATGCGGAAGCCATTCGAGAATGTACAATAGGGCGTCGCTGATGTTGCTCCTGTGCCAATGTAGAGGCTGCACTTGGTGACCTTGAAAGTGAAGGTGAGGCTGGCCCCACCATACTTTGTGATAGAGTTGGTAAACTTGATTGTAACAACGAAGCCAGAGATGTCAAGGCAGGGGGAGAAGACGATAGAGTCGAACGCTCAAAGAAGCTGGTTCTTCTCACATGGATTGCTTCGCTCCCTTTAGTTCCATTGCTACTGACAATACCCACTGCAGACGAGCCTGCAACAGAGCGATCCACAAGATTTCGGCCTGAATCCCGTGATGCATCTGTTGTATTAAAGAAGTAACCGAAGCTAATGGCGGATTTGCGTCGTTCCTCTTTAGTGGTTGGAAGAGGTAATGCCGACTTGGACGCTGAAGTTATTAAGGTAGTTGGGCGAATATTATTAGCACCATGTTTGCCAAGCTGATGGGGAGAAGTGGGCTCAAGGGTATCAGCTTGGTCCTGCTCCACTTGGCTCGATGATTGCCTCAGCTTAGAAGGGCTAAGGCCGTCACGATGCAGCGATGGAGACAACATCCCATGTGCTTGTTGGATAGGTCGATATGTTGATAGGAACTGATCGATGTCTCGGTCCTCTCTGATCGGATGCTCTTGACTCTGGTGACGTAGTCGCGCTGGTCGTCGGTATTGAGCATCTGAAGACGAACGTGAGCGCCCAAGCGTATTCTTTGAAGTTGAAGTTTTAACATCTGCATCCTCTGATAATTTGGATGCCTGTGGTGCGTTCTTCATGGTTGTTCTATCCAAAGCACTAGGAGTTGGAATAGGGCTCTGCGCTGATTCTCGGCCAATTGTTTCTGATTCTGGGCGTAAATATTGATTAGAATACACGAATTGATTAACTCTAGACTCTGCTGTTGTCACCTCTGCTGGAGCTGGGCTTTTTGTCGACGATTTACGGGCGAGGCCGGGTAAGCTATGCCGGTGAGTGGAGCTCGAGCGAAGGTGAGATATGGAGAAGGTTAGAGAGGTGGGTGAAATGGGTGAGATGGGTGAGGTGGGCGATGCTGGCCTTGGAGAATTTGCAGCCGTTTCTGGAGGTGTCTCGAACACGACAGAGGTCCTTAGGCTAGATGTATTGATTCTAGGCCCCAGTTGAGGTGACATTTGATCTTCGCTTAGCAAACTCAGCGCACTACTACTGAAAGAAGGCATTGCAGGATTAGAAGATGCGGAGGAGGATGTTGATACAGGTCGAGATGTTGAAGACAAGTGTGTTTCTGACAATGTTCGCGCTGGTGAATTTGCGACACTTCCAGCAGTCATGTAGACTGTATTTCGGGATGGATTAGCATTGTTATGACCGCCTTGCTGCTTAAAGTCACCCTGGACGACCCGTCGGACTCTAGTCCATAGTTGTGAGGAGCGGGACTGAGGCTGAAGTTGCTGATGATTATGTGGCATTTGTTCCTCATTATTTCGTGACTCTACAATATCTGTCCCTTGAGCATCATTATTAGGAGACCCAAAGCTACGCAGACTAATGTCCATTCCTTTTGATGGCGGCTCAGGTGTAATGAGAGCCTTGATAATGCTCTGATCATCTGACATCCTGGATTGGTGGAAACCCTGGTGAGAAAGAGAATCAGCTGAAAGCTGTCTCTCTTTGGGTTTTAAAATAGGGGACGTTGTTCTCTCTATTGACTTCGACCCTACTGAGTCTACTGTCGATGGCGATGATGGCGTTGATGGTGGTGGCAATGACGGTGAGCTGAAGCCTCTTACCACAATAGGGCCTGGTGAAGTAGGGGGAGGCGATGAGTTGCTCTTGTTGTTGATGTTTGTTGCAGTAGTTTGTGAGGCATCTCTTTGCAATGAAGTAGAACGAGACAGACTTTTGTCGGCAGAGGGCTCGATTGGTAGTGGGGGCTCCAGAGCTGTAGTGAGTGTCTTCGTAACATTATTTATTGCGGGTATTGATAATCCCGTTGCAGTTGCTGATGTTGTTTTTGAAAGAGCATCTGTTGGATAAGAGTTGATTTGCGCCTGTGCTTGTGCTTGTGCTTGCCTGACTACTTCTGTATTTACAATTGGTGTCTTAAGAGGCAGCATGATTGGTGCCATGAGAGAATCTAGTGTGCCCATTCCATGGCTTGCGGCCTTCAGATCCATAGTCTCAGGTCCGACACTAGTGAAATGAAGGACGGATTTGATGGCGTGCCTGAGGTGACGCGATAATACAGGCTCCATGGACTCCATGATTAGCGCTTGTGCCCACTGACGTTTTATGTGGTGATCCCTCCACCGCGATTCTGCATCCATGGGTATAGGGTCGGGGTTCAGGCTGGATGCTGCTACTGTGCCTAGTGAAAGATTTGGATTATCAACATTGGTAGAAATAGTGATATTTTTGGATTTGGATTTGGATTTGGACAAGCTTCCAAAGTTTGTGCCTGCTGTTGATGAAGGTGTTTTTATCCGTAAGCTTCCTCTGATACTCCTAGGCTTCCTACGCCTCTCTGCAATAGATAATGGTTTCTTTAACTGAGTTGAGAGATTGACATTGGCGGCTGAAAGTGGGTCTGAATCAACAGCATTGAGACCATGAGTCGTTGTAGGGCTGGATACCGAAATAGCAGGACATTTTCGGATAGCTCTGGAAGAACGCTTTTTCAGCAATTGCTTTGGGTTGAATTGATCATGCTGCTCTCCTTGCTGCTGCTGCTGCTGTTGCTGTTGCTGTTGCTGTTGCTGCGGCTCAGTTGGCGCTGCATCATTGTCATCTATTCTTGTCTTATTGTCAACTATGGTCTCCCCTTGCTTGTTCTGCGCAGAGGTTTTGATGACGCTATTATTTTTGTCGTTGTTGTGGAGCAACAAGTTTTCAATGGTATTTAGTGACACAACAAGGTAGGACAAACATTTGGCACTTTTTTTTTTTTTTTTTTTTTTTTTTTTTTTTTTTTTTTCGTTATCTTACTTTTCTGAGGAAGAAGATGGAGGGGACACGAGTGTTGGAGTTGAAGTTGAGGTAGAAAAGGAGGTGGCAAAGAATAACCCGGTGGCTAGGCCGAGCAGAAACCAGAAAAAGGTCCACATCAAACCAAAGACACACTTCCTTGTCTATATGCTGTATGTATTCTTTATGGCACGTCGGTAATGTTGTTACTGTCGAGGTAGTTGTAGTGAGTTTTTGAAGGGAAGAAATAGAAAATGTATATCGAAGGACAAAGTTCGCGTTCCTTAGTAATGAGATAACTTGAACAGCCAATAAGAAATAAAAATAAAAAAAAAAAAAAAAAAAAGAATAGATTAATTAAGTAATTAAAATGGAGTATGTGTAGGTTAAAGGTGAAAAAAAAAAAAAAAAAAAAAAAGTATAAAGAGGAAGCTGATGAACTGAAGAATGGAATGAGATGAAATGAACAAAGAATTGAACCTGATCATTCTTGAGTGATTTCTGTTTAGTTCCCTCGCCTGTGCACGCCAGCAATAAAAAAAAGGGGCTGTATTGCGGAGGTATAACAATGATACTTGATCATCTGAGTTGCATGCAATTCAAAGAGAAGAAAAAAGGGGTGAAATGATGCTGCTCTCGATTTGCCTTTGAGAACCAGGGCATGCAAATGTCCTTACTGCATCATCGTATATACTTCTTTCTTCCTTCTACTCTCTTTAATGTATTAATGTCAAGGCCATAGTCACTTACAGAAGCATCTCCATTCCTCTCTATCTAAGCATTGCCTCCTATTACTTTCCTATCCTGCTTTAGTACCAACCCTATAACCCTCCATCCAAGGACAAGTATAATGTCTGTCCCGTCAAAGTAAACTTCCAACAGAACAAAGCACGACAACCCTCTTTTTTGAATTCAGGTACAAATGACGTATTTTCAAATTCATTAAGGTTATTAATCGCACGTGGCCTTACAGGAATTCACTTTCTCCCTTGATGACGGATAACTTGCTTCTCTCTGGTGTCAAATAGCCAAATAATCGACACTCATGTTGCCATTCCTTCCGATGTTTCTTCAAAAAAGAAAGAAAAAAGCATAGGCTCTTTAAAAAAAGGGGAATGGATTTCTACTTCAAATTAAGGAAAAAGGGGAATACCATTCTTTTTTTTTTTTTTTTTTTTTTTTTTTTTTCGAAAAAACGCTGCTATGCTACTCTTTATTTATTTTTAGGGCTTTGATATATGCGAAGGGTACTGGCTGCTTGCCTTAAGCCTCCAAATCGTTAGGACGACGCGTGCCATCATATTTCCTGTTACTTGAAGAGTTGATCAATAGGCTATCCCTCTCTTCAGCACCTTTCACTCTGCTTGAATTATTTACATGATTGATATAAGGATACCCTTCTTCAGCTGCATCATCATCGTTTTTGCCAGTAGCATAGATATCAGTTCGATCTCTATAAAGGATATAATGCTGCGTGATAAAGAGGAGATCGAACGCAATACTCAAGAAGCCCAATCCAAACTTGACAGGATTGCCTGAGATGCCAGACCAATCACCTGAGAGATAAGTATCCAACACAAGTTGAGCAATGCTGAGCACACCTCCTGTGAGGTCCAACAAGATGTTATGGATACTCCAGCCTGCGGTGGATTTAGCCTTGTAATTGATAAATGCTTGAGGAAGGTACTTTAGGAAACTGACTATCATCTTTATGTGGCTGAAAAAGTAGAGAAGATCGATCCAATGCATATGTTGCATCGGCCAGATTCCTAAGCCTATTCCAATGGTGGAGAGTATGGTCGCAACGATGAAGACCAGGATGAAACTGAAGGTTGATCTTGAAACACGCTGATCTTCATCACGCTATAAATTTGCATGATTATGGAAAATTAAAAATAAAAATTAGAAAGCCAAGGAAAGAAAACTGATCATGAGAATCCATTTTATATTCTCATGTCCGAAGAGATATGACGTGCTTTGGAAACAAAGGGTGGAACTAGCACACCTTCGCCCAATTTATTTCCCCGCAAAATAGATATTTTTCCCTTACACAAATTTTTTTTTGGTTGGGTGAGCGCAGCTGACAAATTACCTTGTAGATTTGTGTTTGGATGAGCGTAAAAGTCGCTATGATGAGTGCATGAACCGCAAAAAAAACGTCATTTGCGCGGACTAGGTTTTCTTGTCCATTATTTCGACGCTTGTATTCCTCTTGAATCTCGGAGCTGAAGAAGAAGGCTACGTTGAAGATCTAGTGATGGTCCCAAATAGTAAAAAAAAAAAATAATAATAAAAGACTGCTCCAATTTCATTTTTAACATCATCTCTTATGGGCTATCGCGGCGATGAAAATCGATTTCTATAGTTAATTACTGAATAAGAAAGAAAGCCCAAGACATTTAAGTGGAGATAATCCATTGACAATCCTTGAACACTTTTCCGTCGCCAATTGAGGATGGCTTGTGGGTAGAAACTAACAGACCATGCAAGGAAGTAGCTCCAGCCCAGGAGGTATGATACAATCCGGCCAAATCCGTGTTGAGATGCACCATTTATGTGGCTGTAATCCATGACTTTTCCTAATATGTCAGTCGCTATTTGCTACTGTTATTATTATGTAGAGCTAGAAGAGCAAGAGAAAGAATGGAATGGCCGTTTATTGTTTCAGTTACTGTTATCGTTATTGTTATCGCCTATTGCCGCTGCTGCTGCCGTTACTGTTGTCGTTGCTATTGCCGTTGCTGTTGTAACAGTGCATAAGCCAAGGATCTCAATAAATGGAAGGTAAAAGTAGAAGAGAAGAGCGAGGGGAATGGGAGAGAGAACTTGTAAGTAAAACAGTTGTGATTGAAAGCAATATTTGAAGCTTAAAGCACGCAATACGATCCTATGAGCCAATTTTTTTTTTTAGTGGCAAGAAATTCTTTCTGGTCGCATGGGCTTCACTTCAATTTCTTCCCCACATTTTGTTTGACAACATTCATTTTACCCTTAAATGGTCTGCCAATCAAATCTTTTGATCACTCTGTGTCTTTTATCTTTGTGAAATGCTTTCTTTTTCATCATCTCTCCTTTATTCCCATCACTCATTTCATTCTGCTCATCACAATGCGCTGGAACTTGGCATTGCTGATCGTCCTGGCCTTACTGGCCCTTGTTAGGCAGGCTGCTGCCTGGGAAGAAGGTACCTTTTTATTCATGTCCTACTAATCTATCCCGTATCCCATACCTGTTACTTTTATAACCACGAAGAAAGCTGCTCAGTTTTTTTTTTTTTTTTTTTTTTTTTTTCCTTCTCTTTTCCTCTAAACAACCCAATGCAACGCTAACAATGATAATAATCACAAATAAAAATAGGTGATTTTGAAATCTTTGATCTCGTGGATGCACTTGAGAAAGCAGAAGGAGCTGATGTCAACTTTTATTCTTGGATGGGCGTTACTCAAAAGACTCCCAAGAACGAGATCGAACGTGCCTTCCGTAAAATGTCCCGATCTCTTCAGTACGTTTCTTATCTTGTCAACCAAAGAGCTCTATACTCATCGTTTTTTTTTTTTTTTTTTTTTTTTTTTGCGTCATTGGCTGTTAGTATAGCTTTTTGAGGCAATTAGAAGTGACATAGTAACCTGATCCATTGTTGGTTTTTTTCTTTTTTTTTCTACAAATTTATCAGTCCTGATAAGAACAAAGGCCCAAAAGCTCAGGAAAAATATGCTCGTTTGTCAAGCATCATCACTATCTTGCGCGATGACGCCAAACGTGAGCGTTATAACTTCTTCCTCAAGAACGGCGTACCACGCTGGCGCGGCTCCGCCTACTTGTATAGACGCCATCGTCCCGGCTTCAAAACTGTCTGTGTCTTTTTGGTAGTCCTAGTCTCTGCTTTCCAGTACTTGGCTCACTATGTCAGTTATGTTCAGGAAAGAAGACGCATGTCCGGAATGATTGAACAATACAAGGAAATGATTCGTGAAAAACACCAAAAGATTCTGGAAGGACCCATCACTGGTCGTCAACGTCGTTCTGGAGCATCATCACCACCTGAAGCTGTGACACCCTTGGGGGAAGTTGAAGGCCCCATGTATGCTGTTAATCAATATGGCGAGGAAATTGAATTAACCCTCGATAACATTCATTCACCCAAAATCAAGGATTTGATCATCTTCAGATTCCCCTTCTGGATCGTCAAAGCATTATTGTTGTTGGCTCCAAAATCTATTCGCGAAAAGGTCTATGCCATGAATGCTTTTGAGAGTATTCGCCCCAAGGACCTTAAAGAGGAGGCAGAAGCTGCCAAGCGCAAACTCCGTAAGGCTGAATTGGCTAAGAAGAGAGCAGCGAAACGTGCAACTCAACAGAAGCAGAGTCCTGACGTTAGTGATGATGAGGTGTATAACTCATCTGAGGATGATGAGGCCACACTGGCTGCACGGGCCAAGGAAGAGGAGCTGGCTGCTGCAAGAAGACGCCGTCGCATGAAGGCTCCTGGTCAGGCTACACTCAAGGGTGGACGACGTGGATAAACAAAGCATCTGATCTATTCTGGAGCTTTTGACCTTTTTCTTTCCTTCCTGCCATCCTTATTTAGTTGTGTAGCAATCTATTTTTTTTTTTTTACACTCATTTCTTATAAATGCCTGTCATTGAATATATTAAACATACTATTACAAAACCGCATAGTTTAATCTTAATTCTAATATGAAGTGACCATACATTTATTACTTTATTATGTTATTGCTCTTTAATAACCAAACAAATCACAAAAAAAAGAAAAAGAAAAAAAAGATCTAAAATTCGTCATTGCCTCTTCTACGTCCGCCAACGCCACCCTTGGTCATAGCAGCTTCATGGTTCCGAAGTTCTGCTGGAACGGTAGCCAATGTAGATTTTGTCAACATCTGCTTGAGATCATAGTACACGTCTGTATCGTAACTGGACAGGAAGGTCACAGCTACACCAGACCGTCCTGCACGACCGGTACGACCGATACGGTGAGTATAGTCCTCAATATTCTTGGCCATATCAAAGTTCACCACCAAAGAAACATTTTGGACATCGATACCACGACCAGCAACATCCGTCGCCACCAAAACATCACTCTTTCCATTCTTAAGTTGTGACAGTGCCAGCTCACGCTGTTCCTGCGATTTGCCACCATGCAAAGTTGTGGCGCGGAGTCCAGAACTGTTGATCATCTTAGCAAGCATATCGCAGCTTCTCTTTTGGTTTACGAATACAATCATTGGAGGAGCGAATTGTCCCTTCAACAATTCCATCAAACGGTTCCTATTAGAAATAATAGAAAAAAGCGGTTAATTTCATGTTACCTTTTACACATTATTGCCAAAATAAAAATAAAAAAATAAAAATAAAAAAATTAAACCATTGCCCAATAATAGAAAAAAAAATAAAATAAAATAAAATAAAGCAGCAATCGAGCGTACTTCTTCCTATTTTCGTCCGTGATCATCTCGACACGCTGCTCTACAGTCTCGACAGCCTGTCCAGCAGTACCAATGGTGACAACAGCAGGTCGACGAAGATATCTCTTGGCAAGTCGTTCGACCGCCGCAGGCATGGTTGCTGAAAACATGGTTGTCTGACGGTACTTCTTGTTCGAGTCCTCACCGATAGCTTTTGTCATTTTGCTTGCATCCTCTGCTTCATCCGTATCAGGCTTAAGGTTAGAGACTGGAAGAGCATCCAGAATGAAGTTGACGTCGGCTTCAAATCCCATATCAATCATCCTGTCAGCCTCATCCATGACCACATATGTGCATTGATTAAGGACCAAGATACGACGATCTAAACAATCTTTAAGACGACCTGGTGTAGCAATGATGATCTCTGCTCCGTTTCTGAGGTTGAAGGCCTGCTCTTCTACAGCATGTCCTCCCACAATGGATACACAGTTGAATCCAAGAGGGACAGCAAATTTGAGGGCCTCCTGTTCAATCTGCTGTGCCAATTCACGTGTCGGCGCTAGGATCAACGCATAGGGTCCATGTACCATGTTTTGCTCATTCAATCTAGGAAGATCAAAAATGAACTGTAACATGGGAATTAAGAAAGAAGCTGTTTTACCAGATCCAGTCTCTGCAATACCAATAATATCACGGTTCTGTAATCCAATAGGAATAGCCTGTCGCTGAATTGGTGTTGGAGATGTATATCCAATCTTTTCAATGACTTCCAAGATCTTGGGATCGATAGTAGATTCGCTCCAGCGACGAATGGGGTTAGGTATACTTCCACCTAGCCGGAAGTTAACAACAATATCAACAATAAAAAAAAAAAAAGAAATTAGATTCCCAGTTTTGAAATATTTATATATATATATAATACAGCATCCTGAAACATGAGAGACAGACCTTTGCATGCAATATTGAAATCTTCCTTGAAAATACGCCAGTCTCTGTCGCGCATTTGATCTAAAGGCTTCTCTGACCAATGGCGATCTGCATAATTGACCTTGCGTTCCTTCTGAGCGGCAATGTTATCCAGTTCTCCCATGCGCGCAATTTCAACATCACTTCTTCTTGAAGCCATCAACTTGTCATAAAATCCACTCTTTGATTTATGATCCTTGAGATCGATACCTGCAAAATGACCACGGCCATAGAGCTGAGCACTGTGCCTGTGTGTATAGAGGGGGTTTAGGTCGCGCGAAGTGTCGTCATCTGCATTCCAATCAAAGACAAATTTTTTGTCGTTGCGTTTGCGGACCTTTCTCTCTCTTTCTTCAATACCCATATAGCGTTTCTAATTTATAAAAAAAAAAAAAAAAAAAAAAAGGCAATAGATAAGAGCTATGAGATATTGTTCGCTAAATGATCATAGCCAGTAAAATATGATGATATGTAATTGCAAAAAGGAAAAAGTGCTCCTAATATGTACTTACTTTGACATGCTCAATCTCTTTTTCACCGAGCACAATGCCAGCGGTTGCGGAACTAGAGTCTTTACTATCTTTACTATCTTTAATATCTTTATGACGAGAGTCACCGTTGGTTCGTCCAAATCGATCCCGGTCATACCTGTCTCGATCTCTGCTGTCATACCCATATCGATTGTTGTCCTGAACTTCAGCGCGCGCCTTGGCATCGAACTCGGCACGCTGCTGTCTCTCCAATTCCTGTGCTTTCCTCTGAGCCTCTACTTCTTTTGCACGCCTCTCTAGTGCCAATTGTGCTCGTTGCTCCTTGGTCAGGAATTTCGGCTATATGTTTTTTATTTTTTTTTTTTATTTTTTAGTATATTATAAAAGAGCCGTCAATTTGCAGTTACAGAATAAACAAGAGATAGGAAATAAAAATACCTTTTCAAGAGCCTGCTTCTCCTGCTCCTTCTGCTTAATAAGCTCTTCAAGTGAAATAGGAACTTTTCTAGCAGATGGTGCAGGGCTTCCCTCATTCTTATCGTCGATATCTATAGAATTCCCCTTATTGTTATTGCCATCAGTGCCAAATTTTGAGCCATTGACGGGTGAACTTTCTCGATCTCTTTCTTCACGAGGATAACGAGCATCACGATATGATGAATCTCGACCATCTCGGTCCCGCTCTCTTTCCCGATCCCGATCCCGATCCCGATCCCGTCGATCGCGATCCCGTTCTCGTTCTCTATCTCGACTACTGATACCTCTCGCATCTCTGCCGTCTCGACTATCCCGATTGTCCCTATAAGAGTCTCGAGTGCTGCTACTAATATTGTTGCGATTAGCAGCATTATTACTGGCGCCATAGCGATCACCGTCTCTGTCCCTGTTGCTACGATTTCTATCAGGACTTCTGCTTCGACTCCTGTCCCTGCGTCTGTAGTCACTCTGTCTGCTCGACATTTTTATTTTTGTGTTTTTTTTATAATTCCTTTGTAATGGTTTCTTGACTTGAGCCCTTACTGCTGTGATGAAATTGTTCCTGGAATATCTACGACGAATGACAGCAATGACAATGACTGAGAAATGAGAAATGAGAAGTGAGGAATGAGAATAGACCTCCAGCCAAAATGTCAAGTTTGGTCCCAGCCTGAGAGAGAAGTGTCTGTAAGAGCAAGCCACATTTGCCTTTCAGCACGTGCATGTGCACATGAACTCCGAGCCAAGTTAATTGGAAATTTGCCAAAATCAGGGAAAACCACGCCCTGCAATTGTAACACATCACTCAACAAACTAAAAGAAGGAAAACCAAAGGACATTCTTGGAACGACTAAGGAAGAAAGAAGCAAGCAAGGCATTAAACATCTGGAAATCAGGAATTTATTTTTTTTTATTTTCTTTTTAAAACATGTCTTATAAACGAAAAGCCGAGTTACCTGTAGGCGATGTGAATGATCTCATGGAGGTGACACCATTGGGTGCAGGCAGTGAAGTCGGAAGGTCTTGTCATATCCTCAAGTACAAGGGCAAAACTGTCATGGTACATCAATATCGGCTAATGTTTTTTTATTTCCTATCCTTATTCTACTTTCTAATTGTTAATCAACAAACGAAATAGCGAAACAATTTAACAAAGGTCTTGTTGAATAAAGAACGGAGAACGATATTCACCAATTTACTCTCTCTCTCTCTCTTTCTCTCTCTTTTTATCTTTATTTTTTTTTTCCTTCCCCTCTCTATATATATGTTTATTCTTTCTTGCCATGTTTAATGGTGATCATTGAAAATGTTTGAATATGAATGTATATGTTATGGTAGCTGGACTGTGGCATTCATCCTGGTCAAAGTGGAATCTCTGGACTCCCTTTCTTTGACGAGGTAGACCCTGCGTCAATCGATGTTCTATTGATCACCCAGTAAGTTTTTTTTTTTTTTTTTTTTTTTTTTTTTACTTACTTCATAGATTCATGATTAGAGCTAACCCCTGATATATTGAAATACATGTTAGTTTTCATCTGGATCATGCTGCAGGATTACCATACTTTACAGAGAGAGTAAAACAAAGAGCAAAAAAAGAAAAGAAAAGAAACGAAAAAGGAACAAGTTGACAGATATTCTGTATACGTCTCGATCACTCATCTCTTATTTTTCTTTTCAAAAAATTCCCAATTCAGACTTCTTTCAGAGGACGCGTTTTCATGACACATCCTACGAAAGCTATTTTCAAATGGCTCTTATCAGACTATGTCAAAGTCAGGTATTTTCTTTTTTTTTCTTTTTTTTTTTTTTTTGTTTTTATAAAAAAAAATATCCAGACTCCTTGTATAATAACTTTTTGCTTTATATATACTTATGTTTATATATATATATATATATATATTAGCAATGTTGGTTCCAATGAAATGGTATATGACGAGACGCAATTAGCTGCTTGCTACGAAAAGATTGAGACCGTGGATTATCATCAGGAGATGAACGTCGACGGTATCAAATTCACAGGATACAATGCAGGTCACGTCTTGGGGGCCGCCATGTTCTTGATCGAAATTGCTGGTGTCAAGGTAGCTTTTTTTTTTTTTTTTTTTTTTTTTTCGCACAGGTGTTTTCTTTGATCCATGTTTAAACTTCTTTTTATTTTTGTCACAACTTTTAAACATGAACAGATTTTATATACAGGGGATTACTCACGCGAAGAAGATCGCCACTTGATGGCAGCAGAGAAACCCACAAATGTGCAGACAGATGTCCTGATCTGTGAATCCACCTATGGTGTCCAAAGCCATGAGCCTCGAATCGATCGTGAACGACGCTTTACTTCCACAGTCCATGAAATTGTTCAACGTGGGGGACGTTGCCTCTTACCGGTCTTCGCTTTAGGACAAGCACAGGAATTACTTTTAATGTTGGATGAATATTGGGCAGCCCATCCAGAACTGGAATCGGTCCCGGTTTATTACGCTTCCTCCTTGGCGAAGAAATGTATGACGGTCTATCAGACCTATATCAACATGATGAATTCCAAGATCCGAAAACAATTCGCCATCTCCAACCCTTTTGTCTTTAAACATATCTCTCATCTTAAAAACATGGACATGTTTGATGATACGGGCCCATGTGTGATGATGGCCAGTCCTGGAATGCTACAAAATGGTTTATCAAGAGAACTGTTTGAACGATGGTGTACCGACAAGAAGAATGGATTGTTGATCACTGGATATTGTGTCGAGAACACGTTGGCAAAAGATGTCATGAATGAACCTGATGAAATCCAGACCATGAACGGACAGAAATTAAAGTTACGCATGTCGGTCGATTATATTTCCTTCTCCGCTCACGTTGATTACACTCAGAATAGTGCTTTTATCGATGAAGTGAAAGCACCCTATGTTGTAAGTTTTTAAAAAAAAAAAAAAAAAAAAAAAAAAAAGAAAGGATATTCAAATATGCAGCAGAAATGTGGAAGTGTTATAAAACAACTTTTTTTAAACAAGCTTTCCTCTCTAACTTATAATTTTTATTAAAAAAATAAAAAAAAAAAAAAAAAAAAAAAAAAAAGATCTTGGTCCACGGAGAGACCAATGCGATGGGTCGCCTCAAGAGTGCATTGATGAGTAAATATTCAGAACGCGATGAGGAGATCCATATCTTTACCCCCAAGAACACAGAGACGGTAAAGCTTTATTTCCGTGGAGAGAAATTGGCTCGAACGATTGGGCATATGGCAGCGACTTTTCCAGAGAAGGACACAATGGTCACGGGTGTTTTGGTCGTCAAGGATTTCCAATATACTATCATGGATACTTCGGATCTGGAAGAGTTTGCGGGTCTAAAGACCACGGCAGTCCTTCAACGTCAAATTGTTCCTTATCATGCTTCGTTTACGTTGTTGAAGTATCATTTGCAACAGATGTTTGGGAAAGTTCGGGAATTGGAACGTGATCTTAATAAACAGGAAACTGTCAGGGTAAAAAGAAGAAAGAAAGAAAGAAGAAAAATGCATGTAAGACTATGGTCTTGTTGCTATTACTAACGTGTCCTTCAATCATTCATGTTTTTTTATTTGTTTGTTTGTTTGTTTTGATCTTTCAAGATCTTTGATACTGTTGACGTGAAAGAGTACAATGTCAACCATGTGCTACTAGAGTGGATTGGCAATTCGGTCAACGATATGATAGCAGATTCAGTTCTAGCGGTGATCCTCAACATTGAGTCAAGTCCGGCCTCTGTTAAGCTCACAAAATCAGACCATACCCACTCACATACACATGGACAGCCTCATCATCATCCATCTTCATCTATCAAGGTTGAAAAGGAAGACACGAAAGAGAGCAACGACATCTTGTCAACAAGTGGTGGTGATGGTGTTATTAGTAGTAACGGTGATATTTCTTTGGTGGAACGTAATCCTTCAGACGAGTTCCAGGATCTAGTCATGTTCTTCGCAAGCCAGTTTGGAGCCGAGAATGTGGAGCAAGATGAAAAGACTAGGACCATTGAGATCACAATGGATGGTGTACAGGCAACGGTTGACTGCAATCAGTTCGTGGTCAAATGTGAGACAGATGCTTTGAGGCACCGAACCCAGAACGTCTTGGAACGCGCTGTACGTACTTGCATGCAATAGAGGAACAAGGAAAAGAAAGGGGAAGAGGAAGTCTTTAGTCTCTACTTTTTATCGAATAAAGAACATCTATTGTAGTGTATTAATCTTTGCTACACTATTTTAGTTCTTATTGTTATTATTATTATTATTATTATTTATTGCTTTGTTATTTTTATTATGTAAACTATTCAGCATCTGGTCACCCAACACTAATTTAAATTACAGAAGATGCATAACTAGATGTTTGATGTCGCTATTATTAGTACTGATGCTGTTGATGCTGCTGACTTTTGGACATTGTTGTTGCTGCTCCACTTGTTCTATACGCGACACAGCCGCATCCAGTCTTTCGATAGTTGTCAACAATTGTTGTATCCGCTCATCTTTACGATTATTTTCGTCTTCAAGTTGTTGAATAAGGGCTAATGCTTTAACTTTTTCTCCTTTTCTGGAACTATGATTGCTTCTAGTTGATGCTGATGTTGACAGGGCTGAAGTAAAAACTGGTGAAGATGACGACAACGATGATGAGGTTGATAAGGATAGTGATGATGATAGTTGTGCACTCTCGATGAAGACTGAGCTGTTCCTGTTGCTCTTCTCCATACTGTGTTGTTGTTCTTGTTGCTGTTGTTGTTGTTGAAACTCCTGCTCTTTATCTTGAGACCAATGATTGAATAGTTCATGACTATAACTGTATCTTCTATGACTCTTGCCACTATTATTGCTGATGCTGGAGAATAAAAGTGTGCCTTCATCATAATCATCGTGGCCATGACTGCTACTACCACTGCTACTACTACTACCACTACTACTTCTACTACTATTACTACCACTACTACCATTATTACCATCACCAATAATAGTACTGCCGCCAATAACAGTGCTACCAGCACTCAATGTCGACATACGTTTCATCTCCACGATCTCACGCTCCAACAACGTGATCCGCTTTAACTTTGTGATCTGTTCTCGAGCCTGGTGCTTTAACTGGTTCTCCAAGTCCTCCAATACTACCTGTTTTTGCAATAGGTTCGCCTCATAGTGTTGAATTAGCTGTTCCAGTTCATGGATCTCCAATTGATGTCGGGCCTCTGATTCCTTCGTTTGAAAATCTCGACGTTGATGAGTCAAGAGCAATTCTTGTTTGAGCCCTTGGAGATATCGCTCCAGTTCTGTGATCTTGGACCTTAATGTCGAATTCTCAAGAGTCAATCGCCTTGAGGGCATAAAACCAGCCAAGAAAGAGAATCGACGGCGTCCTGAAGTTGAATTATTATTCTTACACTTGTTATCATATTTGCTAAAGCATCTAGCGTAATCGTTGTTGATAATGTTGCTACTGTTGCTATTAGTGTAATCAAAGCTGTAGGTACGGTTTTGACTAGAGTTGACGCTCAAAGTACTAGCAAGGTAACCACTGTTGTACCCTGATATTAAACCTGTTCCCAAAGTCGGCGAGCTTTCTAGGGTCAGATGGCTACCACTGTTGTTGTTTCCACCCTTCTTGGTGTCATTGTTACTGCTGCTTCTATTGTAATTCCTGATCCTGTCATTGCTGCTGCTACCCATACTCTTGGTCTTATAGCTGCTATGCTCCTCATCGCCGATGTCTCTGATACTCGCAACTGCATCCTCCAAGTCACCGAGTGCTCTTGAAAATGCCCTGGCGTTCATGGCAAAAAGAGAGGGCACAGTTGGTTCCTGTTGTGTTCCTGGCACTGGAATGGGTGTAGAAATGAGTTGTGATAATGGATCAATAAAACGTATCTTATAGCCCATTAGGAGGGGGAAATGAAAGAAAGAAAGAGCAATAAAAAGGAGGGGCAAAGAAAGTAAAAGCAAAAGGGAAAGGGAAAGGGAAAGGATTTTTTTTTTTAGAATAAAAAAAAAAAAAAAAAAAAAAAAAAAATTGTTGGTGGTACAAACATTGATTGGCCAATTTTTTCCTCGACCACGATTGTCCATTGTCTGTGCGCGCGTGCTTGGCGTCAGGAATCGTTCCAATATTATAGGGCGATAGGTTAGGTTCAACAAGAACAAAAAAAATCATCTGCTCAACAACACCTTTTTATTTCTTGAAGTCTAATATAGAAGATGTGAGAACAGAACGCGAAAGAAAGAAAAGGAATGAAGGAAGGAATAATGAAAAATTATATAGTCAATGGCTATATAAAAAAATAAAAAATAAAAAATAAAAAAAATAGATAGACGGTCTATACTCGTCGTAATTAACCTCCCAGGTCAATTGCTAACCACAGCAGTGATTAACTATTCTAATTCTACACCCATTTCATATCCTCTCTTATACTTTTTACACTACTTTTTTTTTTTTTTTTTTTTTTTTTCCCTCGTTCTTTCTCCTTGTAAAAAAATGGTTAGAACAGTAATAAACAAGGGGAAACGACCTTGATGGAATACCGTCATGATGTACCGTCTACAAATGTGCTTCTTTCTTCTTTATCATATCTCAAGTAGAAACGACTGATGAAATGATGAGAATGGGAGATACTGGATTCTCCAAGGTGACAGTACCGTCATCTGTTTTTACTGGTCCAAGTTGATATATCGATTGAGTCACATTTCCCTTATCATTCCGCAGAGGCAATATTAATGTTCACACATAACTTTCTTTTTTTATGTAATAGAGTTGCAAATCAAATATTTTTATATGTATGTATGTAATAAGGTCGCTTTCTCTCAACAATGACTAATGGACACGCGCTTTTTCTTTTTTTAGGAAATTAGCATCAGTCTATTAAAAAGTGACAAGAAAATAATATAACGTCGTGTCCTGCTTAAAGTCAATTGTCCTCTTCATTAGTCCTGCTTCAATTTCTTGGCAGGAGGTGCGATAAAGGTCCTGCTGATGTACTTCAGAGCCTCGTCAATCACAATAACAGGGGCCGAAATGTAAACAACTGCCTTCCACTCCTCCAAGTTCAATGGAAGGATCATGAACAAGTTCTATCATATCATATCCAATAAGAATAATAAAAAATTAGGCGCTGCTGTACTTTTGATAAAGCAGATCACATGATATACTCGCTGTACTGAAAAGAAAAAAAAAAAAAAAAACTTACCGAAAAGAAGGGCACATAGAGAATCATGAAGTGAAGGGCCATACTGAGAACGATGCTAAAAACCAGATACATGTTGCTCCACAATGGAAGAGTCAACAGCGATTCGTTCTCAGATAATGAATTCATAGCGTTGAACATCTCGATAGTCACCAGAATCGAAAGCGACATTGTTGTTGCCTTCTTTGACATGAAATCCGTAAACATCTGGCATCCAATCTCAGGGAAGAGTGAGCTGCACTTATGGAAATGTGAAAGTTGGTAAAAGCTGATCTGAGGACCCTGAGAGTAGAACATGAACCACCAAGCATACCCGAACACTGTGGCTGCTCCAACATAAACTCCGACTACCATGTAACGGAAGAATAACCAACCACCCACCAAAGGCTCACGCGAATTACGAGGGGGCTGGCGCATAATCTCGTGGTCTGGAGGGTTGAATCCAAGGGCAGTAGCGGGAAGACCATCCGTCACCAAATTGACCCACAGAAGTTGAACAGGGATCAGAGCCTCAGGCATACCAAGAATGACTGTCAAGAAGATAGAAACAACCTCTCCAATGTTGGAGCTGATCAAATAACGGATAAACTGCTTAGTGTTATTGTAGATCGAGCGACCCTCCTCCACAGCGGCCTCAATACTTGCAAAGTTGTCGTCCGCAAGAACCATGTCGGCAGCAAGTTTAGCGACGTCCGTTCCTGATCCCATAGCTATACCAATATCAGCCTTCTTCAATGCAGGGGCATCGTTGACACCGTCACCTGTCATAGCAACTACCGCTCCCATGCTTTGAAGTAGATCAACCAATTTGCTCTTATGTGTTGGCTCAGTGCGAGAGAACAAGCTAGCACGAGAGACAGCCAAGAGTTGCTCCTTCTCACTCAAATCATCAAACTCGCGTCCAGTGTAGCTCTTTCCAGTTAAATCTTCATCCTGTGAGAAAACGCCGATCTTGCGGCAGATCGACTCTGCGGTGTTCTTATTATCTCCAGTAATGACAATCACACGGATTCCAGCAGTCTTGCACTTTGCAATGGCAGCGGCGACCTCGGGACGAGGAGGATCCAACATGGCCACTAAACCAATGAACGTCATGTTTTGCTCATACTTGTAAAAGTTCTCAGGGTCCTTCAAATTCCAATCATTGAGACTAGGTGATTGGTTGTCAACAACAGCAAGACCGAGGCAGCGGAGAGCCTGACCCTCACCATAATCCAGAACCTTTTCCATGATGGTAGCGCGAATGGCGGCTGTCAAAGGAACAGTCTCGCCAGCAGCAGATAGTCGAACAGTAGAGCAGCGCTCCAAGATAGACTCGGGGGCACCCTTGACAAGAAGTGTAGCAGTTGAAGCACCAGTAGCACCAGAGCGAGTAGAGCGGCGTTCACTTGATGTCCTGGCCACTAAGACACTCATAGACTTGCGATCGCGTGAGAAATCCAATGTGGCCAACTTTTTGGCACGTCCAAGATAATATTGGTTACAGGCATCAACACGTTTATGAGCAGGAAGTGAGTCAAGAGTCGAGTTCAAATTGACATCATCTGTTCCCATCTTCTCGACCAAGACCTTCAAAGCTGCCTCAGTGGGCTCTCCAACATTAACGTAGGTATCATTATCGGGGTTGTAAGCGATAGTTGAGTTGTTGCAAATAGCGCAGATCTGGGCAAGTTCATTCAGAGCCTGAGAAGTACTAGACAAAGCTGAGATGACTTTGCCATCGCTGTTCAAGATATCTCCAACAGGGCTGAAGCTGGATCCATGAACCTGATACTCAGTGGCATTTCCGGCCTTGTTGTCAACAACCAGTACACGAGCAACACTCATTTGATTGGTAGTAAGAGTTCCAGTCTTATCAGAGCAAATGACACTAGTGCAGCCAAGGGTCTCGACTGAGGGCAGAGAGCGGACAATGGCGTTCTTCTTGGCCATCTTTTTGGTTCCTAAGGCAAGACAAGTGGTGATGACGACAGACAAGCCCTCGGGAATGGCGGCAACAGCCAAAGCGACAGCGATCTTGAAGTAATAGATGGCACCCTTGAGCCAGCCGTGGTGCGAAGGATCGTTAAAATGACGGATGTTGACCAACCATACAAGAATACAGATGACAGAGATAACCTTTGCGAGATCGTCACCAAACTCATCGAGCTTGCGCTTCAATGGAGTCTTTTCAGAGATCTGGGAGGTGATAGACTTGTGGATGTCACCGATTGCGGTTTCAGAGCCGGTTTGTACAACAATAGCCTTGGCCTTCCCGAGGACAACAGTAGTACCCGAAAACAACATATTGAGTTGATCCTGCTTGACAGCCCGGGGATCACTGACAACTTCAGTGATCTTGTTGACCGACACGGATTCTCCAGTCAAAAGGGCTTGGTCGATACGGAAGTTGGAAGAGTAGATCTCAAGGACACGACAATCTGCAGGGACTTTGTCACCGACAGCAACTTCAATGATATCACCAGGAACAACATCGGTAGCATAAACTTTGGCAATGGAGCCGTTGCGGAGGACCTTGGCTTCATGAGGAGAGTATTCTTTCAAAGCCTAAGAGAGGTTTGACACAAACACATGTTCAAATGTACAACAGACACAGCCCCAGCACAAAAATGGACAAAAAAAAATGAGAGCACAGAATTAATGAGAGTCAAATGATTAGGTTACATTGAAGCAAATCAATACAAAAAAAGGGAAAGACATGCATGTTGGATTTTGCCACATTGCGATAGGGCCAAAAAAAAAAAAAAAAAAAAAAAAAAAAAAAAAAAAAAGAGCGGCGCCAACACACCCCAACTTGAAACAAAATAAAAAAAAAAAAAGCATATTGGAAAATCCAGCAATTGTACTCTACCTCAATGGCCTTCTCAGCGTTTGATTCCTGGATGACACCGACAGCGGCGTTGGCAATCAAGATCAGCAGAATGACGATAGGTTCAACAAAAGCGGTTCCAGAATTATCCTCCTCCACGGCGGCGAGGACGAGAGAGACAGCAGCGGCGACAAGTAAGATAATGACAAGCTGATCCTTGAACTGTTCCAATATCATTTCCCAGAGAGGTGTGGGGTCATCCTCAGGAAGTTCTGTTATTGGCAACAGATAACCAAAAAAAAAAAAAAAAAAAAAAACATACAAGATGATCCGGTAGACCCGTTCGTTGAATGAGTGCAAATGATACCATCAAATGGACCGGTGCACAAAAAATTAGACGGTAAAAATGCGCAGACACAAATCAATAGAAAAAAAAAAAAAAATAGCCGACACAAGCCCAAGTCAAAATAGAGATCAACCCGCCAGGGCAAGACGAAAAGAAAAGAAACAAGTAGTGACAGACAGGCAGCAAAGTTAGAACGTTGTGGTTTCTTGATCTCTTGACCAAAGCTTCAGATCTGAAATTGTATATTGTCTGCAAAGAAAAAAATAAAATAAAAGGTACATACCGTTCTTTCCATATTTCTTTAATGCAGCCTCAGCCTGGGTTGATGTCAAACCCTTGTCAGGATCGACTTTGAAGTGGTCCAGAATCGCCTTTGACGTTCTGGTGAAAGCGTCATTCATGTTGAAATTATAGACTGCTTACTGATCCAAGATGAAGAGTTGAGTGTAAATGAAATGAAGCTTCCTTTTCACTGTCTTTCTCCAATGAATTGTCGTTGTTTTATTTCTATTATTAACGACAGTAAAAAAGAAAAAAGAAAAGAAAAAGAAAGGGGATGAGAGAGAGAAAGAGAGAAGGTAAAGAGATGAGTGAATGCGGTCTAATGAAAAATAAAAATGAAAATGATGACCGACGATGGCTGATCAGTGACGGTGCAGAAAGAGAAAGACTTTCTTTGACTGCGAATTTTTCATTCCTCATTTTTCTTACCTGCAAGTGAACGGAGCAAATAATAAAATGCCACGCAACGTCAGAAAAAGAAGGGGAGAGTTGAGGAAGGTAGAAAGAAGAAGAGAAGAGAAAAGAAAAGAAGAGAAGCGGGAAAGAGACTAGGGATCTGAAAAAGACCGAGTTTCTTGTTCGCCCTTCTTTCCACCTGTGTTCCCTATCTCTTTTAACTCCTGTCATATAAACATTCTTTCTCTTTCACTCTCTCTCCTCGTTATGTCTTCAGACATCCAAGCCAAGCGCCGAACTCTTTTTATCCTTTCCAATGTATTATTACGTCCAACACTGTTACTTGTTAGGATAGGAATAGGATACAAGGATACTGGATCCCTGATGGGAACCTGTGCACGTGATGGCCTTATCTCTCCCCCTTGTAGACAGGATGCACTTGTAAAAATATCTGCTAATCAAGCTAATCAAACAATTGTTGCAAGTTTTAAACCCTCGTTTTAGTGCAAAGGACATCCAAAACAAAAAACAAAAAACGTTTCGATCACCCATTGGCTGCGTATTTATTAAATAGCATACGATCCATCCGCACTCAACTGTTCCCTTGTACAGAGCAGTTCTATATTGAAAATGCGGCTTTATTTTCTTTCATGAATGGATCGTGGACCTGGGAATGATTTTCCATTTATTCCATTTATTGTTCCATGACAGACAAGGATCACTGCGTTCAGGGGAATCTCTTACTTTCCCCCCTTTCCATTGGACCACCTGGACAATTGCATTCTCTTTTGTCTTTCTTTTTTTGGTAAATTCATGGCTTATGATTATATTTTTGCTCTCAAACAACATTGAACATTACGTATCTTGCATCCCAAAACATTAGATGAAACCTTCCTTATTATTTCTACCATACATACTTCAACTCTATCAACTCGTCCTTCATGGTCTCTGCCACTTCATCAAGAGGTGAAACTGGCTCACTACTACTCTCAACCGAGTGTCTTGACAGAGTTTGTGTAGCTCGACGTGCTATCTTGATTTTTTGAAGATCACGTCGACGCTCCATATTCTCCTGATATCGATCCAACCCTTCATCCAAATGAGCACTCCACACCTCATACAGGTGACTTGAATCCGTGAACGCATATAGACAATAGTCCAACTCGGATGGATCCACATGACTATAAATACCATGAAGAGTCTTCATCTCTACTCCAAACGGATTGACCACCATCGATAGCCCATTTGATCCAACATCGACCTTGTCATAATCTGGTGGCTCGATCCGCACAATATGAGCCAATGGAATCACTCCAACCGCACTTTTCCTCTGTTGATACTCTGCGTCATACAATTTAATCGCCCGTCCTTCCAATACTGCCCAGAACCGTTTCCAAGACTAAGAAAAAAAAAAAAAAAAAAAAAAAAAAAAAACAAGTCATATAAAATAAGTTAAAACAAATGAAGAAATAACAATATTAGCATAATGGTTTTGTTCTTCTTAATGATAAAAACTTACAGCCATTTTACCCCCACGTATCATGAGAGTTAGGAAACCCTGATATAACACCTCAGTTTCCCATGAACGGTCTTCAACGGGTTCCTCTAGGATATGAAGTCCAATCATGGCTACGACCTCACAATCAGATTTAATCCCCGACTTGTTCAACTCCTCTGTAGGCTTGCGTAGTCGGTACGTGTGGACTGATTTCTCTGCGGGTTCCAAGCAGAATGACAGATCAAGATGACCAAGAGTCACAGTTTGGTTATTGGAGAAACCGGCCATGGTGCCGAGCTTGGTTGGTACTGGATTACCTGCCACAGTCATCTCGAGTTGGAATGGTCCATTCACGTCACTTGTTAAAATAAATAAGTGAGGAGGAAGAGGAATAAAGGTGAGGATTCATTGAAGTAGAAGAAGAATGAAAAAAAACCTATTTAACAAACCCACGACTTGGAAGAGTAGAGGAATCCTTACAATAAAAAGACCTCGTTCATAGTCGCAGTGTTCCCGGGGTTGTCTTTAAATGATCGCGAAGGATACGATGTTCGTTCAGTATTGCCAACTTTCAAACTCCATTCAACGTCAAAAAGTTTGGATGAAGCCTTGTTGGTCACCTGCATCACTTTTTTTTTTTAAAAAAAAAAAAAAAAAAAAAAAAAAAAAACGCGTCTTTAATGTCAGAAGTATGAGCAGATTATCACTACTATCATTATTACCATTTTGGCTTTCCAAACACTCGGTACAAAAGGAATGAATTGTCTAAATACTAATCATTTGACTTACCCTTGACGTACAAAATGCCTAGGGGCTCATTGAGATTATAATACCCAGATTTGACAAGACTAAGAGTGATTTGAGGGAACTCATGTTGCGTTATAAAACAGAGCTCAAAAGAATGGCTCGACATTTTATACAATAACCCTTTCGTTTTGTTTTGTTTTGCTTTGCTTTGCTTACTTTTGGCTGCCATAACGGCTATTGTCCATTATGTCCCAGACTTGGCCAGACTTGAGGACATTTTTCAACTCTGCAGTAGTCACAGATGTTGACCCATTTTGAATCCATGCTCTTCGTTGAGTACAAAAGTGATCCAAAGAAGGGATAGAAGGTGGACAATGAATGATAGGCGGCTCCTCTTTTGGGTAAGTTCTGATAGACCCGGAACTATGCGAGCTCTTCGTAAAGGAGCCGAGGCCGTTGGGTGTTGCTGTTAGATATTGTCCGCTGTGGCCGCTATTGTTATTGTCACTACATATTCCTTCCACTCCTGCTGTAGGAGTTATAGAAGGACCAATAGAGCCTGCAGTTAATCCTGCAGCTTTGCTCACAGTATCACAAATTGAACCAGCGTTGAGTCCTAGTGACTTTTCGATTCTGATCTCTGCGTTCGAATGACATGTTTTTGATAATGATTGAGTACCTGTGCCGTCAGCGGCAGCACTAGCAGTTGCAGCGATGTTCTTCCTTTTTTTGTCTCCTGTTAGAGATATTTTTTTAGCCTGCTTGCTCAGAAAATTCCCCGGAATCGAGAGCGCACCGTGAAGATCCTTGCCAATCTTTTTGAATGTTTCGTTCTGCATTCGGATATGTAGAGTGCTGATGTTTGTTTTTGGTTGCTTGTTTATCTCTGTACAGAAAAGGGGAACAAAAAAAAACACAAAGTCAACAACGTGTTAGAGGGGAGGGAGTTGCAAGTGTAGGGTATAAGATTATGAAGAGAGTGGAAATGAAGGGAGATAGGATATGTTGACACGATCAGTAAAAAAAAAAAAAAAAAAAATTATATATAAAAATGCAGTTATGAACAAGTGTGTCTGAGGAAAAGAGAGTGAAAGACAGCCAGAAGAAAGGTAGGGATAGGAACAGGCAGAATAGAAGATCAAAATGCTTATGCTCAGGTTTTTTTTTTTTTTTTTGTGAAATAAACATTTGCTCAACGCCATTTTTGGCAGCCTGAGGAGAAGAGTTTATACGCGCGCACATTCTGCTTTCAACCAAAAATAGGCCAGAAGCTCATGCAGGACACAGCTGTGATTGTGGAAGGAAAATTTGCTGGGCAACGTTTAATCCGGTGCTTTGGACATTAATACTCTTTTATTCTACACTATACTATACCGTGCCAAGGCATGCTCCGCTCATGTAACATCTATCTCCAAGAAGCCCAAGGAGAAGATCCTGATTGATAATAGTCAGGCCTTATAAAACTAAGTGAGTAAAATGCAATATCTATAAGCCTTCTTTCACTCTCGTACACATGTTCATACACGTTAGCTTTTTCCCTTTACTATTGCTATTATGGCCACAAGTGTTACTCCTTTTTGCAGTTGTGAGGGTGAGTAAACAAATCACCAGTATGGAAGCAAAAGGGAATAAAAAAAATGCAAGAGGAGGTTATGATTAGAGCTTTGCAGGGTGTCTTGGGGTGAAGACACAAATGGGATTGCTTATGCGAGCTATCCGAGACAAAAAGTACGGAAGAGGAATGATCGATTTGCTGCATGTTCAGGTCCACTGTCTCGGATTTTCAGGGCCCAAACTTCAACACACTCGCAAAAGCAGCTACAGCACTTCACAATAAACTACAGTCTCCAAGGTCGTTGGAAGAGATACTGAATAATGACGCCAAGTTAAAATCTTTATTATGCGTTGTGTCAACCGTGAAGAGTCAGTCCTTATCTTACTGAGTACAACCCAGCTATCATAATAATGAAGACAAATGCGATGTCCTTCATTTTCAAAACATCACATCTCTGTGAAGAGTGGATAAAGAGCGCTACCTCAAGTGAGTCTTCGATTGTAGACTAAATTTTGCTCTCTCAATGAGGAGGAATATCATCTTGATCTGTTGACTCACGAACTTTGGAGCTATTGTAGTATAGCAATTCCTTTTGTGCCTTTCTCTTGCGGCCAAGGCTGTTGATGAAATGACGACGCTGATTGGCTGTTGGATCAGAATGGAAGAGCCACCAAAGACGTCTTTAAGTTGAAAGGTGATGCCGTTCCTGCTGAATATTACAGCACATTTATTCACATACACTATTTACTATCACTTTCTCTTTCGCTTTCTCTTTCGCTTTGTCTATGATTCAATTGAAGAACATTTGGACCTCGATAACCACCGTTAATTTTTTGTACTCCTTCATACCGATGACTTACAGCTTCTTGGCCAGCTATCAGAGCCGGGGGATGCTTGACGCCTAAAACTAAGGGTATCCAATAGCTAGTCCTGACCCCATTCTACCAGGCCTAAAGAGGGCTCCAGATAGTGCGTCAAAGCACTGTTATTACTGCTAGATAATCCAGGAACCTGAGAGGCTTCAGAACGAGAACTGATCTATGTGAGGACGAAGATAAGACTAACAAGCTGGACAGAGCAAAGAAAAAGTAAGATGATAAGGAACCTACCTGAAGCGGATCGAGTCTTGAATGACGAATGAAAAACAGCCAATTCCGCGGAAGAGATCGAAAAAAAAAAAAAAAAAAAAAAAAAGAAGTCCAAGTAGCACATTGGTTAATCATTGTATTCAATTTTCATAGTCGGTCCTTTTTTTTCCTTTGCTCTCCCTATTACTCTATCCTTGTCAAACATGAAGGCGATCTCCCAAGCAAAAGTCAAGATGTTGCATGACACTGTCTACAAAAATCCTCCAGGGGGAACAAAGGTCTTCTAGGGGAACAAAAATCCTCTAGGGGAATAAAGAAGAACAAAGGGAGACAAAGAGAGTATGAAAGAACCGTCTCTAAGATAGCGACCCTATTGATAAGGTAGAGTACATGTGCACATACAGCCTTTGCTCTATGTCGTGTAATCAGGGCAAATTGGTATTGGCTTACTCAATGTCAAAAGCAATAATTCGATGTCTGTCCTTCGAGCAAAACTCATGGTTTCTATTTGACAATTGTTTTTCCATATTCCAAACCCTATTTGTTAAGAAGTACTGTCTTGGGGGACCCTTCTTTTTTTCATTTTATTAGAATCCTGGTGATGTCTATTGGGGCATTCTATGCGACGTTGTGGATCAATTCTCTCGGTCCACCAATAGGCATTAGTTTTTTTTCAAAGGTGCTACTACAGAGTTTTTCGCTCAAAATTAGCAAGTCACACTACTACAGTTATTCTGGCACCCCGGCAAATAGCAATGGACAACATTGTCTGTGCCCTACAAACGAAGAAAATGGCAGTAATCATTCAGCAACCGAACTACTGGATTTTTGCTTCGTTTGTATTACAACTATCAGTCGAGTACAAGGAACATTCGCCCTGACTTTGTCAAACAATGAGGTTTCCTGATCTACACAAAGGTTAACAAAAAAAAAAAAAAAACATCCCCATTATAATTCCCCTGAGCAACATCATTCATACTCCCCCTTTTTCTCTTTCCCCTTTTCCTCCTTCTTCGTCTTCTTTTCCCCCTTTTCTCCCCTTCTGCCATTATTTGTAGACGACTCGAGGGCATAGTCCGTTACCCATCCAAACGATATACCATTAACCATAATGTGGGTAAGGATGTCTTTATGAGGTTCATATTTTAATAATGAATAACACCCCATGGAGCACACGGGCACGTAAAAATAGAAGCCCCAAGGAAATTGAACGATAATGTAGACAAAGAAAGGAAGGCATTGTTGCTCTCACACGTTTTCTTTTTTTTTTTTACTTTTTAAGCATGCATGCATTGACTGATATATACTTTTTTGCATTCAAACAAGATAAACAAATAGCAAACAATGAAATATTCAATGTGAGGAGAGGAGAGGAAAACGAAGAATGAAGGAGAATTTTCAAGAAGACAAACTATTTTTTTTATTATTATTATTATTATTATTTTTTTTTTACTCATCATCAAGACCACAAAGCAACACTAAAATATAGAATAAAATTACATCTAAATAATATCGATGCTCTTTGACCTTGCATGCAAGTGACTGATAAATGGATATATACAATCTATATGAAAATGATGGGTCCTGGGTCCTTGTCTGCGTCCTTGAGCCAACAACACATGTTTATACTATGCTGCACATGGCAATTGCTCATATACATGTGTGTGAACTCATGGCAAATGACCTATATGAATGGTGCGATTCGATTCGTCCCCAGCTTGATATCTGTTCGTATATCAAACTATCGTATATCAACATTCTCTTGATGGAAAGATTAATACTTCTATGCCTTTTAAAGTCGACACAAAATGTCACCTCAGCCCATGTGTTTTCTTCTTAAAGCCCCCTCCATGTAAAAAATGAACATTTCGCATTGCTAATAGGATTTCAATCAACTGTTATCGATCATTCCGTTGCAGTTATTGGCGATGCAATATACTAAAAGGATTAAAAGAAGAATCCAACCATCATCTTGATCACTGTACCAATCCGATATTATTAAAACTATAACTGACGTTTTATGCAACAGCACATCACTGTAACTAAACAATTTGAATTAAATGACGACTCTGGTGTGACAATGTTGATGGGTCATCATAAATGGTAATGTCCAATCCTATTTAATTTTATGAGTACTGTCGGTTCACGAAGGTGTTAGACAGAGGAACAGAAAGTAAAGAAAGAAAGAATCACATTGACGAAGCATGTGTAGAGGATTAGATGACCGGTGAGGATCATGATCCACATTTCTACTTCCCTATAGCTTAAAGGACCCTTTTGAATATGCATTGCGTGTTAACTGTCTAATGTGGGTAGTAATTATTCGTTATAAAACGGCATTTGATCCATCTCTGTCCACAACCATCGCTCTTTACTTTCTCTCTCTCGCTCTCTATCCTTATTTCTTTACTAACTTTTTTTGCTCCTCCGTAAACCGTCCGTATCCAAGAAGAAAAGAAAACCAGGGACTTTGCCAAAAATCACATAGTGCTTTCATTGTTTTGATCTTTTTTACAAACATTGCCCAGTCCTCGTCCCCCATTTTGTTCTTTCAAGTGCCTTCACCCCCTTTCCTTCGATTTTTCTTTACTTCTCACCCCCTCTCTCTCTCTCTCTCTGTCTCTTTCTTCAGGTCCCGAATGTGCAGATCGACCATTACGAAGTAAGTAAGACATTCGATGTCCTCACATCATCACCAATTCATTTTTGGCCGTGCATTTCATTCATATCCTCATCTAGCCCAAGCAAACAAAAAGGGAGAAATAAGACAATTCATTTTTTGAAATGCACCCCGAATTAAATTGCGCTTTTTCGGTGCATTGCTATTTTCACCACATTCGAACTCTTTTTTATTTTACTTTACTTTACTTTACTTTACTTTGCTTTACTTTACTTTACTCTATTCCTTTTTTTATTAATAATAATAATTATTCCTCTTTGCTAATTGTGTGCTCTTTTTTTATTATAAGTTCTCCATCTCCATCCTTTTTTTTTTTTTTTTTTTTTTTTTTTTTTTTTCTTCAATCTTGTCTTGTTCTTGACTCATTTCTTTTATCGTCTTCTTCTTCTCTCTTCTTCTTCTCTCTCCATCTCTTTCTTTCAAAGACATACATCCCTTTCTCTAACAAGCCCTATAGGCCAACAGTCTAACGATTTTATAAGATATATTTTTTTTCATTGCTCTTTCCTACATTTAATATAACTCGCCATGCTCGATTTCAGGTCACACAGACTCCGCCCATATGAACTCAACCCTGTGTCACGTCGTTCACGGCAACCAGGATCTCATCGAACAACCTCATTATCATCATCATCAACATCATCACCATCCATTCATGGATACCAATCCACCATGGCTCTTCGCTATTCATCTAGACAACGACTCCGACTTTTTAGGAATACACACAAACAACATTTTCAACAACAAGAAGTACACATGCTAGAGCAACCAAATGAAGGCCAGGAGATTGATGTCATGGGAACTACTATGGCGATGGATACCTCTGTGGATGCTGATGTTAATACCAGTAAAGATGAGGACATTGAACTGGAAATGATCCAGGAACCAGCCATTTTCCGTCTAAGCCAAGAATTACTTGCATTAATATTTCATTACGTCTATGTCACACCAGTTGTCCTTCGTCCTGAACAACATTCGGGGGAACTGAATTCTAGTCAAACTTCAACTACGTCATTGACACACTCCTCTTCGTCTACATTCCATAGTACAACAAATGAAACAACCTCGACTGCATCAACAACAGCAACCACATCAACCATCACAACAACGTCAGAGCCCTCTCGAACGAACCGACGCAATAAGAGGGATAAGAGAAAGAGTATAGCGTGTATTCAGAATGACCTTCCATCTGTTTTGGCCCTTTGTCTCACCTGCCGCACTTTCTACCCCCAGGCCATCCGTTTGCTTTGGCGACAAAGGACCCTGGCCAGTTATGATGATTTGATTGAGTTTTATCGAGCAATTGATTTTTCTGCCTCTCTCCGGAGGAGACAACAAAAGCAACGGCAGCTGGAACAAGAGCAGCTGCAACGGTTAGGTATGGACTATTCAACTGAAGAAGGGTTGTTCAATAATGAGGCCGCCCTTAGGATCAAGTCTCTGACCCTGTTAGACATGTCTTTCGGATCATTCTTTTTGCCCTCATTGCCCTCTCTGGCTATGACTGCTTCATCGACCGATACCACTACGACATTGACGTCCTCCAGTCAATTTTTTGGAAGCAGTAGTAACAGTAATATGGCCCAAGGCAATGGTAGTAACAGTCACCATGTCAACGCCCTCATGAGCGCTGGTGCGGGCTCTGAATTACGCCAAGGTATTGACGGTTTGAAAACTATAGACGAGAATAGCATGATAATGGGCTTTGCCAAGGATGACATGATGACAGTATCATCGTCCTCCTCCTCACCTACATCGGGTTCTACAAGCAGAGGCCCTTCTTCCTCTTCGACTCAGCTTAAGAGACGATCTCGCCAAAAGTCAACATCCATCTACAGTGAGTTGATCTCTCCAAGACTGCTCCACACCATCGCCAATCACTGTTATGCACTCGTGGATCTAAAGATTTGTATGGACAACAAATCTTTGGCAGCAGCGGGCTCGCCTACATTTATCCCCAACAGTACTGAGACTTCCAAGGTCCAGCCTAGTATTCCCTTTTCCATTATTGCAGGGGCATTGCTCTCATTAAAGCGACTGACACTGATGGGTGTTGTCTGTCATCCTGGCCAGAACAAGACCGGAGCAGAACTATTATTGTTTGCACAGAAGTCCCAGCCCTTGGAGAGACTTTCTATCCGATCCTGTCGAGGAATCAGCCTTGAGACCTATATTGAATTCGCAGTTCGGTCGAACCGTCGTCTGTTATCGGTGGATTTTGAAGGGCTCGACTTTGAATCAAGTGAGCAGCTGACAGAAATGATTTCGGCATATGCAGCCCACTGTGAGAACATCATGTCTATCACGTTATCCTGCCTTCACGGACTGGCCCTTGATGGGATGATTGCAGCTTTGGCCTCGCACAAATTGGAGGCGCTTCAAGAGCTTCATGTATTGGGTCATGACTCTTTTCATGCCCCGCAGCAACAGCAGCAACAGCAGCAGCAACAACAGGAACCGCAGCAGGAACCGCAACCGCAACCAGAACAACAGCAACAAGAAAATAATAATCATGAAAATAACAATCAAGAGGGCGCACAAGTTCCTATGACCCAAATGTGCCACCTTGCAGATGCTAATCAAGCCATGGCCGACCTTGCTCAGTTGCCCCCTCATCGCTTGACCCTGTACTGCCTTGGTATCACAGACATCGCACTATTCCAGTTTCTCTGCAAGTCACCACATCTCATCGATCTAGTCCTGAGCGAACCCACAACGATCCTTCATCTGCCACAATTCCAAACTTTTGTGAAATCGGTTCTCCCCTCACCTTCATCCCAATCTCAAGCTGAGCAACCCTCAGCAATGGAAGATGAAGAGAATCCATTCGGTCCTCCGGTTTCCTCAACAGCAACAGCGACACCCTTCACAAGTGCTGGATTCTTGAACCTGATTTTGGCTCGATGCTCCTGGCTCAAGTACATGTTCATGAAACTTTCACTCGAGACTGCACAGGAATGGATTGTGCAGCCTTGTTTCAAGGAGGCAGGATTGGACAAGTGTTTGTACCAGTACCGAACAGCGACAGGAGCGCCTGCAGTCGTAATGATGTGGGATACTCGTAATAAGGTCAATGCCACACTCACTAGGTCGTAAATTTTTTTTATTTTTATTTTTTTTTGCTTCGTCACGTTTTCCTCTTACACTCCTCTCCTTTTCTTGATGAATTTTTTTTTTTTTATATTTTTATACATATTTTTTTTATCATGATCCAAATTCTGTATGAACAACAAACATTTACGATTACGATAATACTTTCTTGAATCCCGGTAGACATGTTTATATACATATACTTTCAAACTGTAATAGTAAACTTGATCCATATATACTTCATAGCATGCTCTTAAACCTTACTTTAGACAATTCAAAGATATAATAAACAAAGCTCTTTTCTATCTCTCTATCTCTCTTTTACTTTCTCTCTCTCTTTTTTTTTTTTTTTTTTTTTTTTTCTACTTTGCTATGAGAGCCAGTGGAATAGGTGTGGGGAGTGAGGAAAATAGAAAAGAGTTGGCTTGTGCGCAGCAGCCAGATAATATATATATATATACTCTTCCTAGATAATGTATATAATAATTAGTATTAAATAACGTGATATGAGAAGATGGGGTTCTTTTTGTCACATGCTGTCATTGTCGTACATGTCATAATATGCATAAATATAACACATAATTATCGTAGATGCAAGATGACAACCTTTGTGGATCGTAATTAAACAACGCAGCCAATCAGCGGAGAAAACTGGTATTAAGTCTCGGATAAGTCCAGTCTTGTATATTTTGTATTTAAATATATATATATACAAGGAAAAGAAAAATCGATGGTGACAAAGATTGGGGAAAGAAGGGAGCCAACAAAAAAAAAAAAAAAAAAAAAAAAAAAGAAAGTATGGAACCATGTATGTATATAATATATATTTTTCATATCAATTATCGTTTTACAACAAGAGCATCGATGGGAATCATGTCATGGATGGGATGAGGATATTTGGGGCAATGAAGCTGAGGATACATTAACATATACACATATTTATAATGGATAATGGGGCAATGGATGACAAAGAGTGTAAGAAAGGTCTGAAATGTAATAATGGATAACCATCGTAGAGGATAGTACAGTACAGTACCGTACCGTACTGTACTGTACTGTACTGTACTGTACTGTATTATACTGTCAGAGGTTAAGGATCAGAGTAAGAACAAAGGCCCCATTCAGCTCTTCTTTGCTTCTTGAAACGCTCTCTCCCTTTTTTTTTTTTTTATTTTTTACTGACATCACTTCCATCCTCTCGTCCATTCATTCGGTGCCAGTATAAAACATCCTGATCCTGGGTATCCCGGATAACATAGAACGAAATCAATCCAGCAATTAGCCGACTTTTTTTTTTTTTTTTTTTTTTTTTGTGTTTGTTTTATTTTTCGTCTCATTACCTCTTCTGTTCTCGCTCTTTTTTTTTTTTTTTTTTACCTTTTTGAATCAACCCTTAGTTCATTCACATTACTCATTCGTCACTCATTCTGTTAACCAAAAAAAAAAAAGAAAAGAAAAAAACCAAAAGACAGTTGAATCTCAATCCTCTTCTGGAATAGTTAGATTTGGCTAAGTATTACAATTTAGAGAAAGAGTAAGAGAAAAAGAAATCAAGTGGTCCCGAACAAATTCAGGTCCAAGGTAAGGAATAAAGAGTGATAAAATATTCCTTTTTTGGAGAAGGGGTAATATAGTTGAAACTCGCCTCCATGCCATTATATCGTGTCCAATATCCATTAGCAACAACTTTTTTTTTTTTTTTTTTTTTTTTTTTTTTTCCTTTACCTGAGTGAGAATGAGAGGCTAGTGAAGTGTTTTATTATTATAATTATGTTTTTTATTATTATTATTATTATTTTTATTTTTATTGTGCTGTCCAGTCGCAAAGCATCCATTTTATTCCGCGCTCTAGACAACTAGACAACTATGATTCTCAAACAGAGACAGAGTCATAGCGAGGATGACAATATTGGATATTTTTATATCAGGCTACTTGTCTATACCCCCTTGAGCTTGTTTTGACTTTTTTTTTTTTTTTTTTTTTTTTTTTCAACGGGTTCAATGCCACGTTACGTGTCAAAGAAAACACTCTTTCCAAAAATAATGACGGGAAGGAAGAAGGACGTGTCTTTGTTCCTTGGAACGGACAAACAGACAAAGGGAAAAAGCTTAAACAAAAGAAAGTAGCTTTTTGGGAAAGAGCTTAGTGTGAACATGGAGATTGGGTTCTGAATGAATGTGCAAATGGTGTATGCGTGTGTATATTTGCTTTCTTTGACCCGCACGAGTGGAAAAAGACTTTATCTTTTCATGTCCCGCTGCGCTCATTATTCTAACTTCCATGGCATGCAATAATAACCTGGGGAAAAAAGTAAAAAGTTACAAACATAGACACAAACACAAATACAAACATGCAACACTTGCATCTAATGTACATGCACCTGCATTCTATCCTTATATCTCGGTTTTCATCACCCTCCCCCCCCTCCCTTTCTTTTTATATTTCCACAAGAAAAGAAAAAAATATTTCATTTCCAACATGCATGGTGCCAAAATAAACATTTTGAGCGGGTGGGCGGGTAGAGGAGAGAAGGAAAAAGATCATGCGATAAGGAAAATGGTTGTGGTCCTTGAGACAACTCAAACATCAATCTCATTTGGACTTGTAAATGGGTTTGAAATGCAGGACTTTATTTGAAGTATCCCCGAGTTGGCTAATCTTCCCATGAAGATCGTCTTATCCCTTTCTTTCTTGATCTTTGGTCTTTTCTCTTTGATTCTTGGCCCTTTTTGTTTCAGCAAAATTTGACTGAACTGGCTTAGTTGAGCTGGTCCAACCTTCTTTCTCATCTTTGCTAAATCGAGGATGATTACTCCATCCTATTTTCATTTTTCCCACTTGTTTTATTTATTTAATCACTTTAAAAAAATGAGCTATGTCTCACTATCTATTTTCCTCGGAACGTTTTTTTATTCTCTTTGGATGCTTGTAATGCGATATTACATGATCAAGCTTTATTCACATCTCTCTCTTTTTTTTTTTTTTTTTTTTTTTTTTGTTTTTTTGGACAAAGGAGACAGAAAGAAGAAGAAGAAGTAGAAGAAGAAGAAGAAGAAAAGAAGTAAAGAAGAATAGAATGATGATGACATGATTAGTCAAATTGCTTCGTTACATTCTTCATCCTGGGATGAGAAAAATAAGAATGTCCACAGACATCCTGGTTTGAGATTGAGAGATGAGATCCAGTTCAATCGTTGGCTACAGTTTAATGGCAGTGCATTATCATGTTTTCAAAGGTCTTTACGGCTGTTCAAAGTTTCAGTGAGGCGCAGACAAGTGCATTGGCTCCCATGATTCATTTGATTAGGGTTCTTTGACCCCCTTGCTGACCCTTCTCATGTTTCGAAACTGTTTGAGAATCATTAAAAATTTTTTTTTCTTCTTCTTCTTCTTCTTCCCAATCTCTCTCCCCTCCAGGGCAAACAAACATAAACAATCGGTTATTACAAACGTAAAGTATAATATTTCCTTTCCTCTTACTTTCTCCCCCTCTTTTCCCTCTTGTTCTGTCTTATCCTTGTCTCCCGCCTCTTTCTCGGCTTCCATTCTTTCATATAAAGCGCACTCTCTCTCCATCTTTTTTTCTTTCTTTCTTTCTTTCTTTCTTTTTTCTTCTCTTTCTTCATTCTCAACATTTTAAACAAAATACCAAATAATATTTAGAGAAAAAATAATCCCCGGGCTTACATGCCACTTGTATCATTACCATCTTCTTCTTAAACACTCACTTTTCTTCCTTCGTTTGCATTTGTTTTTTTCTGTTTCTACTGCATACCATTAACATTTCAGGTACACAACACACCCCATCAGATTGCTCTACATTTCATCTGCCTTTTTACTCCCCCCATTCTGTCATCATTACCTCCTTCTAAATATTTAATTTGTGACAGCCCATGTGGGCAATTGATTACGCTTAGACCGTTTGCCCCCCCTCCCCGTCTTTAATATTGTGCATTGAGCTATTGTTTCTAATCCAAATTTTCTTCTCTTTTTCACTGCTTCTTTTCTCTCTTCATAGGTCTTTTTTATCCTTTCTCCTCTTCTCTCCTTTTTCTTCATTTGTAATTTCACTGTAAAATTGTACATAATCATACATCCTTGCATTCCTTCCACTTCCAGAACAATAACACATACACACATCTCAGCTCCATCTCTTTGTATCATGTCTTCATATACCCTCGCAGAATCTTCAGTACCCACATCCACAGCCACATTATCACAAACCTCGCCCTTTCCCATGATGCGTCCAGCCTCACACTCCTTCTCACTTCAACGCCCCACACTCTCACAAGATTCAAAGAAGACTCGCAACTCCAAGCGACTCTCACTCTTTGTTCCCCCTTCGCCTGGAAAGTTGGAGACTCTGGCCTCCTTGGCTGCAGCAACTCCTACCTTCCCTCCATCCTCATCTTTATCTTCATCCTCATCATCTACAGCTACATCCACATCTACATCATCCAAGCGCCACTTCTCCTCTTCCTTGTCCACATCTCTTTCAACCATCTCCCAATCACCCATTACCACACCCACTGCTGACGAGTCCACAAAAGTCGTATCAGAAGCAGCAGAGACCAACTCAAGGAGGCACAGTCAGCTGTTGTTGGATCAAGCCCTCCCCACCCCACGTCTTCCATTGGCAGTCAACCAACCTAAACAACGTCCAATCTCGGCTTACTTTGCCGATTTCAGTGCAGAGTGCGGCACAGCCTCTCCATACACCAAAGAACCTGTCTGTGTCCTGCCACACCTTTATTTGGGTGCAGAACACAACGCTGTGGATGTCAAAGTTCTTTCCCGATTGGGCATCACTGCTGTCTTGAATGTCGCCATCGAGATTTCGAACGCTTCTCAGCAACAATATCAGCTAAGCAGCAAAAACATGGACAGGATCGTCAAGACTGCCCAAGGTCGCTCGATCCATTACAAAAATCTGTCCTGGACACATCACCAAAGAGATCTCCAGAGCGAGTTCCCTTTGGCGTTTGCGTTCATTGAGGAGATCAAGAATATGGGGGGCAAGGTCTTGATCCATTGTCAACTGGGTGTCTCCCGCTCAGCATCACTTGTGATCGCTTATGTGATGAAGACCCTGCAGATGAACCTGACAGACGCGTATGACTTTGTGAAGACACGCTCGAGTGTTGTCTCGCCCAATATGAGCCTGATGTATCAATTGGCTGAATTCGGAAAGTCTTTGGAGGAGGAGAGGAATGGCAAGAAGAAGAGACCTACCTTGGCTAGATTGCCTAGCAACAAGAGCACCTGGGCTGCCTCACGTGAAGATGAAGATGACTACTATCCATACCCGACCGAGAGGATGGACATGGATGTGGAGATGTCCTCTCCATGCCCAAGCCCAAGCCCGAGTGCTATTCCCAAGACTCCAACCGCTTCTAGTAGTACTAATCCTTTTGGTCAGAGCCAATCCCCATCCGCTCCAGTCACTACTCGTCGTCCTCGTTCTTCTTACAATCGTTCGGCGCCTCCTATGCCTTTGTCCTCGTTGATGACAGCTAAGGGTGCCTCACACTTTGCAAATGTGCCTCAGACGCCTATGACAGATCGGTTCTCGATTCCCGATATTGTGCCAGCAACGCCAATGAAGGATCGATTTTCATTCTCGTCCTCAGGGCCATGGTCATCTTCATCAGGCCAAATGGACAGTAGTAGCGCTCTATCTTATCCGCCCTCGCCTTCCTTGGCTTCTTCACCTGAACGATTTCCTGAAGGCGAGTCATTTGTACTCTCTCCACCTGTAAGGCCTTTTGTCACATCACACAAGCCAATGTCGTCCTCGTCCTCGATGTCCTCCTTTGAATCGACTGCATCCTTCTCTAGGCCTTCATCCACATCCTCCACATTCTCAAACACATTATCGATTTATGAGTCTGAAACATCTTCCACGATGGCAATGTCAGCAGCTTCGCCTGCGTCTGTGGTCACTCCTTTGAGGGAAGACCATCGTTACGACAATAAGAATTACAGTTATGATGATGATAATCATCCTTGGGCCAAAATCCCTTCGACGTCTGTCGCCACCACAACTCCAACAGGTTCTGGCTATGGTTCCTATGCTTCTCCACTCAAGAGTCCTATGACGCCTACTTTTCCCTCTTCCTCCTCTTCATCTATTAGTACTACCTCCAAGAAGACAGGGATTCATTCGTTGGCCAAAGCTTTGACGCGTCGTTGGTCAAATCAACAGCAACAGCAGCAATCTATACCACCACCACCACCTTCTCCATCTGTAGTGGCCAATGTCTAAAATGAACGTGTATTTTATTTTATTTTTATTTTTACTTTTTTTTTTTTTTTTTTTTTTTTTTTATTTTTATTTTTTTTTTATTTTTTTTTTACTTTTATGATAAAAATAAATAATATTAAATTTGCTAGCAGTAATGTCTCTTGCTTCCAAAAGGACAATGATGATAATGATATTGTTGATAAATGATGAATGATAAATGATAAATGATGAATGATAAATGATAAATGATGATAAATAACAGATGACAGCAGGTAAACGTGACTGATTGGCTGGTAGGAAGGCAACTAAAAATTATACACTGGTAACTGGTAACTTGATAATTCGTAGCTGATGGCTAGAAAATAGTTTTTTTTTTTTTATTTTTTTTTACCTCCCTCTCCCTATCAGACTTTGTTTTTCTTTAGAGAATATTTTTAAAAACTAAGAAAGTCTTTGGTAAATGAAGAGGGAAAGGAAAAAAGATAAAAATACACATTTAGTCTTCTTCCTTTCAAACCCATTTGAAAATAGTTCTTAAGCACGCGCAGGAAAAAAAAAAAAAAAAAAAAAAAAAAAAAGATAGATTGTCAGGAACTGTTTTGCTTTTTTGCTTTGCCAATAAAGCCTGAACTGAACGGGTAGAGTCCCTTGCTGTCGGATATTTATTCGACGGTTACAAAAAAAAAATAAATAATAATAATAAAACGAAAAGAAAGAAAGGGTTGAGGTGGATTTATATTTGGGATTGGATTGGATTGGATAGGATTGGGAAATGGGAAATGGGTGGGAAAGCAAAGCAAGTGTTCTTTTTTTTTTTTTTTTCACACTAATTTTTAACAGTTTTAGTTTCATTTAAATAATTATTGGATTAGCTGGGATTGATGCTGAATCTGTAGAAGAACCCTTCTAAACTTGTTTTTTACGTTAGTCGTTACTTAGTATAATCATATTTGTATAATCGTTAGTAAAAAAAAAAATAAAAATAGCAATGAAGAATACACCAGTCGATCGCGTTTTTTGTACGACACTATATTTTTTTTTTTTTTTTTTTTTCCTCCTGTTATGCATATAATAAATATATACATATATATATATCAAGCATATATTGTGGAGAAGGGAAGGAAATTTAACCGCGGAAAAGGTTTTTTATTTTATACATTTTTCTTGCATTATGGAAGGAAAGGGAAAGGGAGGAAAAAGAAAATATATACATGTACTTCCGGGCAATGAATGTAATATGAATGAAGAAAAAGAAATGATCGAGAACAGACCAAAACAAGTTTTTTTCTTTTTTTCTTTTTTCTTGGTCAATGGAAGGATGCATGTTTGTCTATGTTTTCCTGCATAATTCTTCTCGTTCATTTTTCTTTTTTCTTTTTTTTTTTTTGCATATTGCATATTGCATACATTCGGTCATTTCTTTTTGTCATGTGGAGATTTTGAGGGTATTGTTTGCAGTCTTTTTTTTTTTTTTTTTTTTTTTTTTTTAATTTGTTTATTTATTTATTTCATTCTGTAGTTTACATCTTTTTAGTAAAGAAAGTAAGAAAAATAATAAAAAAAAAAAAAAAAAAAAAAATACAATGAAGTAAATAGCTAGAAAAAGCGGGAAAAAAAAATAATATGAAAACAAAAAAAGAAAAAAAAAAAAAAAAAAAAAAAAAAATCTCCTAAAGTAAAGCTAAAAGGTGATAAACCAGATCTCCCTTTTTTTTTTTTTTTTTTTTTTTATACACTCAAGCATCCATCCTTGAGGAAGGTCTTGAGGGGGGATATTGTTGTTGTAGACTATACTCGCCATCTCTATTATTGTCTTGGCCATGAATGTAAATGTCCTGAATACGCTCATCAACTCCTTCATGTTTAATAAAAGGATACACAGTCTCGTCTTCGCCTTCACCATCCACCTCATCAGAACTGTTGTGACTCTGATGACTCTGATGGCTCTCACGACTGAGTGAGCGATTCATAGTCGAGACATTACCGCCTGTAGCATTAGCATTTGCTGCCTCAGCAGCGGCTGCTGCCCTTGTAGCCGCTGCTTCAGCCGCAGCCATTCCTTCCTCCGTTTCAAAAAACGGCGTCATTGGTGGGAATTGTGGCAAGGGCGTGATCGTGTGACCACATTCTGCATTATGGTTGTTCTGTGTCACCAAAATGCTCTCCACTGTCCTGAACCGTCTCCAGATCTCGCGGTTCTCTTGCTGGAGCAGCTCAAACTGTGAACGGATCTGATGGAGCTCCAAGACTTTTTGCTCCATATCCTTGATATAGGCCTTACGACGGTTCCGGAACGTCCTTTGAGCTGCTCGGTTCTGAGCTGCTCGGCGGGGATGGGTTACATTGGTACGAACTGGCCCAGCTGAGGAGGCTGTAGCTATGGCTGTGCTTGTGCTTGTGCTTGTGCTTGTCGCGGTAGTGGAAGCGGAAGTAGAAGTAGAAGTAGAGGTAGAAGTGGCAGTGGCAGTGGCAGTGGTAGCTGCTACTGCTGCGGCAGCAGCAATTGAAGCTGGCACTTGGGTATAGTTGGAAGGATAGGTCTCAGTCATGCGTCTCAAAGTGCGTGTTGTCGTCGACTTGATGTTGCCAGGGCCCGTGCTAGATGAAGATGTCCTGGCAAACTTGGTTCCTCGAGGGTTGCTCTCATCATCCACATGAGAACCAAGGAGCGATCCTCTGCCTGTTGGAGCAGCGGCAGCAGAGATACTTCTGGGCCTCTTGGCGGAACCACCTGTGGTTGCTGCCATTAGAGACGTAGATGGAGTCATAGAATTGCTCATCATCCCTGCAGCAGTCGCAGCAGCGAGCGTGTTCTGTGGAGTTGCGGTAGTACCAAGTGAGCACGAGAAATCTGGGAGAGGAGCAGCAGCAGAACCAATAGAGTTTGGAGACAGTTGCGCCAGCGCAAACTGTGGTTGGTGGTAATGGCTTGATCCTTGTCGCTTTCTCCTTGGTGAGGCAGGATGGACAGAGGAACCATTGTTGTTGTCCGTTGTCAACATCGAGCCTGTGGTAAGGGACGAATAGATCCCCTGCGAAGAATGAGGACGCTTTGGAAGAGGAGAATGTTGCTGCTGCTGCTGCTGCTGCTGGTATTGAAGAGAACTCATCAATGCTTCCTTTGATAAAGAACTGGCTGAGGAAGTAGCCGAGGTACCCAAGAAAGGGAGCGAGGTCGGAACACTCGTTGGTGTGAACAGATGAGCAGAGCTGGCAGATGAGGTAGGGGAGTTACCCATCAAGGCCGATGAGCTTGTCACTGGGATCGACACAGACAGAGGCATGGACATGGGCATAGCAGAAGAAATCGCTGAACGGCCTGCGGTCGACGAAGCTGCTGATTCGTACATGAGTTGCTGTGATGAATGATGAAGAGAATAGGAGTGCTGTTCCATAGCTCGCTGTTGTTGTTGTTGTTGCTGAAGGCGCATAGTATGTTGTTGGTTCTGGTGGCGTTGGTGAAACAAAGAGACATCGTTATAGGATTGTTGCATCATGCGTTGGTGTTGTTGAGGTGACAAACCATGTGGAGACCGTTGTGAAGGAAGGATGTGATGTTGTTGTGGTTGAGACATGGGTGATGAATGCATATCGAAGGTAGGATACATCATATACTCTAGATTTTGAGATTGAAGGCTGTTCTCTGTCTTGATAACTGAGAACGATGGAGAGGATGGTTCGCTAAGGGTGCCGATCATCATTGGTGAGACCATTGAAAAATGCATACTATGCTGTTGCTGTGGTGAAGGTGCTACTTGAGAAGGATGTTGAGTCTGAGGATTGGACTGTGGATGGTGTCGTGTCAGTTCTTGAGTTTGGATTTGGATCTGAATCTGGGCTTCGTTGTCTGGAAAGGAGCGTTGGCGACGGAATTGATGTGATGGGGGATGAAAGGGTTGCTGGGATTGAGGATGTGGTTGGGATGGTGAGTGTGGATGGGATTGATGGACTTGAAGATTTTGAGGTTGTTGTGGTGATGTTGAGGATTGAGAGAGAGAAGGATGTTGAGAATGGTTGGGAGGATGCGATGAATTTATGTATGAAGAGGAAATGGAGGCTGAGGAAGTCGGAGATGGGCCCAGAAGGAATCCTTGGCCAGAAGGTTGTTGTTGCTGTTGTTGTTGTTCTTGCTGTTGTTGAATAAAGTCCAAAACGTTCTCATTCAGCTGAGTATGCGATGCATTGAAGAATTGGTTATTCGGGAACATAAGGGTCTTGAGCATTGGCGGGAAAAAATAAAATAAAAAAAAATAAAAAAAAAAAAAAAAGTTGACGACAGGATCGGAAAGAGGGTCGATTCTATCAAACCTACTTTTTTTTTTTTTTTTTTTTTTTTTTTTTTATGATCGAGGATAGCTTGGCGCCTTTTTTGGAATATATCGCACGGTTGATCGGTGTTTTTTTTCCGAATGGGTGGATTATGTTTATACGGATGTTTGTCTTTTTACTCGACGTTTGTGTTCGTTGCTGAAACACGACAAGGAGGGAGGTAGGGCAAGTAGAAGAGAGGGGAAGGTTTGTGGACAGAGAAAAGGGGTGGCTTCTAGAGTAAATTAAAGTATAAAATATATTGTATTGAATCATTTAGTAACCTCAGCAAGAAGCACAAAGCACAGCATATCGTAAGCAATTCATACGATTTGTATTGTAATGCAAAAAAAAAAAAAAAATTTGCAGGATGGAAAGAGTACGACAGTGTAGAGTCATAAGGCAAGGGGGGGATTGCGCGGGTAAAATGCGGTACATGTAGGTTTTTTTGAGAGCCTTATCTTGGTCTGCTCGATTTGACTGAAAAAAAAAAAAAAGACAATTTTTTTTTCTGCGTCTTGTGGCTGAAGGTTGCACACAAACACAATGTACACAAATATGTATGTAATTGTATACATTCTAAAAGTTTTGTGTAAGTAATCATGGGTCCATTCTATTTTTTTTTTTCTTTGTTTGTTTGCTGACCTATGATGCCAGATACTAGAGAGAATAACTAAACGAGTCACCACTTTCTGCATATATAATATGCTATGCTGGGATATCAGTTGCAATTAAAAGAATAGAGTAAACTCTTCCCCAACTGTATTCATAAATGTCTATAGTTCTTTTTTTTTTTTTTATATTAATAGTTCTGGAAGGATAGGCATAACGGGCATATTTCAGTCAGAATGTTCGATACAACCTATGATCGAATATCTTTATGCCCGAGAAGAAGGGTAGTGTGTGTGTGTGATGATGGAGCCCATGATCGGTTTTCAGGGGAAGGATAGAGTGCAACTAAGGGGAGGAGAGAAGGAAGAAAGGTGCAAAGAAAACAAAAATGATTGGAGGAGGGATGACAATGATTGCTTACATGTTTTTTTTTGAAGTGTGTTATATTAGATGGATATGTAAGAGAAATACAGAATGATGATGGTGATGGTGATGATGATGACGAAGTACTTTCCACGGCAAAAAAAAAAAGTAAAAAAAAAAAAAAAAAAGGTAAGCAAAGGGTTTTGAAATTATTATTGTTTCTATTCCAAAATGACATTAATATTTTCTAGGCATTGGGCTTGGATGTGCAATGGTACGATGGGCGGGGAGGAGGGGAAGGGAAATGGTCGAGTGATTGGGTGCCAAGGCTGGATTAATTTTTTCACAATCATGCAGGAAGCAGGACTGACAACTATAATTGAACAATTGGAACAAACCAACAGAAAGAAAGAAAAATAATGAAAAAGACAATACATACTAACAGACCAAATGAGACGTGAGTTAAGGATTAGACGAAGGAAAAAAAGAGCAATGATAAAGAGACTGAGGAGGAAAAAGAAGAGAGGGAGAGGAGAGAGTGAAAGGTATCAACAACAAAACTGGACAAAAGAAAAAAAAATATTGTAATCGTCAATTGAGGAGGAGCGAGAGGGGGCGAACGATCTGATTTTATACGATTTCCTGTGGGCAATAGTGTAAGGACTGTAACGCATCTTGTTTTCTTTTCGATGTGAGAATGTGCACGGCGGCGAGAATAAAAAAAAAAAAAAACAGATGGGAGTGATTGATTGAAGGAACGTACCCACACATGTCGAGATAAAATGTACCATGCTCCTTTTGTCTGTGAGGCCCCTCTGTGTCTGCCAGAAGTAAAGTAAAGAAAACAGGTTGTATAAATAGAGAGTAACACATGCGCGTCTTTTCGTTGACTTTTCGCTGTGTGTCACACACACCCCTCTCTCTGTTTCTATACTAAAAAGTATTTGGATGAATTGAATGTAAGAGTTCTTTTATATATAATTCAATTCACTATTAGCTAAAGTCTATCTTTGAAAACCAGATTCGCTGCAACGATTTGAACTAATAGCGATGCAACTCAATAGTGTAATATACCAAACTATGATAAACATGGATATATTAGCACCGATATTCTAATACAATTCATTCTCTCACAAATCATAGTTGCCGGGTGGGGGCATTGCAGAAAAGTCATTGTTTATGCCACTATATACTCTCTCCTATTTCATCCGCAGGCTGTAGCTAACTGGTTCTTATTCCTTATTCAATCAAATGCCTTACACTTGTATACATATTCTATCTTTTTTCGTTTCTTTCTTTCTTAAGACCCCCCCCCCCCCCTTCGGAATGACTTGCCATCTCAGATGGATCCTTGGTGCTGTACCCAGTCCTAGTCCCATTAACAGTGATCTCCTCTCCTGACAAAGGAAGGATCAATCGTCTTTTCTTTTCACTCTAGTTCTTATTCTATTTTGTTCTATTCCATTCTATTTTATTTTATTTCATTTTTTGTCTCATGATCAATCTACGAACCAAAAGAGCCTGGGGAGGGATGAATAACAAAAACTTTTGGAAATATGAAAACATGAAAAGTATGGCCTTTATTGATGAATTACAAAGGCTCCGTCAGCTCCCCGTCAACAATTTGATCCGGTGTTTTAGAACTATGAGCTTCAATATAATCGGATACGCAATTGAAGGACTAATAACGAGAGGCTCCTTGTACTTGAACAGACACTAAATAAAAAAGAAAGATAAAAAGAAAAATCGGCACCATCTAAATTGAAGTCTATTCGCTGATTGGCAAGGGGAGGAGAGGGAGGGGGGGGGGGGGGGCCAACTTTCTAAAAAAAAAAATTCTCACGGTGCTACAGACTCAGACCGATTCCTCAACGTCTTTTTTTTTTTTTCTCTGTATCTCTTCAACCTTGTATATCTAGAGATTTGCCGATTCTCTAAAGCCAAAATAAAAAAAAGTAAAACTAATACGAACACCAATACGAAACGAGGCAGTAATGTTTTATTATTATTATTATTATTATTATTATTTGTTCTAATGTGGCCCATCTCCTTTATTTACTTTACAAAGCAAACAGGATTGAGGGCGGTTGTATGAGATCTACTGTTTTTGTTGAATGTGGTTTGCGTTAAAAAGTTTTTTTTTTTTTTATTATTCTCATTAATATTATAGAGGATATATAATATTGTTATTCATGAAGGCTCAACTTTGTCTATATCTTCTCTTTCATATTCACGCGACAATTAGCCTCAATAGGCATGAGAAAGCTCTTTTTTATTTGCTCGTCCCCCTTTGACTATTTTGTGTCTCTGTAACACAACACGAAGAAGAACGTTTTGAAACTCTTTAGGAAAAACACGAAACAAATATACTTTTGACGACTAAAGAAAATAAAAAAGCTTTGGCATTTGGTATTTACTATAAACACATGTCAATATCGTGCGAATCTCATCGAGGCTCTGACATTTCCGGTGTTATTGCATGTCACTGGGGTCTGGACCTTTATTATTATTATTATTATTATTATTATTATTATTATTATTATTATTATAGTATTATAATATTATAGTAATATTCTTACCATTATTTTAGATCTTTGTAAACCATTATTTTAATTATTACGATCATTATTATTGTTTATTGCCCCAATAATCCAATAGCAAATAGAAAAAGACTTGAAAAACAAAATATATAAAATAAAATAAATCAACGACGAGCCAGCCTCCAATGAATGGCAAGTTACCAACTTAGTGCCCCCCTATGAAGGGCCTTAAGGAGAAGTTGAGCCTTAATCGTCATAAGGAATCATAATGTCTTTGATCGGTTTCTTTTTTTTTTTTTTTTAGCAAGTTCATTAATTAGAATGCAAATGAAAGCGCCGATTCGCATAGGAAACCAAATAGTCTATATTCCCATCACCCTGCTCTAGAGCCAACAGTGACATGGTATTAAAATAGTTACACCTATCGGTAGGTAGGAAAAACCCTTCTCTCACTCTATCTTCCTCGCCTCCCCTCCTCCTCCCTCCCTCTCCCCCACCCCCCCCCCCTTTTTTTTTTCTCGTGCTCTTTATTAAAATATAGAAAAAAAAAAAAAAAAAAAAAAAAAAAAAAAAGAGCGAAAGACAAAGGAAAAAGGAAAAAGGAAAATCAAAGTGATGATGTTGTCGCTTTCTTTCTTTCTTACAAGGAATGAACCATGGGGACATGCTTACCCGTTGCATGTGAATAGTATATTTATTTTATGCATGTTATTTTTTATTTAATTTTTTGTTTTTCTGTCGCGTAACTAAATGGGCAGCTTGATTGATGACTTTTGGAGATGATGAATAGCTCCAGAGTATAAGACATGTCATCGCTCTTTTTTTATTCTTTCAACATCTTTCTATTTTCCATAACCGGGGCATTAGGGCATTAGGGCATTAGGGCAATTAGAACATTCTCTGGACCCCCTTACCTTTCCCATCTCCACATGCAAGCGATTGAAGTTTATATTGTGATCGTTGATCTTGATCGAGAGAGAAAAAAACCAAAAAGCTATTTTGCTCATGGTACAAGATATATACTCAAGATACACGCGTTCGCTCAGTTTTTTTCTAAAAAAATTTATTGTGTTTCTAGTTGGTCCGAGAGCAACGCTTTATTTCTTTATTTTGTTGTGAATTGTAAATGTTTATTTTGAATACAAAGTGATGGATGAACGCATTACCATCTCATCATGGAGCTCTCTCTCTCTCTCTTTTGTGCAAGTTGACGCAAGGATGAACATAAGTATATACCCTAAAGAGGTACATCCGTTCTACCCTGAGATTGACCGATGTAAACGCCAGGTTCTCTCTCTCCTGATCCTATCTAATCCTATCCATTCTTTTCCTTTTTCTCCCCTATCCCTCACCCCTATTCCATAAGGGTTATAAAAGTGCAAGGGTCACTGTATCCACCATTACTGGGGTAAAGTTTTTTTTTTTTTTTTAGGCGTGCATAAGATTTTCTAATTGATAGGGGAGAGAAGGGGGGGGATACTGTAGCATGATGACTTTGGTGTTGCACAAAAAGCATTGACTTGTGGTCCCCGCATTTTGTACCCACCGGTGCGGAGTAAACAGATCATAACCGAATCTGTTACAGCTTTGTCTTTTCCTCTCAGTCTCTCTGCATTGTTGTTTACACATTCGTTTTGTTTATTTATTTATTTTGTCTGCACAGAGCTCAACAAAAAATATCAAAGACGAAACAGATTACCAAAGCACAATGCTTCTAAACAGTTTTCTCTCTCATTCATTTTTTTATATTTTTTTTTATACATATATTTCTTTTGCCCAATGCGAACATGGGCTTGTCTATTCACATGTTCTACAGTCTGATGTGAAAGAGAGGGAAAAGACAAAAAGAAGTTGAGACAGAGAGAGAGAAAGAAAAAGTAGGAAAGAGCAATGAGGAGCCCAGGTAGTCTCTGCAATAGGAGGAATGCAAATATAAAAATGATCCGTTACTTGTTCATCGAGTTATACTGTGTCACGATCACTTCAATAAACATCGAGAGCCATTGATTATGCTGACGAGTCCCTCTCCCTTCGTTTTCTTTCACTCCTTTCCATTCCCTTTATTCTCTCCAACACTCATCTATTTTTCATGATCGACACTTCGGACAATAATTAGGCGGGAAAAAATAATAAGACGCCGATGACCACTCTATACCGCTGAATGGCTCACAATTTCTTTATTCCTTCTTTACCCCTGATATGCTTTTATGGGTCATTAATATCATTTTTGAGATCATTAGTATATAAATACCAACTGGCAGCTTTTTTTTTTTTTTTTTTTTTTTTTTTTTCTGCACCATGGAAAAAAAAAAAAAAAAGAGAAACGGTATAACGGAAAAATAAGAATTTTCCTTTCCTTGCTAATAGTCTATGCACAGGCATGTATGATTGTTTAATTATGCTGTCCTTTTTAAACTTTTTATTTTTATTTTTTATTTTTTAATCTCGATCGCCAGGTGGAAAGTTAGTATAGGGGGGAGCATGAGTGCATCAATTGTTTGTCTTCCGCGGAGTGCAACTCTTTGCTGCAGTTCGGACAAAAAAAAGAAAAGAAGAGAAAAGGTATCCCTATTTTTTTGCGTTTTTTTAAAGAATGTCCCCTTTTTTTCCCGTATTGTCTTTTTCTTCCTCTCCCTGGAAGCGAAGGGAGTAAAAAGAAAATAAGAAAATAAGAAAACATGCAGTTTTTCTTGTTGTTTTGTTCGGTGAGTTTTTTTTTTTTTTTTTTTTTTTGGTTACACATTCGCTTTGCATGGTGGTTAGGTCTCAGATTAAGCAATCATAAAGTGGGTGATGCCCAATGTCGGGGTCATTGACGAGGAGGGGGCTTTCTTTCTTATTTTCTTTCCTATTTTAGTGCGCGTCATATTTGTTTACTTTTGTACGACGTGGTAGGGGGTCTATTTACCTAACAGAACTTTGATCTTTTCTAAAAAATAAAGACACTTTGTCACCTTTTACACCTATGAATCTTTTTTTTTTTTTTTTTTTTTTTTTTCTTCTTTGAATAAAGCTATCCTATAGATACGCTTCTCCTCTTCAGAATAAGCAAACATGCAAAAAAAGAAAAAAAAAAATTGAATGTTATTTTTTTATTTCCACCCCTTGATTACACAACCCAAGATTGGCTTACTACTTTTATACTATTTACCCTTTGATCCAGGGTCTAAAATTGTGCAACGTAAATAAATAAAAAAAACGCGTAGATTTGTCATTGTGTCAACAAACACCGCTTTTTTTTTTTTTTTTTTTTTTTTTCCTCCTCGGGACAACATTGTCCTTGAACAATTCCCTACTTTACTTGAACTTTTTTCCTCGCGCATAGTTAAGCAAGCTAAAAGTAAAGTTTTTGTTTCTTTTTTTAACCTTATCCCGTCTGCCTTATATTTTTTTTCCTTCTTACCTTTCGGATATATAATTGCATGTAGATGAAGGGAGAAGGAGATGAAGTTTTAATCGCCTTGGCTCTTCTGGATCCTGACTGCCAATAAGAAAACAAAACAAAATAAAATAAAATAAACGCGTGAAAAATTTTAATGTACAAAATATATACTTTTATCTCCACCAACAGGGACGACTCCGGCTATGAGTCCCTTTCGATCTACAATAATGCTTGCGCTGACGGTACCAAGGTTCATCCAAAAGATCGTCTATCACACCGTTCTCATCTCTCTCACAGTAGTACCACCAATCAACCATCGGTCTCCAGTAACCATACTCCTTATGGCCTTCATCCTCTTCACCCTCATAGGCTTCGCCATCTTCACCTACATCGTCCAGTGTCTCTGTAGGCCTAGGCTCTTTCTTTGCAACTTCAAGCATACGTAGAACCGCTGATGATTGGAATTCAAACCCGAGCCATTTGAGATCTTGTTTTGTACATTTCAATCCCAAGCCGCTGCTGAGCTGCCGCTTCTGTTTTCCCCATTGCCGTGAAGCCTGAAGGGATGGGGCTTCAGACCAGTCAATGGCCCACCCATCATTATTGTTCATAATCTCGAGAACATATTCCTCTGACAAGGACTGGAACCATGAAGGACGAATCCATTGAAGTTTAAGAACCCTTAGCGATTTGAGCATACGTAGCTTGCGATAGAGTCCTCGGATCAACCTAATCAACTCCAGGTTCCCTCGAGCGGAATTAACCATATCCTCCCTTGCAATACCGATATCCATTTCCAATACTTCCAAACCATGGCAGACCCAATTAGGTTGCTCCGCCATCGTTCTGAGGTCTACCCCCTTCCAGGTAATATTCCATGATTCATCTATAGAGATTCCGCTCCGAAGGCTTAATTCTTTCAGATCTGGACAGCGAGCTAGTATCCAAGCAGGGAGCGTGGACGAGTGCTCAGCACAGCAAGTCAGTCGGAGGGTTTGAAGCTTAGAAATTGGTTTACAAGAGTGTGTACACTTGATATCACCGCAGGGACTAGTTGAAATATGGTCTGGCTCCGAAGTGCTGATACAGCTCCCAATAATAGCCTTGATGAGGATGTTGTGTACGTCAAGCATCAGGCCCAATCCCAACTCGCGAATGGGGCTGTGGTAGAGACGAAATGAAGGTGTTCGATCCGCTCCTCCTAGCGCCATCTCTCCCTCCTCAGCTACCACCTCGTCCTTGTCCAGCTGTCCTCCTCCCTCCTCTTCTCCTCCCTCAACCAGCGTATCCTCATATGGCTTGCTCGAGTACAAAAGTCTCACTGCCGAACCAGCCCAGAGTCCAGCAAGGTTAGTCATATACGATAACTCACGATTATTGATCCTCAATGCCCTCAACTTGCGACAAGTCAACCGTATTATTTCTACCATCTCGTATACTTTCCCAAAAGCAAGCTCGGGGACATTAAACTCGAGAAGACCTGGAGAGGACCTCAACAATGGGAACAGAATGGCCTCTTCATACGAATTCATTTCTGAACAAAAGCGTAGTTGATGTAACAAAAACGGCAGCTTCCGGTTGGCAAGCGCCATAGAAGGAGAGCTTTCGGAGGCTCCCCACCCGGAACTATAACGGGACCGTACCCCTGGGCATGCAAAATCTTGCAGGGCCTTGGGGCAATGAAGGATCAGTTGGATACATTCTTCATGACCTATCCAACACCCTGTCATATCGATCCGAGTTAAAGCTTGGTGTTGTGACAAAGACATCAAGACTCTATCAGTGAGAAGAGTGCAGGTTTGACCCTGCTGGCCCGAGTTCCTCCAGGTTATTTCAGACTGAATGACGAGTCGCTCGAGTTTGGGATTAAACTCTATTAAGTTCAGTGCATTCGACTTGGGCGTAAGAGGAGATTGACGGGTATTGTAGCCAAAATAGTTCTTGCAGTGGAGCTCTCTCAATTGGGTAGGCGTCTTGGAGTAGGACATCGTCTCATCGGCTATTGGAGAGATCATAGGGGTAGTTGCTCCAGCAGTAACTGTAGTAGTGCTCATCGACAGTGCGTCTTCAAGAAAGTAATCGGCAGTATAGGTGTCAACAGCAAGGAGTCGGATCCGATAAGCGTTCTCAAGGATATTCTCGGTTTGCTCACATGATAGATTGATAAAATCAACCCGATGGTACCGGTATGGATCTATGGCCGTGTTCCATGATCGACAGACACGCCAACAACTCCAAACGTCAGTAGTTGTTAAATGGGAAAGTATATTGTCTACGAGAAGTGGAATATTAAATATTTTGTGAAGATGAGAGGACATGATTTAAAGGAAAGGAAAAAAAAGGAAAGAGATGGACGGAGCTAGAGGAAGGAAAAAAAAAAAAAAAAAAAAAAAAAAAAAGCAAAGAGAATGAAGTGAGAGCGATGGGGACGACTGTGGGGCCGTAATGAGAAAGCAGATTATACGGCAGGAGACGTGGTTTTTTTATAGAAGTTTTAGAAGTGCGAACTGAGGAGACAGTGGCGGTGGCGCATGCAAAAGCCTTTTTTATAAATTGAAGGCGTATACTTGGGGGCGTTAAATTGTAGTCAAGGTTGCTCATTTTCTTTAGAGCCGCAGTAACTTTATTTATTTTGTTCGGAATTGTTAGACGCGTTTGCCGTTCACAATTGGAAATTAAGGTTGCTAAGGCTAAGGCATTAAACAAATATAACACACTATTACACACAACACAATAACTGAGGACATTCATGGTGGCCTCATATTTCAGAACTACAACAACAACAACAACAACAACAACAACAACAACAACAACAACAACAACAACAACAAAAAAAAAAAAAAAAAAAAAAAAAAATTAGGCGGAAACAGGATGTTTGCAGAAGAGCTCAATAAAAATCAAAAAGAGGCTCTTTTTTTTATGAGCATATTTTCTCATCGAACTTGGGGCTGTTGCCGGGAGCCCGGGCAGAATCATTTTTTCCCTCAAGAACAAGAATAAATGTTAACCTTGATTCCATGGCCCGTGTACATGGAGAGGAGGGAATGGTAACGTTGTCATCCTGTGTATATCCCTTTTTGTTATATGTATATATATATATATATATATATATATACACAAAATGCCCTCTAATTAATTAGCGCGGATTTTAAAAAGTCATAGAGTGAGAATGAAAGTGGAATATTTATAATTGCTAATGCGAAGGAGATTGGCGATGGGTTTTCCATGTACAGTACCAAAAAAAAAAAAAAAAAAAAAAAAAAAAAAGGAAAAGGAAACATAGAAATGGCTTGAAGGAAAGATAAACTCTAAGCCTTTTCTTCTTTCAAATCGGGACAAAGCATGATACTATATATATATATCGCCAATTTCATTTGGTCATGATACCTTATATTTTTAATCTAAAAACGATGATTGAGTTGTTCTGGTGGCATTTCACTACGTGACGGACTTGCAACAATACTCGCAACAAGCGAGCCAATTGGCTGCCAATACACTCGAAAGTATTCAAAAAATATAAGGTATCATGACCAAATGAAACGGGCTATATATACGTTTATACAGTCCTCGTCATTTGGTCATGCACATATTGTAAAAAAATATTGATTGAATTGGCTCCAGAAAAAAACGTGTCACATTGAATGGGATCTGGGTATTGAATCGGCGGCTGAATTTGGCCACCAGTTCATTTAAGATTCTTTTAAACCTTGAGCCGGCCAAATCAGTTCAATAATTATATGCTTTTAGAATATGTGCATGACCAAATGACAATAACTGGAAGCTTCTGGTCTCAAAAATGATAAGGACTTCTTTTCAAACTTGCTATTGGTTAATAATAGTCATCAACCAACCACTCTATATACGTAGATGATGGATATTAAACTTAGGCATGACTTAAGGTTACACCCACAATTGATTCGCAATCCAGTGGCGGAGTAAATGAGAAAAAATGTTTCAGTCATACCAGTAAAAAGGCTCCCCGCTTTCTTGATCAATTAACGCCTGGATATGTAAATGTATATATAATAATGTATATATAATATCATCATCACAGATATCCATGAATAAATAAATAAATAATAAATGAGAACTACAGTCCCTCATTTTTATAGGTTGGTGGCAACCTTCACGTGATGATTCTGCTATGTAAACAAAGAATGAAGTTTGTGGAATACGCGAAAAAGCAAATTCATTTTATTCATCACCCAAAAACTCTTAATAGGTAACCACAGCGACTTCTTTAACAACATTAAAATTCTTTGTATACGTTGCGTATGGACTATTTATCTAGGCTATCCAATAACGTCTCCACTTGGACTGTATTCTTTTTTATAAGCTTTTATAAGCAATATGTATTCAACGATAAAACTCTGCACATAATAGACCTTATTGGCAATATCGTCTCTAAATACTCAATCTAAACCAATACTCCACTTACAACAATAGGGGCATCCGGCTTTACAAATAATGCGTGAAATGTATATAAAATATATACTTATGCGAGATGGACGAAGATAGCGAACGAGGCTATCATGAGCAGCAAACTGATAGTTGCCAGGCAAGCTCTTTTATTGGGGGAGCCTGTTTGATCAATTGTAATATTCGTCAATAAGCTACCTCTTTCGCATGCTTTCACTATCGCCTCCACTTGCTTAGAATTCAGTTCATAATGGCTATATACTTTCAATCTATATAATGATGTTGAAGCAAAGCCCTCCTCCTCTTCCTTTTTAACTTTTTCTTTTTTTCCTCCTTCTATTCAACAGTTATTCCTCTCTACGATCCATGCGACTATTCAAGGTGTGTATACAACTTATGACCCAGTAATGAAGGCTTAATCTGAGCGTCAGTGTTTCAACCAGTCTATCCTTTCGTTAATGAGTTCCAGAATTCTAAACCAAAGTGGTTTGCATGCATATTCGTCGTGATACTGTAAAAAGAGAAGGAGGCAGGCCTGTGATACCATAAAGACAAAAGGAATTAAAGGTACAGTAGAAAATATCATAGGTTATTTTTTCTTTTTCTTTTATTTGACGACATTTTAATTGGAGAGGCATCATCGAACAACTATTAGGTTAGTTTAAAACGCTCCCAAACATGCTTGGCAATAGTTTTGTTTCCTTCAGAAACATCGTCCATCACTTGTCCTACCAACTTCGTCAGTATAATGCTGAGTCTCGTCTTTAATTATTTTGCTGGATTCTTTCTCTTGAAAAGGATTCTCAATTTTTTTTCAAGACAATCATGAGCCTCTTTTCCTTTCTCAAAATAGTGCTCCTTCCTCATTCTTCAAAATATTTTCTGCAATTTCGTTAGAGAGCTCTGCAGCTATCCTTGCTGTTCCTTTTCCAAGGCTCTGACTTTCCGCTAACATAAAGAGTGTAAGCGGTTGCATCAAGGGACTCTCTACGATTGTGCTTGGTGCTCTACTCAAAAAGCATGTGGCAATGTGATGGAAATTACTTCTAAGTTGCAGTATCTGATCTTCTTCTCCTACTCCTGGTCGCTTGCTTTTATTAAGAAACTTTTGGGCCTCGTCAATGGAATTCTGATTTAAGAAAATGCCCGTGCTGTTTGAGATTTCAAATCCTTTCAGTGAACCCTGAGGGTCCCTGTTATCAAGGTATCAAACAACACAGCTCCAATGACCAATTTGTCTGTATCCTTCACGGTTATTGTTAGGGGTCATACATCCTCGTACTGGACTGATATAGGTAGCATCGAGCACGTGGCATCGTCAATTGTTTGTTCAGTCCGCTCTTCGTAGATATCAATTGCTTGTGCTCGACAATATACTTCGACGTAGGCAGCCAGGGCTGCTTGTTTCCCTGGCTTCAACAAGATGCAGCCCGCTAGCATTTTTACGCAAGCATGCTTCAGTTCTGGTCGACGGGACCAATTCGTATTAAGAATGCTGCGGGCTGTATCGTTCAATTCGACAAATCTCATTTCTTGAAGAACAGTAAGATAAGGCGATTTCCAGATAAGATTTTCCAAGCTGGAGCGTGGAGGAGGCAAACAACGACTACACAGACTCTTTTCTGGATCTCTGAGCTCGGAAGTTAGGTCAGAGTTAGTCCGGAATGGACTGTCCGTGGAAAACTTGTCGAGTATGGAACGGTGGGCCAGTGTTATCCGTTAGGGTAATGAGCGAAAGCTAAAGGTATTAACCATCATGATCATTTCCTTATTCCCTAGCTCAGAGCCCTGAATTTGTTGAAAAGTAATGGGGACTTGGTCCTCATACCTTACTTTCAGAGAAATTGGTCTGAAGAACAGGATTTGGTGGCAACAACAAATCTTGTGGCGTCGATGTCCCTTTCTGGTACGCCTTTTTGCTTTCGAATGCCAGTTTGGAGCAAAAAAAGACGCACCATTTTGACGCCTTGTGGATTAACAATTTTGGCTAAGCAACAAAACATGCATTAAAGCCTCAAATGGCATAAAGGGGAGAGACACCCTAAAAGCGCAGTCTTCTGCTAGCCCTCCGCTAAAGAGGTCCATTTGATGCATGTGGTCCAACCACTGAGCGAGTCACCAGAGCTAGACCTTGCAATCGTGGTCTAGACAGCGGCTAATGAGAGAACAACAGGTGTTCCCCCATCTGAGTCCAAAGCAGAAGCTCTTTGACCTACGCCGAAGATCTTACTAATTATCGGCAAATAGTGTCCACCCCTGTTCTTGCTTATTTACCCGAAGATTCTAGATTCTGTCATGGTGATGGCACGAGTCTTAAAAAATCTTAAGCCCATTCACGCGCGTCTTAGAAAGAAATTGTTCAAAAAAAAAAAAAAATGGAGCTCAGTAAAATCTCGACGTTTGGTCCCAGTCTGAGAGAAGATCAAGATACATTTGCCTTGCAGCACATGAGTTTCGTCTCCAGACTGGTAACGAGCCTATGCGCGTATCACGTCGTCAAACTCTGAATCTTCTATCAAGCAGTCTCCCGCAGAATCCAAGGACAACAAACCTCCAGAGCCAACTGGAGAAGTAAAGGAGATCTGGTATCCTTTCCAATGCAAATTAATCTCAACCATACTATTGGCGAGATAAAGAATGCCATCAAGGCAAGGATTAAAAACACACTCGAGAGTATCAATGCAAAGACCTCACTCCCAAACTCATCCCTGCCAATGCAGCAAAAGAAATATATGCAAGCTATCCAAAAAAGTCACTTCGGATCCTTAATGACGAGCTTGAAAAGCTCAATGCTTACTTTCTTGATGAGATGGCAGATGGCCACGTTGAGATTATTGCCGAAGTGCCGAAGAGCCGATGCGAGGTTTGCCCTAAGGTTTTGATGAGCTGATGGCTTCGATCTAAGGCTTTGATTTAAGGCGTAGGGGCTGTCTTCAAAATTCATGTACTCTCAAAAAGGGGCCTAGATTCGTATATTTTTGAGGTTCAAATTTTTTCTGGTTGTAGATCCCTTCCTTTGCTCACTCTTAGTGGTGAATGCCCCCAAAAAGACCAAAACAACTGACCAGGCCATGGATGATGAAGTGAGGCTCTCTGATCTTTCCAAGGTAGAGCTGATTTCGAAATCTGGACATGTTGGCGAAAAAGTGTAAAGAAGGCGCCTATAACGCACTAGTTAAAACTGCCACTGCCCTCCAAACTTCGTCGTTTTAAGATATAGAACTGATCTCCAGTGCCATAGATGCAGAGAGCTCTCTGCGATCGAAATGAGGAACCTATACCTAAGGCAGGCTTGCAAGAGCCTTTACGCTAAAATTATCTCGTCTTTTGAAACTACGGCGAAGGGGACTCAGAATCGCATGGTTGTTACAGGAACTCCAGGGATTGGGAAATCAGCCATTCTTATATACTACATGATTCAATGCTTGCCATAAGCAGTGATGACAATCCACTCGGTGGACCGGTGAAGTATGAGCCCATCACCGATACGATGGTTTTACTTTTCTCCCACATTGAAAATGTGAGGGAAGACGTTATGTTCTTATGAATGATAATTGAAAAGCAAGTGTAAGAGAACAATGAGAAAGACAAGACAAGATGAGGTATGTAAAAGAGTATTTAAAAAAAAGGTAAAAAAAAAGAAGAAAAGAACTAAGGGAGGTGGTAAACTATTATTTACGATTGTCGCTTCATAAAAAGATGAATAAGTTCCTTAATCTGCAGCAAACATTTCCATATTGGGCATATCCTCGGTAATCAATGGTGTTTTTTGCGAAGTCCTTCCTATCAACTTTGCGACGTCGAGGCGATTTGCATTACTTATAAGTAATGTCTTGGCTAGTAGGTATATGCTATAAACAGTATAGTAGACGTGTTCTACATTTTACTTGTACGAAGATTAAACAAAGCTTGAAACTGTCTAGGCACCTCGATATCGACTCCAATACCGATAAATGTATCTAGGTCCTTAACCAGATCTTGAGGGAACGGCAACTGCTTGGGGTTGCTGACAGAATCAAGCCGAGCCATCTGGGATGGCTTCAATGTGAACTCCAATGCATTCAGGTTATCTTTCAACTGCTCCAAGGTACGAGCGCCGATCAAGGGTGACGTGATACCAGGTTTTTGCAATATCCAGTTCACTGCCACTTGTGCGGGTGTTCTGTTACATTCTTGGGCGATGGCCTTGACCTCGTCCAAGATTCTCCAGTTTCTGTCGTGTTTGAAGTGAATGTCCACTTGACCTTCGCGCTTACTGTCCTTGTTTATCTGTTCGCGCAAGTGCTTTCCAGTGAGGAACCCTTCAGCTAAGATAGACCAAGGAACAATCCCAATACCCATATCCGCACACATGGGTTGGATATCGGACTCGAGGGAACGGTTTAAAAGATTATAGCGTGTTTGGAAGCCAATGAACGGTGTCAATCCGCGTAGATCGGCCATGGTGTTGGCAGCTTTTGAAATGTAAAATAAACCCGTATGGCTCTTAGTTAGCCTTTATCAAAGCAAATAACAATAACAGCAAAAAAAATGTATTTACAACCTACAAGGAACCACCCAGCTGGGAGTGTCGCTCACGGCAACATAGAGAGCCTTTCCAGCACGGATAACATCGTCCAAGGCCCGCATGACTTCGTAAATGGGGGTTCTATACTCCCAGAGATGAACATAGAGAATATCCACGTAGCCCATTCCCATACGCTTCAAGCTACCATCCAAGGTTTCTACTAAATTTTTGCGATGATTGCCACCTGGAGAGTAAAAACAATAGCATCAATCGTACAATGTTTCATTCAGGACAGCCCACTCTAAATGAAGGAACTAATGATAAAGTCCACGTTACCGGCATTAGGATTAGGATGATTAAATTGGCCTCGACCCATAATAGCATCGAGCGACGCTGCATTAACTGTGAAGGGGATTAGCATACGGGAACAAGGAATGAAAAGTTTCCTTTGAACAAGATAACATTAGTGCCCATGCTTACTTGAATACTTTGTAGCGATCACGCACCCGCTCCTCTTGCTAGAGATATATTCTCCCAAGAATCTCTCGGAATCACCGTTCATGTAGACATTGGCAGTGTCAAAAAAATTGCCTCCTCTTTCGTAGTAAGTATCAAATATCTTCCTACATGTCTCCTTATTGTTACCGAAACCCTAAAAAACCACCCATTCATAGTGATGTGCATTTTGGTGAGTAACAAATTGTCTAATAGTAAGCAGTGGGCCTATCTTGTCGAAGCATACTGCGATTACCCATTTGTCTCCAAAGGTCTATATTAAGGCGACACCAAAGAGGTTATTATCGGTATAATGAAAAAGATCACTCATAGAACGTAAAAAAAGAGTCCTTGTATTTTTAATTACCATCGTCCCAAGTGATAAGGGACTGACTCGAAGTCCAGATTTGCCTAATAGCACATAGCTATCCAATGCTGTCAACGCCTGGTCGATAGGTGAGTTATCAGAAGTATCCTTCATACTGACTGACTTTGGAGTTGTTACAAGAAAAGGGGAAAGAGAGAAAAGTGGCGGCGGAAGAAAAAAAGAAAAAAAGAAAAAAAAGAAAAGTGAACGAATAAATAAAAAGTGGTAGAGTCAAGCGAGCTGAATATGACTTCCCCCATGTCTGGATCCTATCTGCCTGGCAAGTGAAGAAATATGGTTTGATAGTAAGCATTACATTTCATTACAAGTTAACGAACAGTTTTTAATGCATTGGCATCAGTTGATTCACAGACACATGGGTGACAACCGCTAGATTCAGGTTTGCTAACGTGACACCACAATCAAGATAATAGGCCTATACCACATCCCCAATAGACCATATCTGATAATTGGCAATAGGTTTGGCCTGCTATATCCGTACATTGTTTGGCCAATATATCCTTCCATCGATTAATATCCAGGAAAGAGCTATATATTTAGAGGGATATCTACTGTGCGTTTCGGGGAATGCCGGGATTTTGCGCCCTTCCTCCATCTACACATCATATGGTTCCTGATTGACGGCCCTTCATCTACAACACCTTCGCTGGCCAAAGTTATCATTACACTATCGCCAAGGCTTTATGTTTCGATAAGGGCCTCATACCAGAAAGTTGACAAAAAGGTAGCTTGGATATATGGACGTAGGTAGAATTGAAATGATATTGAGAGAAGGTTCTAGTTTTCTGAAAATTTTGTTGCTATAGAGCATTTAGAAAAAGCTCTATGAGAAGGTAAGGTGGTGTGCCAAGATACACCCGAAGGATGTATTGACGCGCAAAGATACCGGAGCAGGAGGCACGTGTCCATGCTAGGAAAACTCTCTAAGAACTAGGATACTTTGCGCAGGCAAGAGTTTTCTACAAAATTGCAGGTGTATTCTTCACTGGTTGCTAACGCGGCAAGATAGTAGTTCATTTGATATATTCCTAATAAACCGAACAGGGAATTCAGTTTATAGGAGTTTTGAATATTCATTAACTTTTTTTTTTTTTTTTAGTATTGAAAAACCCAATCAGTTCAAAGGATCCCAATGCTCAATGTTCCCTCATTCCTATTGAGCAGTTACAAGGCGGTTTGCTTGTCGCTCTCACGTATGTATCCTAATGATCATTAAATTTATAGCTCTAACCATGAATAATAAAGTGGTTTCAAGGTCTTTGATGATGTTTAATAGGTAGAGTAATCATTTATTTTGAACGAAAATGGGTTAAAATCCATGTGGATATTGTTTGCTCGCTTGCTGATGATAATGCGCAATATGCAAAATGCGTAAAAATATTTGCATTCTACGATCTGACGCGTAACCGATTGAATTTTTGACAAAGATAGCCTAGACCATGCATTCGCATGGTCCTTTCTCAAAGAGAGAAAAGCAATGCGACGCTAAACAAAAAGCAAGGAGAGCAATATGCAAAAAGAGATGGAAAGGGGGAGACGGCGATTAGATTTCAAATCATTCGTTGGATGCATTTCATGCTATGATTTTTATTAAAGCGCACTACTCGCCCGCGGAAGTGTCCATCACAAATGATTGGGTTCCTCAAGCACTTTTCCTTCTCACACTCACACTTTTATTTTCTCCTGAACCCTGCACCTTCACCTCTTTCTTCACTATCTTCGCTACCTTCATCTCCCTCATCCTTCTCTCTCCCTCTTCTTCTCTGCTTTTGCTTCTACTTCATCTCCTGGTTGCGTTTTTAACGAAATGGCTTGCGACATCACCATGAATGAAACCCCTGTGGCCACACACCAGAACTACATTCCTCGGAATGCCGTTGATCACATCAACCCATTCTTTTTCAAGAGTCACCACCATGCCTATGGTCATAGCCACAGGCATGGCCATAGTCATTACCACCATCGACAAGAACAACAGCCTTCTCCTACTCCTTCTCCTATCCCCTTAGATTCTCAATTGCAGACCCCTGTCCCAAGGCGTATGTCTGCCCAGATCGATCCTTCTTCTTTGCCTGCTTCTTATAGTACTCCTCCTGCTACTCCTCCTTTGACCTTAAAGGGCGAACAAACTTCTCCCCCTCCTACAGCCACTACTTCTACTACGACAGCTACTTCTGCTTCAAGTGTAGAGACCGAATCATTGGCATGGTGTACTGCACGAGCAAGGATCCCAACCCCCGACGGATCCGAATATTTTTTACATATTTATGAGAACAAACAGGATAAGAAAGAACACTTGGCTTTCGTATTTGGAGACATTATCCGTAGTCAGAGTCTTGATCGAGTTCAACTTAACGAGACAGAAATGGATCGGATGAAACGTGGAGCCTATAGGGGACGTCTACCCAATCTTGTTGATCCAGACCAGGATGTATCCATGGAGATGGTTGAGACTGTATCAGTCATATCTGCACCAGCATTAGCATCAACATCAGCGTCAGTATCGGTATCAACAGCAGTGGTGACGGCAAGCATAGCCACAACATCAGCAGTAACAACACAGGCTCCCTTGGTCCGAATTCACTCAGAATGTTTCACAGGAGAAATAGGTCATTCAGCTCGATGCGATTGTGGTGAGCAATTGGATGAAGCTATCCGATTAATGAAGGCGGAAGGCTCAGGTGTGGTAGTCTACCTGCGACAGGAGGGACGTGGAATTGGTTTAGCGGAAAAGCTCAAGTAAGTCCAACCAGAAGGGGATTACAAACATTCACTTTCGTCATGCGCATTGTATTATCGTCCAGACCGAGCCAACCCCACGTGAAATATTTGAACCCGAAAATTCAACCGGAAGCCGATCACTCTTCACACATCCCCTTCTTTACATTAATACCGTTCTTTTTTTTTTTTTTTTTTATTTTTATTTTTTTATCTGTTCTCCTACAGTATACACCATAAGATATACTTACACATATTAATGTCTACATGAATGGTTTTTTAGGGCCTATAACTTGCAGGATCTAGGATATGACACTGTCACAGCCAACTTGTTACTGAATCATGGTGCGGACGAACGAACTTATGAAGTTGCACAGGCAATCCTTCGGGATTTAGGTCTGCAGCAGATCAGGCTTTTGACCAACAATCCAGATAAGATTGAAAAGATTGAAAGGATTGAAGAACAGGGACAAGAACGGGGACAGGGTGCACTTGATCAAACCAGGATCAAGGTGGTAGAACGCGTCCCTATGATGCCCAAGTCGTGGGAGGCTATCCACCAAGGTACTGAGACTGACTTTGAGATTAAGGAAGGCGCTGTTGAGAACAAGGTTGTCAAGGGTAAAGAACTGGACAAATATTTGAAAGTCAAAGTCGAGAGAATGAGGCACATGATCACTGTTCCAACATCGCTTTGAGTTTGATAGACTTTTCTCTTTTCAATCATATCATCATGTATTCTATTGCCAAATAAAAAAAAGTATAAAATGAAAATGATATTTTTATTTTATTTACTTTTCCTGTTTAAATTATGTACAGTTGAAACAAAGAACGTCCTTTCTTTTACTGCAACATTTGAGAAAGGGTCTTTTCAAGCTGGATGGCATCAGCAGCGAACTTGCGGATACCCTCAGCGAGTTTCTCAGTTGCCATGGGGTCTTCATTCAGCTCCCAGCGGAAGGAAGTCTCATCAAAGGAAACCTTGGGATACTGCTGAGCACTGCTGGTAGCAATCTCAGGGCTCAGCTTACGCTCGATCTGCTTATTCGACTTGTGGAGTTCTTCCAACAAAGCGGGTGAGATAGTCAAGAAGTCACATCCAGCCAACTCCTCGATCTCTTCAACAGTGCGGAAGGAGGCACCCATGACAATGGTCTTGTAGCCGTGCTGCTTATAGTAGTTGTAAATCTTGGTGACTGAAATGACACCAGGATCCTCTGCACCGTGGTACTCCTTCTTATGGGTGGTCTTGTACCAGTCGAGAATACGGCCAACAAAGGGTGAGATCAAAGTGACATTAGCCTCAGCGCAGGCAACAGCCTATATTTATAATTAAAGCCAAGAGATCGAAATGCAAAACATTAATTAATTAATAAGGAAAAAAAAAAAAAAAAAAAAAAAAAAAAAAGCGATGATCTTTCTACCTGTCTGAAGAAAAATAACAACTAAACAGAATGGTTATTTACCTGAGCGAAAGAGAAAAGAAGAGTCAAGTTACAGTGAATGCCTTCAACTGACTCGAGATGTCTGGCGGCCTGGATACCCTCCCAGGTGGAGGCAATCTTGATAAGAATGCGGTCCTTGTCAATGCCAGCGTCCTTGTAGAGGCCAATGATCTTCTTGGCCTTGGCGATGGTGGCCTCCTTATCAAAGGAGAGACGAGCACTGACCTCAGTCGAGACACGGCCAGGGACGATCTTGAGAATCTCGACACCAAAGTTGACAAGGAGCTTGTCCATAGCAGCGTCAATTTGGGACTCGATAGGACTGTTTTCATTTCATCCATCATTAGATATTGATTAAGTTTACATCATTAGTAAGGAAAGGGAAAGGAATCGCAATAGTTAGATGACTTGCTTGGAGAGCTGAGAGAACATGGTGATCAAAAATCCCGCTCACTTTTTTTTTGGGTCAGATTTTCTTTATCTGACCCAAAATTGATAAGAGCAATTACCACCATTTTTGTCAATCTCTGCACGTTCGAAGAGTTTATCATTTTTTTGTGCATTCTGTCTCTGGTATTGCATTTGAAAGCTTAATCAGCCCCTCGCCTTATTACTCTAACGATTTCTCATGTTGAGCATCATATCATGGGAACCCATTACCCCTGGTCACACAAAGGGGCTAAATGACAGAGAGGGCTTTGATTTGATTCCAGATTTTACACAGCGTATTTTTCATGTGCCCCTTCTACAGCCGCTGGGGAAGCAATAGAAATAACCTCATTTGCCCATACAAAGATATTCATATACACATGCAACACTCACAAAACGGAAAGAAAAATGAATAAATGAATGAGATCGAGGTATAGAGACTTACCCACCGATCTTCTTGGCGTAAGCAATAGCATCATCAATTAGATGAGAATAGCTAGCCTTTTTAGAAGCAGCCAAAATTAAGGAAGGGTTGGTGGTAGCATCAGTAGGCTTGTACTGAGCAATGGCTAATATTGTCAAAAATGACAACGCGCGCGGAAAAAAATAGAAAAGGAAACTGATCAATAAAAAAAAATTAACAGAGGAAGAAGGATAAGTGCGTTCATTCAAAATTATCTTACACTCAAAGTCGCCAGTGTCCGAGACGACGGTGGTGTAGTTCTTGAGTTGGTCGAGAGCAGTCATGATGTAATTGATGTGAATGAGTGTAGCGTATTGATGAGTAAGAAAAGTAATGAAAGAGTCTTTTTTGTTCCCCACGCTTTTTTATTGGAAATCTAGATTTGGCTGAAAATACGTCACACTATGGCAGTTAAGGGGCGTCCGATCCCTGTAACCCTGTAAATATTCTTTTGACCAGTTAAATTGGCAAAATTTTTTTTTTTTGTACAACACGTAAACCAAGAATGGCAATGAATATTCTAGCAAAACAACAATTTTTGCATCATCAATTTGGTTATTAGATTTAACATATTCCTGTCTCGCCTTCAGAGATTTTTTCTTCATTCAACACTACACCATGCCACGTTCAAAGAACTATCAACGTCTTGATTCTGGTCTTCGTCAAAAAATTATCAGCTCAATCTTTGATGAAGGATTGACTTAAAAAGACACTTTGAATGATAATGGACATGTTTACTTGCGATTGCCTCCCTACACCCCTCATCTCAATGCGGCCGAATGGGTCTTTAGTAGCATCAAGAGGCATGAACGGCGTCAAGAGCTTCAAAACCACGAAACATTGACAAAGCATATCAATGATGGTATTCTCAAGATTGACGCAAAAAATGTCCAGGGATGGATCCGCGAAGTCAATAGAAATTTTGTCCTTGTAAACAGAGGCGAACCTTTGGGTAGATTCTACAACAGTACCCACCAATAAAAAAATTAGCCAAATTGATGATCCAAAAATTGTTGTTTTGCTGGAATACACATTGCCATTCTTGGTTTACGTGTTGTACAAAAAATTTTTTTTTTGCCAATTTAACTGGTCAAAAGAATATTATATGAGGCAGATTTAAATAGTGCACGACTATCTAGATAAGTTGTGTGGTGTATTCGCCACAGTTATAAGCTTATGTGGAATTGGATGTGTTTTTTATATGACCATTGAGTAGAGTGCCCCATTTGGATGCACTCTCAAGCCTAGGAGGTAACATCTACAAACCACAATATTGAATATGTTTAAAACAAAACGCAAACCAATTCAAAGACACGCAGCTTTTGAGCAGTCCCGTTATTCGAAGCCACGCTAAATTTGTTAAAGACGTGATTGGCCATGTACAATAGCATGTATTGCCATCTTCCAAGCGATTATGGAACAACTGTACTCGCCCATCGCCTTTACTTTGAGTTCTGTCTGCTCTTTCTACAATTGTATGCCATTAAACAATATTCGAACATCGGCTTTTCACAAACATTTATTTACCTCTCAAGCTCTAGGTCTCAAGGCAATCTTAGCTCTGTAGATGAATACATTCAAGCACCATTTTTCTGTCGGCGGACGGAATTTTTTTTTTTTTTTTTTTTTTTTTCAGAAGCATTAAGTGAAAGTAAATAACTTAAAAAATCATAAGATGTTTTTAAGCCAACCATTTCAGGTAGTTTTAAAACATTATCGAGTCACTTAGACGATTTGTCACAATATTAAAAAGAAACCCAGGGAATAGACATTAAAGTTACCTGAAAGAAAGTTTGGTCAAAATGGGGTTTTCTGATTTTTTATATCTTGAACCTCTGACAAACAGCTCATATGCGACATAAAGACTTCATCAATAAGATGGAAGTTTACACTTTTGTTAATGAGGTCAACATGGGCAACTACCGGGGTTTTTGGGCAGTACCTCCCAAGGAAAAACGAAAAAGAAAAAGGAATGAAGACAATGCTTCGCTTCAAATTTTTATGTTATTGACCAAACTTTCTTTCAGGTCAGTGAACAGATACAGTCAAATTTTTTTGTTGGCCCCAACTTTAAATTATTTGGCCCATGAAGCTTTATGACAGCAAGGATGGGGATATGTCGGTGGCAATTTCCTTGACTGCCTCATTGGCAATTCAGTTGACCATACAGTTAGTTGCTTAGTTGACTATTCCATTGGCTATTCCATCGACCGCTTTGTTGCCCAACCCATCGACTGTTCCATAGAGGGGTTTTGATCCTCTCTGAAATATTGATTTAGGCGTTACGCTTTGAGGAATGTGAAGGAGTTGTCAGTCGCATCAATGAGGCCACAAGATGCATTGTCTTTATTCGAAAATGGACTGCTCACGCTATTACCTTTTCCCTCGTTGTATTGAGGCCATCCATGCTTTGAAATGAGACATCAGACCAACATTACACAAAAACTTGAGTAACCTACAATACTGGCATTCTAGCATTCGACACAAGAGGAGAAGAGGAGAGAAGGAGCCAATATCGAAGAGTTAAAAAGCAGCATGATAGCTATGCCTAATCTGACTCTGCCTTGAATACATTGACCGGTTCCTCTGATTAGGACACAATCCCTTTGTTGTATATATGTATTTTGGAATGATCGATAGAGTCATTATTATTGTTAATTGGAGCAAGCCATATGTTCATTACTCGCACCAGTAACCCTATCTTAGGTGCCCGTTTTCATTAATAAGCTCGAGCCACAGAACTAACCCTCATTCTTTTTTTCTTTTTTTTTTTTCTACCTCAGCGACTGGCTGCTCATCTTTCGTTTTAGGGAGCAAAAAAAAGAAAAAAAAAAAAAAAAAAAAGATCATGGGCAACCGTGGGTTGAATAGGGAAGAGTCGTTAGTATACGTAATGAACGTATGGCTTGCTCCAATTAATAATAATAACGACTATAGACTATCGATCATCTCTTTAATGTTAATAGCTTGTTTTCATGCGATCCGACACTATTAAGGTTTGTTTCGTGGCGGTGAACCCACTCATATTGCAACCAGTGAAGTGAGAGGTCCATAATTGGGTTTCCTCAGTAATTAGGGTAACGTTGCTGTTACATTGGCGTAACCTTAATAACCTTGGATGTGCCAAGCCATTATTCCAAAATACATATATATGGTATGTATATATATAATACAAATATATAAATATCTTATAAACAAAGGGATTGTGTCCTAATCAGAGGAACCGGTCAATGTATTCAAGGCAGAGTCAGATTAGGCATAGCTATCATGCTGCTTTTTAACTCTTCGATATTGGCTCCTTCTCTCCTCTTCTCCTCTTGTGTCGAATGCTAGAATGCCAGTATTGTAGGTTACTCAAATTTTTGTGTAATGTTGGTCTGATGTCTCATTTTAGAGCATGGGTGCCGTGTTTCATTTAAGGCGTAACTGCTGTGCTGGGTTCACATGCAAAAGAAATAAAGTCGGGCTCAAGAACTTCCAGTTAACATACACTGTAGCCAGACAATAAGATTTTATCAGAATCGTAATATGACTTAAACCTATGACTTTCATATAAAAAGGTCCTTCCATCTTTACACTTCCATGCTCCATCACACAATTACGCAGTTTAACCTTCAGGTAATGTACTCTATCTACCTGTAAAACTTCAGAGCCATATGCCATTATACTAAATTAATATCTCCTTCTCATTTATGCTTTTATTCATTCACGCTGATAGAGATGCCTTCATTTTATTATTTCTGGGTCCTTCTCGTTGCTCTGTCGCTGGTTGCCAGCACTATTGATGCTAGTTTTGCATATTGTGTTGCAATTAAAACTGCGTTTATGGATCCCAAAACTGTGGTTGGCTTCCAGCTATTTAATGATCGAGGAGACACTGCAAAGCATTACAGGAGTGTTTATTATGCCCACAAGACAGAACTTGCGAACAATGGATGGAAAGTCAAGGTTGATTTAAGTTTCTATGAGAAAGCGGAGACTCCACACCTACCCGATGCTCTGATAGTCTCACATACCCATCATGGAGAGAATTTGGATTCTGTAATCTATCCACTTCCATTGTGTCAAAAGTTTCGCAAGGGTGGCACTAGCTGGTCAATTGTCTACAGATGCATTGACAATATGGGCTCGGGATTTTGCAACGCTAATGAGTTCTGGCATCAGGATTACTGCAGGACCCATTTAGATATGGGTACTGATACCGTTACTTGTTAAATAAAGGGCCTTACAGGTACTGAGTGACTTTTTACTTCTTGAGTTGAATTTGCTTGTAGGGGAGAGTCCGCAGCGTCTTTTAGTTATTTACCTCTGTTCAGTGTGGTTAGTATAGGTGGTTATGTGCAATTAATTATGATAGTCAAGAGAGCTGGAACAAAGTGAAGTTCGTTTTTCAAGCTGAAAGGAGATTGTTTTGATTTCACGGGTTCATTTTCTCCACAGAAACAAATAAATGAAGTTGAAGTCCCGTAATATTTTATTTCATCTTGTAAACTATTTGAGCTTATTCATATTTTATATTTGTCTAGAAATTACTTCCTCGCCGTTGCCTCTGACGTTTATTACAAAGGTTGAGTCCTGGTAGCACTTACTTTCTTTGTCTTCACTATCGCTAGCATCACTAAATCTGGCTCTGTCTAAATTATTATCAAGCTCAGCTAGATGACGCCGCTTGAGATAGTTCGTTAATCTGATACTAAGTACGCTATCCCTGCCACCAAAAACAATGAAAAAATTAAAATAAAAGCTCACCAGAATCTGTAATGCTGCAAACGTGTTATACAATACTGACTCAAACCTTTGAGGAGGGCTCAACTATCACGCGCACCCCAGGCGCCAAGACGCCAAGCCCAAGTGCCAAGACACCAAGCCCCAACCCTATCAATTATCAGTATAAATAGTCCACTACGTTATAGCCAAATAAAGCATCCTTTGACCTTCGATTCCACCTAAGATCACCTTTGATTGTTACTATTTACATGGTAGCAAAGGTTCATCGAACCACCGACCCCGCCAGAAACCGCTTATATTTCCCTCTGATATTTTTCCCTAGATCCCTCTGATATTTTCCTAGATAAAATTTAAAAATTTACCCCTGCATTTGATTTTTTTTTTTTTTTTTTTTTTTTTTTGCCATGGACAACCTCACCACTTCCTTGAAAGCTCTTAACCTTGATGCCAGTACCAGCCTATCCGTGCAGAACGCTGTGCAAACCTTCCTCGAATCCCGACAGGATAGTGCTTCTAGCGCTGCCGCCTTTAATGACCATGTCCGCACGGTGGCTGCTGTGATAAAACCTACCAAACCAGAACCATACGAGGGAAATGTCGACGCTGTCGCGGTCCTCAACTTCTTGGAGA